TCTTTGGGAATAGCCTCCCAGTTCCATCATTTGTCATGGCGGGCTAGAACTAGCCAACAGGACTAATTGAACCGAGCGGCCCCTGAAATTTGAATTTCTATCCTCGTGTTTTTCACACTTCATGCTCCATTCTTCCGCATTTCGCTCTACGCAACAGGCTCCGCCAGCCCGAACTAGGACCCAGTTCTCCCATGTGGTTTTTCCCGCGCCCTACAACCTTTTTTTTTTTTCTTTCTCTTTCGTCATATCTATTCTCGTAAGCATATCGCGCGAGCTATGTGGGGAATTTCACCACGTGGGATTTGCCGGGTCGAACGTCTACCTAAAGTGAGTCACGTCGAGATCTGAGGCGTTAAGACCTCCACGTGTTACTGCAATAGGGGCTTTATTCGGCGACCACATAATTTCGCGTCAGCCCCGAAAACGGACCAGGGGTGTTCAGCTCTCTCAACAGAATACGACAAAACTCAACAGAAAAAAGGGGGGGAGGGAAGCCTTGCTATGCGTCCAGGGCTGAAAGAGCCTCAATTCTTCCTAGCCTCGGGTAGAATGGGCTATAGATGAGAAAGCCACAAGTCCCGGCAAGTGTCACCCTCCCCCCTGAAACAAACAATCGCCCGGGCATGCAAGGCTGGCTCCTTCATCCTTCGACCTAGAACCCAGGGAACTTGGTAGCCGCGGACGAGGAAAATGGTTCGGCATAGCCGGGAATAGAAACCAGCCCGTCGGCCGTATTTGGACCCTCAGGGGAGACCCCGCCGAGACGTAAAAACGTAAAGGGGGATCTGTCGGGACGATCCGCAAGCGTAATAACAAAACCGCCAAGGAGCGCGTAACAATCCATTCATCTTCAATACGTGGGATCCACAGTACTTACTCGATCTAGATATAGCGTGCGAGGTGCGAGGTGGAACACGTCATAGACTTCGTTGCTATCGCGGGGAGGAAAGTCAAACTAACATCATACATCATTTTTTTATTTCGATTCAAACTTTTGGATTTTTCATTTTCCTTTTCCTCTTTCACTTTTTTATTCTGATATCACTTCCGATAAGGAAAACCACTAGTGCGCAATGTTTTGTTTCATCAAAGCTACCGGGGACCCAGCGTCTGACGGAGATGTCCGCGCGTGGCGAATTTCGGCGCTAGAACCTCTGTAGAAGGATTCTGGAAGACACTAAGAACCCGCTAGCAAATCTCGTGTTTCTGCGCCCCTTGGAACGGCCACTCCACTGAACAAGGAGATGGCGCCTTCTTTGGCGTTCAGGGGCGGATCTCTCGCGGAAGGAATCAGGAATACCGAGGTACATGAATAATCCGATGGCTGAAAGAAAATTACCTGTTCCTGAGACCTTTTTTTTTTTTTTGGGGAACCGCACAATCAAGCAAGGCTTGGCACTTTGTGAAGAGTGGAGAGTTAAGCGGACTCGGAGAAATTTCAAAGGCTGGAGAAATAGTATTGCGAATACTACCCTGATGCCTGGATTTTTCTGATCTCCAAGTTGATTCTTCGGAGATCATACTCATACTTTTAAGGAGAAATCTAAGTCACCACTACTCCAGACGCGATCCGGGATTTGAAATGTCTCAATCACGTTTCCTTCACTATCTCCCCATTTGTGTGATTCTTAGATACCCGGAAACCCCCCACAGTCTCGAGTCAATACACGGGAAGCCAAGCCTGTCCACGTGGCAGATGATCCACAAAGAGAAAAGTCCGTGGCAGTGAATTAGGAAAGACGGGGGTGATCCAAGGCGGTTCGGTTGCGATTAGCGGATGCCTGGCGACAATCGTGGTTAATTCGCCGTGATGACTTGCAGTTGTAATGATGTGGATCTCACATGGCAGGACTCTGCTTCCTGCCTCATACATTCTTGTCTTGAATTTAATTGTGCTTGATCGAGCATAGTATTTGAGATAGCTAAGCTGCCTCTCATCTAACCCACTCGAGATGCATATGGGTTGCATTCATTGGTCGATCGGATTGAGTCTGGCGTTTCGTAGCTGCAGCTTGCTGCGGGCTGACGGAGTTTTAATTGAGAATTTGGTTGCGGTTGCTGTTTTTGGGGGCCGAGACAAGCTCGACCTTGAGCGTGACGACTCTGCAAGATGCCAGCGTTCGACATGGCTATGCTTTGTCGTTTGACGTTTCATTGTGCGAGGGGATCCACTGTTGATATCATACGACACTCGATCTGGTATCTCAAGCTGAGCCGAGGAAATGTCTGACGTTGATGGCTGTTGACACTACACCTATGGAATAGAGCTGTATATTGACTGTGCCAAGTAGACAGCTCGGCCTTGGCATCTTCAGGAACTGCTGAAATACTCTTGTCCATATCTACCCAAAGAAACAAAACCCTTGATATCCCAGGCCATAACCAGCCTAATCCCCGCCCAGCTCCGACATTCTAATACTCCGTATAGCACGGAGATATGACGGAGCCGACAGGGTACAGGGTGCGGATGCGGGTGATATAGTGATCGTCGTCCTAGAACGCATGACTATCGTCCGATACTATCAACCCATGGACCACGCCCCTCCTCCCCTCGACTCCTCAACGCTGAGATCGGATCGATTGTTAGCATAGCTCTCATTTTCGAAGGCTCACACCGCTGGCTCACAAAAGATTCTCCGAGCCAACAGGCCCCTCCCGGCCTGCGTGCCATTATAAGTGGGCTTCACAGCCCCGTTAGCCCAATGTAGAAGCGGGGGGACGATCACTCAACCGTCTCTAATTCACTTGCCACTAACCACCGAGAGATTTCCCTAGTAGCCAATCGATGTTGGCCTAGGTAAACGCGAAAACGAAGGCAAAATGGAAAAACGCCTCAGTCCATCGAGCGGGGTTGCTTCTTGGTTGCTTGCATCGGGATATGCAGCTACAGTTTCCAGCATCCTGATGCGTTTCGAACTTTCGTCCCTTCGAATTCCCTAGAGCTGCAAGACATCACTTGATATCATTTGCCTTCTTTTTTTTCGGTCTTCGGTCATTCCATGAGCCGAGAAAGACCGACTGTAATCGAAGCGAGCATTTGCTGCCTGCAGGCTTCAAATCTGGGATCTCCCGGGTTGCACGGGGGTATCTATTGGGGTGCTGAGTTTGGAAGCCCTCCTACGCGGTGAATGACTTGAGTAAACGTCCAGAAGGGGGACATTGTCTGTACTACCCCGAATGCAATTTCGAGCATCTCCTCGGACCTCGAGTTACGGTCTAGTCTCGTTTCCCAAGGGGCTAGATCTTCCCCCCCCCTTCCCCTGTGAATGAGAAAACCGGGCTACCGCAGCGGGCCATTACTTACTAACCCCAAACCGCAGGATCTGCGGCCTGTAGCACCTGGATTGATTTGCAACGGCATTTGGTCACCGACAAAGTGGCCATCTGGAGCTATGGAGCCATATCTAGTGCCGAATTGTGGAGTCGAGGTTCTACGAAAGAGGTCCAAGTTACGGAGAACAGTTCCCTGGTCCAACAAGCACTCAAAACACAACTTTTAGGGGGCCCCACCTTTCTTCACGGCCAGACCGTAGCGGAATAATTGTCGACCAAGGGAGGTGGTCGGAAGGAATTGGCGATACCGACTTGATCTTGTAACGGGGGGAAGATTGGGTGAATTGAAACTTTGACCCTCGGAAACAAAACCCCCCAGGTCATACGAGCCCAGGCCACGTCGTGGAACCACATGAGAGAAAGATGCATATTTCGCATGGTACCCCAGTAATCGGCGTGCTGCATGTGCAGTAACATGCTCAGTTCGCCAGACCCTTACCCTCCATTCCCCGTTCCAGGCATCAAAAGGGAGAACCTTGCGACCTGTCACTCGACATGTCACTTTCGACACATGGCACACATGTCGGGTACAACCAATCACCAACCCTGCGTTCGGTGTGGCAAAGATGGTGGCACATTTTGGGGTGATGGGGTCTGTGAGTGGTGGAGATCGAAATTGGAGTACAGGAGAGTGTATATTCTCTGCCGCTAGCCATGGGTTTGTCATGGGCGCTGGGGAGGAGGTACAGGTAGTCATCCATGGATAGAATGCGGGATTCCTGTTTGCTTGATCTTTGTGTTGTTTATTTTCGCCTGTGCCCACTCGGGGGGGAAAGTCCTGGGGAATTCCCAGATAGCCCCCCCCCCCCCCCCAACACCATCTAGACTTCTTTCTCCCCCTACCCCCTTTAATCCAAAACATCTATCCCTCTGAACAAACCCAGAATCAGAGCAAACACCTGACACCGAAAGCCTTGGCATCAGGATCTACATTTCCCGAGTATGAATCTAGAACATACAGGGAATGGTACTGGAACATACGGCACGATGCAGGGAGCACAGGTAAGGGCGGACACGATTGATCAAGCCTAGGGATAGCGCAATATCACCGCCAATCTAGAAACTAAGGTAGCATCCAGCACAAGCGACTAGCATACTAGCATTTAGGAAACGATCGGCCGCCGAGGGGTGCCATGAGCTCTCCGATTGGATCTGGCGTCCACGGGTATCGATCCTAATGCTTAGACGAGGCGGGGATCCCAATATTGTCTCGGCTATCTCATAGACTGGTGTTTTTCTTCCAAGGAATGTGATATAGAAATTACGATCGTGGCAATCGATCGGGAGGTAGATTGGCCGCGTGGAACAACCTTGAAACCGGTTTACCACCACGTTGAGCCAGTTGATTTGTAATAATCCTGGGAAACCTTTCAGATCGAGACTTTATCCGGGACTTGTGGCGGGTGGGTTCCAAAGAAAATGGTGCCTAGGTTCAATTTGGACGTGTGTCAGGTATGCATTTCTTTTGTTCATGGAAACGTCTTTAAAGACCTACTCGAAACGGATGGTCGTTCCAAGGTTATCTATGTTTAAAAGGGTTGAGACAGGGCATTAGGCTCTTCTATGTTTGGATCGTTGTGGAAGTGGGCAGCAACTAGTTGTAGATAGCGTATGCCGAGTCAATTGCAAGAAATGCAAGATGTATCTTGGAAAAATGGCATTGACACTTATCCATCCCGCCACCATTGACCCAACGAAGTACTCGATCCGGCCATCTCAACCACCTCTTCAAAGCTGATCTCCACCCGGAACATCTGCCCATCGGCAGTGCCATTACCTCCACCAACCGGAGTGACAAGGCCCCACGTCACCAACTTCTCCCATGACTCGCGCGCCACATCGCGACCCCAGACGCGGCCGGGCGTGGCAGCCGCGCCGGACACAGAGGCAGATGTCTTGGCAGATGTGAGTAGACGTACGTATTCGGCGTAAGCGGCTGGGAAAGATAGTGCGAGGGGGGATAAGCTTTGTGCTTGTCCGTCGTGACCTGGGTCGAAGAGAGCTGCCAGCCGAGTGGCGGCCAGCAGGAGTGCCAGTGGCAGCGAGGAAGGGCTCGATGAGGATGAAGATGTAGCGAATGGCAGTGGAGCTGGGTCGGGACAGGAGAGAGATTGTGAGGCGAAGCTCGTAGCAGTTGGGACTTGGAATGTAGGTCTGTCGGCCGCGAGTGTGCTGAGGTGTAGCTCGCTGAGGGGAAGAAGAGCGCTCGTGAGGAAATCCTTGACGGATTTGGTTTGGTGGTAGATTCTCTTGAGGTGGAATTGGAATTCCTTGTCATCCCACAGTTGCTGTAAAAGAAGAAAGCGTCAGTTGGATCGATGAGTCCGATAGCTGAGACGAACAGCCACACACCTTTAAGTATACCTTCCATCCCTCGAGCAAAGTCTTCCAAGCACTGGATTCCATCAAAGCATGTTTATCGCTAACGGAATCCGCAAGCTGCAGCACTTCGCTGTCATTGAGATCCAGACTCGCCATACAAATATCCGAGAAAATTTCGTACGTCCGAGGTAGCGGAATGTAGACGTAGCGGTGGCTGAAACGACTCTTGACTCGCTTCTCTAACATCTCCGTCACATCGACCTTGGTGGTCAACCCGATCACGGCGATTGGAGCTTTACGGGCCTGCGCAATATCGAACAAATTGTATAGCAAAGTCTGGCGTGGATGAGTAACAAACAGATCGAACTCATCCAGCAGAATCACAATTGATTTGGCGGCTGTCACTCCGTTGGCATTCCCGGAAGCGCCGAACAATTCTTCTGGATGTGAGAGAAGGGCCAAAAGGGTCGCCATCGTATCAGCATAGGAGCTGACCTTGGCTGTGTCATCTTCAGTATGGGTCTCACGACCAAGCTGGCGCCACATCTCTCGAAGCGCCAGGCGATCATCGGTGTGCAAGAAGCCATTCAATCGAACGACGTGGAAGTCGTTTCCATGATTTTTTGCAAGAGAGGAGATGATAGTTTCCACCATTGCCGTCTTTCCGGACCCGCGCGATCCAAGAAGGAGCAGTGAGTTACCTTCCCCAATGGTCACCGTCTGCTCGATTAAGTGGTTGACCTTTGTATATTCATTCTCAACGCCCTTGAGCGGAATTTGTTTTTTTCCGGACAGCTTCTCCAAAACGGCAGTCGTAAGGACACGCAACTCATCTTGCAGTCCATTCTGACAGAGTTTTTGAAGGTTCTCGACATATTCAGGAAGCGGTTCAGCCACCTCAGCAACTTCGTGCGTCTCTTGTTGATCCCGAAGATCTTGCTGTAATTGCATGGCAACAAGGTCATCTAGGCCGTCATTGTACTCTTCAGGCGAAGGAGTGAATTCCTTATCATCTCCCCCATCTTTCGTACCGCTCGCCCTGGTTCTTGTAGTGCTCCTCCTAGACCTGGTCCTTGCAACTGAAGCAGTCGGTTTCGGAGACGCCTCGTCGAGATCCATGTCCTCCATGTCCTCGTCCTCGACAGACTCCTGCTTCGGCTTTTGTGCACTTCTTACCCCACGAGTACTCCGAGGCGTGGCGGCACCTCTCCGTGTGGAGGAAGATGTGACGGCGTCGCCTTCGAATCTCTGGGGCGCTTTGCGCTGCCGTCCACTTGACCGAGTACCAGCTCTCGTGGGAGTCTCTGCGCCATCCTCGTGTGCCTCTTTTTCTTGGTCTAACCCTTCAGGTACACTGTTATTTCCACCACGTGTTGATCGACGCCGATTTGCTGATTCCCTGGGAGCGCGATAATCTTGGTCGTCTTCGGAGTCTCCCGCAGCAGGGGAGGATGGAATTGAATAAATGTCGTCACCATCCATTTCAACATCTCCATCTTTGTCTTGGGATGGCTCTTCAGAGACTCTCCTCCGCTTCGATGCGCGCGGATCCTTCATGGTCGCGATTTGTCGTGTTGCGCCGGAAATTATTCAGAGGCAATAGACAGGGGCGAGATGGCTTGCTGGTGATGAATTGAGTCCGGAGATGTGTATAATTCGACTTGAGTGTAAATCCCGGGTCTGCGACCGCTCTAGTGATCAATACTGAGCTCAACCCTGTTCGATCACCCTAGTGTACGTCGAGCTAGGACTGTATCCCACGTAGACATACACGGAATTGAGAGGGTGTCGTCTCAGATTTAGCATGTGCGATTTGCAAAAGGGTGCCGAAAGCCCTTTCTATTTTTGAAGGCAGGTCGTAGGTCGTAAGATCAATGGCAGGGGGCAGCTGTTGACGGTTCGGCAACAAATCGACATCTCCGGGTTTCTAGCCTGAGGCCACCACGCGTGACGCCAAGCCAGGTGCGCGAGTCGCCATATTGGACAGTCGTCTTTTTGCCTCATGGAGGAGTCGTAAGTTATCATTGCAGATCTTGGTGAATGTAGCTGCTTCATTGCAAACCTTTGAAACAGAGTGATGTTATTGACGTTGACTTCGATAAGAAGGGATGCAGACACCTCGGATTATATACCTGCACTCTAATTGCGATTTGGTCTTTGATACATTTGCTACAGATCAAATGAGACAGGACTCGAGTGGATATCAGGCCTTTAGAAGGTCTCGCTATGACAGTCGTTATCGAATTCGCGATCTTGATAATATTTCCAAGGTTGTAAGCGGCCTGATATCGGCAGCGTTGATGCCGAGGTCCACGTCGGAGCTGACGGTGGGGGACTCCCGTTTCAAAGAACCTAGAACTTCTCCAACTTTTTCATAGCTCCCAAGATACCCAGTTGATTGTTTCTTTGATTCATATCTCATTATCGCAATCATCATGTCCGAACACGCTATTAAAGCCCCAGCACGACAACTGGACGAGTTCGAAGAGCTCGTCTACGAGTATACGATTCGGATGGGTCTAGGTAGCGAGGAGGTTCGTTCCGACGAGCGACTAGCTTCGCGACAAACCACTAATCTCCGACTCAAATCACTGACTATTCTCCAGCACTGGGATTTTGATGCGCGAAGCTGCAATCTACGCTTTGAATCCGCAACGCGCGGCCCGCCTGCCAGAGTCTCCTTCCTCATCAACATCACCCCAGCTCTGAGCAACTATATGGGCAACTTGCACGGCGGCTGCGCCGCCACTTTGATTGATGTTCTTTCCACTACGATTCTCTTGGGTGTCTCGGAGCCCGGCAAGTTCGCACTTGGTGGTGTGAGCCGCAATCTGAAGGTGACCTATCTGCGCCCTGTTCCGACGGGTATAGAGGCACGGATCGTGTGTGAAGTGATACATGTCGGAAAACGGCTGGCACTGCTGCGCGCAGAGATTCAGAGGGCAGAGTCTGGGGATACATGCGTTGTCGGGGAGCATGAGAAGGCAAATACAGACCCAGAGATGGATCAGAGGATTTAAAGAATGGCTAGAGAGTTTGATGGACGTGGAGACGGGCTTAGCGATTGTTTATAGAACATTGTGTTTTCGTGACCTTGGCCAATATAAAGAACTACCACGGTATGAGTTGAAAGGCAGACAGGTATATTGCGCTTGCTACCTCCTAGTTATCCGATAAAACAGTTGTTGCTGAGGAGCGAGCAAGGAAGTACGACAAAGTATCAAACATGTTCAAGAGAAATATAGTCAACCAACATCTAGAGATAGATCAATTTGTAACATTTGAAGGGTTCTAGCCGTCTACTCCTGAGCCAGCTGCTGGTCCTCTCGGAGTCCCTCAACCTTCAGCTCTTCGCCGGCTGCACGACGGTACATATCTCTGACGTCGTCTACAGATGCAGTCAGTAAAATGAAACTCAATCAGAGGGCTATAAAGCTTACAAGTTGTGGTCTCAAAGTGAGATGTGGCATCGTAGCTCTTGGAAATGAAGATGTTGTCCTTTTCGCCGCTCTCCAGAGGCTCGTAGAGCGGGATGGGAGGACCCATGAACTTCTCCTCAATCTCACCCAGACGCTCAAAGCCGGCCTCAAGCTCAAGATGATGGTTAGTATCATTCTCGGCAATAGTCGAGACGATGGCAATGTAGTAGCCCTTGGGGCAGACGTTGTGTGCGGAAGAGACCATCGCAATGTAGATATCTACAGATGTTAGTGAAAAGCCACATCGTTGCCTACTCATCTTCAACCTACCGTGCTTGCGTCCAACCTGGGACTGAGGAATGATTAGCTGCAGCGAATCACTGCCGTCGGTCTTGTCAATGGGGTGCTTCAGGATACAGATAGCCTTGATAAGGTATCCGCTGACCCGAACCTTGCTGGGAAAGTAGGAAGGATCGGCGATAATCTTCTTAGTTTTGGTCTCAAACTTCATGGCCTCAGACTGGTCATCCCGGTCCTTCATGGTAGCCTTGATACCGCAGACCTTGCCGCTGTCATCATAGAGCACCTCGTCGATGTCGGTGTTCAGCATGTATGTGCCACCGTAGATAGCGGACAAACGAGCAAAGCCCTGGGGAAGCTCACCCAAGCCATAGAGAGGGTAGATGTAAGGGGACTTGCCATAGCGAGCCATGGAATTGACATAAAGGCGGATTCGGTTAATAGCCTCCACGGCCATGCCGGGAGTGGAGATGTAATTATCCTCGGGAACAGGGCCATGGAGTGACCGACGAAATCCCGGGTATTCTCCTCAAGACCAAATTTGTCATAAACCTCCTTCATGGTGCAAGCGTTGACATTCAGGCCTTTACTATGTTAGCTAGCTATTTCATGACCGCCAGGACCTACTACCACTTACCCAGGTGGGTCGCTGAATCGTCCTCCTTGAACTCTCCAACCCATTCAAGGAACTTCTTGGCGCGGCGCTTCTCGAAAAGACCCATGAGGGAAGAGCGCAAAGCCTCACCGGCATCGGAGGGCACCTTGGCGACGGTCGCCTTAGGACCCTTGCCCTGCTGGACGTAACTGCCAGCGATCTGCTTGAACTCCAGGTATCGCGTCACGTCGGTGGAAACCAAAATGTTTGTCAATTCGCCGTTGGCCATCAGCAGCTTGGGGACCAGGTCGATGTTCCAGTCGTTCACACGTCCGTACTTCTTCCAGGGCTCCTCGCCGGGAGCGACATTGCGGTACTTCTTGAACAGCTGCAGGGAGTGTTAGCAGAGACCATGGAGAATGAATCAGTAGGCGTACTGTCTCAATGTTGACGGAGGCGGCCTCTCTGAAATGATTGTTAGCTATCTTGGGACCGTTTCGAGTTGTGGGGAGCTCTGATGGTCGGCATACCCTCCGTAGTGGTCGTTGCGGTCGATGTGGAGGACCTTGTTCCCCTTCACACTCAGGACGCTGGAGAAGAGAAGATTAGAGCCGAAGTATTGATAGCTTGAGATTTGTGAGCTCCTTACCCAGACAAAACGCACTCGGTCAAGCCTGGAGGGGAAGGTCAGTGATTGTGCAATGAAATGGCGGGGTAGCAACGAACCGGTGCCCAGCACCACGACATCGTACTCGGGCGCGATCTCATCCATTGTGGATATAACAGGCAAAGAGCAGTTAAGATATTGGAAAAGTAAGGTAGATGTCGGAAAGTGGAAAGAAAGAAAGTTCTCCTTAGACTCCCCCGCGGATCAACGAGCGGTAAGAAGGGACTATTTGATGGGTCCGCCACTAGTGAGTTACCTTCGTGACTAGACACTTTTCTTTCTGTCCCCTTAATCTGCCTCGGACCCCCCTTTTCGAATGGACAGCGGCTCTAGACTCCCAATTGAGGTGTAGCCCCTGATAGAACATTTTCTTACGTCGACTACATAATTGAATACCTCTTGAGAAAAGAGGGCAGCTTTTTTAAACATTTGAATCCTTCGTTAGATACTTTACATGCGGCAGAACTATAAAAGAACAGGAGAAAGGTGGTCTAGACTATGCTACAAGACTCGAGAGTACAATTCCGTGCCTTCAATCAAGACTTCGGGCTGCTCTCGAAAGTCTCCTCCTCCATCGCGGACTCATGCTGTGGGCGATAGTTCTTGGTGAAGTACTCGTGTTTGGCGTCCTCCCAGGCGTACCAGCGCTCACGCAGAACGTGCTTGATGCTCTTCTGGGTGATTTGGACCTGGAAGGAAAGAGAAGTCAGTACATCTCACGAGACAAATGAAAACAATGATGTGTGGACACTCGATAGTAACCATCTGGCAAGCAATCGAGGGGAAGGCTGCATCAATGGGGGTCTTCGGCAAAGCCAAATGATGATGTATGCGCTTGAACATGCAAGATGACAACTTACCACACGATCACGCGCGCTGGCCTCGTGTTCACCATAACCAGCCTTCATTCGTTCTCTCTCCATGTTGGTAGTCGCAATACGGTTGCGCTCCTTGACGCAAACCCACCACAGCTTGTGCAGATCGTCCCAGCTCTTCTCACGTAGTTCTTGAACGGCCCATGAGCGACCTAGTTTTACGAGTCAGAAAACTGCACGTTGATGACATATGTCATGTAATAAGACTGGAAGCCTTCTCACTCACCATGGTCCATATCGAATTCGGGGGCGCTCATTGCCTCACGCGACTTGGGGAAGAAGCCCCAGAGCCCGTGGTCGGGGGTTTGTTGCGGCTCGGGTGACACCGGCTTGGGCAGGGGATATTTCGATGCGCTCAGCTTGAAACGAGTGCCAGTTCGGTGAATGGCCGACACGCCGCGGGTTCTGTTCATGTCACGTCCACGGCCGGCAGCGACAGGAGTCGTAGAGAAGCTCGAGGACTGGGAGGGTCGGGTCATCGAGAAATGGAGGGAAGGTGCCAGGTAGGGAGGGGGCAATTCAGCCACAAGCCCCCCATATTGGGCCAAACGGGCAATGGACGGCCGATGCATGGTGATGCTTTGTCGTTGCAGAAGCCCGGACTGGCGCTGTCTTTTTTTTGGGATCGAGGACGGATGGTCACGTGCGCGCCTCGCGGCAACTCCAGAGCCGCTCTTGAATTGTACCTTAGAGGGAAGACACGACTGTCTTTTGACTCGACGCGTGGGTAGCTCGGTCTTTCTTGAAAGTTCTTATTTATTCCATCACTGATACATGGTTGCTTTGTCGGCCACAACTCAAAGTGAACTTAGTGCACTCACTCGCATCCGCGCGCCTAATCGCCCAATCGAGTCACTCCACCTCCAGGCGGAGCAGTGCCGCATCAAGTACGGTTGAGAGGGCCTTTGTGGACTACTATCTCTCCACGGATTCCTACTCGGTCTAGCAGTTGACTGATATTCGTGCTTGGCCGATCTGAGAGTCTCTCTCAGTCCGATCCAGCTGATCCTCGACCCTCCAATTATGAACAGGCCAGGTGCGTCATTTTCATCTCCACTCACGCAGTGCCTTGCCCGGCGTGTCTCCGACCTCAAGAGAATGTGTTAGATATGAGTGTCACTATCGCTGGATTATTCTCTAATTGCGGAGATATCTTCCACTCCGAATTTGAGAGCGAAAGGGTGTCGCTCCATCGGTAGCCGGGGTGCAGATGAATTCCACAATTTGCGACCGAGACATTTGAGAGGATCTGGGGACACATTTTTGCGTTGGCCTTAGGCAAGGGCACATGGATTGGAGGCAGTGAAGATCATACTAACTCCTTGTCCTCGCGTATAGGACCTAGCCCGCAGCAGCTACGAGGCATGTCCGGATTCCCCGCGCCACAGCAAGCACAGGCCCGAACTGCCACATTGTCCTCCGCGCGATTGCCAAATGGAAAACTGGGTACGATCAGTTCACTACTCGATTGAGTCTCATGATACAAAGGCACGGATTGGAAGCTAATACTGGGGAAATCACTATCGCAGGTGGCGCAGCTAATTGGAACTTCAATCTCCCCGTTAGCGGAGCCTCCACTCTACAAACCAACCAGCAACGCACCATGGGAAGTATGGGGAGCTTTGCGCAAAGTCTTGGGGGTTCCCAACCGGCCACGCCGTTAGACATGTCGTAAGGAATTTGTCGCTCATGGGATCAATTGGTCCATGTTTCTCGGTGTTGCCCGAGGATTTGCCGTCTCAAGAGCTAACGGCAACGATGTTTTTAGTGAATTCCCTAGCCTCTCCAACGCGCCGCAGCAATCACAATCTCAGAACCCCGGACAGCTCGTGTGGGCAAACGCAAGCCAACGAGCTGCACAGCACACTCCTGTTCAGAGACAACAGCCTCCTACGTCGCAAACCCCTTCTCGAGCCTCTCAGACGCCATCACACTCTGCGCAACAACCGTCTCAACCTCCTCATGACGACATGTTCCCCTCGGGGAGTCAGTTTGCCAATCGACTGGACGATTTCAGGAACGGTGGACAAGGCATCAGTAGCCAACTAGGGGCAGGGAGTCAACCCCAGCCAGGCAACATTGAGGAGTTCCCTCCTTTGGGTCGCAATGTTCCCGCCGAGCTCGGGCAGGACCGCCGAACCTCTCTGATGCAGAATGCGGCTTTCGGGAGCTACAATACCAGTAAGAGAGTTCCAGTGAAAGCGACCGACAGTCGGGAATGGGTGGCTAAAATAGCATTCAGGTATCGGAACATCGCGATCCCCTGTGCACCAGGGACCTAATGGCGTGTTGGGGCAGGAGAAAGAAGTAAGTAGATCCGCGATCGTCTCCCAGGCCCCGCACTCACCACCACTGCAGGACTTGACCAACACCCTCATGTCGGGTCAACGCAACTTCAGCGATCCGCAACAACAATTGCAGCAACGGCAGCAACAATCCACCGAGGGCCAGGAGGTTTCGGGCGGCGCTCAAAGTGCTGAGCAGCCGCCTCTCGCACAGATGAATGAACTCGATCGGTTCGGGCTGGCCGGCCTCCTGCGCATGATTCACAGCGAGAGCCCCGATGTGGCCAGTCTGGCTGTTGGTCAAGATCTGATGACACTTGGTTTGGACTTGAACCAGCCCGAGTACGCGTCCATTCCCGGCCATTCCGTTTTCTCCGAACACTGCTAAGAATTACACGCTGTAGGCCTCTGCACACCTCGTTTGCCTCACCGTTCGTATCCTCCATGTCCGCTGTACCCCTGGAGCAGGATTTCTCCCTGCCATCTTGCTACAATGTCGCCAACATCCAGCCCCTCCAATCTCGAATCCCCGGTTTCAGCGACGAGACGCTCTTCTACATCTTCTACAGCATGCCTCGCGATATAATGCAAGAGCTAGTCGCAGAGGAGTTGATGGGTCGCAAATGGCGTTACCACAAGCTGGAGCGCTGCTGGTTGACCCGTGATGACACATATCCGGGTCCGGTCGATGTGGAGCGTGGTGTGAGTGAGCGCGGCGTATATCTCCTTTGGGACCCTGCCAGCTGGAAGAAAGTTCGAGTAAGTGAATCAACCACTTGAGAAACGAAACAGCATGCTAATTGGCCCGGATAGCGTGAATTTATTCTGCGATACGAAGATCTGGACAACCGGCTCGACGCCAACCGGAGCATGGGCCGTCCAGTGGGTCCTACACACACTTCATGAGTAGATATCTATGAAGCCGAATAAAGGCGTGGCGGAACTGATTTAGGTAATCAGCAATGGCGTTTGGCTTCATGGTTTCTGTACAAGGGTGGCCGATAGTACAGTGCAAAGTTCAGTTCAGGATCGAGGCGCGTTGATTTATCGGGGAATCTACATGGGCTATCTAAACCAAGATATGATCTCACCATCAATTGGCCTTTATGACCTTGCCAATACCATTCATCTAACTTCTGTCTGTAGACTCAAACAGCTTGATCACTGAGTTATGAACCATAAATGCTTCCGACTGCAAGAAAAAACACCATTGCGGGTGCATCTTGAGACGAAAGCCACACAAAGGCTCTGTATTTACTTTGCCATCCTGCATCTTTCGCCCTATTTTCTTCCAAAGCATTTTCTCTACCTCGGGCGTCTGGCATGTCTTCTCTTCCACAAAGACCAGCCACTAGTCTGGCTTGCGAGCCGTAGAGAGAATAGCCGTCCATTTCATAGGCACTTCCGCATTCTTTCCATAATGTTCCTCCAGGTACCTCTCCAACGCCGGGCGAACCTTATGCTCATGATCCTCGCGCTGTTTGTCCGTCCAAAGGAACTTGGTAACGATAGGAAGCATCATCATGGCCATTTCCACAAACTCTAGACCTGGGAGCGAGATGGCCTTGGTATCAGTCTTCACGATGATATTCTCGAAGTCCCGCTGCTTGAGTTGTGACTTGATCCAGGAGACAGAGTTCCATTCACCACGCCCGGACAGAAAAAGGAATTTCTCAGCGGTAAGCAAAGGTAGATTTTCGGTAATAGTTTCGAGAGCCTTCTGGATGACGGTGATCCAGCCAGCTGGACTATGGTTAATTTCATGGGGCTAGTCAATGATCGTGGAAACTTACGTTCAATCCAGGTCGAGAAAGCAATGATACCACCTGGCTGGAGAATGCGAGTCGATTCTAGTACCAGATCAAGTCACTGACTTGGCATTATAACGAGCTCAAAGAGCCACTTACCATCCAAAGCGGCTAGTGATTCAGGAAGAGCCATATAGGCTGACGGAGTCAGTAGATTCGACCAAGCATCATACATTGTATGGTAGCAGAGCAAACTTACCAAATGCAGTAATCGTGTGCGTGTAGTGAGCACTAGGCAGTCCAGTCTCCTGAGCATCCACAAGTTTCACCTCGACATTCTGCCAGTCTTCGTGCTGACTTCGATGACGGGTGTATTCCAGCATGCCCGGGGAAATATCACCGCAAGTCAAGTTCCAATTCTTCTTGACCTCGTCTTGGAGCTGCTGGTTAAGAAGACTTGAGACAATTCCAGTGCCGCAAGCATTGTCGAACACCACGAGGGTTTTCCCTGGGCTGAGATTGGCATTTCCGACAATGCCACTCTGCTCGAGCAGTGACTGGGCAAACTGTGCGGTGACCTTTTCACCAACTTTGTAGTTTTTGACGAACTTGTCGTCTTTGAATATCTTCCGCCATTCAGAATTGTCCATGGTAGAGGACATTTTCGAGGTTCTGGTGAGTGCCAGTACTCAGTACTGTGTCGAGATGGAAGTCTGAATGGACTTGAATAGTTTTCATATGAATTCAGAAAAAAAAGAAGGGGTGAAGAGAGGATAAGTCTCCATGTGTCCGGGAGGTGCTTTTATGTATTGTGCCTCGCAGTCCGCACCTGAATCTAATCGGCCCACTGGTCTACTATATGGAGAGGCCTTGAAAGTGTCCGAAAATGTCTCCGCGAACACGTGTGGGAACCACTTGGGTCCGGAACTAGGATGAATTTGTTCTCCTACATTCAAGATGACTTCATGAGTGTCGATGGTAGCCGGCTATTGGCAGCATTGTCAGGTTAGCGCCTCTAAAAATTCCGTAGCGAGAAAATATTGGCCGCTTTTCTTCATCAGTAGGATAATGATATCTGAACGTGACGGAGACTTTCTTTGAAAGTGGCCGAGATAACCTAATAGGCTCATGTACAGCCACTGGAGGTGACTTGGCTACATAAGATAGGCAAATCACATCTACTTTCAATTTACATAACGCTGGATGATTTAAAACATCATTTCCACCATCATTTTATAAGTTATAAGCTATTTGAATTCAAAGTAGACGTAGTTGATCTATACAGTCCATTTGGGGGGGGGGGCGGGGGGGGCTCCCGGAACAACTATTCACCGGCGGCGGAGCTTCCGCCAGCACGTGACCTTACGCTATCCCGTTTGGGTCAATCATAAACATCATCACAAACACGACCCCTCTCGTCCCACGATACCGCCTCCGACGAGCCCGCATTGCCCAACATGCGGATCACCGAGATTGTGATAGACGTGAGCTTACAGTTGAGCTAAATGACTTTGCTTCATGCGCTGACATCTCTGTGCTTCAGGGCTTCAAATCGTACGCCGTGCGTACGGTGATCTCGGGATGGTGCGCAGATTCCCCGTCGCATGCGATGCAGTCGAAGATGTGACAGCGATGGAGTGAAGCTAATCGTAAACTACAGGGACGACTCTTTCAACGCTGTCACCGGTCTCAACGGTTCCGGTAAATCCAACATCCTCGATGCGATTTGTTTCGTTCTCGGTATCACGAACATGTCCACCGTTCGTGCGCAAAACCTTCAAGACCTTATCTACAAGCGCGGTCAAGCTGGTGTAACCAAAGCTAGCGTCACCATCGTCTTTGACAATCGCGACACGTCCAAATCGCCAATTGGATTCGAAGAATATGCCAACATCTCCGTGACCCGACAGATCGTTCTTGGCGGTACGAGCAAATACCTAATCAATGGCCATCGCGCGCAACAACAGACCGTGCAGAACCTCTTCCAGAGTGTTCAGCTGAACATTAACAACCCCAACTTTCTCATTATGCAGGGTCGCATTACGAAAGTCCTGAACATGAAGGCAGTTGAGATTTTGTCAATGATCGAAGAAGCGGCTGGTACCCGAATGTTCGAAGACCGGCGGGAAAAGGCGAACAAGACAATGAACAAGAAAGAATTGAAGTTGCGTGAGATCGAAGAGCTCCTGAAGGAAGAGATCGAGCCCAAGCTTGAGAAGCTCCGATCCGAGAAGCGTGCATTCCTCGACTTCCAACAGACACAAAACGATCTTGAGCGGTTGACCCGTCTTGTTGTTGCCCACGACTACGTGCGCGGCGGAGAGCGATTACGAATTGCGGGCGACGAGTGCGACAAGAAGAGAGCGAAGGTACAAGCGCTGGAAGACAATACTGCTAGGCTGAAGGGCGAAATCGCCCACTTGGAAGAGGATGTGAAGTCGGTCCGGGCTGCGCGCGACAAGGAACTTCGGAAAGGTGGCAAGTTTCAAGGACTAGAAGATGATGTCAAGAACCACTCGCACGAGCTGGTTCGATTGACAACTGTCTTCGATCTGAAAAACTCCAGCATGGAAGAGGAGAAAGAGAAGAGCAAGACCATTCAAAAGACCGTTAGCGATCTGGAGAAAGCCTTGAAGGAGAAGAGAAAAGTCTACGAGAAATTACAGGCCCAATACGACTCAGCCAAATCCGAGCTTGATGCGCAAAATGTCGAAGTTGAACAAAAGGAAGAGTTACTACAGACCTTGCAGACAGGTGTGGCATCGAAAGAAGGACAAGAGAGCGGGTATCAAGGACAACTCCAAGACGCCCGAAACCGCGCCAGTAACGCCGCTACGGAACAAGAACAAGCGAAGCTCAAGATCACCAACTTTGAGAAGCGGATTAGAGAGGAAGAGCCGCGCGCCAAAAAGGCCAAGGAACAGAATTCTGGCCTCCTGAAGGACCTGGAAGGCATGAAATCCCAAGCTCAAAAGCTGGAGTCAGAGCTATCTCGACTTGGCTTTGAGCCAGGTACAGAAGAGCAAATCTACCAAGAGCAGTCTGGACTGCAACGTGATATCCGTGATCTCCGCCAAAGAGCCGATGGTTTGAGGAGAAAGGCTGCAAATATCGACTTTAATTACACTGACCCCTACCCGAACTTTGATCGTTCCAAGGTCAAGGGTCTGGTCGCCCAGCTGTTCACTCTCAATAAGGACAAGTTACAATCAGCCACCGCCCTAGAGATTTGCGCAGGTGGTCGTCTGTACAACGTGGTGGTTGAAAGCGCTGAAATTGGTACCCAGCTGCTCCAAAATGGCAAGCTGCGCAAGCGTGTGACTATCATTCCTCTGAACAAGATCTCTGCCTTCAAAGCTTCTGCAGAGAAGATTGGAGCTGCTCAGCAGCTTGCTCCTGGGAAGGTGGACCTGGCATTGTCGCTGATCGGCCACGACGAGGAGGTCCTTGCAGCTATGAATTACGTTTTCGGCAATACCTTGATTGCCAATGATGCTGACACTGCCAAGAAGGTAACATTTGACCCTTCTGTTCGTATGAAGAGTGTGACCCTCGACGGGGATGTTTACGACCCCTCCGGAACGCTGTCTGGTGGAAGTTCACCCAACTCCAGTGGCGTTCTTGTTACTTTAGGCAAGCTCAATGAGCTGACAAAAGAGCTGCGAAGCAAGGAACGCCAGCTTGCTACACTGGAAGACAACATGAAGAGGGAGAAGAAGAAGCTCGACGCTGTTCGTTCGATCAAGCGGGAACTTGACCTCAAGAACCACGAAATCAAGCTTACCGAAGAACAAATTAACAGCAACTCGTCGTCATCGATCATTCAAGCTGTTGAGGAGATGAAGGCGAACATTGAGCAGCTCAAGAAAGACATTGTTGATGCCAAGACTCGCCAAACTGAAGCATTGAAGGATATTAAGCGAATTGAGAAGGACATGAGCGAGTTCAGCAATAACAAAGACAGCAAGTTGGCGGAGTTGCAAACCTCGGTCGATTCTCTCAAGAAGAGTCTCATCCAGAATTCAGCCTCGGTAAAAGAGCTACAGAAGGAGCTTCAGTCCTCTCGCCTCGATTCTGAGCAAGTGGGAAGCGACCTTTCCGCAGCCGAGGAACAGCTGACCGAGTCAATCAATACTCTCAAGGCACAACAGGAGGAAATGGATTCTCTCAAGCGAGAGCAAGCACGACTCAAGGTACATATAGACCGAAATCATACCAACATGTTAAAGTTACGAATGCTGATTCTCACAGGATGCTCATGACATTGCGCAAGCTCAGCTTGAAGATGAGCGAGCTAAGCTCACCGGCTTCGACGAAGAATTGCGGGAACTCGAGGAAGCTATGAAATCCAAGTCCTCGCAAATCACCGAGGAAGGTCTGGAGATGCAGAAGTTGGGCCACCAACTTGAGAAGCTGCAGAAAGACCAGCACACTGCTGCTCAGGCTGTTTCCCACATGGAGCAAGAGCATGAGTGGATTGCCGACGAAAAGGAGCACTTCGGCCGTGCCAACACACCTTACCACTTCCAAAATCAGAACATCGCCGAATGCAAGTCGACGCTACGCAATCTGACGGAACGTTCCCAGGGCATGAAGAAGAAGATCAATCCTAAGGTCATGAACATGATCGATAGTGTCGAGAAGAAGGAAGCTGCTCTAAAGAATATGATGAAGACGGTCATCCGCGACAAGCGCAAGATCGAAGAGACCATCAGCAACCTCAACGAGTATAAGAAGGAGGCTCTTCACAAGACCTGGGTCAAGGTCAACGGCGACTTTGGACAGATCTTCGCTGAACTGCTGCCGGGCAGTTTCGCCAAGCTTGATCCCCCAGAAGGCAAGGATATTACCGATGGCTTGGAGGTCAAGGTCTCTCTGGGCAAGGTCTGGAAGCAAAGTTTGACCGAGCTGAGTGGTGGACAGCGATCCCTCATTGCTTTGTCGCTCATCATGGCTTTGTTACAGTTCAAGCCTGCCCCAATGTACATTCTCGACGAGGTTGACGCTGCGCTCGATCTTTCTCATACTCAGAACATTGGCCGTTTGATCAAAACTCGCTTCAAGGGCTCTCAGTTCATTGTCGTCTCCCTCAAGGACGGCATGTTCCAAAACGCCAACCGCATCTTCCGCACGCGGTTCAGCGAGGGTACCAGTATTGTCCAGGCACTGACCCCCGCCGACATGAAATAGTGATATGGAAGAGAGGTCAGCTGGTCATCTGTTCGTCTTTTTGCCTTTGGTTTTATTGGCATTGTTTGGTGCTTTGCATTATGGCTCCGTAGCGTGGCAGCGGGTGTTATGGGTTAGAGTCCGGGGTTACCGGTTTTTGGGGAGGAATATCGCTTCATGAACTATGCATTATGGCTTCTGAGTCTGTGCAGTCTCAGACGTCTTTTCTGGAGTATCAGTGAATTCATGTAAATCATTTTCTCTGCATAGGTGCAAGAGTACTCGATCTCAGCCAGTCCGCTCCCTATTAAGAATAGCTTTGTAACGCCTGGCATATAGTCTCTGTTCTGTTTGGTTTCTGGGATTCTAGAAAGAAATCAATCCAAAGTTTGGTTCACGATGACAGTTGCCTCAAGGGCATCTCGGGAGTATACATCGGGTAACCAACACGACCATGATTGAGAATCGGTCCTGCTTTTGAGCATATCTGATCTCCGCGAATTTTAAGACGCTTACTCTATTCCCCTATCCCGTAGTCAAAGGCTTCGTCTTCAATTATACCTTACCCTCTGAAATTCCAGGTGAGCGCGTTGTCCACGGAATCTCCGGCACGTGCAGAGGATCCCGACCCGAACCTCCCACGCCACACTTCGCGCCTCTGAACCCAGGACTTCAACTCAACTCGATCCCTCATCTCACCCAACTCGCCTTCGTCGCATCGCAACACTTCTGTTGCCCACACGACCTCTTACCCGAGCCGGAATTGTCCCGCCTCCGCGATCCGACCTTGGCATCCCGAATCAACCCAACTGAACCCTGTCCGAATCCCGCCAGCGCAATGCATGACGACGAGCCTTCCTTGAATATACCATCCCTCCTGACTCTGGCCGTGGTATCCTTCTTTGTGCTCCGATGGTTCTTTAATCGCGACGATAGCCCCTCTGCTAGCGGCCGACCCCGCGGACGTGGGAATGTCGTCGATCCAGCCCAGGTGGAGCAAATCTTGCAGATGTTTCCTCAGCTGAGCACCCGTGAGATCATGTGGGATCTGCAGCGTAATGGCGGCAGTGTCGCGGCGACGACAGAGAGGATTTTGGCCGGGCGGGGCCTGGAAACTGTACGTGTTGCGGTGAACGCGGATGTTGCCTTCTGCGCCACATTACCGACTCTCATGGATATTATCATGGGAAACTTTATACCTAGAATTTGAACTGACTGATTGACCCTTGTAGCCGCCCCCATCATTCCAACCCCAGGTTGTGATTTCCACGAACAGCCCAGTCACGCATGCTACCTCGACCACTGCCTCGACCTCGAAGGCGGACGGGCAGGACTTGATATCACGTTATAATCTGAGCGCGAGGCTCGCAAGTGAGAACGCAGAGGCGATCTCAGCAGCGCCTTCCAAAAATGCCTGGTCCCAGAATAAAGAAGAGCGACAACGGCTTCTGCAGAAGCGCCGAGACGAGATGATCCTCGCGGCACGAAGAAAGATGATGCAAAAGGAGCAGGGCAAAGCTCAATAAATCAGTTAATATTCTTGACCCCTACTTCCGGCTTGTGGTGGACGGCAATATCCAGTAACCCGCTTGTCTGCGAGACGGTGCTCTCCCACTCCTGTCGCGCAGCGTTACTCCCCTTTGATTTGTATTAGAGCGCTCGCATCGTGGTGTTAGGTAAATTGGCATAGCTTTTGGTTATCACCTCTTGTCATGATCAGAAAAATAAAAACCGGGTATATAAGTCTATATACAGAACGTCGTTTGAGGCGTCGGTCTGCGTCACATATGCACCTTAACTCCGAAATTTCATACCAAAATGAGAAATACCAAGCGCCTAGAATTCCATGTAATCTTCATCTTCGTCATCTTGAGTGCCATCGTATCCACCATTCGCTCTCTGCTCTGCCATTTGTTCTCGTCGGGCTTGTTCTTTGGATGCGCCGATTTTGCTATGAAATTGTCAGCATGAGTGCTTCAAACCTGCCAGTATAGGGACCAGTCAATTGGAACATACCGTAGACCGTCAACTACGCCGGTTAAGAACCCTCGCTCTTCGCCAATCTCCATTGCACCAACACCTGTGAGCGCCACACCTCCTCCGCCTGTTGCCGCTGCATCCATTACATCCACACCAGATCTCATCTTAGCCATACGCACTTCACGAAGATCTTTCAGAAGCCGTCTGACCTGGTCCGGATCTACTAGATCGTCGCTCGCCGCATCAAGCAACATATTCCCGACCTCGACCCAGTGGAATGGTAAGGGCGGTACTTCATCCCTTGATATTGTAGTTTGCGCAACATTCTGAGGTAGGAATGGCGGCGCCGGGTAGTATTTGTCGCCATCTCTTGTATACTGCGGCCGAGCAACCGGCATGGCTCCATCTTGCAATTCCCGGATACTGGGCTGACCAGGCAGTCGAGGAGGTGGCGAGAAGGCGTTTTTGTAGTCCTGATGCTGGGATTCGATCTCGAGAAGGAGGCTTAGCGCTTCTGGGTGTAGCCAAGGCGGGGGCATAATATTCGCTCGGCGCTGGCGTTTGAGTAGCAGAGCGAGCCATAGAGGAAGGGATGCGCGTCGCGGCGGGACAAGAGGTTCGATAGGGCCCTGAGAAATACAATTAGTTTTTGCAACACCTTTGTAGCGCATGAAACCTTACCCCGAGTAACTCTAGGCCCTCGAGGCGCTGGCGAGGCACCACGGTCACCGTTTCCATCTCCGCCAGAAAGGCAATCTCCGTGGGCGTGATGCCCCGCGGCAGAGGGAAAGCCATTGACGCGCTTCGACGAAAATAAAGGATTGGAGTCACGTAGCCAATTTGTCTCGAAGATGTCGTCAACGCCCCATGTCGCGTGTCTGAATATGCGGAGTTTCAATTCGCGAATCGCGCCTGTCAATGCAGTGTTTGGCCTGTTTGCACCGGAGCTTGCCTACCTGTCGTCCTTCTCGAGCTGCTTTTTAAAACCTTGCCAGTTCGGTCTTGGAACAATAATGAGTTCATCTGAATCGCACCTCAGCCGTGCGGCGCGCTATGCCGTTCCGTTCGCCTTGGTCTTGATTCCTGTTTGGAGGGCCAAGGTTAACGCCGAAGTCCCCGAGCCGTATCTCGATGAGGTCTTCCATGTGCCTCAAGCTCAGGCGTACTGGGCTCACCATTGGACTCATTGGGATCCGAAACTTACTACTCCCCCAGGTCTTTATTTATGGTCGTATCTCCTCTGCGCCGTTCTCCTCGCTCTCCGTGGCTCTCCGACGAAGCTCGACACGGAAGCTCTGCGCACGACCAATGTCGCAACAACAGCCGTGTTTCTCCCGTGGAGACTCCAGACACTATCGGATGCTGTGCATAATGTGCGGAACTCCCGACAAATGGGTGCTTGGATCAGTCATACCGTGCTGAATATCTGTCTGTTTCCGCCGCTATTTTTTTTCTCCGGGCTATACTATACCGATATCCTTGCGCTTTTGGCTGTCGTCGAGGCATACAACTGGGATCTCAAGCGGGTATCTAGAAAAGGATACACTTTCGTCTCCACATTAGGATTCCTTGTATTTGGGCTTGCAGCGTTGCTTTGCCGCCAGACGAATATCTTTTGGGTGGCTGTTTTCCTGGGTGGACTGCAAGTTGTTCGGACAATTCGCAGCCACTCCAAGACACTCCAGTCGTCTGATTTACCCTCTATTGTTGAAGGCGGTATGCGGGGCCATATTCATGACCCGTTGGTCTCGGAGGCTTCCCTGGCAGGTATGTGATATTCTACTCGGTTCACAGTTGATCAATGCAAATGCTAATTTGTTATTTAGATTACTTCAAAGCTGCCATTTCCTTCGCGGTCTCAAGCTTGAGACATCCAATCACTGTTCTTGGATTCCTCCTTCCCCATATAATCATCCTGGGAGCATTTGGGGCATTTGTTCTCTGGAACGACGGCGTCGTTTTGGGTAAGCTCGTAAACCATCAGCACAATTATTTCAGACTGACACACCTGGAACAGGACATAAAGAGTTTCATACCGCCGGTATTCATTTGGCTCAAATGCTTTACATCTGGCCCTACTTTGTCTTCTTTTCCTGGCCGATCCTGATAATCCCCGCGCTTAACATTGTTCTTCCTCAGAGAGTTCTGCCAAAGTCTCTCAACTATGGGTTCCCTGAACAACAGAAGAAACTGCCCAGCATCCTTGCCTGTTTGATAGTCTTGCCGACTATGCTTGCGATCGTTCATTTCAACACGATTGTGCACCCCTTCACTCTGGCTGATAACCGTCATTATGTCTTCTATGTCTTCCGCCTCCTGCTTGGAGTCCACCCAGCCATCAAGTACGCCGCGGTCGTGGTCTACTTCCTGTGCGGATGGGCAGTGATCTCCGCCTTTGGGTTCTCAACCGTTCAGGCTCCACCTCGACTCCCTCAAGTCCCTGCCGCAAAGCCAGCTCCCGCCGTTGTGCCCACTGAGAAGGAGGTACCCGCGGAGACCAGAAAACAAATTCGAGCTAAGGCCAAGGCTGCACCCAAGAAAGGCAAGCAGCAGCTGGAGCAGAAGCCACAGCCACCCAAACCACAGGCCATATCGCCAGAGGCATTTGAACGGATGAGGGAGACTCTTGTCCAGCGGAAAGCACGAGAGAAAGAGACGCGAGTCAGTTTTGTGCTTGTTTGGTTCGCGGCTACTGCATTGTCTCTTGTGACAGCACCGCTTGTCGAGCCCCGCTACTTTATCATTCCTTGGGTGATGTGGCGCCTCCATCTGCCACCCTCGCCGACTCCCGCAGCACTCCGAAAGCGTTTCGCAGATGAGGGCGAGAAATTGCGCGCGGATGTGGCCACCAATCTTCCCAAGTTCCTCGAAACCGCATGGTTTATTCTCATCAATGTCGTTACTGGATACGTCTTCCTGTACAAGGGCTTCGAATGGCCTCAGGAGCCGGGCAAGATTCAACGGTTCATGTGGTGATTGTTGCGTCACCGAGCATGGCTCTTAGAAGTCATGCATGTACATTTAGTTCGAACACTGTATTTAATATTTATTCGTATCTCCTAGAGAGAACATTGTTGTTCACCAAAGTATCTATATCAATGTGAGGTGGAAGTAGCAGATTAGCGGGCGGCGGTCATACAGCCGGACCGAGACAATTTCAAGGAGCCGGAACAGGCGGCGATGACTTGCCCGTCCGGCTGTCTTTGAGTCTTTCAGATGAGTAAAGATCAAAAGAGGGTCTCACAACGACGTATATAGGGAAAGTCCTGGAAGAGACCAAGAAGGACTGGCGGAACAAAGTATTTGAGCTCACCTGCGTGATCTTCTCGGCCGCTGTACTTCGCCGTGCACCGCGCCAATCCTCTCATCTCGTCAATTCCCAAGTCCCAGACTCACGCGTCTCAACAACGCCGGATGCTTCTTAGATTGACTCGAGTACAGAATTGTATACCTCAGCTCGACACTTGGGTCACTCTCAGCTCACTCAAACCCAATCGCCAGCTTTCAGTCCCCACGCGACCCGTCACTTCGCTCGGGCAGCCTGGCCTCCGAGTTGGATCCCGACCGCTGGTGATGGAACGCCCATCCAAACGAGCAAGACTGTCTCCAGACCCAAGTAGAGCAGACGAGAACCATCAAGTTACGGCCTCGACACCCTTGGTTTCTTTACACAGGGCGATCACTCCGCCTCCCAGGTCCCGTTCCCGGCAATCACCAGGACTCAATACTGCATGTCCAGAGCTCAAAAATGACCAGATTCTTACCCAAGAACCGGAATTGACCGAGGCCATCTCCAAAAAGGCACCTCGAATTGTTCCATCTCCTGTCCAACTTAGTCACATCGAGGGTTTCCCTTCAACTAAGGCTTACAATGTCGACACGATCAGACTTCGTGACATTCTTGGGGATCCAATGATTCGCGAGTGCTGGAACTTCAACTACTTGTTTGACGTGGACTTTGTGATGAATCAATTTGACGAGGACGTTCGGAGTTTGGTGCAAGTCAAAGTCGTGCATGGGTCTTGGGAGAAGGAGGCTGCTAATCGAATCCGGGTGGAAGTAAGTCCTGTCTTTTCGTTTGAATCTCAGGTTTGTGTGCTAATTGAAATGATACTAGGAAGCATGCGCTCGATATCCAAATGTCGAACCTATCATAGCTTACATGCCCGAGCGGTTCGGGACGCATCATTCGAAGATGATGATTCTCTTGCGGCATGATGATCTTGCTCAGTGCGTGTATTAATGGTTGATGTACTACTTGTGTGTACTGACTTCATCAGAGTTGTCATACACACCGCAAACATGATCCGGGGAGACTGGACGAACATGACACAGGCTGTGTGGCGGTCCCCATTGCTCCCTCTTTCTCCAGCAGAATCTTCAACTTCTTCACATGCCCAATCAGCCATTGGTACTGGTCTACGTTTCAAGAGAGATCTACTCTCATACTTGAAGGCTTATGGGCCTAAAAAGACCGGTTCACTGGTTCAGCAACTTAATCGTCATGATTTCGGGTCTATTCGTGCAGCGCTTGTGGCAAGTGTTCCATCTAAGCAGGATTTTGGCATTCTCAACTCCGAGGTTGCTACTATATGGGGCTGGCCTGCTTTGAGAGATCTTATGAATCGTATACCTATAAAGAAGCATCCCAAGGAAGGAAAAGAAGGAAAAGACCAAAAGGGCTCGACGCCTCATATTGTCGCTCAAATCTCTTCCGTGGCCTCCCTCGGCCAGACAGATAAGTGGCTGAAGGAAGTCTTTTTTAGATCACTCGCGCCAGCCGCAAAGCCAAAACCCAAATACTCCATCATTTTCCCAACTCCAGACGAAATTCGGCGCTCGCTGGATGGCTACGGGTCTGGAGGATCAATTCATATGAAGATACAAAGCGCGCCACAGCAAAAACAACTGCAGTATATGCGTCCACATCTCTGTCACTGGGCAGGTGATAACCCGTCGAATACCAACATTGTCGATCTATCCGAAGACAGACCCCACAAGCGTGAAGCTGGTCGGGCTCGTGCCGCACCTCATATCAAAACCTATATCCGGTTTTCAGATGCAGAAACCATGGATACCATCGACTGGGCAATGGTGACTTCTGCAAATCTGTCCACACAGGCTTGGGGAGCTGCAACAAATGCGAACGGTGAAGTAAGAATTTCTAGCTGGGAGATTGGTATCGTTGTGTGGCCAGAGCTGTTCGCGGATGACCTTGCCTTTTCGGATCCCACATCAGAATCTTCCGCGTTGATGGTTCCCTGCTTCAAGCGCGATCGACCCAGCTCGGCTTCTGACACTCTAGGAAAGGAACCCTCCACCATTGTTGGATTCCGATTGCCATACGATCTCCCCCTCACACCATACAGCGCATCAGACGAGCCATGGTGTGCGACCAAGTCGCACGATCTTCCTGACTGGCAAGGTCTTTCTTGGGCCGTCTGAGAAAAATTCTCGCGATGACTATTGCACTGCTTCTATAGCCACTACTTCGACCTTTTTACGGGCACGCCCCAACAGTCAACTGACACAATTACCTCGGCATGATTCATATGTACAGGACATGGGCGTTCCATTCAGTCGTGATGCATCGCTTGATTTCTAAAGTCATAGCAATTCCATAGGATATTCCATCATTCCATCCGCAGTCGAGCTCTCATTCCACACTCGAACCATGTAGTCCACGCAGATATGAACCGGTCCTTTACTCATCGCGAAGACCGTACTTGCCAATGAACTCGTTGACCTTCTGGATGTAGAGAGCCTGAGCCTTCTGGTCGCTGTAGTGCTTGACCTTCTCCCACTCGCCGACGAGCTGCTTCTTCTGTGAAAAGAAAAAAACAATGCAATTAGCAAATCGAGACAGTCAAAGCAAAGGAAAAGAAATCGAAACATACCACCATGTCGAACATGCCAGGCTTCTCGGGGACGACGTTGTTGCCGATCTTGAAGTAAACCCAGAGATCCTTCTTCTCAAAGGGACCGGGAGCAGTCTTCAGCATCATGACCAGCTTGCCGGCAAAATCAAGACCCTGCTTGAGAGCGGCGATCTGGGCGTCGTCGGAGAGCTTCTCGGTCTCGCCCATGGCGAGAGCGGCCTCAACGGCGGCCTTGAGGGTGGCGGGGTCGATGCCGGAGGCAGCATTCTGCACCTCGGGGGTGAACTTGGCCTTGCTCTGGGCGGCCTCGAGGGCGGAAATGAAGTCGGTGATGTCAGACATTGTGAATGTGTGTTTTGTGAGAGAAAAGCTGGGGGGAAAGAAGAGCTTGGGGTTTGTTGAGGAGGGGCACGGGTGGGGTTGCTGACAGTGCACTCGCCAGTTGGTTAATAAGTATTAGTTTATGGCTATGGCGATGGCTAAAGTCTTTTATTTTATGGATACGATTATATGGATCAGCTTTGTTTTCTTTTTTGTTCCAGGGATGTCAAACCTGGGGCCGTATAAAGATTCAGATCATTGCTGTGCAACTGTATTCTATCAGTGATGCAGTTATAATACAAAAGGGACCCATGACGCCCATGCCAATGCAAGCCGACGCTGCATATCACTCGCCATGCACGGAAAATAGAAAATCAAATATATAGACTGAACCAGAATCACCAGTCCACCGCCCATCCATTCTTCTCCAAGAATTCCTCGCAAGCTGCTTTGAGCGCATAGTTGGGCCGCAAATCATTGACCGTCATCGAAACACGAGTAAGCGGATCAACACCCGATTTCTCCACGTATTTGACAATACCAAGGCGATCAAAGCTATTACCAGCTGGAGTCACAACAGGATCATGCATCACTTCGAATGTAATGCCATCAATCAACCAGTCAGGTACAATCTGCAAAAGTCATAGTCAGCGTCAACCTCACAACTCCAGAGCATCCCTTTCGAAAACACCAGAAAATATCATGGGGGAAATTAAAGGGGGAAAAAAAAAAGGGCGACGTACCCTTTCAGCAATCTCCCCTTTGGACGCAATCCGGTACATTTCCCTCAAATCAGCCATCTTCTTCTTCCCATCCTCCCGAATCGCCTTCTCATCCTCCCCAAACCCAATCTGTCCAATTTCCCCACGCTCCAATTGCGCCTGCAACTCCTTCACCGACCGCTCCACATCCGCCTCAATAAGCAATTCCACACTCTTCAACGTCTCATCCATCTCACGCAATCGCGCCGACTCTCGCGCAGCCCATAACTGCTGCTTCGCGCGCAGTACAATCTTGGATAGGTTCTCCGTCTGCGCGCTTTTCGCAGCGAGACTAGCCTGGTATGCGTCGATGGCGACATCATATGCTTCCTGTGGTCGTTGGAGACCAATCAGTGCTTGCGCAAGGTACCAGCTGCTTTTGAGGGATGTGGGGTTCTTCGGGCCATAGATGTTGATTGCGGCGCGGGCGTCATGTTCGACCTCGGACCATTTGGAGAGCTTGATTCGAGTGAGGGCGCGGTTTGTGAAGAACGTTGCGTCGTTGGGATCCTTTTGAATTCTGTGGTTTTTCTGCGTTAGGTTGGCGCATTTGAGGAAGGTGGTTTGGAGTTTGCGGAGTGGATAGTGGGAGGATTTACGCTTGTGAGTAGTAGTCTTCGGCACCTAGATAGTCGCCCTCCTTGTAGAGCTGGTTGCCCTTGGCTTTCAGCTCCGAAGCCATGACTGCAGATTTGTGTGAGAGGTGAAGTGTGGACTTTTGGAGTCGCTGATCAATCAGTTTCCCCAGGTGGGGCGGCCCACTGCAGCGATCAGGAACGAAGGGTCTTCGAGAAAAAGTACATGCAGATGAAGTGGAAGTAGGTAGATTCGATGACTTGTGTTGTATTTACAGATGAGTATTGATCTCTATTCCCGCTGTTCTTTGCCGAGAGGAAGTGCAGATGTATGAAGCAGAAGCATTGGAAGCTCATCGATCCCCGCGGAATGCATGACTCAGCAGGTTTCTATGTGGTCTCCGGGCTCTCCGCAAAAGTGCTTTGGCTGCTTCAAGTTCTACAGAAGGAATGGATGTGCAGGCTGCAAATGCTTTCATTGAACTATGTACAAGGATGAAGGGAAGAGTTTCTCTCGGATCCGAAGACCAGCTTCATCAGCAGGATTCAAACCTTCAATTCGTGGTATCGTGATGCGCTTTCAATAAATAACAGGAATGACCATTGCTGTCCATATAGTGCCGACAGATATGTTCAGGAGGTCGGGTCGGCGATGGACTATACCCACAGAGAGTATATTAACCCACAAGAAGTACGTCATGGTCTTCTTGCAACAGGGTCAAACCCATCTAAGCAGAGCCCGCGAACTGGGCCTCATAGTCCGAGATAGCCTGGACCTTCGCGGCCGAGGCACTCTTGGGGTCGAAGCGGTACTGGAGCCAGTCGACGACAAGTTTCTTGGCGAGCTCAACTCCGATCACACGCTGGCCCATGCAGAGGACCTGGGCGTCGTTGCTCAGAATGGAGCGCTCGACGGAGAAGGGATCGTGGGCAGTGACGGCGCGGATCCCGGGCACCTTGTTGGCGGCAATGGCAACACCGAGACCGGTGCCGCAGATGAAGAGACCACGGTCAGCCTTGCCCTCTTTGATGAGCTTGGCACCCTCAACAGCGGGGTGGGGGTAGGCGGTCTTGTCAGAAGCAGAGTTGACACCGACGTCGATGATGGATTCGACCAGAGGGTTCTTCTCGAGAAGAGCCTTGATGGCGTCCTTGTAGGGCACACCGGCCTCATCGCAGGCCATCACGAGACGGAGGGGCTTCAAGTCAGACATGATGGAAAACAAAAAAAACAGTGTATGAACGGAGAAGTCTATTTTATTTTTCTGTGAAAGGGGAATTGCAGTGAGTGATTCCTCAAGTTCGCTGAGGAGCAAGGGGGGTTCTTATACTCGTAGCATGTCGCATCGTGCATCGCCAGTCCAGCGCCTTTACCCATTAACCCATTAACCCATTACCCCATTACCCCGGGGGTGGAGACGGGAATGAAAGTAGACTCTAGTCCAGTGCATCCACTACACGATACATGGTACTCTTGTCTCCACGTACGACTTCAGACGCACTGCCCCGCTCATGCCGTCATGGAATAGAGATGGGGGATTATGAGTGGCCGTGCGTCTGATTGCTCCTCAACACTATACGATATCGTACATATCCCATACCCTGGCCTTACCACTCTATACTATAGATGTCCTGAAGCCCCTATGCTGAAGCCATCCATGTCATGGCACTGGTGGCTGCCGCCTAACTAATTGAGTGTGATCCGTGCTCGATACTTTCCCGATGCTCCGTGCCTCCAGAGAATTCATTCGGCAGACCTCCCTAGTCTGACCCTCGGCGCTAGGATACCTTCCCGCACAATGGAACGCCCGTGCGAGACAACGGTTCAATGAGGGGGTTTAAATGTGAGCGGAGTAGTCAATCGGCTCAGGACCCTAGGACCCAGGATGCTGATTGACTCTTTTCTTTTTTTTCGAGCGCCGGAGGCCGAATAATTCTGTCATCGTACCGAAGCCGTAAACCTGATCTGCTGTGGATCGGGGCACTACGGTAAAGTAGTGACTCCGTTGATTTCAGGCCTATCTTGGAGAGTCCACCTGGACTACCCGGAACTCTGCCTATTTGCTTGGACTGGTCGAATTAATTTACGGTAGGAGGAGCGAGTTGATCGATGCGGCCTGGATGCCTGAGACTCCGGATCTGGTACTGTAAGAAATGCTCCCCCCCACTGCGACTCCACTGTTGATGACGCCGTTGGTTACTTCGCGGTTATGAAAGCCACAACCCCCCCCCACTATGTATGAACCTACTCCGGATTCCACTCTCTGCTAATGGTGTCGTGTGGACTCCGGAGGGATGGCTACTATACTACCTCGTGGTGGGCGTAGACGTAGGCGTAGGCGTAGGTGTGAGCATCGTTCACCATTCATCGTTCATCGCTCGATACTCATGGTTGCCGAGCTCGGGACAGCCACATGCAAAGTAGCGACAAAGACTTCGAAGGCCCATCGGGAAGCGTCTTACTGTAGCGTGCAACCGGTTTCAGCTAATGTTTTCGTGCCTGAGATTAAACCGGGCACTGACCCTCCTCTCTCCTTATCATCGTTGCGAACCAGGTTTTTCTGCCTTTGAGCCTTTACCCCTTTCATACATCGACATCATTTTCTCGGCCATTTGGTCGCAATCTTGAGCCTTGAACCGCGAGGCTTTCTTGCATCCAGCCCCAATCCTCAGACTTGGTGACATCAGGCCTCCGATCCTCAGCCGTGCTCGATCCCCTCGGAAGTATTGTAGGGCCATCCCCCTCCCCTGGGCGCCATATCCGCTACTAATGCGTCCGCGGGATGCCCAGACAAACCAGACAACCAGACAACATATTTCACTCCCGATTGAGGCCACTTGTCTTATTTTCCTTCGAGTTTGAAGTGGAATATTTGGGACGAAGCGGGAGAAGTAGGCACCGAGGTATCCGATCCTGGTTGTCCGGGGACCCCATTGTATCCACGTATCCACATTTCTGTGAAACACTCCAACATCAACATCAACACGGAATACTCTACACTCAATTCACTCCGCAAGGACATAGACACCCGCCATGGCGCCTACGACCTACCCTGTGATTCCGGAGAAACTACTCCTCATCTCATTGAAGATGTATTTTACCCCAGAGCGCACCCTCAGCTACGTTCGCGGCCTCCTCGACCCCGCAAACGAGATCGTCCATCCCCAAAACCGCGAGAAGCTCTTGCTCGCTCTTATCCCAGACTTCCTGACCATCTGGCCATGTGCCGACATCATCAGAGAATTCGAGAACAAGCTCGCTGCCTCCGGGATCCCCACGTCGCCCCGCCATTCTTCCTCGGCGCCCAGGACTGCATGTGGGAAGAGTACGGTGCTTACACCGGCGAGGTATCACCAGCCGCAATCAAGTCTCTCGGCTGCTCCATCGTTGAATTGGGTCATGCTGAGCGCCGTGCCATCTTCGGCGAGACCGATGAGCAGACCGCGCGCAAGGCCGCTGCTACAAGTGCCCAGGGGATGATCCCCCTCGTCTGCGTCGGAGAAGTCACTGCCCCGGGAGCCGTGGCCTCGGAGGCGGTCGGGCAGGCCGTGTCCGAATGCGCAGTTCTTGTCCGAGCTGTGCTGGATGCTATCCCCGCCGATGCACCCGTCATCTTCGCCTACGAGCCCGTGTGGGCAATCGGTAAACCCAAGCCGGCGGGCGTCGACCACGTCGCCGCAGTCGTGGAGGGCATCCGCGGTGTCGTTGGGTCTCGTCCCGGCACGGCGCGAGTTCTCTACGGTGGCAGCGCGGGGCCCGGTCTCTGGGGCGCGGGCGGCCTGGGCAAAGCCGTCGATGGCATGTTCCTGGGCCGATTCGCGCACGAAATTGAAGGCGTACGCAAAGTCGTCCGCGAGGTGGAGGAGACATTGGGTGTCGCCTGATTGGAACAGCCCATAACCTGCAATCCTGCAATCCTGCAATCCTGCATACGTTTTAACCTTCATCTCAAATGCCACCGATTATACACACTGTGTATTGTGTTTCGCATCTTACACTATACGGTCATGGTTATACCCCCTAGGCTCATACCGTCCCCCGCCCCGCCACAACGGGTCTAGACAGCTGTTAAATGCGGGTCGAGTGAGGAAAAGGGGAACGACCCCCAACTTCTCGGGAAGCCTAACCTGGGGATCCCGGCTTTCGATGGAGTCCGTGGAGTACGGGAGAATGGAGAACTGGTGGGTTCATTTCTGTCCCCACCCCCTCGTCCCTGTCACGCGCCAAAGCTGTTTCGATCGGCATTTTTGCTTTGTGGCTTCTTGATTCGGCACTTTCCCCTGAATTCATCCGCGCGATGGATTCTCAATGCATCAAAAACTGGACCCGATGCCCCTATGTGCCCCTCAGTGGACGCGTTGTGGACTCAATTGCTATTCTTTGAACGGATGGAGTAATCCGAGTTTCTCGGGATGATTCACACCTTACGGTACTGCCTAAGTAGGCAAGAAAGTGGCTTAGAGCAAAGTCGTTTTCCGCCTTGGGTCGTGTCGGACGAGAAATGAAAGTTCCTGCTCCAGCGCCAGCTCAGCCCCGCTTCGAAACATGAATGAGTAAAAAATTTCATGCAAAACCCTTGTCTTGTTGCTATGTACAAAAAAAATCTATATAATCTATCCCTGTTTTTCTTTCTCACCATACATGCACACCGCTTCATTTCTTCTGCAGCTCCTCGCGCAGCTCCTGCTTAACCCGCGTCACGGTGCCAATACCGCCATACACAACGCCGGTGTACATCATCGCAACAGAGGCACCAGCGTCCAGAGCGGCGCGCGCCTGTTGGCCGGTAGTGATACCACCCGAAGCGAAAATCACCTTGCGCGGAGCATTAGCGGGGGTCTGCTCGCCTTGGGGCGCGTCAGTCTGAGACTGGGGTCCCTGGTCGAGGAGGGCGCGGTAACGGGCAACAAGGGCGACGGAGCGGTCAAAGAGCTGCGGGCCAGAGTAGCCGCCTGTCTCCTTCAAAGTCTGCTGTTCCTTCTCTGGAAGGATGAAGCCGTGGGGAAGAGGGTCGGGCCGGCGGTTGGTCGTATTGCCGACGATGACACCATCGACACCGGATTTCCAGACTGCTTCACAGATGCCAGAGATTTGCTCATCTGAGTCTTCATCCGGGCTGACCTTCACCATCACGTAGGGCTTGGTCTTGCGATCGACATTCTTGGCGGAGCTCACGACAGCAGTTAGGATGGCTGTCAATGGAGCGGCGGCTTGGAGGTCGCGCAGACCGGGGGTGTTGGGGCTGGAGACGTTCACGACGAGAATATCAGCGTAGCGGGCAACACGGTCAACACAGTAGACGTAGTCGCGCGCAATAGCATCAATATCTCCATCGGGGGTGAGCTTGTTCTTGGCCACCTGCACAGCAAGCAGCTTGCCGGGGACCAAACTACCCGGAGGAACATTGGCCTCGCCGTCTAGAACACGCTGGATGGACTCCTCGTGTTTGCCGAACCCAGCGGCGTAGGCAAAGTCAATCACACGCTGCTTGAGAACCTCGGCCATATGGTCGGCACCCTTGGAGTTGAGACCGTAACGATTGATCATGGCGCGCTGTGAGGGCAGGCGGAATACACGAGGCTTGGGGTTGCCATCTTGGGGCAGGGGCGTAGTACCGCCGACCTCGACAACGGCGGGACCAATTTCGAACAGCGGATCGGGGATCTCAGCATGCTTGTCCAGACCAGCGGAGATACCAATGGGGTTGGAGAGGGTGTATCCAAAGACCTTCACAGCAGCCTGTTAGCATTGGACGCGCGGACAGCGTCATCTCACGATGCAACATACCTCAGTAGACAAAGCACCATCACCATCCTGATTCCCGCGCTCACGAGGATGAAGACCATATTGATATAGAAGCTTCATCGCATCCACACCAGCATGATGCGCATCTTCGGCATCGGGGTAGATCATCCGAATCAGAGGCACAAGACCATACCGATGCACGCTAGCCCGAGTATCCGTGCCATAGATGTATCCCACCAACAGCACAACCGCCAACGAAGTACCATAGATTCCCTTCCGTGACTTACGACCAGCACGCTTAGGGATCTCTTTAACTTCCTTGGGAAGTTCCTTAGGAGCTTCCTTCACGACCTCGGCGGCCTTTCCTGGGGCGGATTCGGAGGCATATCGGACAGCGCCGCACCGTTCGGTCCGTGGCAGAAAGGCCGAGGCCGTTGACTCCAGCGGTAGGTAGGAAAGGCGCGGGCCCGGAGGCTGTTTCGCCAGGCGATAGATGCGGAACGGGATGTCATATTGCCTGTACAGTGCGTATGCGCTTAATTGGGCTGTCTCGAGTATGCGCGGCGTTGAACCTGGGTGAAGGGTTAGTTCCAGCGATTCCCGATCCCGGAATTGCGGTGCGACTAGTGCTTTAGCACTGTGGTGAAAGGTGACCACGCGTTCATTCCGGTCCATGCGGTGACTTGAGCTTGAACATACCTGAGACAATTGCAATTTGATCTGAGATTCTGGCTACGCAGCGCCCTTGCAGATCGAGATCGCGATAATCGCAGGACAGAATCGGGATCTTTTGCAGACGCAGGCGGTGAGCGGAACATCTTTGCTCAAATGGTCTATGCTACAGTACTTGAAAAATGACGACAGACTTGGGATCAAATCGTCAATGGCATCTCGAGGTGTTTTTTTGATCTTTTCGATAACATATCTGATCAATGTGCATGAAACATGAGGTCAAACAGCTGGAATTACCGCGTAATGGCGCTTCAGTGCAGACATTTGCCGTTCAAAATACATGTCGAGCTATAGTTCCAACGAGAGGTGAACAATGCGTAAAGATTTGTACTATTGGGAATTAATGAATTCTAAAGGTACATAACGCCTTTTTGTCTCGCTCACCAGACGCCAGGCTCCATAAGTACTCCGAATTTGTAATGTTCAAGAAAGGAATTTCACGCATGCGTCATTGTAAGAACCCCTTACGTGCTCTATTCATCGCTCATTTGAGCGTCCTCGTCAGCTGCAGCGGGCTGTTCTTCTTGCTCCTCAGCAGGAAGCTCGGGAGGAGGGGGAAGTGTACTGGCAAACTTCGGGTCGATGTTGGCGCGGTGCAGAGAGCGCTTGTACACCTCAGCCTCATCGGGGTCGCGAACGACAACCTGCATCTGGTCGATCTGGTCTTCCTGTGTCTGAGTTGCGTTGGGCGCCAGACCGGCCTGGGCAATTGTGCGGGCACGTTCAGGCTTCAGACGGGTCTTACCCAGAATGGGGTAGTAATAGGCGGCCGTCTGCTTGGTTTCGCCCTCGTTAGGCTTGAAGAGAGTCAGAGCGATGTCCCGCTGTTTTTGCTCGGTATTGAGAGACTGCATGCTCGTGGCATAGGTGCGAGCGCGGTCGTAGCGGTGGAATTTTTTCCCATCGGGTCCTTCGTGGGTGTAGAGGCTGTCGTCGTCACGGTCGGGGTCGTTGATGTTCATACTCTTGCGGATCTTCTTTGCATTCTCATGCTTCTCTGGCAAGAGGAGCTCGTAATCGAATGGAATAGGACCAGGGTCTGGGTAGACGCCGGGGTTGGCCTCGTATAGAGCCGTCTTCGAGGCGTGTTCTTGACAAATGCGCTCTTCAGGAGCACGTGGGTGAAGCAACGCGACTTCCATGCGCTTGTCACGCTTTCCAGCGATACCACCCACAGGCGCCTTGTCGAATTTGAACTGAACGTACCCACCGGGATCCGGGAAGCCCTCAAGATCAGGAAGCACGGGAAAGAAACCAACAGGCTTCAATTTAGGATTCTCGGGTGCACAGGGTTTGCCCACGCATCACTTTCGGCCTTTGTGGCGGCGAGGCCGCGAATTCGGCTCTCTGTATCTTCTCCAGTGTGCTTGCTCTCGGGGTACGCAATGTCGAAGCCCTTCTGAATGAACTTCTTGATGTGCCGCGGGTCGTCCACTGAAACCTTGTTCTTCTTACCGATACGGACCTGAGCTTTAACGGGGGCACCCGGTGCCGCCGCCCTCGCTCGACAGAGATGTGCTGCGTGCGACGAAGGAAACTAACATTCGTGTTTTTAGGGGCGGGGTTGCGAAGTTGATCAAGAGTCATCAGGAGGGGAAGATCTGCCTCATCAAGAGGTCCGGGGTGTTCGGGAGCCATAATAGCTATGATGAGTCCCCATTAGCGACCTTTCCTTCATTTCTGAATTAACAAACAGTGCTCACATACCACTTTCGTCTCCCAAGTGAAGACCCGGGAGACCGACTAGGTCAATGGCATACCGCCCTCGGCATCAACATCGACATTGGGTTCCTCGCGACGCGCCAGATTCGACGCAAAACCAGGAGTGAGGAAACGGCTTAGGCCTTCATGGGGAATGTCGAGGAACTTCGGGGGCATGTCAGGTGGAGGGAGGTCATTGCGGTAACGCAGTGACGCGATGTAATCCTGGTGGAAGCCGCCCGAAGACTGGCCCTCCTTGGACTTGGAAGACATATTGGCGTTCAGGTGAGAGTCACGCTTCCGAGAGTAGGTGTCAATTAGCTTTCTCGAGGTAGAGACAAAGCAGACAGAGCTTTGATCCGGTCGGATCACAAAGGTCGTTTGACTGATCGCTGATTTCAGAAAAACCAGGTACGATAAGAAATTCAGGAGAACCCCAAGGGGCAGGACGAGGGTTTCGATACAGAGCTTGGTCGCATCCGAGAATCGAGTCGGTCGTGCATTGCTAAAGATTCTGCCGAGCACGACCGCCTCCGTCGTTGACATGAGAGAGGAAGCAACCGGAGTAGAGATAATCCTTGGAAAGGGGATAATCCGAAGTATGAATGAAGTTTACAGGCAATAAACAAATTGTCACTCAATTGCGCGGGAAAATGATACAGACATTCGATTCATTCAACCAAAACCCGCCCATTATTCCTAAACACCCATTACGTAGCCAGAAAAAAAGGCATTCCGTCACAATAAACACCACCCTAGTAGGCCCACATACACTTGTAAGCCATCAGCCGGTGACCCAGCCGGTCATACTCGAGCTTTCCAATCCAACTATCATTCGTCCCACTTAGCTTGCCAAATATACTAGCCCCCTTCCATACAACGACTTGCGGGTCCATCTCTCGTGGCGGTACACCGATCATGATATCCTTTGCAAAGCCTGGGCGAAGCATTTGGAGCCGCTCTTCCAGATACAAGTTGAAGCCACTAGTTAAGCTGCCACCACCAACGATCATGATTCCGCCGATAAAGTCGCGCATCTTCTTCTCATCGGATCGGGCGGCGTGTGCAATCGAGGTCAGGATAGCATTGTCTAATGGGAAGATCGGCAAAATATCATTGCGATATTCGACCGAGGTACGAGCCGGTTGGGACGTCGGTGCAGGTACAGCAGGGGTGCTTCCACCTGCCTGTGGAGTGCCTGCAGCTTCTGGCGCTGGGGAGCCAGCAACAGATGAGCGGGGCGTGGCCTCCTGCTCCTGGATTCGTCCCAATGCACTGGGCTGTTGGGGTTTGCTGGGAGTGGGTTGGACGTCGGCGGTCGCTACTAGGGCCTCTCCATCGGCCTTTTCGCTGGGTGGAAGTGGAGGGGCGAGAGCAGTCATGATTTCGGACTGGGCTCCAGAGGTAGGGTCATTGTTTGACCCATCATATATGTCAACGGAAGGTTCAATCAACTTTCGACGCCCTTTGAGCTTGTCCTCGTTGTCAAATATAGTGGGTTCGAAAAAGCCCATGGGCGCCAGATGAACTTCGTCGAAAGCCTTGAAGGTGTGCTTCACGGTATCCTTACCTGATACTCGAAGGTGGAAGTCAAAGACTTGTGGGGAAACGCTGGCCTCGTTCATCGTGCAGATATTCTTTTTCAATTCCTCTGCCAGCAACCAATCGTACCGCCGCCACAGATCAATATCGGCATAGGGGAAGTGATCATGCAGCATCATCTTGATGAAGGTCTCGGTGACATCTCGACCACCCATTTTCAAGTTCACGCGTGAGTTCTCAACGCACATGCCCTCCTCTACGCAGCAGATTGATGTCTTTTCAGCACCAACATCCACCACACAGGCAGAGGTGAAGCCGGCACCGAACGTTGCCGCCAAACTTTCCTGGATGAAGCAAACCCGCGCAAAGGCAAATTCTCGCATCAACATTTCAAGCACCTGGTTGACATATGACTTCTCGTACAGATCAGGAATGACAAATACGCAGGAGTACTGGGGCCAGTCCTTCTTGCTGGCCAGACCCAATTGAGTCTTGATTGCATCTTCAAGGATGAGCGAAATGTCCAAAAACAACATTCTCTTGCTCTGGTAGTCCCTTTCATTGCACCAACCGTGTTTGATAGGCCAATAGAGCTTGTAGCGAGGATTTGAAGAGTCCGGCACCCTTAGCGCAGCTTGTCCGATGATGTACTCTGGCGGAGGATTGGACAGCTCTGTCCAGTCGACACGCAGTGGATCGTTGTGTTCCGAGATAATCTCAGGGTTCGTTCTTCGGTTATAGTTCACGACCATTTCCTTCGAGTTGGGCAGCATTCGACGCTTGTTCTGTCGCATGTGCACCTTGAGGTCTCCTGACATCCGATTGAAATGAGACGACCACTATATCCATATTTAGTTACTAGCAAGTTGCCTGTAGGATACGAAACCTTGAAACATACCTCCTCACCAAAGAGTTTCTCGGCCTCCTCGGGGGTGTCATCGTCTCGCTTCTGCCTTTTTGGTTTAGGTTCCTCTCGGTCTTCGCTTTCGCTAGTCTTCGACTTTCGCGCAATGACCATTGGTACTGTCTTCGGCAAGGCATCACTAGCCAATCCAATGCGCAGGTTCTGGCTGCCAATGTGAATGATAATGACCTTGGAGCCAACAGTCTCCGCCGGTACCTCTTCCGCGTCCTCCATATTGGCATCACCGTCCGCCTCTGCCTCGGCATCGCCACCTTCATTGGATTTAGCCATTGCGAGGGCGCGGTCTTTGTCCTTGGCGGATTTGGTCATTTTCGTCCTTGCCTCCTCATTCTGTAGTCTGAACGCCAGGTACTGGTCGTCTCTCTTGAGGTAGTCACTAAATTAAGGGCATAATAAGCATGGCTATCCTTCCCATAAACGCTTCAGGGTAGCAGAGGTAGATATGACCACTCACGTGTAGTAATTCTTCTGGTTAATAGCTGGGATCTGGGGCCAGCTGGAAAGCTCCATGTTATTATCCGTGCGCTCGAGACCTAATCGTTCAAGGTTAGACAATGATCGGCCCAATCGCATGGCAAATTTCATAACCAATTCATAGGAACGACATACCCTCATCACGAAGGGCCTTGCCCGACTTCTTGCCCACCATGTTGAAGGCGTGTGGGTATTCGTCCGCGCCGGGTCAACGTGGATGCGCTTCGATCTAAAGAGAATGCAATGCAGGCTCTTGGTTTCTGTTTGCGCACGCAGAGCCGTAAGTGACAGTGGTAGGAAGACCGGTGTCAATGGGAAGAGGCCAAAGAAAGCAACGGGGAGCGAGATCCCCATCGACTCCCCGATTGACCGCCCACACGCACAGGCCGATCGCTCCAATGCGGTTGCCACCATCCTTTCAACTCCCCTCACTTCTCTCTCTTCTGCTCTGATTGTACCATAATCATTCCGTCCTTTGATTGACTGTTTCTACGGAGTGACCCTCCTTAATTCACTCCCGACATACCGTTGCGACTCACCCTCGGACCCTGTCATATCCGCGAACCAACCCAGGTGAATTCAACTCAAACCTCGTCACTACACACAACCATGGGAGGGTCATTATCGCGTCTGTGGTCTTTGGTCTGGACCAAAAAGGAGATTCGAATCCTCATCCTGGGTCTCGTACGTACAGCTCGTTCCGATTACTCAATCAGCGCGGCGAGAAATACCCGCGGACAGCGCAGGACCTAAACACTGATTACATTCTTCTCCCAGGATAATGCTGGAAAGACCACTCTTTTGTACAGACTCAAGGTACGACGCCACTCCCAATCGCATACGGCGTTTCAGGCGCGTTGGCAGATTCGATGCTAACAGCTCCTGTCTACAGATCGGCGAAGTCGTTACCACCATTCCTACCATCGGTTTCAACGTCGAGTCAGTCACATATCGGAACCTGAACTTCAATGTTTGGGTACGTCGTGTTGTTATCAGAGGAATATCGTTTGGTAGTCACTGACAACAGTATCTTTAGGATCTCGGTGGCCAAACATCCATTCGCCCCTACTGGCGTTGTTACTACGCCAACACCGCAGCCGTCGTCTTCGTTATCGACTCTACAGATATCGAGCGGCTGGGGACCGCGGCAGATGAACTGTCGGCCATGCTCAATGAGGATGAACTTCGCGATGCGGCTTTGCTGGTGTTTGCTAACAAGCAAGACCAGCCTGGTGCCAAGGGGGCGGGTGAAATCTCCGAGGCATTGAAATTGGGAGAGCTGCGGGACCGGAACTGGAGTATCGTTGCCTGTTCCGCCATTGATGGCAAGGGTATCAATGAGGGCATGGATTGGCTAGTGGTTCGTCTCTCCGAGTATGCTTCTGATTATTATTTACTGACCGTTTCACTTGTAGCAAACCATCCAGTCGGAGAGCGCATGAAGAATATCTATGTCGTACGATAGATTTTGATCTTTGATATACCTTGACCCCCCAGGTTACTCGCGCGACTCGGGGTCATCCTGCTGCATTCGGGGTGCTATGCCGCTTCTTTCTCTTCGGCTCTGCTGAGACCGGCGGAGTCCTTGTCTTATATTGCTACATGGTTAGGGTGTACTTTGCGGGTGTTATGATAATACTGTAATGGACTGCTGTGAGGGTTGACTACTGAAATCGAGATGAAAGTCCTCCTTGGTTTTGTGGGCTCGATGTCTAGCTCCAGATTGCGTAGTATAGGCACCTTTCTATTGGTTTGTTACCCTATTCTTTAGAGATTGACAAATCGTTACTTTCCCTATCTTCTAAGCAATCGAGATAAGCGGGATGCCTTTCACCCCCGCACTTGCGATCCGACGCCAAATCTCCATTATCTAGTGGCTGGTCTCTGATTTTGTTTGACTAGATCTTTCTCTTTCTTACTTTCAGAGCCAATCAAGACATTGAAATCCCAGTTCGTGAATCTAACAAGACAGTATGGCCACTCCGTCCACGCAGATTGCAGCCGTTGTTCCACCTTCATGCTCGTCTGCCACATCTATAGTGGCGATTAGCAGCACCCATCCTGTACCTGAGCCCGGAGATGATGACATCTTGATTAAGCTCGAGTATTCTGGCGTGTGCCATTCCGATCTGCATAGTATAATGGGAGATACGCCGATGAAGACCGACGTGGCTGGTCACGAGGGAGTGGGAACGGTGATTAAAGGCAAGAAAACATTGATTTGAACCATCGATATCAAATTCAAGGTCATTACTAATCTTTCCATCTTTTATAGTTGGATCTGGCATCGATGATAAGCTGTGGATGGGCCAGAGAGTTGGAATCAGGTAAGAGCTAACGGCATCATCTGCATTCGGCTCTGGCGGACTGACGAAAATTCAATTCATTAGATGGCTGTACAGCTCCTGTCTCGAGTGCGAGATATGTGCCATAAATCACACTGCATGTCCCAATCAGAGAAACGCCGGCGCGGTGTGTCATTATCTCCCATTACTTTGCGGAGCATTCTATACTTTATATGGACCCATCTAACCTTTCACTTTTGAGAACTTAGAATGTCCCGGGTACTTTCCAGCGTAAGCTTACTTTTTTTGAGAATGTGGGATCTATTTAATTATTCGTTAATGGCCAAACGTTCCAGAGTACATTGTCAGCCCGGCTATTCATGTCACCAAAATTCCCTCCGAATTGTCTCCTGATACAGCTGCTCCCCTTCTTTGTGGTATGTTTGTGAGAATCTGTCAAAATGTGCTCCCTGTCCGAATCATGAAAGTCGAATGGCTAAGTTTTCACAGCCGGGATCGCTATGTATTCTTCGATCATGAAGACCAGTTCCAGGCCCGGTGACTGGCTTGTTATTGTTGGCGCAGGTGGAGGCCTGGGACATATGTGCGGCCACATCTTTCCAAACCGGGGTTTTGCATCCCTTTGCTAATGTTCAATGTGACTAGGGGCGTACAGATTGCTGTCAAAAAAGGGCTACGGGTTCTTGCAATTGATAAGTATGCTCCCTTGCGGCAGTACTCACATCATTTCCTATAATAGAAGAAAGTTGACACTCTGTAGGGGTGAGAAGAAGAGGCAATTATGCGTCTCTCTCGGTGCTACGGAGTTTTTGGACTTCTCCGAGGTGGATGTTGTAGAGGCTGTCAAGGCGTCTACTTCCGGGCTCGGCGCACACGCTGTTATCTGTACTGCCAACGGTGAACGCGCATATGAGCAAAGTATGCAAATGCTTCGTCCTCTGGGAACCCTGGTTTGTGTTGGAATTCCCAATGTTCCGTTCCGGTTGCCAGCTTCCCCATTCGACATGATTGTCAAAGGTGAAAATCGCACCCGTTTCGGTTCACAGTAGCATTCGAGTATGTTCTGGCGCTGATTCCTTTGAGCTAACAGGGCTGAAAATTGTCGGAAATTCTGCGGGTACTGCGAGGGAAATGGATGAATTGTTGGCAATGGCGGTGGCGGGTGATGTCAAGGCGCACATAGAGTGCTATGAGCTGAGCGATCTTCTTGATGTCTTAGGGCGTCTCGAACGCTCCGAGATCGAAGGACGAGTCGTTCTCAGAATTCCTGAGTGAGCAGTCACGCAAGTCTTGATGGTGTCAAGATCCAAGAGTCATTCATCTTCCGGCAATGCCTATGCCAGGGTTCACTCGGGAAAGTAGGACAATGACCCATCACCAGCATACCTTTCCATGGATATTTAAAGAATGAAAAAAACTACTTCGATAACGAAAATGAAGTTTTCGATCCTAGTCTGAATTTACAGGGATGGGAAGCGTGAGACCAAAAAACGAAATTATAAAAATGGTTCCAGAGGGGGTCGAACCCTCGACTTTGGCGTTATTAGCACCACACTCTAACCAACTGAGTTATGGAACCTTGTTGATGAGGCAATTTTTTGGATATATGAGCTAGAGCCGCAAGGAATCAGTAATTCTGCAATCAACAGCGCGAACAAGCTCATGCATAATTATGCGTGAAGATAGTTGGTCAATGGGCTTCAAGCTTCTGGATATGACTTCGGCTTTATCGAGTGGGTTCGCTGTTTAAATTCAACCGTCTGCCGGGCAACGGAAGGCTGGAAGGCTGAGACTAATCCAAAGTAAATCCTGCAGCCGGAGATATATACCTGCCATTATCCGGGATCTTGGCGGCATTCGAAATCCACTGCCGAACATGAATATAAGACATATGAACATGCCAACTGGAATAATCTGAATATGTAGACATGAGCTCTATTATATTCACACCACCACCCAGAACATTAAATAGAAGAAACCGAGACCAACCTTGGAATTGTAGCCACAAGTCAGTCCCAGGAACCGTCGAAAATGCGTGCAAATGAAAAAGCAGCACCTCCAATCCATACCCGAGCATTTACTCAAATAACTAAATGAGTAGTATACGAAAAATTTGTATGCCAAATAGGCTGCCGAACGCAGGACTCATGGGTCATCGGGAGCCTTTGAGGGGCGATGTCTCCCGTATTTTTTTGAGATGGAAAAAATCGCTCGAAGCCTGGGTTGGCATTAAGAATCGAGAACAACCGTGCTTTGCTGTGCCTAGCCCCCGTATCACATATAACCCGAAATTTCTGCATAAGTGTCATATCTGGGAGGAATTTGGAGCCCCAAAAAAATTGGGTAAGTTAGTGAAAAAAGCAAAAACAAAAAGAAACGTGGTTCCAGAGGGGGTCGAACCCTCGACTTTGGCGTTATTAGCACCACACTCTAACCAACTGAGTTATGGAACCGTTTGGTTCACATTGCCAAATTATGGATTAAGAGGGACTTGAAACCGCAACTACGTCAGCATCTCTCATATATGGCCTTGGCAGCCGCTAGCGTCGTTTTATATTGGACCCCCGTACTATATGGCTCTGACAGCATCTGTAGATTCAATATTCAAAACATGCGCGAAGAATGATTGATCGTAAGAACAAGATAGTGTATCTTGCGTATGATGCATAATCTTCAATTAAATAAATTAAATTCGTGGTTGAGAATTAAGTGACCATTTTGGATCTAGGGCATCATGATGCCCGCCCTATCTAAGCGTGTTCCGATATGATCCACAAAATCCAAATATGACATAACAAACGGGTTCCATAACTCAGTTGGTTAGAGTGTGGTGCTAATAACGCCAAAGTCGAGGGTTCGACCCCCTCTGGAACCATCTTTATCATCAGATATAATCATATCTGATGATCTTTTTTGTTTTGGTTGATCTCCACGGTGTATGAGGTCGAATTTTTGTCTAGTTCAATGGCATTAACCCATGGCCCGCGGCCAAGATTTCTATCATGCTTGATTGGATGAGCTACGGTGTTGTGCTTGCTTCCTAACATGCTGGGACTAATAAATTAGTCCACTCTGGATTTGGTGAGACCGAAATCAGAATCGGCGATAAAGTCTGTGCGATGAACTTGGTGCGAACGGAATAAGAGCTATACTGTCAATCAACTGAAAGTCTTACATCCCCAAGAATCTTCTGACCTATGCCCACACCATGAATAAGGGCTATCGTTGCCATCGCTCGTGCTTTGTTGTCTGATCATATTGAGCACGAGACTTTCCCTTTGGCCGATGAAAGCAGCTCTTTGGATAGCGCACTCAAGAAAATAAAATTTCATTTTCCCCTGGGTCGCGCAGATCTTTCTTGCGCTCCCATGTCGCACTTTACTTGACATTTCGGTCTCCAGCAATGCTAGATTTTGTATACATAATGACCCAGAATAGGTCTCTTCAGGATATCCATCAACAAGCAAATGAGAATCAATACCAAGATCATTGGGAAATTCACAGATTTTAAGGAAGCTCCTGCGCGTTTTCATATTGCACGCTGTATGAAGCATACGACAGGAGAGCGAAAGAGCGGCTGCATCTCTGTTGGAGTCGAGACTGAAGGAAATTCGATTCGCGAGTACAATTGAAGAATGGCAGTCTTAGTCTCTTGATGAGACGATATCGTTTTTGCTATGCTTCAGGAATTTAGATGGAATTGTAAGTCACAGGGTCCTACCGCCGAAGGGTCCAGGAGATGCTAAGTAGTCTCAGGCAATTTGTCGCCTGGAATCGAGTTTGGCGCCTAGAAGCTACCCGATCTCGGGACAACAAGAAAGGTGGTTTCGCTAGAGACGGAGGCATCGCTTAACCCAATGATTGAAGAACCAAGATCAGCAAAAAGCAGATTGACGGGGTAAACTTCACGAGAACCCACGATCCAGGCTCTCCCGGGTAGTTTGAATGCGTGTAAAGAACAAGATAGGCTAGGAGGCTCGCAACGATTACTTGTAAGAAAAGTAGAAAAGTTAGACTGGGTCTTCCTCGTTGATTTTCGTCCACAACTATGGGAAGGGTCGAGCTCCTAGGCATTGTTGTGCGAAAAAAGTTTTCAAAATGTAAAGGGGGAAACAAAAGAATAGAAGCTTGAGAAATGGGGGCTGAAATTTAGCAAAGTTCCCTTCTGCTCGTGCTAGCACTTGAGCTTCGTTCCAAGTCCTGAAACATAGGGAGTTCCTTTGCCTGAGAGAATCGCATTAGTCATCGGCTATCCATCCTCTCGGTAAAAGGCTAGCCTCACGATTAGAGGGAAAATAGATTTTGTGAATAGATCCATTAACCGGAAATAGATATAATAAAGTTACTATTGGAATGATGTCCGCAGTATGGCAACATCATCCATGATTAACTTGAATTGTGAACTCGTGATATGTTTTTAATGTCATAATTGCGAGCAAAGCTCTTGTTGACAAGGAGCTAATATGGCTGTTGGAGAATCAGAACACTTTCTAGCGATAGGGGTTTCAAAATCGTGACATCTCTTGGTTTTCTCTTTCAAATTAGGACATAGTTCTCCAGGGGTCTCTTCTTCCAAATTAGCCTGAAGCTTTTAACATCACACGTTCTCTCTCTTCCACATCAACGCCACGGCCAACAGCTGCGTTACAGAAAATGCCCCAGTCAGCTTCATTTGCGCGCTGTAAGCCATTGCATAGACTTCACGCATGTGGAGTTGAACATCTGAAGGGAAGGTATGATCGCATTGGTTGTTTGCAAAAGAGCGGCCAGCTCCTGAGGTTGCAGACTAGACGACAATCGGCTCTGAATGTAATGGTGGAGAATGGTGGTCGAGGCTGCGACTCTTGCGACACCACCCAAGGATCTTAATTGGATCCCAATGCTGAGAGCAATGTTTTGATCCTTCGGATCCACCACAAGTGATGTCGCCATGTAGAACGCGGACAAAGATAGACCTGTCCCAAGCCCGGCTAAAACTAGGTATCCGAATTTGACCTAGCCAAAGATCTGGCGTAGAAGCAATTTCTGAAAAGGGAAACAGACCGGCGATCTGGCAGGCTATACCAAATAGCGCTATGTAACAAAAAGGAATCTTAGCCCGACCTGACAACAGAGAGCAGGCTATAATGCCGACCTGACAGCTAAGCGCAAACGACAATAGTTTGACGCCGGCGCCGATCGGTGAACTCCCATTCACTGTTTGGAATCGCTGTGGTATCATGATCACACAGACGGTTAAAGGTAGTCCGGTTGTAAAGAATCCTCTAAATAACACTCATTAGCTTGTTCAACTTATTACAAAGTTCTTGAAGCAGAATAGGAATACTCACAGAGCAATACCCATGTAGATGCGATTGTGGGTCAATCGCCATGGAAATACCGGGCTAATTGTTTGGCACTGCCGAGAAATGAACCATTCCCATCCAACAAATGCAAGCCAGAAAACTCCCGAGATCACAAGAAAACTGATGACCAGACAAGAGTCCCACGCATATTGAGAATTTCCTTCCTGAAGAGCAGCGATGATAAACGAACAGGCAGTCAAAATGATGAATTCACCCATCAGGTCTAGCTGACGAAAACAAGACTTGGTATTCTGCCAAATTCGATATGATCTTGACCCGCTAGTTGGCGGTTCAGATCCATGAGGGAAGTGGGATGGAAGAACGAGAAAAATGACAAGCCAAGCAAAAGAACCTGCTGGAAGACTGCCATCATGGTCAGGCTGGGCAAATATGAGGTAGAGTGGTCTTACTTGTACAAGAACACCCATCGCCATTTTCCACTGTTGGAAATGGCACCTCCAAACAAGGGCCCGAGGACAAGGCCAAGTGATATGACACCGCCAGCAATCGTGGTGGTCAGCTTGTATTGCTCAGGGGGAACGATGCGGATGAAAGAGAAGCATGCCAAAGTGTATACACCAGCACCACCAATTCCTTGAAAGGCGCGACTGATGACTCTGCGATACATGGATCTTAAATCTGTCATGATAGGCAGGAAGAATATCAGTCAACTTACAGTTGATTAAGAGTCTGCGCTCCACCACATCCACCTGAGAATGCCGTGAAAACGAACAAGGAACTGAGGAGGGCATTTTAACACCGAAGACGTTGCCCAAATTGGACCAGATGACGATGAAACCTAGAGGTAATATAAATTAGTCGGAGACAAACTGTGTTGAGGCTGAGTCAGACAACCTGTATATGTTAAGAGGTAGGAGGTGATAATCCAGCTGCTTTGTTCAAAGTTTTGAAGGTCATCGACGATGGTTACCAGCGACGTGCTCACAATTGTCGCCTCAATGCCCGTAAGGAAGAGAGCCAATCCGAGACTGAAAACAACTGCGGAATTAACGGACATGGACTACTGCTTGGACTTGATTTGAGGAATGTCTACCCTATCATTCCAAGTTACCGACGAACTCCATACAATGCACCGCTCCACTCAGTAGACGAACTCGATTCAGATTCAACCACGCTCGAACACTTTTCGGCGACGTGCGACATCTTTAAGAAGGAGAAGCTCTGAACTTTTTGATGCCTCAAGGCCCTTAACTGAATGGAAAGAAGAAGAGTGACGATTTGGACGTGCAGAGAGAACTCCGGATATCTTCTACCCACAGGAACCTGGCTGAGCGTATCGGCACCTAAAATACTATTGTGCAATGATGCCAAGCCTTTGATGCTTTTCGTAATCTTTCTTCAAGCCCCATGAAAACTTTTTGACTGACGCTGCAAGGGGAATGAATACGACTCCCCGAACCAGCTACGCGGGCTCACGGTTCCCGTAGACTTGCATGGCAATGACGAGCATCACATGAAGGCAACTTTCCTCAGGCAGATAACATATATAACAAGCCGGTATCTTGCATCTTCGATGCTCTTGGAGCATCTTCGCGCCGAAGATAAGAGCCGGCCAGGATACCGGCCCTCTTAGATTATCGATCACATTTGCCACGTAAACGAACTGCATTATTTATTGGTTAGTACGCCAAAGAACGGGCCTTTCTCCTGCATTGCATAGACATCCCATTAGGGCTGCATGATGCGAGGCTGATAATTATGACCGATCTCGTGACCGTCAGCTACGTGCTGTAGATGAGCCGGGAGTCCTAACACACCCGGAGAGACAGACTGACGTATATTCTTTCCAAATGAGTCGCGTCCTTTCACGCGAGTATGTGAAAAGCAGCAAAAGAGTATAAGAAAGTAGCGTTCGCAGTTGTTGTTACACCGAGAAAGTAAGTTGCTTTTCAGCTCTACTTTTCAGCCACCACACAACGCTTTGACCTCCGGGGATAAGCAGAGTCATCACCTTACAGCCCAAGGAAGAGAGATGCCAAGGGGGTCTAAACACTAGATTACACTCGGCTTTTCAGCAACCCTAGAGGTGTCGTCGCTGCAGACCATCCGCTTATTTTCACTGTATCAATTCTAAACAGCTACTTGAATACCCGTGGAAAGTCAAGCCATGGACGCATGTTTAGTAACATTGAAATAACTACTTGAATTTTTCTGTACGTATTGGAAAATTTGATATAACTATCTCATTCTCCTCAAGTGTTCGCTACTCAAGGTTTTTACGAATATTTAGTCAATGGCGCCGAGGCCGATAGTCTACCTCTGCTCCAACATATATTTCAACTCCTGCGTCATCCTCCGAGACTATAAAAGACGTAGCTTTATTGGTAAAAGTCGGCTATTTGCCTAGGGTCAAAGAACTGTTGAGAATTTGGATTTTGCATTAAAGAGTCCCGCTCTGGTGGTTTTGAATACCTGTTTAAAATGTTATCGGATGTCATGCAACACACTTCAACTCAAATTATAACTTATGAATACCTGCTGCGAATGTGAACAAGCATCACAAAGTGTACCTTCAAACCTGATACCTTCAAGTTGTTGTTGGTGAGATACTAGCTTTATTTTACTGTCTCTACCACGACTTTCGAGCTTGGCGGTGAATTTGGCATTCATGTTGACTGAAAGTAGTCGTCTTATGGTCACGCCTTGGTCCCTTATTAAGTAATGGCATTGCTGAGTGAGAGAATACGGAGATCAAAAGCTAGTCTCTGGTCAATGGCACTTTCAATCTTCGGAAAGTCTAGGCGCTGGCTAAACTTGAAAGACCATTAGACCATCAAACCTTCTCCCCAATCACTCGAACTGAAAATATAGAATCGAGATGATCCAGAAGAGCTAGGCTTGTGAAGACGCAATTCAGACCACATGGAGACACTGCATAGAGGTCTCAATTTTGGGCCTACAGGTCACTCACAAGTTAGTGGTTGTATTTTGGAGTCTTTTGGAAAAGTTGGATGCCCAAATTTCCGCGAAAGAGGATGAATCTCAAAGTAGGGGCAATTCGGTACTGTGATAAGATTGCTAAGGACATACGGTTTAGCACAGATGATCGTGAAAAGTGTAACGTCTCCACTCAGACATGAAATTTCGGGAGTCGCAAGTTATCAACATATAACTTGAGACTCATGATAATCTAATTATGATGTTGGTTGGTTGGCGTACCCCAGGAGTGACTTTAAAAACTTGGCTGCCTGAACACCATACATCAGTTTGAACTTCGAGATAATTAGGTCACGATTTCTTGAAATGTAAAGAAAATTGAAATGGTAATTCGTCGCTGGAAAAAGGACAAAATGCTTTTCTGAGTGCCATGGGAGAGGCTAAATGCCATAGAAGAATGTCTATTGGGATATGGCCTCAAGGCTGCAGGCATTGTCTGGCCTGTCGCTGTAGGCGACCGCATCATGCTCATGGGGCAGTCTTTGTTGTAAACAAGAGAACTTCTGTCTGAAAGTACCAATAAAGAGATCCCAGCCGGCTTACAATTGTCAGACCCGGCTACTTAATCATCCTTGCCCGTTTGCCACGTCGATCTAAACTTACTTCGACTTGCGGAGCAAGTGCAGACATTGGCAGATGATAAAGATTACCCAAAGGTTTTGTGAGTTACTCTGAAGGCGATATGTGCAGCCTCATCCGGCCAGTCAAGGCTCCAACTCCGATGGAAACCTTGACTAACTCGGTCAATGCACAACGTGCCCCCCCCTGGGCTCGTCACCACGTGAATCCTACACGAAGTGCGGGTACAAGCAATCAGCACCCGAAATCATTCGAAAATAGCCGGTTTAAATACCGCGCCGATATCGCTCAGGGTTGAAACACTAATCCTGATGACCTTAGCTATCTATCACACAATATTTGTGACTATGGCTTCAGCCGCACAATGGAGGAGCATGGAGCGTCCGTGAATGGTGACAGCCTTCTTCTCAGTGTCATCGAGTGCCTGACCAATCCATCAAGCCGATCAAGCCAGCACAAAAACTCCTCTGGATATTTTGTTCAGCACAGCCCGGAGACAGGACTGCCAATCCGCGCCACCGAGCGTGGTGCCGTAAGGGAAGTCGGCTACGTAGCCGAGCACCAGCTCACTAGACAGAGCCAGTGCCAACGCATACGGTATAAGAGTCTTGAGGCGATAGAGCTAGCCATGCAATCAACAGACAGCAAGTCAAAGCTCACCGCTCCAAACAGCTCCTGCATCGGGACCGGCACTAGCGCGTACCTGAGCAACCCCGCAAATCCTCTCTGTGGAAAACCCCCGAATTTAGGTGTTACATAAAAGTGGAGATAATCAGACTTCGCTTCGAGTAATATCCGGAAGCTCTTCATCATTGCAGCTAAAGAAATGACCCCGCACTATTGAGCAAGCCTAACCCCACTCATCTTGTTGCTGTCCAGATCGAGAAAGCGGCGGAAGAAGTATTGCAGACTCTAGCCTCATTGACTGACCTGAGAATAAATCACCTTCTGGCGATTGAGACATGAAACCGGTGAAGGGACATGCAGGGCTAGTTCCGGTGTGTTTGAGATACTTGGGGATAGAGAGCATGCCGCCAAGGGAATGCTGGATTTCTAGTGGCGCGCAACGAGCCCGACGGACGATTGTTGGGATAAGAATTTGTTATGAGGGGAACTGTTATTGCCACGCGAGACTTTTAGTGATCAGTGTGCATGGTGAGCTATCTGTGTCTTTTCTTATTCTGCTCCCCTCCGAAGTCGCATATGCTTATCAATTTAGCCACAAACTTTGATTCGATGGAGCTATACCTGGTGGTCTAATTGTTTCAAACCCATCCGTCTTGAGTGTTGTACATGGGTAAATAGGTAAGTATCCCGAGGTAACGTGTCTGTGAATGATCACCAGTCCTAATAAAAGACCCATGACTAATAATGGACACTTAGGATTGATTGTCAGGCCTAGCATGGCGATCAACTTGAACGGGGACTATCGGATGGGCTCGTTGAAGACAGAAAGTCCAAGATCGGCACTAGGGCCACAATTAGTCCCTCATTATAAAACAGAAAAGTACGGAGTGGTCTGTCGGCGAAGTGCAATCTAACGGGCCGATGGCGAGATGGGGCAAAGTGGGGCCCAAAATACTGCTAGGGGAGAGATCCCTTTAAACGTGGGGAAGCTCGACCGTGACGGCGATCGCGGATCTCATTGGCGCCCATGGATTCCGTTAGCCAGAGTTGAGTTATGGGCCTATTGGGGGTCGGAAGTGCCCCCACGGGTCGCAGTGATGGGCGGTGATGGACCCGATGGACTTGAGTTAGTAGGAACTTTCAGGCACATGGCCCGGGAAGACTCTCTCAGTGGCCCGGGCATCGAGACTAGGTAAAGACGAATGAAGTCAAATGCTCTTAAAGTTGACCCGGAGTGCATAGTGCTCGATATGCAATCACGACAGCCCTGTACCGCCTTCTCATTGCGGAGCCCGTGGATGAACTCGGGCTATTGATCTACTTTTGGGACAATCCTTTCTAGGTACCTACGACGCTCGCTGAAAGCTGATTAGCCATGGTAGCCATGTCCCATGTACCTTCCTTCGTACATCCCTCCAATTCCGGGCTTATCGCGGCTCCCCACCCATGTGTCGTCGTGATAGGATCTCGACGATGCTTTGGGTCCGCGATACGGCGCGTGCTATCGTCCTGACTTCGTATATGACTGTCCATGGTCCTGATCCTCTTCTGTCTTCCTAACTCCTTCACTTGTCTCCACACAATGGATTGGCTACATGTCTACATCGCCGGAGCGGCGTTCCTGGTCTTCGCCCTTGTCGGCTTGGTCATGGTCGTTTCGTCTCAGCAATTCAAGGTCGATCTGAACAAAGGCGTTTTCACTTGGCTCAAATACATCTACGCGAATATCCTCAAGCCGCATGAAAAGAGTACCGAGGGCCAACAGGGTGCTCTGGAGAGTTTCTACAAGACACAGGTATGCGAGGGAGATGGAATTGAAGGCCAGACAGAGGTGCTAAGTCGAAGTAGGCAAGCATTTACGATGCTACCCGCCACCGTCTCCTTCATGGTCGCGAAGACATGCTTGGCCTGGTGGCCGCGCAGCTAAAGCACAAGATCGAGAGCAAGGAGATCAAGTCAGGAAAGGCAGTCTGGGTTGACGTGAGTTTCCCTGCGGCTGGGTCTATATATCTGACTTCCTTTTTCCACGTTCAATGAATTATACTGACTGAGGATGATAGGTTGGGGGTGGCACTGGGTATGCAATATGATCATGCAGTCTGCGAACTTTCTCGGTTCGCTTTGGCTGACTCTGAATAGATATAACATCGAAGCCATGGCCTCTTTCGTTCCCGTCAACACGTTCTTCGATCAGGTTTACTTGGTCGATCTCTCCCCTTCCCTCTGCGAAGTTGCTCGCCAGCGCTTCCAACGTCTTGGATGGAAAAATGTGACCGTTATCTGTCAGGATGCCCGGTCTTTCCGTCTGCCTGAGCGTAACCCCGATCCCAAGTCCCTGGCCGGTACCGCAACCGATCGCGTGGACTTGATCACCATGAGCTACAGCTTGTCTATGATTCCTGGTATGCTAGAGTTCCAAGCCTCGTTCGGAGATTTGACCAAGCTGACTATTTCAAAGACTATTACAGCGTTGTGGATTCCTTGACCTCGCGCCTCAAGTCTACTGGTCTGCTCGGCGTTTGCGACTTCTACGTTCAAAGCATCGTCGATGTTTCTACTCGCAACTATACTGGTGGTGCTTTCAATCGCCACGTCAATTGGCTTGGTCGGGTATTCTGGCGCGCTTGGTTCGACTTTGACCGGGTCAGCCTGGAGGCTGCTCGACGTGACTATCTCGAGTACAAGTTTGGAACTGTCATTTCTGCTAGCGACCGCAACTACTTGCTCGGTGGTATTCCTTACTACATCTTTGTCGGTTGTCCCAAGGAATTCGCTTCTACCCCCTCGGGCCAGAACACCATTGAGAAGCTGGATGCCTCATTCACAGAATCTCCCTATCTTCTCCCCGCCAACCACCATAAGGAGATGGAAAAGGCGGTCGAGAAGAGCTCCAAGGAGATCCGCTCTAAGGCTTACGAATCGGCTGTCATCAACCTGAGTGCCAACCTACCCCTGCCTTCCTCTTTCTACCAGAACCACCACTACCGTATCCACTACAACGACATGCTGCCTAAGCACACTCAGTTCAAAAATGAATACATCTACGCCTTTACCTGGGAAGATCCCCGCGTGGACCACCGCCTCTTGAACATCGGCTCTGATGACGTGATTCTGGCAATCACCAGTGCTGGCGACAACATCCTGGACTACCTTCAGAAGAACCCTCGTCGGGTCCACGCCGTCGACCTCAACCCGAACCAGAATCACCTTCTTGAATTGAAGGTGGCCAGCTACACCGCACTGGGACACCGGGATATGTGGAAAATATTTGGTGACGGCAAGCACGAACAGTTCCGTGAGCTGCTTATTACCAAATTAAGCCCCCATCTGTCCAGCCAAGCCTTCCAGTACTGGCTTGAGCACAGCCACATTTTCACCAAAACTTCGGGCAAGGGCCTGTATGAGACTGGCGGCTCTCGTCATGCCATTCGCATGGTGCGTTATTTGTTCAACATCTTCGGCCTCCAGGGTGAGGTGCAAAAGATGTGCGAGGCCCAGACTCTAGCCGAGCAGCGAGAGATTTGGCCTCGTATCCGAAAGGTCCTTCTGAGCAAGCCTCTCAACTGGGCGATCGTTAGTACCGAGTGGTTTGCCTGGAAGGCGGCTGGTGTCCCACGCAACCAGCGTAACATGATCGTCGATGACTTCTTTATCCGCAACGGTCTGACTCGAGACATGAAGCGCAGCAAAGATATCAGCGGCCAGTCAATCTGGGAATACGTTGTAAACACCATGGACCCCGTTGTCAAGGACACTCTGATCAGCAACGACAACTACTTCTACTACCTGTGCATGCAGGGCAAGTTCTCTCGACGGTTGGTGTGGCCCTTTCTTTTGCAGATGGAATTGCACTAATTGGTTCTTAGATGCCACCCCAGCTATTTGTCTCCCCAAGCCCACGTCAAACTCTCCACCCCGGTGCCTTTGATGGCCTTCGCATTCACACCGACGAGATCAATGAGGTCATCAACCGTATTACCCCCGGTACATTGACTATCGCAGTGGTGAGTTTGGTTTCCATTCGTTGTATCCACGCGGTGCTAACAACTTCGTAGGTCATGGACTCAATGGACTGGTTCGACCCCGCCGAGAACGCCGCCTCAGAACAAGCCCGTCGATTCAACCACGCTCTCAAGAAAGGTGGCCGCGTTCTTCTTCGTTCTGCCAGTATCGAGCCTTGGTACATCAAGCACTTTGAAGAGAATGGCTTTGTAGCACGTCGGGTGGGTGCCCGTTTCCCCGGCACTTGCATCGACCGGTCAGTTCCCCTCCTGCAACCCTCTACTTCCCAGCCGTAGCTTACACAGTCTAGTGTCAACATGTACGCTTCAACTTGGATCTGCACCAAGCAGGAAGATGTCGTCCGCCCCAAGAACGGCCGCACAATGTCTGTCCTATCTCTCGGTGACAGTGCAATCGAAGTGACCAAGCGGTCGAACAGTGTTGAGGATTTGAAGATTTGAGCGTGATACCTGTTTGCCTTTACCTTTGCCTTTGCATTCTAATGATTTTCCTTTTGTTTGATGCCCTTTGTCATTCTTACGGCACATAGTTTACGTGGTGTTGGTGAATACCCGGGATGCCAGTGGAGTTGACACGACCCAAAATGGACTTTTCTTTGAATTGAGACACTTTTGTACTAAACGACAAGCGCAATTCTCATGATACCCACAAAAAAGATTTTTGAGTCATTGTTATTTTCTGTAACTAGATTTCTTGCCTTCTATGAGTATCCTTGATCAATGCTCATCATCATCTTCATCCTACTGCCAGCCAACGTGCTACTTCCCACGCTCCACGTCTCTCTTCACTGCAATTTTAAGAACACCCTTAGTTTTCTTAAGGTAGAGGTCTTTTAGAAGAGCATATCATGTTCGGAATATAGCATTTAAGCAAGACCCGCAATACTAACCCAGTCTGACGGCCTATTTTGGCTCGTTGAAGCTCAAGCTCACCTAAACAATGCCCAAGAAGATATACCGAAGCATCTGAATTGACACTGGCGCTCGCTAAAAGGCCAGATTCTAGTGCTTCGGCATGAGCTCTACAGCGAGTGTCTCTATCTGGGCACGCAATACGATAGTCCGCTTGAGAAAAACGAAGGAAGTTATGACAACTTATTCACAAGGAGATATATCCCTCGGTGGACGCAGGAGATCAAAGATGCGAAAAGGGCTCAGGTCTCTTGAGCTATTGATACAAGGAGAGATCTACAATCTGGCTTTTGACACTGGTCTGTGACTCACCAACAAAGGAACAGACTTTCTTAGCCGCAATTGGGTCAACGCGCCTGAACGTCCTCACGTATGGCAAGGCAACTGTGGTAAAGTGGTTTACTGATATTACTTTGCAACGCAACCGGAGATAGAATCTCCTTAGAACGAAGCGTCATACTCCATAGACTGGAAAAATTGATTTAAGTTGTACTTCCTATAGCATTCCAATTTTCCACATGATGCGCGGGTTACTCGTATTGAATCATTGTAGAAAGTAGATCAAAGAGAAAGAACTTGCGAGAACTTACGTACTCAACAGTCATCTCTTAAGCCTTCTCGTATCCGGGGCTCTCATTGAACGTAGTATAAACCAGCTTTGGTCACATCTGTACCTTTCTGATCAGCAAATGGTAGAGCCAAATGGAGGTCCGAAGCGCTTACAAAAGGAAGACTAGACTGTGAAATCACAAGGTAGGGAGCCACAGCAGTAACCATGACCAGCACTCAAAGCACCCTGGAAATCGATGTTGTGGCATCCATCGCTCGTCCGCCACATGAGGGCCTTGAACTGGTAGGCCCCGGGGCTAGTCTCGTGGAAGCTGAACCAAGCACCAGTCAGTTTCTGCAGGAACCAGAGCATCTCGGTCAACTTCGTAATAGCGACTTACCTAACAGTGCATTCTTGGGAAGTGCACGCGTTGAATCCTCCATAGAGGGTACCCGTGTACGTGGACCCAGTGTTGTAATCCGTAAGATAAATGAGCTGGTAATTACCACCTTTATCCCCTAACTCCTCCAAAATGTTTACATACCAAGACCCCGTAGAATCCCCAAATCCCCTTATATGTCCATATTTAGGCCTTGTGAACAGTGAATGCAATGCAACCCGATAACACTAATCGATCGGAAACCCCCAGTCAACATAAACACAGCTTTCATTTTGTGACTTTGTCGGAATGTCTGAGTGTCACAAATTCCAGTAACAGAATGAGAACTTGAAAGATCTTTTGACACCATTAAACAAGGTGAATAGTCCGTTGGGTTCGATCAAGCACAATCAAGCCACCACTCTAGAAGTAAGACTAGAGCTTAGTGAAGGGGTCGTATTGGCCCTGTAGCTGGAAAAATCTCATTTATCTTTCCCGAAATGCATGACACTAGTGCCGAGTCCCTGCATCCTGTTCTAATTAAGAACCTGCCAAGATCGGTGTATGATGACCGCCAGCGAACTTGCAGAGATTTCGCGATGTGCAGGGTTCCGGTGCATAGACCTAGTCGTACACAATCATTCGTGTTCGTGGTCTTCCTTTGCCGTGCAGGCATATTTTCGCAGGGAGTAATGTTGATATCAGCATTGAAGGCCAGATACTTCGGGGATACGGGTCAGGTACTAAAGGTAAAATATGACTCTCAGTCGGAGCGTAGAACTGTTCGTTGACGGCATTACTATCAGTCAAGTAATTACCCATAGGTCTCTCGGGCATGCAAGGACAGTTTACATGAAAAGGTAATTGGCACATCCCATACGGTGGCTTGCTATAGTTGGTAAATCAAAAAACAGTACACGAGTTCATCATAATTAGACCCGATACCCAATGTATTATCATGCAAAACAAATGGTCATAGAAAAACATCAAGGCCAATCTGACCGGGCCCAAATTTAATCATATCTCACAGGAAAATGAAAAGTCAATCAAGAGCACTCGCATAAAAGTACCATGTCGCCCTCTAGAGTAATACGAATTACAGTGCAATCGTAAATCGCCATGAACACTTCACTTCACCCATGTTCTTTTCCCCGGAACCATATCCATGGCGGCCGCTGAGACACATACACACGTTGAAATTCACAAAGCATCTCTGATTGTAGAGGCCAGAGAGGCCAGATTAAAAAAGGACATCGAAAAGAAGATCATGAGCGGCCATAGCGGGTCTTGCCGAAGGAGAAGGGCACGTAGCGGTACTTGATCATGTGCTGGATTTGGCGGCGCACTAAACACAAGTTAGTGTAAATGTTTTGTTTTGACCTGGGCCTTATCTTCAAAGATAGGGGAACTCGGGATTTACTCACTGGTCAGGACAAACAGGATGAACCAGTAGACCACAAGGACGGGCCAGAAGACGGGGATGTCGAAGATCGAGAACCAACTGCACACGAAGCCAATGGCGATGGCGCGCGTGGCCGCGTGCCAGAATTTGAACTCGGGCAGACGGCGGATGAAGGGCCGGAACTCGTCATCCTGCTTGGTGGGAAGGCTGGGGGAAGCACCGACGTCGCCGTCCTCCAGACCCTCATCCTGGGTGAGAGAGGGGTCGAACTTGGGTGTCAAGAAAGCGAGGAAAAGGTTGAGGAGGTAAATGCCGAGAGTGTAGGCAACTAACAATTGAAAATTAAGTCAGCATTGAGTTCTCGATGTCGTGCGATTGTTGTTTTTTTCCTCATCATCATGATTTGGAGGATGAAACACAATGCTTGTTATACAGGCGCCGAGCTGGGTCGAGACAGGACGTACCGATATACCATCCTTGCGCAAAGACGATGCGCAGGAAGAAGACGAAGAGCAGGACACCACTGCCAACCCAGCGGTAGGTAGTGTAGGGCGTTGAGGCGTCGAGGTATGATTGATATTGCTAAGGCGATTGGTTAGCATGGCATTCTGTAGGGACGTCCCAATCTCCGGACGGAGAATGGCGGCCATGCGCCATCTGGGGCCCCTCATGGAGACGGCAAACACTCACCCGTGTCAATTTAGAAGTGTGCGCTGTCATGGCAGTGAAAGGCGACTGATCGGGCTCGGGGACATCCATGATGGCGGACTGGGGGTTGCGAAGACGAAGAAAAGGGAAATGATGATAAAATGCCCGAAAGTGTCCACGCAGATCGCAGTGACTGAATGCAGGCTGGGAAAACAGGAGCAAAGTGTCCCCCTGGCGCTAGACCAATCAACGCATCGATGGCCTGGGCGCCACAAAAGTCACATGATAAGCCAGGTGGCAGTGCTGCTGAGTCAGGATCCTTCTCCCGGGACTTCTTTAATCCGTTGCTTGTCAATGACGAGCCTCGGCGCGGTTAACTTCGGGCATTGCTCGGTTGCGGGGACTCGGCATCATAGGCCTGGTTCCGTTATCCCCATACTTGCTATCAAAGCTCCTATCCACTCTGAACATTTACAGCCCGCAGTTGTCACTATGTTTGCTCGTCGCTGTGCTCGTCTCGCTACTTCTCGGAACGCTGTTCCTTTGAACAACTACTTGGCTCGCATTCGCCAGTACTCGTCTGGTCCGAGCTATGAGCACATCCTCACATCAACTCCGAAACCCGGTGTCGGTCTCAGTAGGTGGCTCAAAAACATTGTGTTATATGGGCCAGTAGCTGACCCAAATAGTCACCTTGAATCGCCCTAAGGCATTGAACGCTCTATGCAGCCCGCTCTTCACCGAGCTTAACGATGCCCTGAGCAAGTATGACAGCGACAAGAGCATCGGTGCTATCATTATCACAGGCAGCGAGAAGGCCTTTGCTGGTTCGTTCCCTCTCAAATCGAGATACAAATTAGAGATACGCTAACAAAAATCCAGCCGGTGCCGACATCAAGGAGATGGCCCCCTTGAGCTTCGCCGCCGCTTACACCGACAACTTCATCGCGCCGTGGTCCCATCTCGCAAACACAATCCGTAAGCCCGTTATCGCTGCTGTGTCTGGATACGCCCTCGGTGGCGGCTGTGAGCTGGCGCTGATGTGCGACATCTTGTACTGCACATCGAACGCGACTTTCGGTCAACCGGAGATCAAGCTCGGTACCATTCCAGGCGCCGGTGGGTCTCAGCGCCTTACCCGGGCGGTGGGCAAGAGCAAGGCTATGGAGTTGATTCTCACTGGCAAGAACTTCAGCGGCAAGGAGGCTGGTGAGTGGGGTGTTGCGGCACAGGTTGTTGATGGTGGTAAGGAGGAGTTGCTTGAGGTTGCTTTCAAGACAGCCGAGACTATTGCAGGATATAGCCGTGTAGCGGTAGTTGCTGGTAAGGAGGTTGTGAATAAGAGTCAGGAGTTGTCGCTGCGTGAGGGTGTCGAGTACGAGCGACGTTTGTTCCACAGCTTGTTTGGCAGCAAGGATCAGAAGATTGGTGAGTTGATTCAGTGTTTTGCCCTATGAGGTTGAATGAACCGACTGACATGATCACAGGAATGACTGCCTTTGCCGAGAAGAAGAAGCCCGAGTGGTCGAACGAGTAAATCTCGATGATTTTACATAAAACATCGGGTTTAATGCGCGCGGTTTCGACAATATAGTCTAAATGGGATGATAGACTTCAATGTTTAGATTCCTTTACTCAACAATTTTCTTGGCAGTTTTGTAAATTTCTTATCAGACCTTACTTTTTATCTTATATTCTAGAAATTCCCCTCAAAGGCTCCGAGTACCTCTGGGGAGATGACTGACGGTTTTGTGTTTAGAGATATTACCAATGATTCCTCCCGGCCCGGCTGTTCAAGGAAACTTGTCAATTGAAGACAATCTAAATGTGTATTTGAGGTAATATTTTCGTTGAGTATTTACTGCCAACTACGGCCTGCCGCAGTTTCACTGCCCCATGTGTTACCCATCGGCGTATCCATGTCGACGGGGTGCGCATCGCCTGTAGGGGTTCCGGTTTTGTACCGCTCCAATGATCGATTGATTCCGACAATACCCCATGCAAACACAGCCACGTCGCGAATAGTATCCATGAGATTGGATGCATTGGGTCCTTTTGGTCCGCTCGTGTTGGGTTCTTCTGGGAAAGGAGGATATTTGAACTCGTAACCGCTGGACTGTGAGAAGGAGCCGTATCCCGAGGAAGCAGAAGCAGAGGTAGAAGCAGAAGCCGAGGAGTTACTGTCGTCTCTACAAAAGCTTCTCTTTCCTTCGGGGTATACCGACTGGCGGATCGCGTTATCATGAGGATAAGAGGCCGCACCGTAGGAGAAGACAGGTTCCAAAGCCCACGGCGCAGCGAACAGGCCATTGGCGTAGACCGGTACGGGTCGGGGTGGAACAGCAGCCGCCGGGATTGGAGCTCGAGCTCGTCGGAGAATAACAACCAGACCATCGGATGTACAAGAAACAACAGCTTCCAACTCAATCGGAATCCTTGGGTCCACAGAGGGGGTGATGCCGTATGTAGGGTTCCCATCAATATCTACATCATCGTCCTGTAATGGGTTGCGGAACCAAAATCGCAAATATGCAATCGAGTCGTTACTTTTTGCGCCTTCAAGACAGCGCACTGCATCCCGGAGACAGGCCTCCTGGATACAATAGAAGAAGCTTCGGGAAACAAGCTGGTCTGGGCTCATGCCGAGGATCTCCGACACACCGTTGGTAGCGTACATAATGGTCGCAGTGCGGGTGAATCGATTTACGAACAGAGCAGCGCGCGGCTCATGAAGCGGCTCGGTAAGACGTCGTGAGAACTTGTCCGAAATCCACGTAAGCATGTGGTAGCGGGGATCATGCGGCGAGGAATCGAATAGCTGGCGGACAATGGGAGCATCAAGGGCGCGCTCTGGAGAAAGACCACATGTCAGCAATCTTGAGCCCAGTTTGAGAATGCCAGGTTCGCAACTCACTTTGACTACCCTTTCCACTGCGGTAAACTGTGGTACTTGCGATCAACACATCGTACACCACGGTGAAGACACATTCGCATCCAACCCACGAGCCATCCTTGTGCCGAATTGAGCAGTAATTGAGCACTGCCGCCTTATCTAGTCGCACGCCGCGACCGTACACACTCCTGAGCGAAGGGTAATTCCTGTGGATGAAAATAATCCCAGCAGGAGCGATTGATGACCTCGTGTGGCTGGTAGCCAAGCACCACCTGGATGCTATCCGAGGCATAGCGAATGGAGGCGTCGTGCGAGAGGTCTATAGACTTTGGCGTTAGCGATAACTTACGGGGTACCGATCGATCGATCGATCGAGGACGATGGCCCATATGCACGGGACACCCGGCGGACACTGACCGTGGATGGTGATAAAAGTCGTGTCCATGCTGCAGAAGAGTGGGGTGCCAATGTACCACCCCCCCCGAAAGGATGGAAAATGCGAGTCAGGAGACGTGAAGATATTCGGCAGGCGGAGATTCTGGCCGCCTTCAGGGATTTCCCTGGAATGACGAAAGGGGATGGGGAGGCAAAGTTCGTACTAATTGCGGCTGTGTCGGTGGGAACTGTGGTCCCAAACGGCTGTCATCCGTGGATCTCGGTAGTTCCGCTAGCTTCAGGCACCGGAAGCACTAAATCTACAAGAGGAATCAGAAATGATCAAACACTAAATTATTAAATGTGTGGGCTACTAATGCAAGATATTATTATGTACAGAACAAGCAAAGCGGGCGCAGTCCAGCCGTCATTAACATGAGACACATTGCATCATTGGTATTTCTCCGCGTCAGCCGGATTCTTTCTCTGTACCCGGTAATGATCCACCACCTGGCCTTCGATCGTCTCGTCGAACACATCGACTTCGGCATCAGCAAATTTGCGTGCACTGACCCCGCGCTCGAAGAGCAGATCGAGTTCGGCAAATGACCGACCACTGGGCTCGGGCACGCGGAAATAGGCGTAAATGATGCAGAGAAAGCAGATACCCCCCCCAGAAGAATCCCGTATAGTTGCCCCAGTCCCAGGCACCAGGGTTGAGCATGTAGGGTGTAAGGACGCCGCAGACGATGGCGACAATGTTGTACAGGCAGCGACCGAGGACGACGGTCTTGATTTGAAGCCGACGTGTGGACAGTTCTGCCACTAGGGAATAACTGACGGTGCCGACCGACAGCTGGTAGAACAGTGCCCAAACAAGCATGAGAGAGCCCGTAGCCATAGAGGCCGCGTCTCGGTGTTCAGACGGGACGAGTCCCAGGAAGCCCATGATCAGTAGCATGGCACACAGGCCACACAGTCCCCACAGACATAGAGCGCGACGACCGACACCGAGACTCATGAGAAACCACGCTCCGAAAGTACCCAGCATGTTAATGCCGTACTGGCCCATGGCGAACGCGTAGGCATTAGACGAAGAGAGACCAGCCTGCTCCAAAAAATATGTCGAGTAGTTGGAAAAGGAGTTTCCGCTCAGGTTCTGAATCGCCCAGACCATGCAGACAATCTCGGTTCGGCGCAAGTCAGTGCCTTTGAAACAGTCGAAATAGCTTGCGCCCTTGGTGATCTTAGCCTCCAACGCAGTGGTATGGACCATCATGGAGATCGTCTCGTCAGCATCGAAGTCAGTTTCGCGATTCTTGCTGGTGAGGCGTTCCAAGGCCTTCTTTGCGTCCGAGGTCCGTCCTTTGCGAACCAGCCACCAAGGAGATTCTGGAGCAAGAGCAATTCCAATAAAGAGAGGCAGAGGCCACATCCACTGGAGTCCGTAGGGAATTCTGTAGGCCCACTGGTCCTCTCGGTTCAGCATGCCCATGATCACACCAATTCCAATGAGCTGGCCAAGACCCCAGCAGAAGTTGACATAGGTGGTCAGGTACCCTCGCAGCGCCACGGGGCACACTTCGGAAGCATATGTAATGGTCAATGTCTGGAAAACACCCCAAGGAATGCCGCACAAAATTTCGGCCGCGAGAAGAGACTGGACGTTCGGGGCTGTGAAGAAGATGGCGGTCCAGGCAGTCACGAGTAGCAGACAAGCCATGATGGTATACCGATATCCAAACCGCTCCGAAGCCCATCCGTTGATGAACAGACCAATAATTTCACCGGCGTAGGCACCGTTACTCAGACCTGCTTGCCACTGAATGTAATGTCAGTACGGATGTCTCGCCTCCTGACCGAGCTCTTGACCGATCAGAGCCGCACCAAAAGGGTCTGGAAAAGAATTCAACGAAAAGCATACCTGTGCCGATACTTGATAAGACCCATCCGCCAGCTGTGTACCGTATTTCCTGTTGAATTGGTCGAATGCGTAGAAGTTGTTCACCAGACTGATATCGTAGCCCTCCATGGCAATGCAGGTCGAGATGAGAACACTCCAAGCGACAGCCTTTGGGTACAATTTGATACCCTGAAGCAATGTCATTCTCTGCTCCTTCTCCGTTGCCGCCTTGGCATTCTGAATGACTGTCTTCATAGAGGAGTCGGACGGTCGGCCCTCGGAGGGGTATAAAGGCGGCTGGGGCCCATCCACCGGCGCAATGGCATCGTGCGCCTTGGAGTCAGCCATAATGGCGGGCTCTGTTCACAAAGACACGTGTATATAGGAATTGGAGGAGGACGAGGCGGAGGAAGAAGAAGAAGAAGAAGAAGAAGAAGAAGAAGAAGAAGGGTGGTTGAGCGGACTGAAGGAGATCAAAACCGGAATCGGAGACCTGCGGAGGTTAAAGAAAAAACTATGCGTACCCACAGGCCCGTAGAAACATCGCACGCGAGCTCTCAGGGGGGCCAAGGTTACTGTTTTCCCGAGGGTAAAGAAGGAAGCCAATGGAATCTAGAGCGAGAGACTAGACAGAAAAAGGAATAAAAGAGCAAAGGTTTGCGGGGAAGACGGGTTCGTGCCTCCAAATACAAATTTTCATTGAAGCTTGGGGACGGGAGAGAGGGGGGGGGGGGGGGGGCCCGGGGTAACATTGCCTTGCGCAATCATCCCATTTGGCTCAATCTCATTTCTAGATCTATTTTCCGCCTCAGTGGAGCGTGGATCGAGGGTCGAAATTCAATTCTCATTCGAGATCAATTCTTAGATCTTTTCTTATTCTGGTTGGACGTTATGCATGTCTGACAGGTACTTGTCAAGCCCGAAAATCTTAATTCTCCGACCCTTGCGGCATGCGGCATGTGGCATCCGCCGAGTCTGGCCCGAGATCTCGAACGCCGCTCTGATCTTGATCTTTCGGAGAACCATGTGGCTTTGGAAATTTTTGGGGATGATTTTAGATCTTATTGTGTCCTAGCAAGGGCAGTGTGCTCCTTCATGGTAGAAGTATCGGATCTCGTATCAATCGCTCCATGTCCTCACTCCGAAGGCGAACCGAGATATCTACCCCGTGTTCCGTCCATTTCACTCTCTCCCATTGCAATCGTCAGATTAGGCGAGGGCGCCTCCTTACTAACCAACCTAATATCCAAGTTGGGGATCACTGCGTCGGCATAGCGAATGATCGGATCATCACTGAGCCCGAAATCTATACCGTAGAGGCCCGCTCGTGCCCAAGTCGTCACCAATAAATGCCGTTGTCCCAAGAATGCTTGCCAAATCCGCTGCGGAGGCTTTTCGAACGCGATGCTGTGAAGATGAACACCGAGCGCGGTCGGGTTATTTATCTTATTGATGATCTCCCCAACCTGCTGAGCAACCCTTGGGAGTCGATTCTCCTGGGTTGGAGAAGCTAGCTGAACACCAGTCATTTCTATGTTCATTATGATAACTGTTGAACCAATGAATTTATGTCCCAATTGGAGGGCAGGACGCGTTCCACAGACAAAGTCACAGTGTAGAGGGCCGGTGTCATTCTCCTGGTTTCGTGAGCGAGCAATACAAGACCAGATGTGAGCCAGAATGGCATCATGTCGACTGATCTGGGCGTTTGCGAAACCGCCGTTGGTTGCCTTTTTTGTAGATTGATTCGACTTGGTCGCTTGTCAAATGCACCAATCCATGCGATACGATGTTATTACAATTCAGGATCGGGTGGTCTGTAGTTCGTGAAGAGGGGCTGAGTGTCTCGAGATCAGCACTGCTCTTTGCCGTCACGAACTCGACTCCAGCATCTTGAGAAATCCTATAATGAGCATATACTCGCCCAAATCGACGCGCGTGTGGGGCAAATGCAGATTCCTCTGTTGTTAATTGCGAAGGGTCAAGCGTCGAGATGCTCTTGACGAGACCCCGTCCACTGAGGATAGGCGTTGAGAGCGAGTTGAAGCGAGCGGCGAAACTGGGGAGCTACACCGGAAAGGAGATGATTTCGTCATTGACAAAGCCAGATTGCGCATATTGGTGCAAATTTCGCTGCAGTCGCATCGAGCAAAGAGAGCGCCACTGCCCGCTGAGGCGGCTTTGTGCTCGGGAAAAGCCGTTCAGACTGAAGTCTTACAACGGAGCCCATGATGGTCAATCGACCGTATCTTGCCTGGCATGTCGATGCTACTCCAGTCTAATATCATACTTCCATACACTCTCACTGAAAATATAGCTATCCAACACTGTTTGTGGACAGTTGATGAGTCATGGTGAGTAAATCTTACGCTCTAGCTTTGAACGCCAGAGCACGCACTGTCTTTAGTTGGCAAGAGGCGCGATAGCTACAAGCCTGACATAAATCCGTGGGCCATTGTCCGAAAGCTCGATCTCGTCTCGCATGCCGCTACATCCTCCGATAATTGATTGGCATGAGGATGGCGATCAGTTGGGGCTCGACGGATCCGGGCTGGAGGCACAATGATATCATAGGCCAGGGCCTGAATCAAGTATAAAGGACGCCGCTCAGAAACATTTTCATCCATCATCAGTCCTTCAACTATCTGATATTAAACCAAATTGAATCATTTCGAGTTCTTATTGGTTTTTTAATCTTCGCCATGTCTGAAGAGAACAACAGCAACCAGAGCAACCGTGAGTAGTCTCCAGTCCTCCACATGTTCAAGCTGGCTTACAATCTTCGACAGCTGGCTTCTTTGGAGGTCTCGGTAATGCAGTGGGAAACACTGCAAATGGCGCTACCACCACGATTGGCAACACGCTTGGCGGGTTGGGGAGCGCTGCTGGCGGCGCTGCAGAGGGCATCGGCCAGACTGTGAGCGGTGCTACTCAGGGGCTTGGCGATGCAACCAAGGGTCTTGGACAGACTGTGAACAAGGCCGTGGGCTCAGGGGAGCAGAACAAGTCTTAAAACAATGATCAAATGGGTGATCCAACTTCTGCAATTAGCCATAATCCGTGATGAGGCGCGACAGGAATGTATGTTTGATGACCATTTTGTTTGGTAATGTTATCATTGTTTCCAAAATGATATGTTACCTTTCATGCGGTCCTATCGGCACCGCGACTGAAGGGGGGCAGCGGTATGGTACTCCAACTTCTGTTAAGAATCTATACTCCAATTCGAACACATATTTCCGATTTGAAACAGATAGGATTTTTATCGTAGCACCGGTCGGCGGAAAGTGTATATGTAGGAATGTGAAATGTGAGTTCTAATTCTCAGTGTAATCAGGATATATGAAAAGCAAATTCGCTGTCGACGTGGCTCTTGAGCTCAAAAGATCGACATCAGTCTTCCAATGACAACGCCAGGCAAGTTAGGTCCATTTCGATGAGAAAGAAAAAGAAGAAATCCAAAGATAAAGGAAAGCCCGCTGATAGTATCTCTCGTATATGTGAATAGATCCATATGGATCGGCCCGATAAACCCTGCTGATGTACGAATACAATCCATCAGGAGTCGAGGTAGATGAGTCCATAGAAAATGTGTCGGGTACATGTATGAAAATGAGAGGGAGATTATAGGACATTGACTTAATTCCAGCAACCCCAGAATATCCCTGGATGTGTGCAAGTCAGTGAAGTTGTGGAATCATGACCGGTCGGGGTGGCTGTCGTAGCAGTGGTCGACGGGTCATTGCAGCCGAACCAGCCAACATCGTGGCACGTACTTGTGGATGTTGTCGCTGGGTTGGTGGGTGCCACTGTAGGCGCTGGTGTTATGTGAGGCGCGGTAGCTGTTGGATCATTGCAGCCAAACCAACCCGGGGTCTCGCAGGTCGAGGTCGAGGTCAAGGTCAAGGTCACAGTCGGGGTTGGCGTGGGGGTTGCTGTCGTGGTTGTTGGGTCCTTGCAGCCGAACCATCCTGGTGTTTTGCAAGTAGTGGTTGTTGCAGTACTTGACTCTGTGGTTGTGGTAGAGGTAATGGTTGAAGTGGTCGTAGTACTTTCGTCAAGACAGCCCCACCAACCCGGAGTCTTGCAAGTTGCGGTTCTAGTGAGTGTTGGGGTGGCCGTAGTTGAAGAAGTCGTGGTGGTGATTTCGGAACCATTGCTTCGGAAGAACTTCCAGAGCACACAATCATAACATTCCTCCTCAGGCGCACATGGTGGGACATCATCGTAGGCTTTGATCACATCCGAAATGACATTCTGAATTTTGTGAGTGCCGATGCCCACGCGCCACCCTTTGTCTGCCACGGTATCATAAGTGCACATCTGGCCAGTATGGCATGCAGACTCCATTGCATAGCCACCCCATGTACAGATCGAGTTGATCCCGTTGCAAGTCCCCATATAGACCGGATCGGCAGTATGTCCGAAATGATAGGCACCTGTATGCGCTCGCTGCTGGGGCAAGCGTGGATCATGACCTGGGGGACTCGGAAGACCTAGTCGAGCTGCTGGAAGTGCTTCTGGAACTGCCTCAAAGGTGACAACTGGAAGACCGAAGGTCAATCCAAGCAGGCTAGTCATTGCACCTCCCAATGAGTGTCCTGTCAACCAAACATTTGCGTCCGGGTAAATTTCGGTCACGTTGGAATATAAATCGATGGCTGCTCGATAGTATCTATCCTCATCATTCATTGCCTCAGTGATGCAAGTCAAATTTGCCTTGTAGGTGGCAGTCTGACAATCACATGACTGTCTCCAGAGGTAAGATCCTCCTTGACCACAACAGCAGCCGAAGAACAAATTATCATTCACTTTGTCATTTGTCGTAGTTCCTGCACCATCAAAAAGGGCTGGAGAAGTACCTTTAAGTGAGATGACAATAGTACTGTTGGATTTGTCAGAGTAAATATGGCCTCGGAGTCCATCCCCCTTCCATCCAAAGCTCGTCGAGTAGTTAAACTGTCCGTGGATGGTGTGCCAGTCCTGCGTACCAGGCTCCTCAATATAGTCATTTGCCGTCATCTTGGCAAAAGTCAACACAGTCTCCCTATCCGAAATCTTTGGACCCGGAAGTGTGTCCATGACCCATTCCGCGGGCGACAAGATGGAAGCTTCACCGGACAGCTTTGCAGCTGCCAAGTGCCCTTCAATCACCGACAAACGCCGATCAGCCAGCCGTTGTATCGTGATCGGGTTCGAGGAAGCGACTAGTGATGGATGCACCATCACTGATTCAGTCTCCATCCCATCTTCGGATAGAGCTAAGAGGCGGGTATTGGGTCCGACATCTAATCGGGCATGAAGGTCAGGGTGTTCGTAGGTGCCCCGGTGGAAAATATGGCGAAGAGACTATAGAGGGTAAGTATAGGTACATACAGAGCATAAGACGCCCTCAGCAGGCAACCTACAAACTCGTATGTTTCGGATGGGGTCTCGGACCCTTCCAAGGGTAGCTGTGGCGAGAGTATCGGGGCCTGGGGAGGAGGTAGGTTGTAGTGCCCGTAGACTGCGCGAGGTAGAAGCACAGCAGATAAGAAAAGTTCACAGAGACTCAGTCTCTTCCTTTGATATGCTCGACACCGTTTATTAGCCATGTCGGGCGACGGGTGATGGGCGAGCATACTGGAATCTGAGGACGGATGATGGGCTATCGCGGCTTATCGGTGTGACGCAGTGCGGAGGTGATCTGCACGTGATAAGAGCCCCGTGACGCGCCATCTTTCGTGATTCGCGATCTTCGAATTGGGAACTGCTGACTTCGGCATTTACCTTAGAAACGTCATTTTCTAAGTCTTCTGCCCAGATTGATCACATTTCCTTGAGACCTGTGAGCTGGAAATTGTGAAATCGAGGAGAGCGGGCATTCATCTGGACGAGCCTATCAGCCGGGCCTAGCGGAGCACTTACGACTAGTGCCTTATAGGGCCAATTGTCGCCCCTGCTAAGATGTCTGGCCCCTCCGACAATGGACCTGGGCCTCAACCGCATTCCACTCGGTCGTTCAGCATGGAAAGCTCAGATGCCAGCCCCCCTGGTCTCTACTCAACGAGCGGCAAATGAGCCGGGAAACGAGACGACTACCAAGTCGGCAACTGACCCAGTAAACACTACTACGCAGCACTCGAGCCCTTCCGACGAGAAGAAGCAGAAAAACGACACCGATGTTTTTGAAAAGCGAAGCTCTACAACTTCCGGCGGCACCGGCGATGGACAGGCAGATGAGGGCTTCGTATTGTCGCGGAGCGTGCAAGATCCCTCAGAGGAACTCCCTATCGAGCTGGTGAGCTTGACGGATCGGTAGGTAGCATTTGAATCAGGCATGAATATAAAGCGTCACCTAACACTGCGACTGCCCATAGGTTCATCAACTCCTTGAGTGCCAAAGTTCATAACTCACCTCCTACGATCGATAAAATTTCCTCCCTCTTCCAAGTCTTCTACGACCGCGCCGAATCTCATATTGCCACCCATATATCCGCACTTGCATCTCGTATCAACCGTGAATCAACGCCTCAGGTGCCTCCGAGAGTAAGAGGGAGTGGTCTATCAAGACTGACCAACAAGGGCTCTCAGGATGATCTCCGATCGAGTGGGTTGGGCCGACAGATGCTGACTCCAGATGAGGTAGAGGAAAGACGCAAGGCTCGCAAGGCTCTTGAATACAAGCGCGCTGCGATGGAAGAAGCTGCAGAGCGGAGAGTTTGTGAGCAAGTTTATGATAAAATCTGGAGACATAAGAGCACATTGGATGAAGTTCGCGACGAAAAGCTGCGTTCTAAAACCGCAGCTTTGCTACTTGTGGGAATCGATCTGAAAGATTTGGGTATCGACCTGGATATATCAACAATCTCCGAGGAGAAGCAACAGGAGGCCAACGATTGTCTTGCCCTGGCACGGGAGTGTCTGGAAAAGATGAGTGATCAGAAATACCCCCTTGGCAAGCTTCAACAATTAGCAGCTGCTCACAAAGCTATTGTTGATGCTCTTACAAAACTGCTGCCTTCTTCGTCTTCCGCGGACGAGATTTTACCCACATTGATTTATTGTCTTGTCACATGCCCTCCTGAGGGTATCAATATTGTCAGCAACTTGACTTTCATCCAGCGGTTCAGATCATCGAATAAGATTGACGGCGAAACAGCGTACTGTTTGACTAATCTTGAGGCTGCTATCAGCTTTTTGGAGAATGTTGAGCTGTCTAGCTTACGAGCGGACGAGCTTCAAGAGGGCCCTGCAAAGACCCCTAGTGAGGCTGCCACGCCGTCCTCCGAGCGAGTCGACCCTTTTCGACCGACCAAAGATCACACAACTTCGTCAATCACGATTGTATCTGCAGAACCTGAAATTTCACAGCCCGAGGTCAAAGAGCCAGCTGTTTCCACATTACCTCGCCCTCGACCCTCTGTAACACCGCAGCAGAGACGCTTGAGTAACCTATTTCAACCTCCGGTAAAGGTCTTTGAAGCTGCCAACGATGCGGTCCGCAGTACCGCGGACCAAAGCTTCAAAAACATCGGCGCGTCGCTTGATAATAGCTTCAATTTCCTATTTGGTCGCCTCAAGGAACTGCAAACCACCCAAGGGCCCAACGCACAAGGAAATGGCACATTGCTTCCTAAGACGCTGGCTGAAGCTCGCCGTCTGGTAGCAAACCCGCCAGCCAACAACCAGATTCTCACACCAGAAGAAATGGCCTCCATAAATGACATCTCTGCCGAGGATGTTGCACAAGGCCGGAGTAGCTCCAGATCTACCCTCACGAGTGGAGGCCCAACACCTCGTGACCGAAGCACCGACAGCGCGAGGACACAGGGCAGCAGCAAAATGTCAGTCGCGACTTCGCTCCGAGACGAACCTGCCCAATCACCGGCTTCTGTCACAACTCCCAACCCGCTGGAGTCAATGCGAAGCTTTGGGAACACACTCAACCCTCTCAACCACATCCCTGGCATGATCAAGAATTTTGGCCGCATTACCCCAGATACCCCCACGGCCAGATCAGTGTCCCCTGCAGCAATGGACCGCCTCAAGACATCGCCTTCTTCATCTGGTGGAGTCAGCGGAGCAGGAAGTTTCCTACCTGCCTATTCAAAAATCGAACCTCCAATTCAACGGTTCCTGGAAACGAAGGATGCAAGTGATCTCCGCGTTGGGGATATAGCTATTTTACTCCAAGATTACAAACGGCTTGCAGCTTCGCTTTACCAGCCGGGGCCAGGTTCTCGATAAATTTCGCATGAATCGTATCATCGCGTTTAAACTTTGTGGGAGATATCGTTGCATTGTGGGCTATTCTTGGCGTCTTCAGCATTTTCTTGGTGCATCTCATACTTTGGATTAGGACTTAGATGACACGGCATGGTCATACGAGCTGTGTGCTTGTACATATTATACATATTGGTAGACTGCATCTTTGAAGACATTAAAGACATTCTCAGTATCCGAGTTTCCGCGGTAGGTGGGATAAAAAAGGGTAGATAAGGGGCATCAGGCATAAACAAACCATGAAATTTCAATCCTGGTCAAATGTAGCATGGAAGTGATGAAATATGCCACGGGAGGCTTAAGCTATGCATCTCGAGTGATACACAGAAATTGGTGGCGTAGAAGTAAAGAAAGGGAATTGTCATCATCCATTCGATCGACCTCGAAGAACCTCGGCACCACCAGTCCGCATTTCGTTCAGCTTCGTCGATAACTCTGCATCTTGTCCCTCGACCTCTTCGTGACGACGCCGCATCTCAGCTTCGAAAACAGCAGCTGTCTGACGACGGGCCCGACGCAATTTCTTCATCTCAATCAGGAGGTGGCTGAATCGGTCGATCAGCTGGTCTCCGCAGTCTTCCCACTCATCGACAGACATGCGTGAAAGGTACGTTTGGCGATTTTCTTCAGTAGACCGTAGAAGCTCGGAAACGGCATCATTGGGAGAGTGTAAATCTGGCACAAAAGGCGGCGCCGGTGGCAGCGAAGGTGATTTGACTGTTGGTGGAGGAGATGGGGTTTTTTCGAAGGGCTCAGCTTGAAGATCGGCAAAGGATTTTTGGTAGAGTATTTCCGGGGATAGTCTGCTTGTAGCTCTCGTTTCGTCGTATGGATGACCGTGTTACGTCTGCCACGTTTGGTGGAGGAGCGTGCGAAAAATGGATTTTGATTCATTTCATCATGGTCGTCGCGCGACAAGTCAGTTAAATTGGTAACGTCGAAAGCACTACTGGAATGCTCGCTTGCTTGTCTGCTGCTGAATTGACTGACGCGAATAGTTTCATCAATACCGGCAGCATCGCTTGCATCGTCATCGCCATGCTCTGACGGTTGAAAAGAGGGGATATTGAGAGGCTGCCTTACTTGAGGCGGCGGCTCGGAGCCATGTCGGGTTGGTGATATATCCAGCCGGTCCAGGAGAGAAGGCTTAGGTGGACTGAAGCGGGTCCTCGGGGTTACGGACATGCTATGAGGAATTTTGATCTTCCTTGCAGCAGTGGAGGGAAGCATATGGCCCAGCTTGCGCGGTTGCGATTCGGGCGAGGGGTTCATAGGAGCCGCTGCTTGGGGATCTGCTGGTGCTGGACCCATAGACTCCGAGAGTGGTTTCCTACTCGCGGACCAAAAGTTCTCCAGGCGTTTGCTCAGCGGTTCTCCTGTGGAACGGTACTTGAGAGATGCCTGCCAGCTGCTGGGCTCTTCAACCTTTTCGCCGACTTCAGTCTTTTCATCATCTCCGTCGTCTCCAATAGAGGAAGTTAATTGACTCTCTGTTTCTTCGTAGTCGGAAGAATTGAAGCCAGCTTTCTTCACGGCTTTGTCACCCAGGCCACCCCCGAACGAGGATCGGGAGTGTCGAGTTGGTCGCGGGAGATAAGATGGTCGTGGCGAGGTATTGTCATCATCGTTTGCATGAAATCTTGAATGCACCTGACCGTCATCAAAGCCGAAAACACTGGTTTCTGCGATGGTCGAATCATCAACTCCCTCGACATCAGTGTCAAACATGTCTCGCTGCGCTTTAGTTCCAGGCGCGCGAGACTCGAGTGGATGCGACACTGGAGGTTTGAATCTCGGGGATGAAGCTCTACCATTCCCATTGGAATCCCTTAAGTGACCCATAGGCATTTCGACTCTAGCTTGCTCGGCCCAAAGATGGCGCTGCGACGGGCCCAGGTCAGCGGGTGTACGAGGCTGCCCGACCTCCTTAGAGTGAACATAGTCACCCACCCCCATGATAGACTGAACAATGGCAATAGGTCTTGTCGAGTCCGTATTTCACCGTGGGAACGAACAGTACAATTGCCTCTCATCAAGTTGGTGAGAAGGTGAGAAATCAGTATGTTTGACTGAGTCCGACGCGAGAGCGAGCGCGTGATCACGTGCATTCATTCGTGCCATAATTGATCTGATCTTTGCTCAACATATTGCTGAATCTGCGATGTGGACAAGGAAAAGTCTAGAGGAAATGAAGTGCAGAGGTTTTAGGATTGCATATAGGGATACATATCAAAAAAAATTGTTAATTCAGTTTGGAAGCATGAACTACCGGGAAGTGTGTTCAATTGCACATTGAGATAAACTATAAACGATGACTATGGGTATCATATTGCATTATTCTCCATCATCCATCAAGTCAGCGGGCGAGAATTCACCCCTAGCGTCAACAGAAGGAGCATCCGGCGAGTTGCTAGACAAGTGAGTGGGCGAAGGAGCATCCACCAAGTCAATGGGAGAGGGAGGCGGAGAGGGAGAAGGAGAAAGTGATGATTCGTGAATATGGAAGTGCTCCAGATTGTATGCAACATCCCTTCCTCGGTCTTTCGCTTTCTCCAAAAACTCCTTCGCCTTCTCTACTTCTGCTTGCTTCTGCTCCATCGCAAGCTTCTGTGCATGCATTGCCCCTGAAGAGCCAGGAGCGCTGGCGTTGGACCGTTCATCGATGTTATCGACCGAGGCCTCGATGAGTGTTGGCAACGAGGACACAATCAAATCCCCAATCCAAAGAGACACCATGCCTCGAAGTTCCAGTAATTGCGGAGAGTCGGCATACGGAGGGGACCCGAGAAGTGCATCCATGCGGGTGGCAATTTGTTGCGCTTGCTCTAGTTCTTTCGCCCTGACAGCTGCAATAATGGCATATCTTTTGGCCGCCTCCCGGCGTTCCATATCACTTTCCGAGTCTTCCGCGTCCGAAGGCTCCTCGACGGACAGGTCACGCTCAAGCACATTTTTCCTTGTTAACTTGCTCTCTTCCTGCGTGACATAAATCCATAGACCAAACATGGCGGGGTAGAAATGCAAAGCAGAGATAGAGTTTGGATGAGGTTTTGAAAAGGGATGATTGAGGATGAGCCTTTCATAATACTCCTTTGCCTCTGCGAATCCTTTTTTGGTAAACGGCAAAGTAGAATTGTGGTCACCAAGAGCATTAGGCGGGCGTTCATCAGCATTCTCCAGAGGTTCTGATTGGCCTTGGCGCAGCAAAATCTCAGCGCCAATTCCCCACCTGCCTTGGGCCCGTATGTCCAAGGGCATTCCTCGAATCCCGTCTCGTAATAAGAGCCCCCATGCTCTTCCAGCTCGAGTATAATCCCCTTGAAGCAAAGACCGATGTAAAACGGCAGTTAATGCAGACAAATGCTGAAGGCGAACGTTGCCTTGAAGTGCCGCGGACTGAGGAGGATAGAGAGGGACATCTAAGTAAGGTAGACTTCGGAGAAGTTGACCTGGCAAATTTCGTCTCGTGAAAATATAGTCCTTCTCGTACCCAGGCGCATGGGGAAAATTACCGCTGGGCAATTCCTGGTTGGAAGAAAGCCCGGCGATTCGATATTGATGGGACTCGTTGGGAGTCAGGATCAGAGGCGGATCGGGAGCTGCCGAGTCCGTCACCGAGGCAGCATCTGTTGTGTCTCCTTCCGTCTCATCGGTCCAATCGTTGCTCTTCTTTCGCTTTCGATCATAGTGTTCAGAGCGAGTACTGACCGGCTGCGCCCATGTCGGCAGTGGCAAAGAAAAATTGGAGGCGGCCAGGCGAGGAGCCATATGCCCATGGAACTCAAGGCGCAAATGCCATGGGGTTTACGGAAGATTCGCGAAGTGAATGACGGAGATTCTTTGAAATCCACTCCTGGTTGACTAAGAACCTTGGAACCTCAGGCCGATTTGCCGAAGACAAAGGAGACAAACAATCACTTATCGATATCGCTCTGTTCGTTCTGTGGATTGACTTCTCCTCTTCACCTCCTTTTCCTCCATTTCCCTTCGTCCTTTGTTTTTCGTTTCCCCTCTGAGCTGCCGATAATATTTGGTAGTCTGCCCTTCACCATCCACCGGGCCTCATCCGCGGATCTCCCCATCGCCCCGGCTCGGCGGGTATCACTGGGTACTTAACTCGAGTGCGGCTCACCCAAGGCGCTTGCCAGACCGTTCGGCATTACCCTGTTTTGTCGCTGGATCTCGTCTCTGAGAGCCTTTGTGGTTTGTATAGTCATCCGTCATTGCTCATCGCCGCCTCAACGCCTCCTTCGTCCCGAGCGAGACACTCCGCAGCTCCACGACACAGCCTGAAACCAATATCATTCAACCTCTGGCCTGCCGATAAAGACAAACATTGCATATACGGTCGATATAATATATTCCTTGTTCAGACATCGCCCACTTGATCACTCTAGTCGGTTCGTTCAGGGTCGTGCGAAACCAGTGCGGTTACGGTCGCTACCAAGCTATTCTGGTCCTTCCTGTGGCAGTGGACGTCTAGTATCTGCCCTGTCTTGACTCTTCCCTTTCAATCGGTTATTATGGGACAGTCCGTCTCTACAGCGCGAGATCCACCCGACACTGGCTATCCAGATTACCCCATATCTTTCTCAGCAGAGCGCAACCCTGATATGAGGAATGAAGACATGAACAACGTACAGGCGACTGAGCAGAACGGAGGTACTGGCTCCACATCGGGAACCGAAATACATCGTGAAAACGACCAAAATATGACAACGGACCAATCGTATGAGCAGTCAGAGGGCTGGCAGCAACCCACACGACCTTCGGGGGATAACTCGAATTCGATGCGGAGTATAGAAGAAGAGAATGCCGCTGAAAATGAGCTTCCAGATCGGGAACTACGCTCGGCTGCTTTGGCCCGTATGGCAAGACGACAATCCACCATGTCAAGATTAGGATCCAGAATTCTCCCCAATTCAGTGATCCGCGGTCTTCTAAATAGCACAGAGGAGACACCCGCAGAGGGCCACGCACACCGTCATGGACAGGTTCCAAGAATACCCGTCAGATCTGAGACGGCTCATAGTACCAGCCGGTTTAGCCCTTTCCATGCACTTGGATCCAGAGGAATCACCCGCCGACGTACCTCTCGAACGCCTTACTTCATTCCTCCTCGTGCGGAGCGTGCGGATACTGATGTTCTTTCAGATGCCGTAACCGACTCAATTGTTGAGTCTACGGCTCAACGGCTGCCAGAGCCCGCGCGGTCATCTTGGCGTCGAAGTGCGCGCCTGCACCGCATGCGCCACTCTCTTCCCGCCCCTATCTCTCAAATGTTCGGCCAGTCGCCGTCCGATTTGGCCTCAGCACATGAAAATCAATCTTACCAACCAGCGAGGCAGTCCTTCGACGATATTTTACCAAGTCCAATGGACACTCGCCTGGACTTTGGTGAACCTCTGACCGAATTGGATTCCGTAGAACCAGGAGTTTCAAATGGTGCGCCGCTATCCTCCAATCAGCCAAACGCTGATTTATTGGGGATGCGCAGGCTTCCTGGTTTAATAAGAGCCCGATCTGCTCGAGCTCTACGGCGAGAGGAACAAACTCCTCTTTCTCGGGTTCTTCAACTCGCTGCAGCCGCCATCGCAGCCCAGCTTTCTGGCACCACTGGCCCTGCTCTGCCGAACATACAAGCCCTTGGGAACGACGGGCTGGAGGGCTCTCTTGAGAACTTCATCCAGAGTTTACAGCACGCCACAACTGCTCAGTCCCAGCCGACAGCGCCTGGTGAAGGATCCACTAACCTGGGGCTCGAAGGACCATCGCCCCCAGTCAACTTCCTAAGGGTCTTCCGTTTTGCCAATTCTGAGTCTCCGCTGGGCCCCAATCTCGTGAATCCGGCTAATTCGTCCAACCCCAATGCCGCCGGTCAAAACTTAGATGGGTCTGATAGCCAAGGCGCCCCATCGAACGGGATGTCTCTTGGTGACTCCCCGGAGGGAGGCGAAGGCCGAACAGTGACATTGGTCGTTGTCGGTGTACGATCGGTTCCATCGAGCAACGGAGGTAGTGGAGGTAATGGAGAACAGGGAGCGCAAGCCGCCGGTGGTCCAGGATTAGATGCTCTTCTTGGACTGCCATTCCTCCCGTCCAATGCTATTCCGCGTCCCGCAGGTGTACCCGGTGATCTATTACAACGACCAGATGGTACTGGTGGAATGAATCCCCCCGCGCCCTGCAGTGCCTACCTTCCATGCACCAAGTGTACCTGAGCTTTTACGGCAACCAGGCTTAAACCCCTCTCGCAGAATGTCTGACGCCGGTCCTCGTCCAGGGTTCGCATCTTTCCCCCCTTCTGCCTTATCTGAGAGTCCACCTGGTCCCCACCCTCCTCCATCCACACCCGCCGAGCACGGCGTATCCGCTGTGTCCTCTGGCACCTCGACTCCTGGCCGTAGGCCTTCCTCTGCGTCGGCCATGTCGCCTAGTGTTCTACCGCATTTGCACGAGGAAACTCCTTTGCAACCCACAGCCGAACCCACAGAGGAGCCGATTCCACCTAGCGCTGCTCGGCAACGCCGACGAAGCGATTCTGAGTATGCCCGTCATCGTGCTCTTGGATCAGGATCGGTGCGCCGCAATGGTATGGTTGAACCTGACCAACCTTCTCCCAGTGGCGGTCGGAGCTGGTTGATTTACGTCGTGGGGACCAATCTGTCCGAGAACCACCCGGCTCTTACAACACCGAGCCTCTTCACTGATGTGAGTGCCTCATTTTCAATGCTTGAGAACAGTGTACTGACTACTGGCCCTAGAACCCCACATATGAGGATATGATTCTGTTATCGTCTTTGTTAGGACCGGCTAAGCCGCCCGTCGCCTCCCAGAACGATGTCAATTCTGCAGGCGGATTGTTCCGTCTTGTCGAATATGCAGGTTCCTTGATCGCAGAATCCGTGGATGGCGCCGGTTCAATCCAGATATCGGATGGAGAGCGTTGTCTCATCTGCTTGAGTGACTATGAAGTCGCCGATGAAGTCCGAGAATTGAACAAGTGCAAACATGTCTTCCACAAAGACTGCATTGACCAGTGGCTTACGACAGGCCGCAACTCCTGCCCACTCTGTCGTGGTCAAGGCGTCGCCGAAACCTCCCATGGTGATAGCGCCTCAGCACCTGAGGCTGCACCCGCTCCTGTTCCTACCCCTGCTGCTGAACCCACTAATGTTTAGCTTTTCCACGTCAAATGATGCGGCTTTGGCCAGCTCGCATTGTGGATGCTTTACCTTTATGGCCGAACTCCTCTCTTATTCAAATCATAGCATTCAGCGTCTGCTTAGAGCCTAACGACATTTTTCATGGATATCCCTTTCGCCTTTCTGTTCGTACTGCGTCGTGTCTTGGGCGCCTTATCTGTTAACTCCATTTTTCACCAACATTGACAGGTTTAGAGGTGACAGGATTCCAATTAACTTTCTACGTTCGCCTCGATTTTTTGTCCGTTGGTCCTTTGCCTTTATTGTTGTTGGTTTCTTTTTACGTGCCTTCACTTGGGACGCGGTTGATTATACCCTTGATTCTTTCTCGGAATTTGGATGGCTTTTGCGTGGTTAGCCCAGTTTGTGTGAAAAAAACCATACTCATCCATAGTTATCTCAACTCTATTGCAATATTCCATAAAATTCAGGATACTGGGAAGTAAGTAGCATTCTATATTGGACACTATGTTCTGCCCCGCCGACCCCTCGATCCCAGTCACGTGCAGGAAAATCTGCCCCGGTGCGGCGTGAAGCTTCGTATCTCAGCTCGGCTTTCTGCTCTTTGGCTGATACAGGTGTGCTTCTGAGGCCCCATCTCGTTCATAATTACTCAATTGATCTATACCGAAGCACCATCTCCACCCTCGGCCAAGCCGCCCAAGACCACTGAAGAACTCTACGACCGAGCGACATTAAGACCGAGAAATTCCTCAGAACCCCATCAAATCTACTCCAAAACTACAGCTCACAACAGAAATGTCCACTCCCATTCGCACAACGGTCCTGATCTCAGGCAACGGCTCCAACCTCCAAGCCGTGATTGACAAAGTAGCCGCGCGGCAACTGAACGCCAACATCGTGCGCGTGCTCTCAAACCGCAAAGACGCCTATGGTCTCGAGCGCGCCCGCAAAGCCAACATTCCCACTCAATACCACAACCTTGTCAAATACAAGAAGCAGCATCCCGCGACGCCCGAGGGTGTCCAGGCCGCGCGCGAGGAGTACGATGCCGAGCTTGCGCGACTGATTCTGGTCGACAAGCCCGAGCTCGTTGTTTGTCTTGGATTTATGCATGTGCTTTCCCCACGGTTCCTGGAGCCGTTGCAGGCGGCCGGTGTTCGCATTATCAACTTGCATCCGGCGTTGCCGGGGGCGTTTAATGGTGTGGTGAGTGTTGCGACTATTCGTCCTGTGTGGGGTCAGTGCTAATATTAGCCTTTCTAGGCTGCGATTGAGCGGGCTCATGCCGCGTGGATGGAAGGCAAAATTGATAAGACGGGTGTAATGATTCATGATGTGATTTCGGAGGTGGATATGGGTAAGCCCATTCTAGTGCGGGAGATTCCTTTCCAAAAGGGACAAGATGAAGACCTCGCGGCGTTTGAGAAGCGAGTGCATGAAATGGAATGGGGCACCGTCATTGAGGGAGTGGATATGGTGCTCAAGGAGCTGGCTGCGAAGAAGCAATGATCGAGTTCTACATCTTCACCTTTTCACATCCATGGAGACACTGGAGGCCATTGAGGGGCTCTCACACATCGACTGTTGACGATTTAATGACGATATTATCATGTATGAAGTTATAGAGACCAAGTCTGCACAAATCCAGGGTCTCTTTCGCCGCCTGTACTTCAAAGACTCTGCAATGCTTCTACAGGAGCTTGGGCCTTACTAGATCGAGGAGATGATCAATTACAAGGTGCGTCCGCACAAGTCCTGGGCCACAATGCACAGCCAATCACGCAGCCCAGGGAGAAAGCACTGGAGGACGTGGAAATGAACTAGGACGACAATGGAGCAATTGAGCTCAGGTGGGTGAAAAGGCCAGAACCGGACCGGCAGAGGAAAGGAATCTCAAGACTGCATAAGCCTCAATCTACGAAGAAAGTTAGAGATCAAAATGGCTTCCGGTGCCACAGACACCGCCAATCCAGATGATCTAATCTCCACCATTGCACAGGTGGCGCAGGGAAAGGTTCACTGGGATCGCTGGAGGCGTACAGGGATGTGAAATTGCATCCACTCTCGTCACATGTCCTTAGGTTGAATTTCAATGGCCCGAGGCAAATCACCCGGAGCCAAACTAAAACCCTCTTTGAAAAAGAAAAAAAAAAGAAAAAGAAGAAAAGAAAACGGCCTCACACTGGCAGATCCTTATCCAGGTCCTACAGTAGTCCCTGAAAATTTAGCCGGGCCGCCTAACCAGGATCAACAGGCTTCACCCCCCTAGAATCACCGCCGAATCGGCCCCAACTTTGAGATATTGACAGATCCCAGGCCTTTGGACCCCACCGGGGAGAAAAGGACTTGGTCCCGGCGCCCCTGATGAAAGTCTCAAATAGTTCTATACGCTGGCGTCCTGGGTGTCACGTCCCAAAAGACCGGCGCCAACTCTATGTTGAGATGATATAGGCAGTCATATCCGACGGTGGCCGTTGATCGGCCGATCTCTAGCTAGCGACCTTTCCCATCAGGCTTTTGTCGGTGTGAAAATTCCCTCCAATAGCGTGGACTTTCTTTCTGTGGCTTTGCTTCTGTGAGCTTTGAGCTCGTGGATGCCCAGGTGGTTTCGCGGTCCTCTTCGAATGTCGCGCGCCGTCTCAAAAGATGCCAGACCTCGAGGTCTTTGATGAGCCTCGTAAAAATCAATAGAAGTGCACTAACGAGTCACTTCTGCAAGAGCTGAGCCTAATTTGGTGCCAGTTCGATACCAGATTATTACCAGGTAATCTAGTGACAGGGTCAAGACTGAAAAGACGGGATAGTCGCAACTCAGATGAGACCATCAAGTCCCCGTGTATTTCTAGATATAGCGAAATCGTGATCTTAGTCCTTGAATCACTCAAGCTAAAGGCGCCATGCTCGTCACGAGGTCTGTCAGATATCTTGAGCTTGCCCAAGGTTTGCAAATATATGGTGTGCTTCATCTGGCCCCGCTGAGAACTATGGAGGCCTCAGCCCTTTCTTCGACCACGTTGAGATAGCTTAATTAGGAGAGTATTGAGACCATGGAATGGAAAACTCAGCCTCGGCCTCAGCCTCGGAAGCTGCAGCTGGATATGATCTGATGTGATATTTGGGGCAAGAAAGTCCGAGATCATCACTTAGACTGCGATCAACGGATGCTGACTGGAAATTCACGGTATTACCGAATCAGGCGAGGCTTGCGAGCCAAAGTACGGAACGCCCAGCGCGAGGCATGATTTGCCTTCTGGTGCTTGGTAATTGATTATGAGGCCAAGTCTGCTGCTCATAATGCGCTAGGGATGTTTGCATACGTGGAGCCGGGCTTCCCCAAGCTCTGGTTCAGCTATGACCATTGGCAGAGGGGAGATGAGATCTGAGACGGAGATATTTCCCAGACAGGCCCAGTGCAGACCGATGTAGAGCTAGTCCAGACATAGACTGGAAGCAGCAGGGGGCCACACGAACGGCATGGTAGGTGTGGAACCCACGGGCCATGGTCAAGGAGCACGTCCTCTAGCGTTTGAGCCGGCGCCTTTGTTCACCCACATCGCGAATCATTCGAAGGCCGGGCGCGCATGGGCCGTGATGGGGATACGGATACGTGATTAGGGCTTGAAGCATACGAATAGGAGGGCGTTCCGCGGAAAGATCTACCATTGTCCACACTGTCCATCTCCTGTAATTTCTGGATCCGTGGTCAAGACGGAGTGCGCAGCTTCATCAAATGGATTGAGACTGACGGAGTCGATCCACCGCTGGCTTCTCTAGCGTATTTTCGATCTTCTCCACCTTTTTTTATTCGCACCTGTCAAACTCCCGTCGATCAGGTACATGGACGGGTATAAAACTTTTCCAAGTCCAGCTGGGAGAGGCTGAAATAATGCAGCCATCCGCCCCATAAACTTAAGGTCCCTAGTGCATGTACAGGAAAGAGGATCTCGTCAAGAGCCCACATCTTGCCAAGCCAAGGTTCATGATTTATGAGTATGGCTATGTGAGCTACTTGATTAACACTTAGTCACCCGGGGTCCACTCTAAGACCCGATCTCCGTCATGAGCAAAGCGTTTTCGGCATTTCCCAGAGGCGCCGGCCCTTTGGAGGTTTTAGATTTGCCGACTGGCTAGCGGAGGGTTCCGTTGGACCCTCCCTGACAGTTATGTAGGGCTTCGCCTTCACACTACCCGACATCTGGATATCATCCAAGGATAGTCTCGCTCTCTCTCTCTCTCGGCGGGGCAGTCGCAGCAAAATTCACTTTTGGTCGGCTTCCGGAGCTTCCTGAAGTTCTCAAGGACCCATCGATTGAAGAAGATGGGTCCCACGAGCCTTTCCATGAGGCTGTAGGGTAGGGAGTGCGGGCTGGGACATATCAAAGGCCAAACTGGTATCATGTTGATCATGTTGGAAGGGGATTTGAAGTATGATAAAATGCACGGGGCTCATCAAACACAGATCTTCTTATATCAAGTTCACCGAAGTTTCAAGGCTGGAGATCAAAAGATAAAAATATACAAGTCGATCGGTGGGGAAAGGGGGCTCATTGATCCAGCGCAAGAGTGCTACATCAGGGGATTGGTGATGCTACCTTGCGGATTGCCCAGATCCTACAGTAAGCCCATGGCTCCGATTCACATCTCTTGTGCTGTGACTCTTGAATCTTCCCTATGGATTCGGAGTCTCGTAGACCCGTACGCTCGTATTGAGGGTCGATCCGGATCGCTGCACTGGAATTGGGCCAAAACTACCATTCAAAGGGCTTTAATCTCCGCCCCTGCCTCCAATAGTTTGGGTCGAACTTCACCCCACCCCCTACTAACATACTCTACTCTTTTCAAGCTTCTAGTCTATTCTGCCTCTTCCTTTTTCTTCTCCTTCTTTTTCCTTTCTTTCTTTCTTTGGACTTTCTCTTCCTGTAGTCCAATGCAAGTCCGGTGACTTGCTTACTTTCATGGGGACTTGGAGCACAACGGGCTGATCCATCATGGCCCAGTCATATCACCAGCCCCAGACAGCCCTAGCGGGCTTCCTGAATTCAATGCAGCAGGACTCGAGCATGTCCGCATACTCCCTCTTCGGCCCTTCCCAGTATCCGGAAAGTGTTGCGTTCTGGCATGATCCCTCCCCAGCGCCAGCCCTAGCCATCTCCGCCGCGTTATTTCCGTCTAAGCAGCCCGCGCTGCTCCAACCCATTCCGGATGCAAAGAAACACAAGCGTACTCGAAGCGGCTGCTTCACCTGTCGTGCTCGCCGAATCAAATGCGATGAAGGACGTCCCCTGTGCGAGCGTTGCCGGAAAGGAAATCGGGATTGTGTCTATCCCTCGCCCGCAGCTCCCTCAAAGGGCACACGCGCTGGTGGTAAATCGCGCGGTACCCGACCTCCATCCCAGGGGAGTGACTCTTCTGGTAGATTTGAGCATGACGAAGTGAGCCCCTTGGAGCCCATCATTGACGAGGAGGAACCCGATAATGTCGGATTTGGGTCGCAGCTGTCGCCGTCGAGCGGTGTTAGCCCTTCGCGGCCTGATCTGCACAGAAAACAAAGCGGCCAGTCTTTGCAAAGACCCAGCATGAAGCAGATGTTGGATGCTGGTACATACGCCGGGGATGCGAGCAGCTCCCCATCAACTGAAGAATCACGCTTTGAGTCGAGGAGCGTTCGGTCGCTGAGCATCAGCCACTCTATCAACGAACTTGTCAGCACGTCCCGGCTCTCAGATGATATGCGTTTCTACTTGAATTTCCATCAAGATTTCATCTCCCATGAACATTTCTTTCTCAGATCGGGCAGCGACCACTTCGTGCATCACAGCATCGTCGAACTTGCCCTGGGATATGAGCCTTTACTGTACGCCCTGGTGGGCTTCTCGGCCTATCACCACACTCTACAAGTCCCGGGAGGAAAGCTCTATACATTTCTCAAATATTATAATAAAGCCCTTGTTCTTTTGCGGAAATCACTGGGCTCTGGCGAGGAACATACCGAGGCAACGTTGTGCACAGTTCTAATGTTGACAACATTTGAGGTAAGATCAATGACATTTCTTAGCGCGGCGGAGTGACTTGGAAGAGTATCTGATGTTGAAATTCTACAGGAATACATCGGCGACTGGGTGAACCTCATCGACCATCACTCAGCAGCGCACGCGCTGATGCGAGAATTGCTGACCCCGGAGACTTCCAACTTGATCGAACTTCATACGAATATCTTCCTCTGGTATGCGCGTTTCGACGTGGTAGCAGGCATTTTGGCCGGCACAGAAGCAATCCTGAGCCGCGATTGGTACATGGTGAAGGAGCAATATGACGAGGAGCAAGCCGCTCTCTACCCGGACGACCCGCAGAAGCAGCTCGTGCTTGTTGCTTCGATCAACCGACGCTTCGGCCTTGATATGGCTTCATTATACGCAAAACTTGCACGTGGCATGATCCCTATGGACGAATTCGCTGAGCAGAACAATAAGCTGGGGCAAACTTTGGAAAGGGCGAAAGACATCCTGAGACAGTTTGATGAATCCGAAGATACCGTGTACTCCTACATGAACAAGAAACCCCTCACGGAAGACGATATCGTTGACCCTTATATGCCTGGCGCTATACACCAGGGTCCGCTGTGGGATGCTAATTACGCTTGGATCGATCTTCTCTCCACCGATACAATGTTCAAGTACCAAACCATGCTCACTTTGCGGAAGCCGCTTCTTCCGGAACTGGCCCAGCTGGCATTTGACCAATGTCGCTTGATTGAGACTATTGACCGCTGGCCAGATAGAGGGAATGGGCACTGCATCGGATTTAAAAACAGCATCGGCATGGCGTCCATGTTCCTTCCCAAAGACGAGAAACACCTAATGTGGTCCCGGCGTAAGATGGCGATGATGGAACAAAATGGGTGAGTACACTATAGCCAACAGCCAGGTTTTTTTTCTTTTTTTGGATCTTCAATAGTAATTTTTCTGTCTCGAAGATACATCATCGCCCCTCGATTCCGCGACGCCCTTGCCGCCATCTGGCAACTCCCCGAAGTCCATCACTGGTGGCTTCCCAACGACGAAGGCTACACGGACATTATTCGCGAGATCCGCTCCATGTCAGAAGAACGGATGAACCAGCCTCGCGATAAGCACCGCGAGAACGTGCGGGATATGAAAGGGCTATTTGGGAAGTTGAGCGTCGACGATCAAGAGGATGATCAAAGCCCAGGGAGCAATCACGGCACCATTTCTTGAACACTATCGCTCTGATGCCCTGGCCATACAGTAATTCAGAGTTGGATTAACGGCACAGCTCACCACAAGTGAACCTTCCAATCGACGGACCATTGATCCCGTGGACTAGCACACCATAACCCCCGCGCACTCGAGCACAGCTATACCTCCAATAACCCATTGAACCCGAGTGCGCAGTCCTCACCCCATGGACTTCTTCAAACTCCAATTACCCCATGAATTGCACGTACACTCCAGTCTCAGGACGAATCTCGACCACACGCAGATGCCATACCGTGTTATTATCCGTCCTCTCGCAAGGCATCAAACCCCGTTCCTACACTTTCATCTGCCCCAATTTCTAATCCTTCTATCCCCATTGACCCCACGGCCCTCTTGGTCATGACTTTATGTATACATCCATTATACCCTTTACTTCGAAATATCCCACCTATCAATCGAACCGCTTGGGGCTTTCTATCCTGTTGAATACCCATACACCCCAAGCTCAACATATAAACCCAAAGACACTCAAGACGCCAGACTCAATAGTATATAGAGACATTCTCGAATCGTGAAATGATCATTTACGCCGAAACCGCAAGATAGCATATCCGTGCGTATGGAATTAAGGCCATTTTCGGGGCATATATGCAACTATACATCAGCACCCTTTATGTCTTTCTCAGGGTTACACCCCGGCTTCCACGGTACTCCCCCCAGCCCTAACAACAGTCTCAAACCCACCGGCCAACTCTCCGGCCCCAAATACTTCCCCATTCACATCCTCACCCCAAGGCAGTGCATCCACATCGACTTCCCACCCAAGTAAACATCTAAGAATCACCCCGGCGCCAGCCTTACTCATAACCTGGTTCATCTCCTTGCACCGCTCATCGCAAACACACTCCACACACCCCTGCGGCGAAAGACACACGCAGGCCTCAATTCGCGCCACAGCACGGCGCAAAAGCAACCCGATAAACTCGAACGCCTTACTCGCGATCCCAGAACCACATGCCCCACCCTTCGCATCGTAAAAGGTCAACCTCGCAGGTCGTTGCCTTTTAGGTGGCTGTACTGTCCGCTCCATCTCTTCCTTTGACATTGACGCGTCATTAGCACGACGGAGTCCGCGACCGAGTTCCTTCTTGGCCACTTTACATTCTGTGCGGACATCACCCGGCGATGATATCACGAACGATGGCAAAAGAGATAAGACAGCGTGCTCGGCAGCATGGATAGCAGCGGCGATATTAAGATGGTGGGATTCCAGTATTTTAATGGCGCGACCGGGCACATCAAGCCACATGCCCTTTGTCAGGAGGTCGATGGGTGGGTTATCGACGGCGACAGCATCGAGGACACGGCCGCGCTTGTCGATTTTGAAAAATCCGTAGACAACGGCGTGGATTTGGATGGCGCCGAAGAATGCACGACATGCGTCTTCGCCGGGGCCGACTAGGCGCATGGCTTCTGTCTCTAGGGGGTCGATATCGGTGTAGTCGCGTTGCATTGTGTTCCAGTCCACGTGGACACGGATGACGCGGGCCATGTATTGGGATGTGTTTAGTTCTCGGACGAGATATTTTTGTCCTTGGTGAAGGAAGATGCCGCCTTCGTAGATGGTGAAGAAGGCGCGCGAGGCTTCCACTTCTTCGAGGACGACGTTGCGGCCGTTGGTGATATCAATCACGGCGAAGTGTTGGTCTTCCGTGTCGCGGATTGAGACACAGCGGGAGGGTTGGGGACGGAAGCGGTCGTGGCAGTGGTAGAAGCCCATGCTATCTTTGATGAGGCGGGTTGCTGCGAGGGCGAACAGTTGCTCAGTGAAGTAGATGTGGTCTTCATCGGGGCAGATCGGTGCTTCGAATGCTGCGCATTGGACGTGGCCTTCTAGGATGAGCTCGTTGGCTAGGTCGATTTGTAGCTCGCAATTTGGTTTGGTGAATATCTCGTCTGGGTTCTTCATGTAGTGCTGGTCTGTTGGGTACCTGTCCCCAATCAAGACCGACAAAGAGTCTTTGTTGCGGCGTCCAGCTCGGCCGCTTTGTTGGCGCAGATTGGAGATCGAGTAGGGGAATCCCATAGTGATGACAGCATCCAGAGATCCAATATCAACACCAAGTTCCAAGGCACTTGTCGCGACGATTCCCATTAGCTTCCCTTCAAACATCTCTTTCTCTATCCGACGCCGATCTTGGGGACTGTATCCACCACGGTATCCCATTACCATTTTGCCAACTTCTGGCCGTTCTAAAGCATTGAACTCATTTCGTACAGCCTGAAGGAGGACCTCGCATAGCGTTCTGATCCTGCAGAAAGCAATCACTCTTACTCCTCGTAGAAGTAATTGGCAAAACAAACGTGCGGTCTCCGAGACACTGTCCGCACGCCCAGAAGTCGGGTCTGCAGGGTCTTTGAAGGGTGTGTTCCAGCAGATGAATTCCTTGCGACCTGATGGGGATCCATCAAAATCAATGAGCTTTACATCAGAGATTCCAAAGATGGCCTTCATATGATCCTCTGGGTTTGCAACTGTGGCTGAGCAGGATATGAACTTGACATGCCTGTTGCCTACTGCAGCACAAATCCTGCGGAGTCTTCGCATGACAAAGGCAACGTGAGAGCCGAATAGGCCATTGTAAACATGCAGCTCATCAACGACCACGAATTTCAAGTTCTTCAGAAATGTGCGCCAGGCACTTTCCTGTGGCAAAATTGTGATGTGAAGCATGTCTGGGTTGGTGAATATGATTCGCGCCTCATCTCGAATGAGGTTCCGGCTTCCCATGGGCGTGTCCCCGTCAAAGGTTTCGACCATTGTGTGCTGCAAACCATCCATGTACTGTAGCAATTCCGTCATGCTACGCCTCTGGTCTTGGGCCAGGGCTTTGGTGGGGAAAATGTACATTCCTCTGCTTTCATGATCTTTCTCCAGCTCGTGAAGCATCGGGACTTGATAGATTAATGACTTGCCGGAACTAGTCGAAGTCGAAACAATCACATTATGGCCATCGTACAAATGATTAATCGCTTCCGCTTGGTGTGAATAAAGTTTAGTGATGCCTCTTGTGTTGTAAAGAGCATTGACGAGATCCTGGGATAGCTGGAACGACAAATCGCCATAAATGGGAGCTTGAGCATCGAATACCCGATGTCCGTCAGGTACGATCTGGGCATGATACCAATCCATTTCCCGAATCTCCGCAATGATTTCAGCAATGGATTTGCGTTCCTTGGGAATCGTCGCCGGTGCCTTCACGACAGCCGGTGTGCTCGTCCCACTTCCGGGGGGCGTAGGCAAAAGTATGTCCTTTTCCTGTTCCAGAATCAACACTGGGTCGATGGCTTGGTCCTCACACCGGATCAGGAATGCGTCTATGGCATCCGAGAATTTGTTGTTGCGCTTCTCAATCAAATTCAACATCTGCTTTTGACTATAGACCGGCATTTTCAAGTCTTCATTCTTCATGCGGCGCACAGGTCTAGATGGCTCTCCAGTTTTAGGATTCTGTACCTCTCGCTTGAGGTCTCCATCAACAAATTCGAGTAGTAGGACATCCTTCCTGTATGCTGAGCGATCGCTCGAATGTGCCTGCAACTCAGCGGCCGATGTTGACAGGCTATCTCCCTTATGCAAACCATACTCAAGTGTTTCTCTGTCTCCAACCGTCATGACCTCTAAGCTCGCTTCGTCCACATATTCGAATCGCACTGCTCGTGGGACTAGGACTTTCACCCTTGCCACATCTTCAACAGTGAGTTCACGCCCTTGTCCCAACTGAGCCTGGACAGCTTTCTTGATGTTGTCAAAGGTCGTTGCAAAGTGTTTTCGCGTGCAACAAAAGGTATACACGAGGTTCAGAGCTCGGTGAATATGCGCCAGTCGTTTCAACTCGTCTGGCCACGGGCCGGATGGAGTTCGCTTTTTTGGCGCCTTAGGACAATCTTCCGCTCCTGCCGATTTCTTTCTCGGCCCTGACTTTGTCTTCTTGCTCCTAGGTAACTCCGATGCCTTGTCATCGGGTGTATCGAGCTCGGGGACGTTTGCGGTCGCGAGGGCAGGGTCTAGAGGAGACGCGTTCGAGGACGGGGTCGTGGCAGAGGCAGCAGTTGAGGGATGGCCTTCATGCGTCTGTTTTCGCTTCAATGTGTTTGCAGCTGTGGCTGAAGATGAATCTGCCATCTCGATGCCCCATCACAGGTTTCCATTTGGCGTTGTGACTCCGATGATGTCGCCAGTTGGAAGCAGGAAACGCGAAGTCACGTGTATCCATATAACCCCGTTAGGAAAGTCATACAACTCGGCTGGCAATTTGTTATAGACGTGAAGTTGGGAAACTGAAATTAGTTGCAGCTTGATTGAGATCTTCTTCTTCTTGCGTACTGGTAAGAGTCGTGCATATATGAGTCTCAAAGAAAGAGAATGGCAGTATGGCCATCACCGAAAGGGCGATTTCGATGCCTTGAATGGTCACATGTTCTCCATGTTCTGCATGGTCAGTACCATAGATTTGAGAACTATACTCAGAATCATAGAAAAGGAACACGGAAGAGAGAGGGTGGTCCATTAGACTCTTTGTATTATGGCCGTACTAGAAGCACGCGAGAACTTTAAAAGAGGTCTATGAGCATAGCATAAGTAACAGAACCCAACGCCTCTCTAAATGATCTTCTAGAATTTCTCGTTTTCAAGCGCTTTTTTGTTTTTGAATTTACAGTCATACTTAGCTATTGGTTGGCTAGGAATTGTTTCATTGTGCCAATCAAAACTTGGGATTGATTGGATCAAATCAAATGGGTGGTTTGTGGTGCAAATCTTTGCTGGTGAAGTGCCTCTAAACAATTATAGAAAGACACCTATGTTAATGGAAAGTTCAGGTAGGAGAGACTAGACCTGACATTGATGGACGATTGATGGTAAGATGAAGGTAGGACAATCCACATTGTCGTTAGCATTGCTCGTTGCTAGACAGCACGGCGATCGGTTGATACACAGGCATGTTCTTGTGTGGATTACTATGCTTTATGTATCTGAGCGCCATTTAGGGGCGCATTTATTTCTTCGTTCACTGACAGTCTGCTGTACTACAGCCTGACCAGGGACATGCTGCAAAGAGCGCAAATACTTTATTCCGCTAGTCCTTCTACTGCTTCAAGGACATCTCATACATAATATTTTTGGCCTCGTCTGAATGTTTTGTTTCAATCTTCTATTTCTTCGAGCGATAGAGATGACGACTGAAAAGATAAGCTATCGCCACCTTTTCAGTCTCATCTAGATCATCTCACTGGTCAGGCTGTAGGTTCCTTAGCGCCTGTTGTGTTGTTTATTCGCTGCGGGGCCGAGCGGTGAAAGCACGAGTGACGAGGGACTGAGGGCATGTCCTGGCCCGGACATATTCCCCCTTTCGCATCCTCCTCATTGACTTCTTCTCGCTGATCCAGACCGGGTCAGTCTCACGCAGTCTTCGCATTAGATCCATCCAGAAGCCGCGGGCATCAAACATCCCCGCAACACTAGCAATGGGGTCGCCGCGCTCCGACGACGGCGGTGAGCGGCCGGTCCGCAAGCAACTCTCCAAAGCCACGATAGGTTCCACCCCGCAAGATCCGACCAAGGAAAATATCAGTGGTCGCAAGCGGTCTTTCGAAGAGTCTCGCGACGTCGAAGAAACCCATACCGAAGGGGGTCAGGTCAGGAAGAAGCGATCACGAGAGTGTACTCCGAACTCGCCCGAGCAGAAGCAGGCCGGCAGCAGGGACGAAAGTGCTCGTCCTCAGGAAGTAGGCAACCCCATACCCTCTATCTCTAGCACAGTCTCCCTTGAGCTTGAGGAGCAGAAAGGTTTTGCCCACCCTAAGAAGTCTCCCGGTCCCCATCAAGCAAACGAACTCCCTGAAATGCGACGGTCACTAGTGTCCGAAGGTCCCGAGGAGCGCGAACGGCTCTTCGGGCGGCTTTGAATCGAGGGACCATTGCGACAAGCTCCTCAGATACTTTGAGAAATTCTCTGAGGAGTGTGTAGACGGTTTCAACGCTTCGAAGCATGCGCTAAGCTTCGCGGGAAGATAATGGACAAGCGTGAGCAGTCGATTGTCCAGCGCACAGAGATGGCTATGTGGTGAGAGGAATCAGTTGTCTCTGTGAGAAACTGGTCTCGATTCGTGAAATGAAGGTACAGAAGTGTGAGCATGAGCTTCTGCATGAAACCGTCGACGTCAATTTCGAGGGCACCCCCTCACCTGAGCCCTGGGAGACTTCTGGCAGCAAGAAACATTTCTGGGTCCAAAACGGATTGAGACTGGGAGTCTCATAATGAACATGGAGAATGAATTCTTGACGAACATGGTTAACGAAAAGATTTCCCAATTCCAGGATTCACCCGCAACCAAACAAACCCCCACCTCTAACACAACCGCCACAATGCTATCTGACGATCACTCCACCCAAGTTGTCAAAAAGAAGCGGAGCCGGGAACAACTTGATGTGAATTCTTCGATCGATACCGAGGCTGCGGCAGAATCAGCACATCTTTCTGCTCAGGTCGAACCTTCCGAGGAGAAATCGACCGATGCGAAAGAGCCAGAGAAGAAGCGACACCGGGATGGCTCACAGGACCAAGAGACCAAACCCGACAAGGTTAGCTAACATTGCACTCTTCAAGGGTATGTTAGGTCACTGACTTTTGTTCGTCTCAGGGTTTCGCGGGAAGTGCGTTCGCGACTTCCTCACTTGCTGCATTCGCTGGTTCTGACAAGTCTCCCTTCGGCTCAATTGGCGCATCGACACCTTCTGTTTTCAAACCCGCCGACTCGGGGATGTCAAGTTTCGCTTCACCGTCTGGAGGTTCCGGCTTTGGCTCCTTTGGAGGTGGTTTCTCTGGTGTCGGCGGCGGATTCTCAGCAGCAGCGAAGACCGGTGGTCTCACTAGCTTTGCCTCACCCAGTGCCCCTGCCACTTTTGGGGAGACAAAGCCCTCCGCGCTTGGGGAATCCAAGGCCTCAACTCTCGGTGCCGAAGATTCGAAGGCTGAAGATTCGGAAAGCGACAAGGACGACGCCGAGGAGGAAGACAAGAGCACATTTGAGGCCGAGAAGACCGATGAGCGCTTCTACGAACAAACCAGTATGCTATCTCTCCCTTTCGGCTTACTTCCGCATCGGACTCTAATCATTCGAATAGTGGAAACTGGCGAGGAAGAGGAAATTACCTACTTCTCATCCAAGTCCAAGCTATTCCACTTCCTGGACGGCGAGTGGAAAGAGCGCGGTATTGGTACTTTTAAGCTGAACGGCCGCAAAAGCTCGACCGACCCTGAAAAGATATTCTCGCGCATGATCATGCGCGCTGACGGCAACATGCGTGTCATGCTGAACAGCTCTCTCTTCCGTGGCATGAACTACGGAGATTCCAAAAACGAATGCCCGACCACAAAGCAGATTCTCGTGGCCGGTCTCGAAAATGGCCGAACTTTCCCTCTTTTGTTACGCGTAAGTCACCCCTGAGTCGTGAGTCGTTGTCTCCGCAGGTTTTAACCCCCTTCGCAGTTCTCCAGCGTGGAAACAGCCGAGAAGCTCTGGACGGAAATTGGAAAGTGCATCAAGAACCTACCAGGCGACGATGAAGAAGAACACTAGATGATACAATTTTCAATCATATGGAAAACAGTACATTGGAGGGCTCGGAGCATACGGAGTTTACGCATTCACCCCGAGTGAGCGCTTTCTGATCATTAGCGATGACGAATCTCGTCTGTTTGAGTCATCATACTTGATTTCGCAATCCTCCTCTGACTGTAATAATGAGGCTTTAGTCTTGAACGTGCAAACATTCGCTCTGCCAGCAATAGCCCCATGCAATACTCACCAACTCCGGTCCCCTATCCATCTAGTCTTGGTCCCTCGCGACATGATTGCTACAGCTGATGTCGCCACAATCTGCTCACATGGAGAAGCCGTGCGCCTTGGCTTCTACATGCTGGATACTTCCGGACTCCCCATCTCGAAAATGCCCTTCTACAAATGGCCAGATAACCGAAGAAACAAGGACGAAACGTAGCAGTCTGTTCCACAACATCTTCCAGCCATGACATCTATATCCTAAGTACCTTCGGTTTACTCCCGCCTCATTTGTCACAGCTCTTTCCATCAAATTGTTCCTCACGGCCTTTCAACGGCGCGCTGCCTCCATACCCACACCCGCTCACGACAGCGGAGCAAAAGGAGGCACTTAGTCGACCGCAACCATTCCTCGTGCCATCAAGCACGTGTGAACAGACACCGTTCTTAGCTGAGCTGGACAAAAGAGTCTGTGAAGTAATAGTTTCTACTTGCTACAGGTACGTAAGTCGAGAGATTTGATCTTCATATTATGTACGAGCTCGGCAATTTTGTCGCTGCGGCGCCAGAGTGAAAGCACGAGGATGGAAGCTGCTCAACGGGCGCTCGAAACCAATACGAGAGAAAATGATATCACGAATCTTTTCCAAGGACACGGCATGCCTGGGTATTGATCTTCGCACTAACGAGAGACGTAGCCGGGATAGTACCGTTATGAACGGGCTTTTGCCAGGGCAACAATCTCAATCACAGAAGGGTGTTGTTGACCATAAACTGTACATTGATCATTCAACAACGGAAATCAAGGAGAAAATTATGCCACTAGTTTTTAACAGCAACCACAAACAAACGTGGGTAACGAAGCAAAACTCGGCCATCAACAGACACTGGATACGCCCTTTGTAGACGCTTCAGATACTCTCGCAGGAATCCGTCCTTCCTCTGGACCCAAGGGATCCAGATAAGGTCGTAGCCCAGTGCCCTTGACCCACTCAATCACAGCCTCATGGTTTTCAAGAGCGTGATAATAGCTTGTATGGAAGATCTCTACCCGAGAGCTCATTGGCTTGAGTTGATCATAGATCTCCTGCGGCGTCTGGAAAGTATCTCTACCAACCGTCGACAAAGTATCTGCCCACGGTCCGTCCTCCGCAGTCTTGCGCATCAAGTCATGAGAGGGCTCGGAGAGGTTATCTGGAACTTGAAGAGCGACAACGCCGCCTGTTGGTTGCGTGGCCATTAACCTCTTGACGATCTCGAAGCGCTCGTCTTTCTTGAGCCACTGGAACACGGCATTGGAGTAGAACAAGTCGACCGGGCCAGCAGGAGAATAAGACGTCAGGTCTTCCACGGCGAACTCGCGGTGGGGCAGGGTTGCTTTCGCCTTGCGGATCATGTCCGGCGAAGAGTCGATCCCCTTTATTTGAGCGTCTGGGTAGCGGGACTCTCAGGACTGCGGTTGAGTTTCCTGGGCCACAACCTAGGTCGACAATGGTCTTGGGTGATTGAAGCGGGACTCGAGCGAGTAGATCGCGAGCTGGCTGGGTGCGTTCATCTTCGAACTTGAGGTATTGCGCAGCACTCCAGTCGTGCGCGGGAGCTCCCGTAGACATGGCTCTGCAAGTTGATAGTCCTAAGAAGGCCCGTCGAGAGAATTGGAATATGTTCCTGGATGAGGGAATATGGGACATCACGATGTGAGGATCACAAGTGCATGTGGCATTGAAGACGTTGACATTGGGATCGGCTCGGTATTTGAGTCGCGCGTCTAGAGTCGGTTATGCGGGCCCGGGATTCCTTAACGCCGCCAATGTCATCAGTCCATGGATGACAGACTTCCCTCGACCGGCAGATATCCCTTCTGACAATTGCTTGATGGGCAATCTCACAAGGGCCGATATGTCATTACTGCCCAGAGATCGGAAATACACTTGTTCCAACTGGTCATCGGTGAGAATTGAAGCTCAATGAAAGTGCCGATAATCGGAAGTGACCGAAGCATGGAACTCTGACCTCCTGCACCGGAGTCGAGAATGTTCAAATGTATGCGGTTTCATGTCTGCATGCTCTCGAGCTTGCAACTCTAAGACGTAAAGCCATGGGCTATATAAAAAGGCAAATTTCACATTGGAGTCGTCAGAACTATGCGCTGCAAAGACCATCACTGCGGCGAAGGCCATTGAACTCTGACTTTTATGTTTTGTGTACGAGTAAATGCAGAAGGGGTTTCGAACGCCCGGAAGATGGCGACGGTACGAAACTTGACAAAATCCTCTATTTAGGGGCCATCTTGGAAAGGATTCGATGTACTAGTCACAGACCAGACCATTTGGAATTTACCAATGTGAAAATCATCAGGACATCTCGGTGTTGTGTCAGCTGCGAACCTACCGATCAAAGCTACCGGGACCATTTACAATCTTCTCAGTAACGGACTTGCTTGCTGTTTTAGTTCGTGCTCATACATTGATCAGTATGTATACAGGTATCCGTTGCGAGTTGAAACGAGAAATTCTTGAGATAGTGGGCTGGAGTTCGACTCCAACAAATCTGGCCGAGAGACATCCTCGGCACCGGAGAGTACAAAAAACGGCTCGTACTCTAACTAATGAAACAGAGGCATCCAATCGCGATATAGAACATGAACAGAGGGTACACGGCAATGCCCACCCGATTCCGAACAATGCCTGAGCCGCCCAGGATGCTAACACCGGCAGCCAACGACCATGCCACGAGGACAAGGTAAACAGGGATTCTGGCGATTGTAGGAAGACCGAGCGCACTGAGGAGCGCAGCAATAACAAGTGGGAACAGCGTGTAGCCGATAATGCAAACGGACTGGAAGAAGGAGCTAGAAGGGCGGGGATAAATGTTAGTCTAGCAATGTCAAATGCGGATCGAAAGACTGACATTTTGCCACCAAGAAGCTTGATCTGAAGAGTAACAGCCGCCTCTCCGAGCCAGACAATACAGAAGACACCGGAGAAGACCAGCGAGGATTGGTCTCCGTGCGCCATAGACAGGAACAAGCTCAAAACCAGACAGAAGATCAATGGGCCCCTACGCCAATTGTTAGTCCATAGGACGACCTCCATTTCCAAATCGCAAGTACATACCAGAGATCCCAGTCGCGCAATCCCTCGCTCATACCACCCTGCAGGACCACGTCGGCATCCGGCCAGCGACCCACGAGCCCGCGCAGGTTGCGACCAAATCCAGTGGCCTCGCCTCTCTCCGCATCATTGATACCACCTCCTCCGCGCTGCAACATACCGCCCAGCAGATACTTGGGGTACAGCACCTGGCGCATCTTCTCCCACACGGCGATCAGGTCGCGCGACAGGGTCGCCCAGACGGTCTCATCAATAGTGTTTTGCGTCGAGCGGCGGTCCTCACCAGGGATCGAGGAGGTCAGGTAATTACCATAACCGGATCCACGGCTTCTGGAGCTGGAGTCTTCAATGTTGCCTCGTAGAGGGGCTGTGTCGGAGGTGTCGTGCAGGGGGTCGTCGGCTTCGATGTCTATGGGTAGATAAATGGCGTGTTAGCAAGAAGAAGTAGATGCAAGCGCCGGCGTATATTGGAATTGTAGAGAGAACGGACCATGGTCGGCCTCGATCAAGTCATCGTCCAGGAGCGACTCGTCGTCATGCAAGTCGATCTGGTGGCCGTGTTGTACGTTCGCCATGCTTTCGGAACTGTGTTTCTGTTTGTGGACGCGAAATGAAACCGAGTTTACGGCAGGAGCATCGCCTCTTCAGCGAGGAGCAGAGTCACAACACCCAGAATGTTCGAAGGAGGTCGAAGCAGTTGTTGATCAAGCTGTCCCGGAACGGCTAAGGCTAGAGTGGCACTTCGCATTACGTGGGTCACCGCCTACCGTGAAACGGCTGTTTCATATCTCAATGCTCATTGTTTAGATTCCAACACATTTAAGATCTATCAACGGTCATCGATCAAACGATCTTGCGTAATAACATGCAATGCCTAAACAACTCCGGAATTCCCACCATATGGTGCATCCTCTTCGTACACATCGAATTTATACTTGCTGCCTGAATGGTCGCCTCTGAGCTCCTTTTCGCCCTTCCCATACACCTTCTCCCGCAGAGCAAGCGGCTCATTCGATTGGAGCGAAGGCTCTGGATAAAGGCCACGCTTCCTTAACTCGGGAAGTACAAGGTCAATCAAATCCTCAAACGTCCCTGGCGTGGTCACATAGCCAATATTGAGACCATCGAGATCCGCCTCGCGGATCCAGCGCTCCATCTCGTCCGACTTCCAATGGCAACGGGCCCAAGGCCGCCATTGGCGGCCTTTTCAGCGACAATCCGGGGCGTCCACTTTGGGACATCTTTGCTAGTCTTGAGCAAGAAGTCTAGGAGACTAGTCACCTTCCCGGCCTCTAGGGAATCGGCGGCCGTGATCTCTTGTTCCAGTGGGATCTTGGAGATGTCAATCCCGTCCATCCACTGAATAAATCCAGACCACCAATCACAGATGCGTATCTCTTGAGCTCCTCGTACTTTTCCCACGCTTCCTCGTCGGTTCTACCCACGATGGGGGTGAACGTGCCGAAGAACTTGATCGACTGTGGGTCACGACCAAGCTCTGCAGCGTGCTTGCGAATGCTCTGGATTTTGGGTCGCAGAACCTCGTGAGAATGAGAGGAGACGAAAATGGCTTCTGCAATGGGTTGATGCAAAGGCTGATCCTGCTGGAGATGTTCCTGCATGGAACAGGAACGGTGTTCGTTGGGGCGAAGGGTCGACGATGTGGCGTGTGTTCAGGACTAGAACTCTCCCTTGTGGTTCATCTGACGGACCTTTTCTGGATCCATGTACGAGTCGGCATCGGGGTTGGGGAAGAGCGCGTCGGACGCCCAAGAGCCTTCCCAGAGCCTATTTACGTATGTTCAGTAGAGTTTATACACCGGCAATTCGGACACCGACTTGTAGAGCACGCGTAGATACTCATCGGCTTGACGGTATCGCTGGTCATGCTCGACGGGAGTGTCTAGGCCGATGTCTTTGAAGGCTGCCTTCTTGTACGAAGTCACAATGTTCCAGCCCACACGGCCGTTGGTCAAGTGGTCTAATGTAGAGAATCGTTTTGCGAGCAGGAAAGGTTGTTCAAACGAAGTCGATGCGGTGATGCCAAATGCAAGATTCTTGGGCAGCCATTGCGCTGATGGGCTTTCCGCGCGTCAGTATCGTGTCAATTAAAAGAGACCATGATACACTTACGATGGTTGGATCTGTCACGGGCCATTGTGCTGTCCGTCGAATACACTCATCAAGCTTGCCTTCGTAGGTGTCATGGCCACCTGTCGTGTCTGCCAGAAACAACGCATTGATGTCTCCTCGCTCAAGTAGTTCCGCAAGATTAATCCAGTATTCGAGATTCCGCTTCGTCACTGACTTATCTTTGGGGTTCTAAGCCTGTTAGTGCGAATGATCCGGTATGCAAGAGTGTCAACATACCTTCCACTGCCCAGGCGATAAGTGTCCAACGGTGGACATATCGAATGCATTGATCAAGATGTACTTTTTACCGTTAACAAAGCCATTTTGATCACTGGTTGGATGGTTGTCGCCCATTTCTACCGTTCCAATTGCTTTTTTTCTGCGTTCAAGAGCTTCTGGGCTTCCAACTTCATCTCCGGAGTTGATAGCCGCATATGAGAGCTTAAATTTCTAGGGAAAGATGACTCCTCGCACCTAATTTCCTCGGGATGAGCATATCCCATGCGCGTCTTGCGCCTTCAAGTCTGACAAGGCATTCGGCAAACCACCGAGAATTATCGATCGTTGCGAGTCTTCCTCACTGGGGGCGCATGGTAGTAGCATTCGCAATAAGCCCCACTGAAAGCGCAACATCTCTGCTTACTGCATCATCGTCTGTCAAGGGAAGATTCTCGGCACATTGTCCGTTGAAACCATCTCGGAAGTATGAAGTGAGGGGAAAGATGGATATATCCATCCCATCATACTTGTTGAGATGGCGTGACCGCACCCCTGTCAACAAGACCACCATGTATACAGTGGCACATGATGATGTTTGCCTTATTTGATGAGAGAATACTTACAATCATGTTGAAGGTGGCATGGATATGACATCTTGTCACGGAGACTTCCAAAACCATCGCTGAAGTGTACATCTAGGTATACAACAACCTGGTAACAACGTCGAAGTGACAATGAAACACTCAAAAAGCGTCTGCTGGGTATATACAGGCACACTAATCGTGAATAGTTTTCCCAATTACGGTCTCTCGCTGAGGTCCAGATTCCAAATGACCCAGGTCATCGGCACTGTCAGGGTCAGGCTGTCTGTCGTTTCTGGCTTCGAGTTTCCTAGCAAAAGGTCAGAAATCTTGTTAGTCTTTTCAGACGTGTTTTGAGCGACTTACTCCTGCCGTGAAATAAAATGTTGTACCACATGCGACAAAACAATCAAGCAAATTGCATTGCCAAGAACAAATGAGTACCCTTTCGTAAACCGCGGCCCTTCTACCGTCTTAAACACCAGTAACGGCGTCCAAGCAGTTGTGGACTAGGATACCATATTGACGATGACCAGTGTAACAGCACGCTCTGTCGGGGAAGCACGTAACTGACTATTGGTCCAGCCACAGAGAACACTAGACATGGCAACAGCTGAATAAGTCGTCAAAAAAGCGAACCAAAGCGCTGACTCAGGCACGTTCCAAATGACTAGGATCGTACAACCGATAATATTCCATACATGGGCAGCAGTAATTGCCCATGCAGGACCGAGTAAAAGATCAGACGAAAAGCACACCAGGAATGTGTAAAAAGTTCCAAGACCCAAAGAGGCAGCGGCGAGTTCATTCAATCGGCGGGTCGAGAAGCGATTGAGACTCTTGAGCCATAATTGGTAGCCACCGGTCGTGGTGTTGACACTACCGTTCCAGAAGAAAATGTCCAGCCAGAGTAGTGCCCAGAATTTCCAATTGCGCCCGACTTTGACAACAGTCTGCCACTTAAGTGGTGACTCTTCGACCTTGTGTGAAGCGCGCTGCAAGCGGGACTTGGCGAGCGCAATGTCTTGGTCCTTTAAGATGAATTTGATAGGCTTGTTTGGAGTCCCTGGAAGAATGAAATAGCCCATGAGTGATAACGGCGCAGACAATGTACATCCATCGCCAGCCAGAGAGTCCATTGACAACGTCTAGGCTACTTGAAGAACCTGCTTGGATGAGGCCTGCGGTGAGAGTCCCTAATGTGAGACCGACATAGAACAGTCCGCCTCGGCGGGAGATCTCGTCGCTTCGATACCAGGATCCCGACTTGTTAAGATTATGCATCTCAAGCGCTTGAATAAAGTCATGCCGAAAATGTGATGCAATCCTGGATAGTATGCCGCCTAAATTGTATTGGAGTTCCACTCAAACAAAAGCTAAGAATGAAGGACCTCAAACCATCCAACGAGGAACCGATAGGCTGCTAATTCAGCATATGAGTTTGCTCGGTACTGAATCAGGGTGAAGATGCCCCATGCAATATCCATGAATGGGATGATCCAGTGCATTGGGAGTTTGGTGAAGAGATAAGCGAAGGGTAACTGGCCCACCACAGCGCCAATGGTGTAAATCGTCTGCAGTTGGACAAGCTCATTGCCATGAAGGCCCAGATCTTCCTTGAGACCAGAGACGTAGGCATTGTCTTGGGAAATTGTCAATATTCAACATTGATCTAAGATACCAGACATGTTTACTGATATTTGCCTGGTCGATGTATTTGGTCCAGTAGGCCAAGAAAGCATACGGCACAATCAGCAAGTCAAGTTTGAGGATGAGCTTTCTCTCCTGTTTGGTGTCTTGGTCCGCGAACCATTGCAAATGGTACCAATTCTGTCGTTGCTGGGGGACCGACATGTTCAGTACCTTTTTATCTCCAGCTGAAGAGAGCTCAAGATCGAGAAGTGCAAATACTTCAGGGAGAAGTACTTAATTCATCAAGCATAGCTACTCTCACTTCTACTTTTAAGCAAGCTTAGCTAAGGATGCAAGATGCCACTCTAGACGGCAATTGTGTGACGAGTACCTCGGCGAGGCCCCGAGGTACCTCGAGCACCCGCGGCCAACGCTTGCATGCAGCATAAACCGAGATCATCAAAGCCATTATCTCTCCAGTCTCTTTCCCTGAAATGGAAAGCCTTCGGCCAATAGGGACGTGAAATAGTGGAGCAAAGACGTGCTACGATGTGCTTCCGGCCGCTCTGATCTCATGGGAAAACTCAGGTAAAGACTGGCAGAAATCCAAATCAAAGCGCCGAGTTCCAATAATCTATTACGTCCGTAGAAGGGGGATGGCCCAATGCTCATTCGTACAAATTGCCAATGCAAAACGCCGTCTAACCCATATGCCTAATATACATGTAGTCTATGCAGAATCAGAGACCGCCGAATGGTCTCAACATTGCGCAGCACGTCCGGGGCCGTTGAGCCAAGTTAAGACTTGGTTTCTCCCTGCGGCATGGTAGGCTCCGCTTGATCTTGGCCTCGACCTGCCACCTCGTCGGATTGGGTTGTCGCCTCTTCCTTGGGGAGATCTGCCACCTCTTCGATAAGTTTCTCAATCACCAGAGGCTCCTTAGCAGCCTGTTCTTGCGGCTTCTCTTGGGGCTGCTCGGCCACTTGGTTTTCAGATAGGCGTGATGGATCTTCGGTAACATCGTTTGCCGCCTGCTTTTCAGGCTGCTCTGCCACCTGTTCTTGAGGCGTCTCAGACACCCGCTTCTCAGTCTTGGGCGGGCCTCTCAATTCCAATTGTCGGAGCTTGAACTCATTCCGCTGCTCTACCGTGGGCTTGACAGGCTTTCCGGTAAGTTTCTGAATCGTCGCCTGGTCGGAATACTTCTTCAGCGTATTCGACTCCGATTGGAGAACTTTACGCTCTTCTTTGGTAACGAACAAGGCAAATTCGGTTTTCAACGTCTCATCGGTGATCAGGCGCACCCATGCCATGATCCTGGCACAGTCTTGTCCCGTGGCGAGCTCACCGATATCGGTATCCCAACGACCTTTACGAGCAGCGCCAGACTGCCCGTGCTCCATGGCCTCATGAAGCTTGGCGATATGAGGTCGAAGGGTAGCGAGAGCACGCAGACGTAGCTTGGTTTGCAGCTTCTTGCCAAGGGTTTGCAAAGTGCGAGTATCGCGTCCAGTATCCATGTCTAGCCCTAGAAGGTACATGAGACTGTGTGGGTTGTCGCAGAGCCTTTGGACCAATTCCAGGTAGTTTCCCAGTGAGCGAGGATCAGGGAGAAGACACGATTGATTCATCAAATCGAGAAGCTCGTTCGCGTGCAAGAGAACTTTGCGATTCTTGCGGTCGCGGCGACAGCACGATAGAGCCACATGGAATGCTTTTCCGTTCGCCAGGCCCGCGGGGACCATTTGCTCCCGCATAACACGAGTAGCAGTGTGACTGGACCGCGTGAGACGGAGCAGACGGAAGTACTCCATGTAAGAGAGATTGTCAGGCTCGATACGGGCTGGATTCTCTGGTTTGGTCAAGTAATCCCAGTAGACGGAGCCAGTAGAGGCACCTTGAGTCATTTTGAAACATGCCTCCAAGATCATCGTAAGATCCTTGTTGTTGGGTTGAAGGTAAGAAAGGTTCTCAGAGTCTGGTACTATCGGATCGAAGAGGGAGTCGAAGCTTTCTTCCTCTTCTTCCTCGACGAGTGTCTCTTTCTTGGCCCGTTTCAACAGATTGTTATCCTGATCGACAAATGGAACATCATCTTCCACACTCGAGCCCGATGCTGTCGTGGGTCTTCGTTCGAGCTCTCGCCAGATTCTCCGGTGCGCGATCTTGGGGTTGTTCTCCGGTATTTTTCCGAAGATGGGAATTCCCGTGGTTTGATTATAGAGCGCAAATATGTCATAGAAGTCGCGATCATTGGCACCCTGAAGAAGCAGACTGGCCATGGATCCTACCACATTGTTATCAATAGGCAACGGATTCACCTTGTCCTTTGCCCAGCGGTAGACAACATCAGCCCAGATTCGCTTGCCCTCGGTGACCATTTGAGATTTTCGTGCAATAATTTTCTCAATTTCCGAGCGATCCATTTTTAAGACGTCTTTCTGGGCTGCGAATTGAATAGCCGTCAAAATAGTGCTGTAGGTCACCATGTCGGGTGCCTGTGATCCTTCTTCTGGCAGCTCGCCCGCAATACGCCACAACGTATCCATATCACCGTGTCGCTGACAGACCGAAAGCATCGCGTTGGTATGAATGATGTCGGGCTTGACTGGAGAGTTCTCGGCGAAGATTGAACGATAGACACGAAGCGCATCCTGAACTACGTTTGGCGTGCCCTCCGCGGCTTTCCGGAAGCCCGTCAACATAATCGTGTATGTTCTAGAGTTTGGTGCGCGGCCTCGTTTTTTCATCTATGGGAAAGTTTGTGGTTAGCAATGTCCCATCGCCGACTAACGGTGTCTCGAGGTATGAGATCCACATAGACTCACATCGTTATAAAGCTTGAATGCTGCCTTAGAACATTGGCGGTCCATAAAGTATTGAAGCAAGTTGTTCCACGCGACGCCGCAGCTCATTCCCTCCCTCTGTGCCTGCCTAACCAGCGCGGCCGCTTTCGCCACATCGCCACTTTGCAGAATTCGAGCAACCCGGTCCGCCAGAGCACGAGGATCCGCTAGCCATTTCAACTCCAACTCAAGAGTCTTGCGGGAGGTCGGGTCTTCGCCGTCGATTTTTGAGTTGGAGGCAATCGCCATCAATGAAGCCCTCTCTGCCTTGGAGGCACTTTGGCTCCAAGACATGCCACCATTAGAATTCCTCTGACTCGCAAAGTGTTCTTTGTGGCCTTTCCATGGCTCAGGGCTGGCATTTGTCTCTACCTTCGGCGGAAGGTTGGGGGAGGTCTCTTGTTCATGATCGGCGAGGGTATCTTCGGCGGCTTCGGTGGAGTACGACCGTGACCCGTTCAGAGATAGGTTGCGACTAAGTCCGTATGAACCTGCTTTCGCTAGTCGTTGCTGGATCAATCGGCTTCGCAGAGTTCTGCTCAGGACCGACCCTGGAAGTTGAATAGACATCACCAGACGTCTGGTCGCGATGAAGCGGCGGCGACTTGTTTCGATGAACACACCGTCTAAATTTATCGAACACGCGATTCGAAACCTCTCCGGCGTAGGAACAGATAGGAGAATGAGATGGACGTGAAGATGGTTTCTGGATTCTTGCGGAGTCGCAACAATTTCTCGGAGAAAGGATCGATCTAGTCCTAATCAAGCTAGATCTTCGGACCTCAAGATTCAGGCATAAATATGTGCCTGAGGCTCTAAACACATGGCGCGGCAGCACTAAGCCTCATACAGTTTGGCTCCTACATGGAGCGGGCCGCAAGAAGGTCCACGGAATTGTTGCATTCTTACAGCTCGTAATGACTAGTTCGGCCTCAACTTTGGTACGCCAACGCCGGTTTGAGATCTGCATACGCAGGGGTCATATGCCATCCCTCTGCGAAGTACGCTGAGTTGTTGAATCTATAGCCTCTGTCCACTAATATGATGTTGATACTCCGTCTCAACTTATCATCTGGCGACAGAGCCCGTGGTGGCGAGGAGACGCGCCGCATAATGAGGAAAATGTGCACGGGTATGAAGTAAAGTCCATTGTATCAAAATGAAGACACTCGAAGGATTAATGATAATTTCCAGTGTTGGCACGAGTCAATGAATTTCAAGTCGAGCAGCCCTGCCTAAAAGAGATCAATCAATTGAGGGCCCGAAACTCGCCGATGATGTTGGGACCACACCATTTTCTGGCATCGCGAAGCCTGTCTCGAGTGATCTGGGAATGAAGATAAGTAGATGTAGAAGTTGCAGACGACGAATGAGATGATCGGGCCCACCAATATGACAAGAAATGAAGCGTCCATCTTACCAAGGCTTAACCCGTAGACGCTGACAATGCGAAACGGGATGGATGAGATTATATGAAGGAGATACGGACCGTTACAAGGGATTTCGCTTAAGGACTGAAGAAAACTGACTTAGTACCGAATCCCAAGCTGTGAGGATCATATCAGCGTCATATCGAGATAATTTAGCGACTGAATTAAGCCACGCAATGGTAGATCCTCACGATGCCTTATTGTTGTTGATGTCGAACTCATCGAGGTTCTAGCTTTCACCAAGCGTGTAGATAAGTGCAGCCACGTACACAATCACACTGTATGTGCCAAACACTAAGATGACAAAAGCTCTCCTAAAATGTGAACATTGCCGCATATTGCCTTCATTTCTTTCAAAAACCAAGTGAAATCGGTGATCTTTCCCACAATGAGCACAATCGGAGCCTTCCCCTTCTACTTACTCTTCTTCGTACTCTAACAAGTTGGACCGAAGATCTGGCCTAGGAAATTACTCAATCAATCTGTCACGTATGCATTGCGAATCTATCGTGCTACGGGGCATGGGTTCTCTCGAGTTTGAAACATCGGTCGAGTTTCGTATTTGGGAGCCTGACACCACCCACCTTCCAGTCGGTCTTGATCGCCTGCGCAGGTAACGATGAGAATAGGCGCAGCGTGTACAACAATATTAAGTATATACGTATATACTTATTTGAATGGGATTCAGACTCATAGCTTGTCCCATTAGCCCCTGAAATGGGTCGGGGACGTATGGCGGTGTCATTACATGGCTTCGAAGCCCAACCATGCTACCGCAACTTCCATCATTCGAGACATTTCACCGCTATCTGGTCCACACACCCATTCCAAGTTCATTCCCGCTTGTGCATCAATACTAAAGCATCCAGTATGAGTAGAAACAAAAAGCCCCGAAACGCATGGTAAGATTTCCGGCGCCTCAATAAACGCCAAGACACGTCATCCGATAATTTAGGTGCGCCTCCAAGGGTCCAAGCAGTACCAAATAACGGAAAGCCAACCTAAGCGCGGTTTCAAAAGCGCCGCGGCACTAGACCTCAAACAGTTTGGCTGTTCTGCGAAGGAGCGGGCCGCTAGAGCAGATTTTGAACGCAGGCGTACGGCCCAAAAGTACTAGTTCCCGGCAGCTCAACTTTGGTACGCCAGTGGCGGTTCCAGATCTCCGGTGGTCCGGGTCTTACCTGCATTGCGTATTGCATATTGCAGGCTGCAGCTATCAGGATACGCATACAGGGGGCGAGGAAATATCATAGCTATGCTTCTTATTGAGTGGACGTTTTAGTTGCGGGAGTCTCTTCCATAGACTGTGCAACTCACTATCCTGGGTACTTCGGTATACACCCCCTTCAACAGAGTCTATTCCTGAAAAAGAAAAAACCGCCAACCACAGTCCATACACGAATCCAAATACCATCTCGAACTAATCTCGACACAAAGTTCTTGATCTGCAGGGTCGAGGTACCCCAATCCACGTGGCCTCGCCCAACCAAATCAACTTTAAACGAGATGCTTGCAGGGATCCGCGGCCACCGGCATCTTACCAATACATCCAGATACGAACTATACCTTAGATACAAGCAAATCGCAGGGTAAAAACCACCGTGAGAATCACCAACATAATCTCCCAGCTCATAAAACCTTTCATCTAAAGTAATCCCCACATTGGCTGAGGGCTAAGATTATAGACAAAAAGCCAGAAGAGGAAAAAGGAAAGAAGAGAAAATGAAAATGAAGCAACCTTAAAATTCTGCACGCAAGCTAAGGAAGCATACTAGTGCCATAAACGCTAGTTCGTAAGATTTCAATCCTGGACTTTTGGCGCGCTTAGTTCGGTACGCTACGCGGCTCCGGTTAGCTAGGGCAGAGCCTTGTGGGGGAACTAAATGATCCTGGCGCGCGGGCTGGGCTTAACCTTATTTGATAAATTACATACTAGAGCGAGCTACGGGATTAAAGGGCGGGTAAGGCTCTACATGTGGAAGGTTCATTGGTGTCCCAATAGTGTTAGTCTTAAATGGTGTCTGAGTTATACTGCGAAGGGTTCTTGGTTTCTGATGATGAGATATGAGAGGAATCAGAAAATTTGCACAAGTCGCGGGCACTGCGGTTGTAATCTAGGGGGCTGACTTCGTGTCTACAGGACTTGAGCTCAAGTCTGGTTCAGAATGTCATGCGTTACATGGAGTATAATAGAGAGTATCTCATCTGCGTAAATACAACGAGCAAGACACAGACACAAAGGAAATCAGATAATGCACAGTGGTTTCACCCTGTTGACTGTAGACCCAGCACAGTATAATATACGTAGACATAGAGGAAAGAGATAAGAGACGTATCAGCAGTAAAAAAAAAAAAGAGAAACCCGTAAAGCAAGACTTCCATGCAAGCATAGGAACAAGTGACAGAGAGAAACAGGGACATAAGAGGAAGCCAAAGACAAACCCCTCCAGAGAAAAACAAAGAAAGCGACGATTTTGGGAGGAAATGCCCGCAACAGCACAAAGAAACACATGCAAGAAAGGGAATAAATCCGCCCACCGAACCAAAATTCTTGAACAGCCCTGACAAAGGAGCACAAGCGCAAGCTAAAAGCTGAAACAAAGGATCCTCACCAAAAAGAAGAGACTCTTTGAAAGGATGCACATCTCTAGTACAGGAAGAAAGGAAGAAGGTCGGAAAGCCACTCTTTTGACTGGAACGGGATGGATTAAAGCCGCAAGAGGTTGGTATCATCGAGGGAAAAGACTTGAAGGTGAGAGGGATCCGGATCCGGAAGACATGAGGGTCAAGTCAAGAACATGGGATATCGTGATTAGAAAGAACAGCAAAACCGGTAAAGCAAGGGAAACAAAAGTGAAATCAACAGCAAGGACAGATGCAATTCCCGTGCCACGGCGTAGGAGTCGATTATGTAAATTATTGCGGGTAGCTGGTAGATTGAGTCTCTGGATTTGCCGTAGCGAAGTAGATCAGCCGACCCGTCCTGGGAGAGTTGTGGAGGCGCGTGTTGGACCGTGTTGGACAGAAGGGGAGGGGAAGAATCCAGTTGAGTCGATTCCGGCAGAGAAACAAGACGGCGATGATGGCTGTATTTTACTCACGTTGTTGATACACGGGACCGCTCTGGTAGGGAGAGTGAGGGTAGTTGGGAGGATAGCCCATCTGTCCATTGCTTTGGTAGACCATGCCGCCGCCCGGGGGGGCCATATTGGCCAGGCACCTGTCCATCAGCAGCCTGGTAGCCGATAGGAGGGAGTTGAGGGCGAACACCGCCGGCGTAGGCAGAAGGCTGACCCTGGGAGGGATCGGAGGGACCGGGAGCGTCGACCTGGTTGGTCTGCACCGCCTGGGCAGCAGCACGCTCACGCTCTTCAGCAGCCTTGCGCTGAGCCTCTTCTTCCTTCTTTCGGGCCTTCCATTCCTTGCGGATCTCCTTGAATTCTGAAGTCCAGGTTAGTGAGGGTGGTCGACTTCAAGCAATGGACAGTATGGTGGTGTTGGGCAAGCTAGGGGGCGGAAAGGGATAGGCTAGCAGTTAAGCATGCTTAACCTCCACGCCGGTGAGGCACTACTGCAGCCCCGCGAAATCTAGTGTAACTCACTAGCGCGAAGCTGCCGGCGCTAACCCAATCCAGCCATTTGCGACAGACCAAAGACAATAACTGAAGATCGCGATCAAGTGCAAAAGACAATGCAAACTCACCTTCCGGAGTGCGCTTCGAGCCGTGCGACTGCATTGTCACATGCGCGTTCAAGTGGTTGAGAGTACCATACGCCTTCTCACAACCGTGCCATCCACACTTGTACATGCGCTCGATTTCTTCATAGCGGCGACGAGGGCGCTTGTGTTGTTGAGCACCGGGAATAGGGACAAAGGAGTAGACCTGTTGAGCAGAAAGACGAATCAGCATACCAATCCAGTCAATTGGCCAGATATGTTTTTGTGGTCGTAGGTAACCAGCAAATCTCCATCGCGGAAACGAGAAAGAAATGCGCTGTTTTTGACGTCCCCCTCGGGCGGCTTCTTTCGCAGTGTGCCGGGCCCGATGGCGTCCAAGGACAACGAAAATCACAGAAGCCTCAGGAACCATCAAAAACATACCTGACCGGGGCGCGGCCCTGCGGTCGCGGCAGGGGAGGCAGAACCAACCGTTGTAGCGGGCGAGGCATAGGGGCCAGGCATGTGGTGTTGCTGTCCATAGCTATGCGGCCAGTCCGGGCGCGAATACATCTGATGAGGCGGGGGCGGGTGACCCTGATACTGAGCCATTTCGTGTCCCTGAGGTTGGTAGGGGGAGTAGGGAGGAGGGTAGGTGGGGCTGTTGGCCGGAAGAGAAGGATCTAGGACGGGGTCAGGACGAAAGGAAGGAACCTCGGGCACGGGCGTGGACTGACTTGTTGTTTGAGCCATACCGGCCGGCGCGCCGGGCTGAGAGTTGGGGGCGTAGGGTTGAGGGCGCGGGAGATAGTCCTGGTAGGCGGGCGAGCGAGTGGGCGGAGGGTTCAACCCGTACTCTGGCTGGGGGGTGTTGGAGGACGAAATGTTGGCGGGTCGACCCTCAGGCTGCGTGTACTTGACGTCGGGTGGGGCGTAGTGAGCAGGGGCAGCAGCAGAAGTTTGGTCTGCGGATTGAGGTTCAGAAGGTGCGCCGGTGATGGACGGGTGGTGCGAACCTGACTGTGCGTACTCGGAGGCGGACCGGGCGTCCATAAAAGAATCGAGTCGCGAAGGGAGAGAGACCTGACGCGTCAAATGTGAGTTTCGCTGGTTCGGTAGAGCGGGCGTTTGAAGATGTGCAAGTGCATGCGCAATTTCAGGTCGAAAGGCAAAAAGCAAGATGCAGGTGAAGATCGGGAAAGAAGGGAAATGGGCGGAGAAATTGAGAAGCGGATAGGTATCAAAAGGCCCCTCGCCACGTTGGAGTGATAGATCAGGGAAGAACAAGGGAATTGACGTACTCTCTCCAAAGGTGCAGATCGTGAATGTGGAGATCCAAAAGAAAGGGGATCGACGCGTTTCTGTCAAAGCGCGTTGGGAAGAAGCCCCGATGCTTAAATCTTAGTTCGCTTTTTAGGACGAAGATGCCTTGCAGGTGGCGGCGTAAGCACGAGCACCAGGGGGAGTATAGAAATGGGTTAAAAAAAAGGCGAGAGACTCAAGAGGGGTGCAGTACCCTAAAAGGCCGATTCGGCAAGGCCAAAGGACGACCTCGTGGGATCCGAGGATGCTGTGGACCCGGTGGTATTCACGGTATCACCGGGGTCACGTATTTTATTCAGCGATATGGATATGCTCTCTAATTACTTTAATTCCATTTTGCATTTTTCTTTTCTTTTTATTTTTTTCACCCTATTCATTTGCATTTTCAATTTCCATCTCCCTCGGACCTTTCCCGTTTCTACACCATACTCCGGTTTGGCCCCCTTTCCATAGCACCCGCCCCTCTCCGGCTAAGTGGTGTCATGTTCCTATGATGAAAAGGGAACAGAACTTAGGAGAAGGGGAAAAAAAAAAGCGGATCCCCCCTGGAAACTGTAAGAAAAAAAAAATATAAAAAAATTAAAGTGGCGACATAATTATGATTCAACCTCCCTCCTTTTCCAATTCATGACAGTTTCCACAATCAACCCGAATGGCCATGAACAGATGGTGAACGTCAAGATATAGAGATGTAGTCTAGTAGTGGTTGCTCTAGTGGCTAGCTCCGAGCTGGAAGACTAGTCTACCCGCAAACTCGGGGCGCGTCTCTCAGACTGTGAACCTAGCGTCTACGCTCCGTGGGTACCAAGATCGTAAGAGAGGGGGGGTGGTTGGGCCAGGGGGGGGCGGCCATAGGTACCATGGGTGCCATGGATGCCATGGCATGCCCGAGGAACCTCAACGGGGGAAGAGGGCCGCCAGCCTGAATAGGATTAGGATACGAGCACTAACCCACAACAGGACAAAGCGCAGGCCGGGGGAAGCAGAAGCGATGGGACTCGGGAAGACCAGGGCTAGCGTGGGCGCGGTTTTTGCGAGGTTGGACCTATGAGTGCCCAGTCCCCACCGCGGGTGGAGCGGCGTAGTGGGGTCCATTAGGATTGGGATTAGTGCAAAGTTTACCAAGTTGGCAAGCCGGGCGGCTGAAGCCGGTTCATGAAAGGAAGTCGAAGAGGGACCGCGTAGAAAGCCAGGTAAAGAATACTGTAGTGATAGTCCTGTGGAAGATGGGATAACGGTACGTCCCTCGATCTCGCTCCGAGTAGTAGGCGAGTCCTCGCGGCAATACTGCACATACTCTGAAGCTCTGGATAAAATATCTCCGTACTTATGTTCCCTAACCTAAAAGGGGCTCTCTCGCACTCCCACTCCGCTCTCGCGTAGCTCCCTCCGTCACGATACCTCAACGCGAGTGGAAACCAAACCCCCCACCCCACCGGGGTCGGAGACCTGATGACACCTGGAGTGATTGGATTTTCGTTGATAACCGTCGACGGCGCCAATTCCGACTCCAGGACCAATGTCGCGCCCCCCTTTTTCCTGTAGTGAGGCCCCCACCTCTCAAGAGTCTCAGTCGTGCCGCCAATGTGACCGATATGTCCCAGGTGGCCGACCGTGGTTCCGCCTCAATGCTTCATTACACGACCGGGGTTAAATATAAGTTCCCGATGTCTCTCCATTTTCGTGCTAATCCGTGGTACGTGCTGTTGTCCCTGGCGGAGTATCGGCGGCTCTCCGGGGCTTCTTACCCTAAGTAGCCTACGTGGAGCCGATGCACCAGATAGGAACAAAACGGACCATGCAGATGCAAAGGCAAATGCAGAGACCACAATGCAAGGCTCCCAGCTCGGACAAATATTCTCCTGTTTCGGATTGCTAGAGGTGATTGGCCTGGGGGACCACCAGACTGGATCTCACCCCGCAGCGCGGAACCTGTTCATCCACTACCGGTGAGGCAAAAAGCAACTCTGTTCGCCCCATCACACTCGGGGCTGTTCGTTCTCATTTGTTAATCCTCGTCATGATGATGTACACCGAATGGGCCCGGGTAAACACCTCCTGAGAGAGAGAGAGGGAGAGAGAGAGAGAGAGAGAGAGAGAAAGAGAGAGGAAGAAAGATTAGGCGCAAGGCCGAACCACGTCGGCTATCAAAGGGCTACCACAGTGGGCCTCTCGACAACCCCCCCTCCCCCCCTTCCCTTCCTTCTTGGCGGGGAGCTCCGCGGACAATACAGAGTACGGAAATCCCGGACTTGAAGCCGGGACCGATATCGAATTCAATATGGCGCGTTACTCATTGGACGCCGCAGCCGCAAGTGTGCTCCAGAGCGCGGGATACGGGTACGCTCCAAGCGTACAGACTGGTACTGGTTTCCCCCCCCCCTCGGACGATCACTCCGTGGGCTCCCCAGTTTTCATATCCTGTACAGTATAGCCTGGCCTACAGGATATGATCCGTCGATCAAACCACGTCTCGGAGACACTTGGCAATGTCCAGAACCGTATTATGCAGTATCCCCGACTGAACAAGCTCTGAGGATATTCCTTGGCGCTCTGTGAGTGTGGGAACCGACACGCAGAAGGGGAGTGAAGTAAGAAAGAAGAAGAGAGGGGCAAAGACAGCGTGGCGATGGTGGACTGTAGGGGTGCACGTGCTTGTGTGGTATGGACGCGTGAACATGGACTGTTCGAGACACACGGCTATTCTCCGGCTGATCACTCATACCACACCACAACATAGTCTCTTTCCTTCTAACCCCAAGAACCAAGGACAAGCGCAAGGACCGAGCACCCAAAGATGGACCGAACTAAGGAAGATCCTCCCCAGCTGTCAATCCGGGTACCTCGATGCACGTCTACTCGGCAACAGGCACGCAAGTAGTGCCCTGTGCACCTCACAATCTCCCACGGATCCACAGGGACAAAGTGCAAAGACCATGCTACACCGTACATGGTAAGTGATACCCGCCCTTCGGCAGATCGAGCACAACGCCCAATATCCCATCGTGATCGAAATCAGTCCTGATTTCATAAAACCCCCCCCTATATCATCCCCTAGAACCTGTTTTCTCGTTATTTGTAATTTGTTCTTCTATTTTTACCACCGATCAATCAGAGGCACATGTGGCACTTTTCTCCCCGCTCGCTTACAAGACGGGAAACCCCTCACCCAATTCTTATTTTTTGCAAGAATTTCCGGGAAGACAAAAAGAGGGAAGAGGGGGGAAATTCAAGGTTGAAATATCTCAAAATAAATCAAAATAATCAACCAATCAAGACATCCACAGATATTCTGATCCCGCCTCTCTCCCTCCACAGTATCTTGTCCTTGAGGTTGACGGCCAAGACGCGCGCGCCCCCTTAGGTCGCAAACCTTGGAAAAATTGTGTGGAGTCCTGTACACGTCCCATGTGAAATTCAAGAAGCCCCGAATAAAGGCGAGACTGGATACGGGTAGAGTTACATTTTCCATGCATATTCTACGCCTGCTCCAAGAGGCAAACGCCTTGCATGGGCCGTTTGCCTAGCCCGGAAATGCGGCGGGTTTCACTCCGACTCCGCTAGAACTGGAGGCTAGAACTGGATCTGGTTCTGGAACGGGGACTATCCTAGAGCAGAATAGACCAACTGATCCGTGTCTCTATGGTTTGCATTGCTGTATCTACTGTCTACTCCTTTGTCCACTCTTCCGAGGTCATTCGGGGAGAAAGTCGAAGAGTTGGGGTCGCGACCGGGCTACAGGTGGACGCGTTGGGGATGGTGCAGGACGATGCAGGAAGATGCAGGAATAGTGCATGGGTATGGAGAAGCTTTGGGACCAATGCATAGGGTGCAGCCGCTCGGCTGGACATAGATCATTTGGCGAGTATGTTTTTTTTTCGGATCAGGGGGTGAATGGAACCCACCGAACCCCTCCCATTTTGAACCCCTCCCAAAAATGGGAAGGGGGGGGGGGTTTCTCTTGGCGGGCGTGAGGTGTCAGTCTCCGGTTGGATCTGAGTCATGTTGCGGGCGATCCTTATAAGCGAAAGTGGTGTAAGTCCTGCTTTTTAGCAGGTATTGGTAATGCAGAGAGTTCGGGCCACGGTGGTGTGAAGAGTAGAGGTTGTATTCATGTAACAATGGGCCAGATTCGGAGGATGCCTGGATGATAGGGCACACCAGCATTTCACAACCGAAGATCAAGGTCGTAAGAATATTAAGCTATATCACTAGGTATAATTCGAGCATGGACCAGATCCCCACAGCCATGGATTTAGTTAGCGCGTGCTTCTTTCTAGAGTGTATCTGCGGGTGAAACCTACTTCGCCTTGGGCTCACTAGCAGCACTGCCTCATTGTGGGCCGGTTTAAGCATAAATTCTACCTGCTCGGCGAGGAGCTAGATATTGATATCAGATCACACCACTAGACTGTTTATGGGTTGGAATGCGATTGACAGGTTGATAGATCGAGCGCTTGTTCTTAGTCTACCCAGGATGGTTAGGACATTCGCATTGAGGCTGGTGCTAAGTATATCCAAAGTCTATCGCGGTATATATATGACCGCTAATCCTCTCTGGGCAGCTTCAACTGTGTCATGTTTCTGTCTGTATCTATGTAGTATCATTGAGTTGAAGATGAAGCAATTGATGACGCTTGACTCGCGAGTTTTTTTTATAGTCTATGTGTGTCGAGTGTCAGGTAGGTATTCGACTCTTATTTAAAACTCCCCGGCCCTGCTCATCACTTCGAACCTCCCTCAAGTTTCTCTTGTGGATTGCTCTCTTTCCAACCCTCTGAATGCTTCCTTGAGCTGTTTTGCACTTGGTCCTTCGTGTGAACATGTTCTCTGTCCGCATGCTGCGTTACATCCGGCACAGATAGACTGCGGCATTGAATTGCTCGCTCTTGAGATGTATGTATTTCACAACGAGGACCACTAAGAGAGTGCAAATTCAACCTTTCTTAACTCCTTGAAACGAAGGCAGCTGATCTCACTCGATTGATACATCGCTTCTCATCCTGCTCACCTAGGTGTCACCTAGGTGTCACCATGAACTGGTGAGTAGGATAGACCACCGGATCTCTCGCGCTTTTCCCATCACTTTTCGCACTGCCCACAGCAGGATCATCATACGACTTCAACCTGTCTGTAAGGGTGAATCTTCAAGAGCTATGTATAGGTGTGCCAATCGAATATTGGCTGGAGAGACGGAGAGGTGGATGATAGGATGATTGAGAAAGGGTGATCTGCATCAACGGAAATCAATGAAATACGAATATCCTATGATAAAAAGATGGAACAATAAATAATCAATTATGGACACACTAAACCTGGTCAGTTCTCGTGCGCCGACATAACTAGAAAAACTTTTCGAATAATCAACATGTATGAATTGGCCGTAAAATCCAAGCCTCTAGGATTGCCGAAGGAATCGCAGACACGGGTGAAGGGCTCAGCGAAAGAGCCCTCAATGTACCGATAAAAAGAGGTAAAAACTGTCTATGACATCGAAAACGCCGTCCGTACCGAATTACGCAGGGAACCGAAGTGAAGCAAAACAGAAAAAAAGTCTACCGGGCACGCAGAACAGTGTCTGGAGGGCGTGTTTACCAGCCGCGGTTACCGCCGAGACCACCGGCGTTGGAGCCAGTGTTATAGCTGCCACCGCCACCACCACCACGACCACGACCACCCCAACCACCACGGCCACGACCACGGCCACCCCAGCGGCCACCACCACCGCCGCCACCGCCGTAGCGGACCATCTCGGCGAGACGGGGGTCGATCTGCTGCTTGGCCTCGGTGAGGATGTTGACAAGATCACGAGCCTGCTTAGCATCTATGGGAAAGAAAGTTAGAAATGTCAACACATGAAGGGAGAAAGACACGTACTCTCGGTGGTGAAGAAGGTGATGGCAGTTCCAGTGGCACCGGCACGACCGGTACGACCAATGCGGTGGATGTAGTCCTCCGAGTTGTTGGGGTAGTCGTAGTTCAAAACGTGAGTGATGTCACGAACATCTTTTACAAAGTTTCCGTTAGCAAAAACAGGGAATTAGTGGGTAAAGCAACGTGGCCATAGAGGGCCCTTTCTCAGTCGTGGAGGACTTCGATGCATCATTGCTCTCTGCTTGGAATTCAGAAGAAAATCCCGAGGGAAGCGGGTCCATGGGATGGCAGTGTAATCGCGGTCCTAGAGTAACCTTGGGGATAAATGCAGCTTTTGAAACAGTTCAAGAACAATGAGATACGAAAAAGACTCCAACTCGGGCATGAGTTTTTGGAAGGAGTCCGAGAATCCGATCAGGACTGCTGTCTGCTACGCTGCACTGTGAGTCTCCAAGGTCCTCCTGGTATGAGAACCATAAAAGATGACGCGACTTTCCGCCTGGACTAGTCGTGTGGGTACCAACACGCTTCGGAGAGAGTTGAGCACCGTGCCAGTTGTGTTATATCACATTCAACACGGGTGAGTGTTCTCAAGGGCCCCTTCAGGGAAGGGGTCAAGGGGGGGAGGGGGGAAGGGGAGGGGGTCGCAGTTTGATCATACCGATACCACGGGAAGCCACATCGGTGGCCACCATGATTGGGCTTTTGCCCTGCTTGAACTCGTTCAAGACCCAGTCACGCTCGTTCTGCTGCTTGTCACCGTGGATGGCTGAGTGAAGAGTTAGTCAAGATGTACCGTGAAAGATAGGGGAATGGAAACATACAAAGCGCGGGCCACCCGTCTTGGCGGAGGAAGCGAGTAATCTCATCAGCGACACGCTTGGTGCCAGTGAAAATCAGAATTTTGTTGGAGCGGTCTTCCATAACCTTCTCCATGTGCTTAATCATGCGGTCACGCTTCTCGAAGTCTGACACGACCTCGACGATTTGAGTGATACGGTGGTTAGCGGACAGACCCTCGGAGCCGATGTTGACCTGAATATAATCGTGCAAGAAATCAGACGCCAGCTGGCGGACCTCTTTGGGCCAGGTAGCGGACCACATGCAAGTTTGACGGTCAGGGCGAATCTGGCCAATAATCTTGCGAATTTGGGGCTCGAAACCCATGTCAAGCATGCGATCAGCCTCGTCGAGAACGAGGTAGGTGACACGGCGCAGGTTGGTGCGGCCGGCCTCGAGCATATCGATCAGACGACCTGGAGTGGCAATGCAGACCTCAACACCGCGGGAAAGATCACGGATTTGGGGACCCTTGGGGACACCACCGTAGACACAAGTGTTGCGAATGCGGGAGGACTTGCCGAACTTGGTGATCTCAGCCTGAATCTGGACAGCCAGCTCACGAGTGGGAGCCAAGACAAGAACGATGGGACCATCACCGGGCGCAAGGAGAGGCTGAGCGTTAATGTGGACAATAGCGGGAAGACAGTAGGACAGAGTCTTTCCGGAACCGGTCTCGGCGATACCGACGACATCGCGACCAGAGAGGGCCATGGGCCAACCCTGGGACTGAATGGCAGTGGGGGCGTCGAAGCCCTGCGCCTTGACCTCAGACAAGACATACTGAGGGAAACCAGCCTCGTCGAAGTTCTGGACAGGGCGGGGGACATCAGTGCCCTTGATAGCCATGTGCTTCTCCTTGCGGAAAGCATCGACCTCTTCCTGCGAGCGGGCAGTGACATCAGGGTGCTCCTTGTAGAAGGACTTCTCGAACTTGGGCATGGTGTTAAGGTCTGATAGATTCCATTGTTAGTTTGCCGTCAGGAAAAATAGAATTGCTTTGAGACTCACCCCACTCCTGAACCTTCAAGTTTTGGCCAAGGGCGGACATGCGGTCACCACCGCGGTCACCACCACCGAAGCCTCCTCCACGGCCACCACCGTAACCACCACCGCCGCCATAGCCACCGCCGCCGCCGCCGTAGCCGCCGCCGCCAGAGTAGCCATTGCCGTTGTCATTGCGGGAGCTGAAATCATAGGGTTAGCAGGGTCCAAATCATAGTGTGGCAAAAAAATGCATCGTTCTGTTTCGGCCGTAGCAAGCAACACCTGGAACCCAGCCAAACCAGGGCCGAACGTCTCAGGTATGCCAGTTGCAGCCAGACACGTTCTGAAAGCAAATCAAGCACAAAGGGGCCCTTCAAGCATAAGGAAATGCCCGAAGAGGCCCCCTTGGGGGAAAAAGAACATACCGATAGGAATCGCCACCACCGCGCTGGTAACCACCACCGTAAGACATGATGAAGGCTTTTGAAAGTCGGTTTCTTGGGGGTGTTGGGGAAAGAGAGAGAGAAACCGAGAATAAGAGGAAAAAGAATAGAGGAGGGAACCTGGGTGAAGATGGGTTCCTCGTTGAAGTTGATGAAACAAAGGGGAGGCGCAACAGAAAAAAAAAAAGTCTCTTAGAGAAGGCGCGGACCCGCTCGCTGAGTCAGCTTGTTATTCGCCCCTTCCGGATTTTCAGCGGTGAACCATGGTTCAAAGTGAAATAACAATTGCTTTGGTGAAAGGCAACGGGGGCAAAAGTCTAATCATCCTTGTGAAGGTTTTTTCGTGATTGTGTAGCTAGGGGCTCTTGTCACAGGAAGGCTCTACTCATCACAAGCCACCCTACAACCAGGGTTCTGATCATATCAGATAACGTCTCACAGCTTCTTTTCGCTTAAACCCATATCCCAGAAACCAATTTCCAGCTCTGTAGCCCGGATAAAAATCTTAATCAACTCCTCCATGCGACTTGGAGAAACCAACTTCATGTGACTTTCTAGCAATTCTAATACGATTCCGAAATTAGCGGAGGCGAGACAAGTTCAAAAGCTTCACATACCTGATCCAAGTCGCACGGCTTCGGAATAGTCCTTGGCGACATAATTCTCAACCCACTTCCAGAATTGATTTCCTTCACGAAGAGTTTCAGAGTCGGTATGGAGTCGGTTGGCAATAGTACCGTATCCAATAAGACAAGGTGCTAATGCCATCTGCAGTGCGAGCCAATCTTCCGATTGGCCCACATCAAGAATGTATCGGCTGTACGCGGTACATGCTATTGCAAAATTAGAATATCAATAAATCAATTGAACAGAACGGGGAAAGGTCCTACCGATAGTTTCCTTGTGGGCCATCATGTCCGCCTTAGAGAGGCCAAAGGAAGCGCAGTAATCCACATGCAGAGCCATCTCTCGCTCAATGTGTAGAACAATCTGAGCGGACTAGAGTGACCGAGTCAGATTGGCTCAAAACTAAACAGTTGAGGGATACTCACCGCCGCTATTGAGTCCATACTTTTCGCCTTGTATGATGCAAGTGCATTACTGCGAGCGAATTGAACCTGCAAGACCTGATTAGAAGTGTTCCAAGCGTAAACCCCAACCAGCACTCACTAGGTAGAGATAGTCCTGCACAAGATACTCTTTGAATTTCTGTACACAAAGCGTACCTTGCCCAAACCTTCAACAAACTCGTGATGGGTGAAGGTCTGCCAGATCTGCTGGACATCGGGGCGGTCCATGATGTATTCCAGGAACCGGCCACTGGAATTGGTTAGTTGACATACTGTTCAACTTTTATCGAGTATGGCGCCACTTACGGTGCAAAGGGCATGGTATAGATCGAGTGGAAATGGTTGATGGGCCCACTGCCTTTACCCAAGTCGGTGCTGGTCTTGATTCCCGCTTCGACAAATCGCACGGCGCTACGAACGGCTCTCACCATGTCTTTTCCTTGGGCCAGGTTGGCGGCGATTGCCGAGGCGAGCGAGCAACCGGTGCCGTGCGTGTTCTTCGAGACCAAGTAGTCCGTCTCAAACAAAGTTGTTTGTTCTCCATCAAAGAGAATATCGATGACCGTGGTCGCTTCTTGCAGGTTTATGGCAGTCTTGTGTTCCTTCGTTAGAGGAATATGGCCACCCTTGAGAAGCACTGCCTTGGGCCCTAGCGAGCAGATCTTCTTGGCCAGGTCAATCATTCCGGCGAGATCCGCTGGCTCGGGGGCTTCTGCTCCAGCATCCTTGAGCAAGAGCTGTGCTTCGGGGATGTTTGGGGTTAAGATTGTCGTGATGGGGAGCAGTTTCGTGCGAAGCTCTTTCACGGCCTGTTCAGGAAGCAGCTCCGATCCACTCGTGGATACCATAACCTGGTTGGCAATTAATATGAGCTTTCACTAGGCGTTGAAGTGGAAGCTTAGTTACCGGATCGAGGACAACAGAGGGAACTCGATGGGTTTGCAATGTTTCCGCGATGACATTGATCGTCTCGGCAGACGACAGCATACCTGTTCAGGTTAGAGAATGAACTCATCCACGCATGGATATCATGAAACTGACCGAGTTTGACCACATCGGCACCGACATCTTCTAAGCCAGCATTGATCTGCTTTCTGACGAACTCGGCTGGGATGACGAAAATGTCCTGCACGCCAAGAGTGTTCTGGGCCGTCAATCCCGTTGTAGCAGTGAGAGCATAGCAGCCATGGGCGGCGAGAACTCTTTGATCAGCTTCCAACCCCCTTTAGCCTCGTTAGCAGACGTTCGAGATTCAAAATGGGTCCCACAGTAGGCACGGGACGGCATTGGAAGTGCCGGCCTGATTCTATGGATATTGCGGTGGACTTACGCGCCACCGGAGCTATCAGATCCCGCAATGACTAGGACCCGCTTGATTGACATGATTCCAATGAGCCAATCGGGGTGTGAAATGAAGGGAAAGAGGAACGACCAAGGTCTTCAAAACGCGGGATCCGGCAAATGTCGAGATAAGATAAGACCGTTTGGCGGGGCTCAGGCCCTAGGAGACTGCTTCGACAGAATAAACAACTTGCAAAACTTATATCCACAAGTGAATGATGCAAATGCAAATTGATTCTGATTCCCTTAAACCCATCTCAGGAGACTCATTATTTACAAATTTCCTAAAAAAAAATTGTCGTACGCCACCAGGGCATTTATTGTAACATGAAGCGGAAAATCGTATCCATCTCGACCCATTGCCGCCCACACTTCTTCAGATAGCTGTCGACCACCGTCTTGATAGTGCCAAACCGTATTCGATTGAACTCAGCGAGCGCTGTCACACTGTCCTTCTTCTCTCCAGATTCTTTATTGGCAGCAGCCTTGGCCTTGTCGACGTCCCAGAGGCCGGCAAAGTACAGAAGCTGATTGTAGATCTGCTTCTCGGTGTACTCATACGACATCCGGCCAAGACAGCCCTCGGCACGGCCGCGTGGACCCAGACAGCGGTGTCCGTAAACGCTGATCTGGCGGGTGCGGTTGCCGCAGGACGAGTCATCACAGACGAGCCATCCCTCGTAGTACCGAGCAGTTTGTTCGCGGATCTGGCTTTCCAGCTGGGCGATAATAGTCAGGACTGCAAAGGGTTTCTGGCAGTTCTGATTTGGGCAGATAATGCCATTGGCAGAGCACATTTGGGTTGAACCTGCCAAGCCCTCGAAGACTGAGTGCTCCTTGCAGAACCGGCACCTCAGGGTCAACCGTGCAGCCTCAGCAAAGCGGACGGAGTCCGGAACCTGTGACTCAAGAGGGAAGATCTCTGCGTTCTGATTGTTGCTTGCACTAGAAGTGTTGATCTGGTACTTGCGAGTGTCAAGTCCAAGACACTCGGCAAGACGGACAGCATCGGTGCCGGGGATCGGGGCACAGAGACGCTCAATAGGAGGGAAGATTTGCTTTAGCAAGTAGAACTCGACATCTGGCTTAAGACCTGAGTTCGACTTCAGCACATCTTGCGGGCTGTAAGATCGCTTGGCAGGAGGCAGAGACGCGGTCTCCGAGTCTCCACTGGTCACAATGTACGAAATGACATCATTTGGTCGTATATTCTTGCCGCGGGCGATCTCTCGGAGAGCGACCTGTGCTGGAGGCATGCTCTCCTTGTTCGGGTATTCATCCGGTCGTTTCGACAGTTTCTGTTTGATCAACGTCAGCGATGGTGGTCTGCTCCTTCCGAGAGCCTTCACATACCGTGTAAATAACATATTTTTGGACAGGGATAGCAAACTCCTTCATTTTCTCGGCGAGCTCCCGCAGATACTCATGGATCTTGTTGAGGACAACTTCTTGGTCCTCGCCAGACAAGATCTCATTGAGAAGTTTCGCCGACACCTCCTTGGAAAGAGCACAGTATTCTCGGCGCTTCATATCCAGGCCCTTCACCTCCAGCTTTTCAACGTACTTGCCGTCGACCTCAGTAAGGTTCACAGCAGCGTACTTTTTCTTGGCATGCAAAAGAAGCCGGCGGAAGACATTGTCAATGTCGATCTCCAGTAACCGATATCGCTCATTGACAGCCTTCTTGAACTCTTCACCGACCTTGAGCGCCTCGCTAATGGTGTCCATGTTGGTGTTGATCATGACGGAATCTGTATCACCGTAGATGACACGCAGGTTGGTGCTTTCGGCAAGCTCCTTTGTACTTCTCAGAATCTCACGACCTTTGAAGGTGGTGAGCATGGCCAGGGGCCGAGCGTAGAATCGGCTCTGGGTATAACCCAGACATCCGTACATGGAGTTAGCAGTAAGCTTGAAGGCAAGTTGCTTCGTATCCCACAGTGCAAGCTGCTCGGGTGTCGCACGCTTATCTTTCATCAACTTCTTGACTTCGCGTCGACGGCCGACCAGAGTAGCAATGAGTCGCGGCAGAATGCCTTGTTCGGAGTCCGACGAGGGGACCTCAGGCACTTTCTCCTCGTTCTCATTCTCAGCCTAGATAGAGATGTTAGTTCAAGTCCCAAGATTTCCAGAGGTGCTGTAAATACCCACCGTAGAGTGTCGATCGACCGTCGTGAAACAGATATTGTACTCCTGAATGATACTAGGATACAAACTGTTAAAGTCCATGACCAGGACGAAACGGTCATAGAGACCCTTCTCGGGCTCGAAGACAAGACCACCCTTGTACTTGTCCTTCTTTTTCTTGTCAACGGTCTCATCATCGTCCCCATCCTGCATAAGCTTCTCCTCGGCTTTCTGCAGTCGCGAAGAGTACTTGTCTGGACATATATACTTGTTGCGGTGGAACTCGTGTAGCAAGATGTACTCATTACGCTCTGCACGGGTACCACTTAAAGTACGTGCCCAAGAGTTACCGGCAATGTTGGTTAGTACCTTGGTGAGAGGCAGCATCTGCAATCGTAGTACCAGGGCGGCGATGAAATATGTGTCGGTGTCGGCATGATTGACGAAATTCATCAGGCCCTCTTTCGTGGACGCCCATGATTTTAGGGCCGCTTCAACATCAAGATCTTGACGGTTGTTGCCCTCGCCGAGATACAGCTGGCACATTTCCGTCAAGCTCCACGATTGACATTTCATCATGAGAGACTTGCCCATATCATTGGCGGTATCACAAAGAAGGCGACCTGCAATAAGCTGCCTCTCAGCAAAGAAGCTACCGCCCTTGTTAAAGTTTTTAGGCCAATCACCACGTCTAAGTCGGCCAATGCGGTGCCAACCAGGAGTCTTCTTCTCTCGCAAGCGATTAAGAAGAATGCTAAGGTCAACGTCTTGTAGCTGGTGACCCATGATAACGTCAGGGTCCATCTTTTCGAACAAGGCGAGAAACTTGCTTAGCAAGAATTGTTCGCTCTTCTCAAGCATGAAGGTACCCCGCTGCTTCCTTGTTTCGGCTTCGAAATGTATCGGGTATGAGGTACCAGAAGGTCGCATTACAGTGAATGTTTTGCAAGGAAGCTTCTCGGGCGGAGTTGTGTCCGTCAAGGAGACGTTCTCGTATACTCGAGCACTTGCCAACAAGATTTCCTGCTTGTTCTCCTTAACACTGAGCTGGGTTCGGAAAGATAGACTCATGAGGGTTAAAGGCGGCATCTCTAGGTTCTCCGAGTCGGGGACCGAAGAGATGAGCGCTGGCTTGGAAGCTTGGCACTCAAACTTGCACCAGGATGCGTTGTTGACCGCTGAGAAATCGGCTTCATCAATCCTTAACCAGCAAGGACCCATAATGTTCTTCCAAAGAACAAATTGCTCGAACAGGGAGGTGTTGGTGCCGAAAACGTGGGAGAATGTCTCTCCCTTGATGTCCATAGGAAGTGCAGGCTTGTGGTAAGGATACAAGAGTTTCAAGTATTCGGCCTCCTTTGGGACACCAGGCAACTCGAATGCGTACTTTCGAGTACAAGGCTTGATCTTGTGCATGCCGACTTTCATCCGCGACATCGTCTCATCAACCTCTTGGTAGACGTCTTCCATACCAACCTCTTCTTCCGTCTCTCTTCCATGCTTCACCCGGTTCTCGCGAGGGAGAAAGAAGAGCTTTCGCAGGACATTGTCGACTTTGACGAAGGCACTAGCATATGAACCGTTCTGCTTATTTTTGACCTTTCCAAAGAGACACAGAGCTCCATTGACCTCAGTATAGTCGAGCCAGAAAAAGCGTAGGCTACCGTCTTCTTCAACAACATCCTGCGCTCGCAGCTTTCCGAAAGAGCGCATCTCCGGGGCCGGGCTACTGACAACGTTCAGCTTGCTCCGGACATCATTCCACGAAGGATCCATGACCTCTGGTGCAGCCTTGGCCGGTGATGAGCTGGCGGGTGTTGGGAGAATTTCCTTCTTGAGCTTGGGAGGCGGCCGACTACCAGTCATGTTGATATTGGCTGTCTTGCTGTTTGACGAGACAGTAGCCTCAGCAACGTCCATCATGTCGACATCATCTTCATCTTCCTCCTCAGTCTTCACTGGCACTATAGCACTCTTACGCTCGACGGCTTTGGTGATAGGAGAAGAAGGCATGGGATCGCCCATATCCACGTCGTCATCGTCGGCCATAGGAAGTGGGCCATCATCAAGGTCGTCCGAGTGGAAAGGCTGCTCCTTTATTGGCGGGGAGCTAGGAGCGTCATTTTCGTCTCTTGCACGGGGCTTTTGCTGTCGTTTCTCGGACAAAGGTGGGGATAGGACGCGGACCTTGCGACGGGCCTCTGATTTCACAATACTCGGGGTAGGAACTTTGTTGGCAACCACATTTGTATCAACCTCACCGAGAAGATCTGCCATGAAGGCGTCATCCTCGGCCGTAGCAAGCGGCTATGGTAATGTCAGCAGGGGGACATAACTCCAGCATACGTCGAGGGCTACACTCACCTTGGGCTTGGGAGCATTTGAGGTTGCTTGACCGGCATTGAAATATTTGGAGATGCCGTTGTTGATCTTTTCTTTCCGTTGCTTCTCCTCCTCGCGCTTTCGCTTGGCCGCTTTGCCACGGGCTGGTAATTCATCGCTATCTTCGCTGTCGTATTCTTCTGTGCCTTCGTTCCATACTTCACGGCCGTCGTCTGCGTAGCCAGCGCCATTGTCGTCGACAACAAAATCGTCTTCGTCCAAGCGGCTGCGAATAACTTTTTTGTAGCCGTCGTCGTCCACCTCATCGTAAATGTCGCCCTGGTCCTCAACTTCATAGGTGGAAATGCGCTTCTTGCCGGAAGCACGAAGGGCCCTCAACTCAGCCAGCGTGTCACGAGCAGAAGGCATGATATGTGGTGTTATGAGCAAATGCCCACCAAATGCGTCGTCCTAGAGAATAACCCGTGAGGAAAGGATTGAAGGGAGTCGCGCCCTAGATCCCAACGCGACACGCGGATTCGCGTCTCGCGTCCGCACTTAAAGTGATTATGTAATAGCCACGCGCCTGCTGGAACTTATCCTTTCTTTTATTCCTTATGTGTCTCGTTTTTTAATTCGACATTTTTATACTCGTGATCATTCATATCTTCGGTATCTAATCTCCATCAATTGTCGGTGCAGAAGGCGCAACAAAAATGTAAAGTGCACGTGATAGAGCTGGGTTCGTACTGGACCCACATACAATAGGTCTATTGACAGTCGTCTTCAAGGCAGACCTTCTTGTAGCCCATAGCTATCACGCCGGAAAAGAATGGACGATTGCCTGTTGAGAAAAGCAGGGAGCCCGCCGGGAAAATCCTGACAGTCAAGAAGTGCTATTCGTCAAGGCTGAAGAACTCCAGGAGAGCTACGATGGCTCTGGCTCTACCAATGATGGTCAAGCAGAGGACTGACACATAACGGCATAACGGAAAGCCGGGACACGAAGCGATGAAAAATAAGAGTAGCAGAGGAAGATACGACCGACTTGGCGTGTTGCCTCTTCGGGGTTGACAGTTCAATGATGTTCCATTGGGAGGGAGACTTTCGGGATGAAGGCAAATTTACGAATTTACATAGTGCCAAGCTCCATCAGTATATCGACTCTTCGCGATAATCTACAATAGTCTCCATGATATCTTGGGTCATCATGAGGCAGCCATTAAAAGTCTCTTATGAAAGAGTTAGTGTGACACGCATCGTGACCAAATCAGGGTTGTATACCTCTGGCATCTGTCAGAGGCGTCACTACATCCCTTTTGATGCGACTTCAGTATGTATAGGGAGATAAGCATTGGAACAAGCGGGTTGATAACCATCATTACGTGGAAATGAGCAAGGGCGAATGGAAAGAAGAATCTGTGTGGCGTTGCAATAGCCGGTAGATGCCAAGGCCAGAATCGCAACGAGACATGAACCAGTACGTGCTGCTAGTCAAACACAGAGTTGTTATACAAGCTTATCGCCTGGAACGCTAGCGAGAACTTCCAAGTAGATCGAAGGCCCATAGGAAACCCTAGAATCTACGAGGAATATACCGCAATTGAACAAAGATGAAAACCCGGTGTTATTTGAGCAGATTTTCCTGGCCTATGCTAGGGATATTTTTCTAGCCGTGAAGGACAGCGCCAGTAAAAAAACATAGGATATGCTAATCCCCTCCAGCAACCGGCACCGAGAAAACCGGTCCTGTTCCACCCACATGAGCGGTCACGTTCTTCGACCGCTCACGCCAACAACCAAATCCTCCCAATACCCAGTCCACCTAGAAGAAATCCATGAAAACAAGTCGTGAGATGAATAAGAGACATGAGTTCCACGGACCACCACCGTTTTTTTGTAAATTCCTTTCGCCCGCAATAAAGAGAGAAAGAGAATTTAACGGTAGGACTTCTGGTAACGGGAGCGGGCACCGCGACCACCGAACTTCTTGGGCTCCGCGCGGCGGTTGTCGGCAACGAGCAGGGTGCGGTCGTACTGGACAAGAGCCTGCTTGAGCTGGTTCTTGGAGTGCTCATCGACGTACTTCTGGTAGTAGGCGACAATGGACTTGGCAATGGCCTGACGGATGGCGTAGACCTGGGAGGTGTGACCACCACCGGTGACACGGACACGGATGTCAACACCGGCGAACTTGTCAACGCCGACGATCAAGAGGGGCTCGTAGACCTGGCGGAACTCATGTCAGAAAAAGAGACTCGAAACTTGATGCCGCTGCCTTTAATTTTTCCTCTATGGTTCCCCCTCTTGCGAATCGACTTGCGTCGATTCCTCGCAGATCTGTGTGGGCGGGTGCGAATGTGCGTACCTTGAAGCGGAGGATCTCGGGCTGGACCAGGGAGAGGGGCTGGCCGTTAACCTTGACGAGGCCCTTGCCTTGCTGTAAAATCGAAAAAGTCTCAGCGTGCTGTTCATTCAGGTGTTGTGTATTTCCATGCGCCGTATGTGTCTTCAACATTCGCCCTTCCGAAAAACCCGAACCATCAAATCCCCCCTCTGAACTCCTTCCATGCGCAGCAATATCATTTCCAGTTTTCTTTCTAGGCGTATCCGACACAATGGGCGTGGGAAATGGGGAGAAGATTCCGTCTTCATACCTTGCAGTGGGCGACAGCGGTGGCTATTGAAGATCATCAGTCACGAAATTCCCACGAGTCACTCGAGGCCGGGGGGAGGACGCAAACTCACCCGTCTTCTTCTTGCCGAAGCATTGCACACTCGGGACGGAAGCCATGGTGAATAGATGGCCCTTGTCGGTGTCGATAGGGAGGGAGTGTGTTGTCGTGGGAGATGGAAAAGAGTCGACCGCGAATTCCCACACTGCAGCGATTCGCCTGAATTGCCCTTTGGTGCGGGTTTCGCTTAGGGCGCACTAGTCTAAATAAGGTTAGTGCCCTGTCTGGCTTAGGGCTCGGTCACATGATAAGATTACTGATCACGTGCACGGACAACATCGGAGTCTGGAGGCGCAAAGTTCGGGGTTGCGCTGTGAGATCCGCGTGCGTGCTTTGCTCTCCGTCCTTCCTGTTTATCACATCTAGACAAGATGTCGCAGACCGTTGGCAAGGTAAATACCATTGCCTGATGCTATTAGATGGCATCTAATCCCCCAATCGCATTGAGCTGAGCCTAACATTTGTTGATAGACCCGTCTTGCGTACTCCCGGGCATGGCACTATGTTGATGCCGGCTCAGACCCGCGTTCGCTCGGCCGTTTGGCCTCCGGCATTGCTCTCGTCCTAATGGGCAAGCACAAGCCTATCTACGACCCCTCGACAGACTGCGGTGACTACGTTGTCGTCGCCGGTTGCCACGACCTCCGAACGACCGGCAAGAAGCGTTTCCAGAAGAAGTACTACCACCACAACACACGGCCTGGTAGCTTGAAGAGCATGACAATGGATCAAATGTTTGAGAAATGGGGCGGTGGTGAAGTTTTGCGACGCGCCGTGAAGGGCATGCTGCCTAAGAACCGTCTCCAGGATCCCCGATTGGCACGACTGAAGAGTAAGTCTTCCAAGAGCATGCTGGGCAATCCACCCCCGGGGAATTCTAGCTTGCAGCCTCTTAGTTTTCTGGACATTAGACTAATAATGCGTATAGCTTTCGAGGGTCTCGCCCATCCTTATAAGGAGAACATTGTCAAGTTCGGCAACAAATCCGTTCTGGGCCACGCTGGAGTGAGGGAAGCTTTTGAGGAGGCCAAGACGGAAGCCACCGAAACGAAAGCATCGGCATAGACCCTTTCTTTTCTTTTTCGCATTGTCTTTAACCCCTCGGGGTCCGTGTAATCTATTCCGCGTTTATGATCCAAAACCGCAAGCGCATGGGTGTGGAGTCCATATTTTTCTGGGAAATGTATCATTTTGAATCTCTTTGCCGATTGACTACTCCGGATCCATCCTATATCCTTGGTAGGGTGGCTCTGACACTCCCCTTGGCATGTACTATATAGCAGTCCATATGGAAATACAAAAGAGAAAACTAAGTGCCAATTTCATAAACAATTGATTGGGGCGTCATGGCCGTGGTATATAATGACAGAAACTTATGTACAGAAGAAGTATGCTGAGAAGTATAGAAAGCGTTGCTGGGGTTGATGCATCTACAACTTGGCCTTCTGGTTACGGGCAACAGTGCACTTGATAAGACCGTTGGGACCGGACTGCGGGGCGTAGACCTCGGCGTCTTTCCCGGTGTTCTTGGTACCCTTGTGCCAGCTGAGATCTATAAAATTGTTAGTACAACGTCTCTCTATCTTGGTTTTGGAAACGGGGAAAACATACCGATCTCGAAGTAGTGGATGTTGGGCAGGGCATAGGAGACAGTGTCGAGTTCCGGCACAGCAGCGAGAATCAGGTCGCTCATCTTGTACATAGTGGCCTGGACACTGGCACTGTTATCCTCGGCGAAGGTCTTGAGAGTGGTGTTGCGGGCACTCTCCCAGGCAGGGTTGAATTTGTTGGCGTTGGCCTTGACTTCAGACAGGCTGCTGAAGCGGCGCCACTGCCAGCTGGCATCAACGCTAGTGCTCAGAATACGGTCCCAAGTCTCCTTGAGAGTGGTATACTCGTCGCGAAGGAAGCCGTGGAACTGGGAGCCGGTGCTCTTGAGGACGGTCAGGCCGTTGATGGAGGAGTTGATGTCAATGCCCTTGCCCTCAACCACATCAACCTGAACATTGCGGGTCTCGCCAGCATCCTTCACGAAGGAATGCGGGTGAGGCTTGCCATCAATGTCCATGCGCACCCAGCGGTGGGTGATGATGTTGACGTGAGCGGCGTGGATGTGGCTGTACTTCTCGATGAAGTGGGTTCCGAGAATGGAGCCGAACAGCTCGGGAGGAGTCACGGGCTGCTGCTTAGCAGTGATAAAGATAGTGTTCTTGATCGAGTCGGTGGCCACGACGACGCTGTTGTCGGCCTTGGTGTAGCTATTTGCCGTGGTCAGCCAATGGCGCTGATAAAGAATGCGAAGGTGAATGCGCCCACTTACGAGGTCTCGATGTCGCCCTCAAGCAGAACACAGACGGTCATTTCCACCACGGTCTGCTCGCCGGTCTTCTCATCGCGGTGAACCTTGTACACGCGGACGTTGTCCTTACCGTAACGGGCAGCGGCGAGAGAGCTCATGATGACGGTTAGAGGATGAGAAGGGATATGACTAGACGGTAAGGGGCTGAGGTCTGAGATTGAAGCTATAGAGTACCAGCAAGGAGAATCGAGGACAGGACCAGTATTTATTTGAAAGAAAAGAACAGAAAATGGGGTAATGCGGTCAACAAGAAGGCATCGGGCACCTCCGATGGCCGCGGCCGCCCACTATCTTATCGCCCTGCAAACGGTCCAAACTTCCCCAGATTGTGGTGATTTTCTTGTCCTCTTGGTTCGATCGTATGAGGGTACTGCACGTAAGATGCTCTTTACCTGATCTGATCACCTTGATCATTTTCCGAGAGGCCTATGCTCCAATTTGCCCGCAAGGAGAAGCTGTGGTGGTGGAGCATCTTGATTTCCCACGTCCGAAATCCGAAAATCCGCAATCCGAATCCACTCTCGTCCGCCATTCAGGGACCTTCTGTCGCGCGTCTCTGCCTCCACTCTCGGCGACCTCCACTACACTCGCTGCGGAGAGACGCGCTCTTGAAAAGACGTACGATCCCCGGGATTTGAGCTCGGGATCTTATCCTCGCGGAGAGTAAGGTGGAAGGCTTTGATTTCCAATTTAGGAGTCATTAGCGATTTCCTTCAATCATGCATTTGGCATGCTCTATCGATCCTATGTCATTCGAATGCCACCTGGTCTGGTTGAGACTGATGAAAAATGAAATGTCACACCATTGTACTCGCAAGACTTCCCCGTAGCATTAAAGACTACCCAGATCTAGTGAACTTTTGTGCAACATGCTAACCCCGTGGTTCGTTTCTGATCCTACCAGTGTTCAGTTCCAACTATGATCTCGGAAAGCACATCTACGACATGATAACTAAAGTGAACACGCATACACCATCTTGTCACGGCATATGCAAGGCTGGTACCAGACACCTAACCCACCGCTCGAGACCAAATGTCTTCGTAAACTCGATTCATCTCTCCCAGGCTCATCCACCGTTCAGATTCTGCCCATGATGGTATGTTTCGTCCCCGTGCCCAAGTCAAAGGACACCAAGTGAAACAGTCTCAAATCACCGCGCATATTTCTTTCCCTGGGGCGCACAAGGCGGAGTATTGTCGCAAGGACGTCGGGCACCGACCCATGCAACAGGTCATGCACAATAGAAAAATAGAAAAATAGAAAATCGTCATGAAGTACATCGCACACGAACCCTGATTCTTTCCATTTCTGTCCTTGCTTACCAGCTCACGAGCTCAGAGTAAGAGATCCGAGCGAATGCGGTACCTGGTCTTGTTGGCAATCGGCAAACCAGATCCTAGCATCGAAGTATCTCCCCGGCGCATCTGATCGGTGGCGTTATGTCTGCAACTTTATTTGATCAGAAGTGATGTTGAAGAGGTCACGACGAGGTGCAGGGCGTGTGGGACGTAGAAGGCAAAGTCGGTGTAGGGGAGGCTCTTGTATGAGAGTGTCAAATTTGGAATGCTGGCCAACTGTTGCTGTTTCTCCCTATACTGTCCACACAAGCCTTCATTACTTTGACCGTTCGCATCTTTCAACCCTTCTGGCCTGATATCTGTAGAATTAACTGTTCGGGTTGGCATACGATCGTTCGCGCGAGTCAGAATTTGAGGAACCCAATCTGCAGTCATGAGGGCATGTCTGCCCTCCAAGACGATTCCGCACAATAGGCAGCCTCCATGGGGGTTGAAGTTGCGATCTTCGACGGCCTTCATTGTTGCGACGGTTTGGATGTCTACTTTCACGGTAGGTATACAAGTCATATGCGGGAATATCTCGAGCTAAATAAATGAACTTAGGACTTCCTCCTTTATGCAATGGTAAGATAAGACACTATAATTGAGATACAGAGTATGACGTCGAGTAGATCGTTCCTGTGATGCCCACGGCACTTATGACCCGAGCGGATGTCAATTACGATGATCGTAGGTTCCAATTCCAGGCATTGCAATGGCTTGTTCACAATATTCCTCAGGAGAATACTGGGTCAGCGTCCTGCTCATGTGCGAAGCCAGCACAGCTCTGATATTCTGCCCGATCTTCGGATACCTCGTCGACCGAGCACGTACTCGCCAGTTCTTCTTTCTCGGAGCACTCATCATGCTAGCCGGATGTATGGTGATCCTTCATTTGTCCCATTCTCTCGAGATGTTCATCATAGGTCGACTGCTACAGGGCTGTGCAGGTGCGCTGGTGGTGGTGACTTCCTTTGCGCTGCTCAACGACTCCGTGTCACAGGAACGTCTCGGGCAGAGTATCGGATACCTAGGTTCGGCTATTGCTTCTGGATTCCTGCTTGGACCATTCATGGGCGGTATTGTATATCACACTGGTGGATACGATTCTGTCTTCTATGTTGCGTATTTCATCATTGCGGTTGATATGGGGATGCGGGTGGCCCTGGTGGAGAAGAAAGTTGCCGAGAGGTGGGAGCACCCTCTCTAACGACGAGGAGCCAGACGAGCAATACGCAGGAGCTCAGTCATCCGCCGCGTGTAGGGGTCAGACTGGACCCAGATCGACCCGCTTTGCTATGTTCAAGATCCTCAGACAGAGACGGGTATTGATCTCCTCGTGGGCTTTGCTCGTGCAAGGAATATTTCTGTCTTCATTTGACGCTGTATGTTGCAGCGAGCTAAGTTATCAATGCTAATAAGACTAACTTGGACTCCAGACCCTATCCATCTTTGTTGAGTCACGATATGGCTGGTCGGCCCTTGGGATGGGGCTTATCTTTCTCCCGATGGCAATTCCAGCCTTTTTCGAACCGGTCTTTGGTGTGTGACAGGACGTTCTACAATTATGGGTTTAGCTGACGGTTCACAGGCTTCATCACGGACCGGTTCGGGGCCCGCTTGATGGCATTTAGCTGCTTCCTCCTTCTCTGTCCCGCTATTATATGCCTCAGATTCGCCGAGGCTAATTCCACACCCCACATAGCCTTGCTGATTACCCTTCTCTTCTTGATCGGGATATTCATCCACGCATGTGCACCTGCCATGTATGTGGAGACCCAGCTGGCCCTAACGGCCCTGGAGTCCGCGGACCCCGGACTACTGGGGCCCAAGGGAGCGGTGGCGCAGGGGTTTGGGCTTCAAAGCATGTGTCAGTTTGCAGGAGTCTTCTTCGGTCCACTCGGCGGCGGATTTGTGGAGTATCGCTTTGGGTGGGGCGTCATGTCGGCTGTTCTAGGTGTGTTGGCTGCATTGACGGCAGTACCGATGCTGTGGTTGGGGGAGACAAAGGATGATGATGAGGAGAGACAGCCGTTGCTTAGCCGCTAATCATGTCCACTAGGGGTTTACAGGCGATGCACCAGTTAAGGGCAGATGCTAGCAATGTCTAGTGGCAGCCTAATCGGGCAATCCATTTGAGTTTCCGCGTCGATCGCGTAGACTGTCCCAATCGGGTTGTAATTATACAACGTCACGATAGAGACTGGAATTTAAATAGCCCCGTATCTGGCACCGGGTTCCAATTTGCAGTCTGTACAGTCTTCAATGTCCAGGATCTCGCGCTCTTTGGTGCGACAAGCCTCTAGTCTACAGAGTAGAATTAGTCAGGTCAGTCGATTGCAAGACCCTTCCTGTCCCACCCACCATACTGACATCAAGTAAAGAGCTGGCTATATTTATCGATCTGCTCAATTTCCCGATCACTACTTCACCAGAGAACTCTCTACTCTCAACCAACCCGTTACCTCATCAAACACTTCTTCGCTATGCCTCCGACTAACAATCTGTGGCACCTCCAACAACGAGGCCAACCTATTCACACTACTTCAGACCAATCCAAATACATCGCCCCAGCCGAAACAACTCACCATAAAGCCACAATCCTCGGCTTCCCCTCCCGCTGCTCCACATTCCCAGCCCTCTACACGCGCACCTGCAACGAGATAATCGACTTAGCAGCCACAATCGCGCACTTTGAGCCAGTCCGCCTGCACGTACGCCCCGAGGACCAAGCCCATGCTCAATCCCTACTAGAAAGACACATGGCCAAGGGCCTGGTATCTGAAAAAGCCCGCATCTCTCTCATCCCCGTCGCAACCAACCACGTCTGGGTCCGCGACACAGGCCCCGTGTACGTCCGCGGCGCAGAAGACAACAAGCGATACGCAATCGACTTCCAATTCTGCGAATGGGGGAATAAAATCGACGAACTCCTTTACAAAAGTAGTGCCGACAAAGCCGCAGCGCTGAAGATCGAGGCAGAGACGGAAGACTGGCCAATTCTAGATGAACAGGCTAGGAAAGAAAACACGGAGTTTGCAAGTCGGGTTCTGGAGATCGAGAATGCCTCGAATCCGCAAGATCCCGTCACGCGGATTCAGTCCAAGGTGAGGCTGGAAGGGGGTGGGATTGAGATGGATGGCGAGGGGACGTTCATGGCTGCGGAAAGCAGTGTGCTGGTCTCGTCGCGGAATGAGGGTCTCTCACGCGAGGTGATTGAGGATGAGTTGAGGCGACTTCTCGGGGTGAAGAAGTTTATTTGGATTCCGGGGAGGGAGGGTCTGGATATTACGGATTGTCATATCGATGCGGAGGCACGCTTCGTTCGGCCCGGTAGTGTGGTGGTCTGCAAGCCGCATCCGTCATGCGCGCAGGTCTATTGGGATATTTACCACGAGGCCCGCGCGGTGCTGGATAATGTGACGGATGCGCAGGGCCGCAAGCTTGAAGTTTACGATATTGAGGAACCGGATCCTGCATTGGTGAAAGGTGATGTTCCAGGAGAGGAAGATGCACCTGCGGCGTCGTATGTGAACTTTTACTTTGTGAATGGTGGTTTGATAATTCCTTCGTTTGGAGATCCTGAGCCGGATCGCAAGGCTTTCGAGCTTTTGAAGAAGCTGGTTCCTGAGCGTGAGGTTCGCCAGGTGGCTGTAAATGCGCTACCCCGAACGGGGGCGTGTTGCACTGTACCACGCAGCAGGTGTTGTAAAATGCCCCCGGGGGGGGCTTCTGCAGGGCTGGAATGGCATTTGAATCATCGAACAGTATCAATGTTCTGGGGTCCTGTGCTTCTTTTTCCTGATTATGTATTCACCAATTTCATACAAATAGATCATTAGGGCTTTCATTTCTGTTTCGGAGCATTCAATAATAATTGGCCTTCTGGTGTCAACTTTCTCACAAAAGGAATCCGATGGTACCGGGAATTTCTTGGCACGGTAGGTTCATTTTCCGTGACACTCAAGTCAAACAGAGATGGGATCTTTATCAAGTCAAAATGATGATTAGCGTAGGTACAGTCGAATCTTGAAGAGCGGAAGTTTTCCAACGAGGCAATAGTATGAACTTGGCTTTCCATCTCCGCTGTGGAGACGCTTTTTTAAGTATACCGATCTCGTATTCATCGGATCGGTGGGGCTGATTCCCTGATTGATTATGCAGTAAACCACGAACGGGAATTGAGACTGACCTACGTCAAGTCTCAAGATCTAGAACTATGCTTTGAACGGCAATTAGCCGTTTTGTATTTGACATTCCTTCATCAAATACGAAAGCTAAATGTGAAACTCTCTCAATGAGAACGAGGTATCAATTTCTCAACCAGACTATACATCCACGTCAAGGAGAGCAGAGACCAAGTTTTCAGTACATCTTTCCCAAATTCATCATCCTTAGAGGAACAATAAGGATAAAGAAAAGGACAGAATGAAAGACTAAAGCCATGTAGACAAATCTGTAAATGTAACTCTTTTTCTTTTCACCTCAGGTCGAGGAATCCTCAAGCAAAAAAAAAACTCCAACCGCCAACGCCGATGATGGAAACCCCCCGAAAGCAGAAGCAGAACCCAAAGCAGCCGTGAAAGTCGTGACAATGAAGAAAGATGCCGAAACACATTCCCATTCCAAGCGTCCTGGATCAGTCCTAAAGACTCAACTGATCAATACTCCCAACCCGCCCACTACCACCAAGTCTCCCACCTCCCTTGGTCACCATCCCCAGCCGATAGAATCTCTCTTCACCGGCCGGCGTCCGGCCGCCAATATACCACTTCTCCGGACCTAGAGCATCACGGAATCCGCCCGAGCCAGAGGACGAGTCACTTCCGCGGCGTTGGCGGTCTGGACCTCGGATCGGGATCGGAGTGGAAGAGGACGGGGTAGATGGTGGGGAAGCGGTGAGGGGTGATTCGGAATGGTAGTGATGGGTGTGGTGTGTCGCGGTTGAAGAGGTGTGGTGTTGCTGGGGAGTCTGTGGAGTCTGTGGAGTCTGGGCTGATGCTGACGCTGATGCGGATGCGGACGCGGACGTGTGATGGGACTGAGAGGGTGCTGGGCCAGCGGCCTTGGAGGCGATAGCACGGGCAGATTGGGAGATTTGAGCGGATGATAGAGAGGTGGTTCCGGTCGATGAGGAGGATGCTTTGTAGGTGGACTGGGCGCGGAAAGCGGCCAGAAAGTTGGCTAGGAAGGGCCGGTTGGTAGACATGTCGGTGAGGCTCATAAGTAAGTTATGAGTTTGGGGGTGGTGGTGGTGGAGGTGGAGGTGGAGGTGGAGGTGGAGGTAAGATGTTGAGGCTATAGGATGGAGAGGGGGGGATCGGCGGGGGCGCTAAGTAGAAGTCATATCCAGATCTCAGAAAATAAAAAGCGGAGCAGGACATGGAGGGAGAAACGATGTGAGATCCCGTCTTCAACCTTGAAGTTTGCCCGTGGAGTCCAATCAGATGCGGGGGATTGGGGACATGACGTCGGGAAGGAAGATTCCGGTTTGCAGTGGAAGGAACAACTCGGGTTCGGGTTCATCTTAGGAGAGTACAGAGACTACGGAGGATGATAGGAAGGATACAGTGCACAAAGGAACATGTCAAGATGAACGGGTCTATTTCTAATACTTTTCAAAGTAGAACTGAAGCCCTCCAATAACAGTAATAACACAACACCCTAAATCACACAAGCCCGAAGCGCACATATGTCCGTGCCGTGCCGACTGTACTTACAGGAACGAGGCCATGCAGATGCACCGGGAAAAGAAAATGAAAAACCAAAAAGAGCCAAAGAAAACTGATGATTCGACAGTAGCCTTCCTGCAAAGCCCTTTTCTCTTTCTGTTGTCGATTTTTCGCAAAACACATGCCCATGTCTATAGTGTGGACGCCAAACGAAACCACCCATTCTGCCCACTTCATCAAACAATAAATGAAAACAATGATAAAACCCCAGAGGGAAACCAGACTCGCGATTCAACGGCCAGGATCGAGAATCCTGGACCGAGGGGAAAAATGCGATTCCCACACCGGATGGGAACAGGGAAGCAGACGGAGAAATGAGAAAAATGCCATCAAGGATGCGCAATTCAAGAATTGGAATCAAGCCGGTGTACACACGCAGGGAAGCCGAAACAGCACTGCTGCTGGCAGAGAGAAAATCAGATGACAGAAACCGAGACGATTTTTGGATCGGCACCACACTCGAACTTTGGCACAAAGGACTCAAGATGGAAGGACGAAACGCGCTCACCGTCACGGAGACTACAGCGGTCGTGGGTCTTCACCGAGATTCAAAACGAGCGTTGCGTTCCATGTCACGCGTTCTGATCCAAAACGAGCAAATTTACTGTCTCGCGGGCTGAACGGTCCCTGTAATGGAATGAGCATATAAATCCTTTCAAGAGCCACGAATCCAGGGTCGCTTACCGTCACCGCTCATAGTAGAAGCCAGGTAAAGACCGTTCATACCGTTCTCGTGGCCGCCCGCGGTCGTTGCAGGGTAGAACTTGCGGTCGCCGTCGACGGGGGCGTGGATGGACTCTTGACCCGCGGCCATGGAGTGAGGGAAAACGGGATTCATGTAGCCATCGGAGGCACCGTGCTGAAACATCGAGGTCCAGTCAACACCGGGCTGATTGGAATGGGGACCGGGCATGACCGGATGTTTAGGGTCAATGAGGGGCTTTACCTGTTCAAGAGGACGATCAACACTCAGTTGCTGCGCATGGCCGTCACCACCATGGTGCATGAGGTACGGATTCTGCTTGGGCGCCATCCACGAGGCTCGCGACGCATGTCCGTTGAAGTCGTCACCGGGACGGTTCATGCCGTTAACGGACTGCATCGTGAAACCGAGAGGCTGCTGCTCCGCGTAGCCGGGACGACCATGGGCCATCCCATTGCCATTCACGGCCCCATCGCCGAATTGCGCACCCATCACACCGTTGGAAGCCTGGGCAGGAACGGGATTACTGACTTCATCAATAGGCTTAGCGGGGTTGGCAGCGGCAGCAGCCGCAGCCGCCTGTTGAGAGCGCTTCAGATGGGCCTGAGGGTGGGACAAGTGGGTCGCGCCCGTAGGGTTACCCCGGCGGATTGAGCACTTCTGGAAGTGGCGCTTCAAGATGTCACTGCGGGAGAAGGTATCCTTGCAGAGAACACACATGTAGGGGCGGTCACCGGTGTCTAGAAAGTCCATCAACGCGTCATTAGCATTCTTTTGTTTTCATTTTTCCCCAACTTTTCGATGTACTCAAGGGGTGGGGAAGGTCACTCACGTCGCAGAAGATGACGCTTCAGGTGCTTCGCGTGGAGATAGGTCTTGTTACAGTGCGGGCAGGGAAATTTGCCATCGGCATCTTTGGCGGGGATGGTAGTGCTCTTCGCAGTGCCATTGACACCATTGGTAACCGGGGTCGCGCGGCCCGGAACGCTCGGCAGAATGCCACGACGGCCCTGAGAGCCCACGACCTGTGTGCGTGGCGGTTCCTTAGCACCGTAGGGAGAGCCGTTGGCACCGTTCACATCAGGGCCCATGCCCCAGGACTTGCCGTCGGAGTAGCTGAAAGCACCAGAGGGGAGGCCGTTGAAGTCGCGGCGGTCACGCGGGGGAGCGGGAGCGATGGGCTGAGGGTAGCTTTGCGCGCTCGACGTGGGAGGCAACCCGCTCGGGGGCGGGGGATAAGACTGGTGAGTCTGGGGGGAGTGGGTAGGATGCGACATGTATGACGGCGGCTGGCTACCGACAGTCGTGTGCGGCATGATGGGAGCCGTCGAACCTCCGTACACGTCGTGTGTCGAGGTCGGGTAGCGACCCAAGTCCGGCCGGTAAGGCTGGCTCATGTAGGGGTGCGGCGCGGGCGATTGGGTGTGATGAGGCTGGAGAGGAGGCAGCGTGTGCGGCTGCGACACCGGGTACTGAGGCTGCATCGGGTACTGAGGCATCGGCATACTCGAGATGGGGGTCGAGCTGGTTGACGGAGGCCGTGAAGGGTGCGATCGGGGATCCATCACGGGAGGAGAAAGGATTGACGAGCTTGGGTGGCGAGAGGAGGAGGAGGGGGGGGGGAGTTGTGTGTTTGTGTATGTGTGATCACGAAGCAATCATCGAACGCGTCCCTCAGATCCTTCACTCGGGAGATTTTGCTCTGGCGAACCTTGACAAGGACTCCTTGTTTGAGATTTTCGGGGATGGCTCAAGGTCACCGGGGAGGAGCAATTGACGATCTAAGACTCCACTCGAACAATGTCAGAAGAAAAGAAGCAGATGAAGAAGAAATCCCCACGGCGTCACCCACCAAGAAAAGTCGTGTGGGCTGTGTTTTATCCGCACGTTGCCAGCGTGGATGGTTCTTGTATCCACCAGGTGTAAGTGGGTCTCGCAGCACAACACTAGTTCAAGATCTCGCGCGTCTCTTTCGGCGGTCGAGAATTTGGTTGCTAGTGTGGAATGGAGGAAGATCAAAGGTGAATGATGAAAGAGGGAAACTCGAGAAAGTGAAAATCTTTGGAAATGACCTTTGATCGCAGAACGGGAAGAGGAGATGAGGGAATGGGGGAAAATTGGGGGGCGGCCAATTCTGATAAAAAAAAAATTAAAATCAAAAATCAAAATTGAGCCAAAGAAAAAAAAGAGAGGAAAAGGAAAAGAATAGAAAATTCACGGCGTGACGGAAGACCGGGACAGCGAAACAGACGATCGTTTCTCGGGGGGGGGGGCAAGAGGCGAGAGCAAATATGGACGAAAATGGGCGGGAAAGGGAAGAAAAAGCGTACTTGGCAAGTGAAATTACCAGCCAAATACGGGGACCGAACGAACAGGCGTAATTCAATTTCCAAAGATACGCGCAATTTGGGTGAACCAGAAGAGGCCTCGCGCGATGACGATATGCGCGGCCGTCTTCCGAGCCCGGAGGAATGGCCGCGAACGTAGTCTTGTATTACTCATTTGGGCCTTTTCTATTACTATACTAGCACAGTCATGGTCATTTGTTCTCAGTCTTCGGGTTCGATGAACATATATCGATGGCAGAAAGAGAAAAAGAGAGTAGAGATATCGGAATTATAGCATATAGATCTCTGTGGATGCCATGGAGCCCTTCCCCGGGAAATACCCAGGTGGATTGAGTGTCCACCGTCCAGGGCTGCGTTCAGATCCATCTACTCCGTCGCCCTGACCCCGATTGCGGCCCTGTGTTTGGACCGTGACTCAATAGTTGCTGTTCATTTGGCCAGACATCTCGACCCGGTTTATGCTTTATACTTTTGCCCAGTTGTACCTTTTGACGGGCTCCGCAGTGGCTTGAGCCCCGCATGTAAACAGATCAAAGTGCAGCTGCGCCTGCTCCGAGGCATAGACAGAGCTACCTTGTTGTCTCTAGGTATAGAGAGCTTCGAGGACCAGGCCTCGAACCGGCGACCGAGCACTGATCTCCGGGCAAAGCACGTCATCTTCGAGGCGTAGCTTCAGCGCGGACCTCGACCTCATCGTGCATAGGCTTTTCCCCTCAGCATGCATGCAACGGCACAATTCAGCCCGCAGGACTGGAGGGAGAAGAGGGCAGTCCTATTGATGCCCTCGAATCCCCCCCCCCCCCCTCGCGCTCTCATGGAGGACGGGTCAACGGCTATGCAATGTTGCCCTACATACTTTAGTGGATGCGCCGTAGCCGCCTTCACCCCATCTTCCCTTCTGTGTACGCCGTACTCCGTCTCCCGTACTGTCCGTACTCTCCGGGCCCGACCCCAACCCCGACCGTACCCTAAATCCCCTAGACTGCCCCCAATATTGCCTAGGGAGGGGCACTTTGTGTATCCGGAGTAGACGACATGTAGACCACTACTGCGACCGGCCGAGCCTAAACTGGCTTTGCCCACTCGTTCTCCCGGACCACGCATCGAACCATCTTCGGTCGGGCTCCCATTGGATGTGGTGGCTTTTTTTTCGAGGGATTTCTGGGACGTCTGGTTGGTACCGGGCAAAAATACCTCGAATCTCGACTCGCCTTACTAAGGTTTCAGTGAGCGGGATTCCGAGTTCCAGGGGGGAAAGAATTCGAAGGATGTCTCAGGCGCACTTCCAAGATCGGGTTTGAAATCTGACCTAGATTTCCACTGCACAAGGAATTTATTGTCCAGGCCGTAGATCTCCCAGTTTCCTAGACATATGTACCTGAAGATGCAAAAAAAAAAAAACGTAACCCTGGCCCCTCCGTCTCCACCGTAGAATTTTGCAAGAGCTTCTCCCGCTTCGATTGTGGACCTGGAGGGCTTCGACCAGGGTTCTGCAGAAATCAGCGATCGGTGCCTTTTCCCCCTCCCCTCGTGACCTCACAGACTTTTATCCGAGCTGGAAACTATCTGATCCTTGGCGGGGGGGTTTAGCGAATTCAATGGTCAACACTACGACGTAACAGGCAGGTTGATGGGCAGATTACGCTCGACCGAGTGTGGCTCGCTTAACCTTCTCGTTTCATCGCGGTATGTGGCCGGGCTTCCGGTACGAGGGGGAGAAAAGTGCCCAAGTATTTCACTCATACGGTGGCTTGACCTACTGCACGCGGTGTGTTGAATCTGGCAGGTCGTTCGGAAGAACACTTTTGGGGAGCGTCGTGAAAGGGGGCAGCATATCGGCATTGATCCACAGGGATCCCGAGACGGTTCGGTCCAGGAGGAAGCGCTGAAAGGTGGCGGATCCCACAAAATACGGTGAGGCTGTTCCACGCCCCTTGTTCCTAGCCTATATTACTGAGGTCCAGTCCACAGCGATCGACAGCGATGGATATTTCCTGCGTATGGAAGCTTGCAACCGCCCAATCCCCGTATGCCGTCCAACCCCGCCCAGTAGGGCGGTCAGATTATGCATAGTCTGACACTGTTGCAGATTCTTGCGATGATAGCGTCATGCTGTTTAGATCTGTAGATCTTCTGTCTCGTCCTCACCAGCCGTTCTGTCCAAGCCTCCAGCCACCCCTAATAATCACATGTAACCATGTAACCGGGTAAACCACGCGACTCGGCCGAATTGATCAGACCATTAGAGAAGATCCTGGAAGACAAACAAGACAACGGCGGTGTCTGAAGACTCGAAGATTAATAAGAAATATTGAAAGAACACGAGACTAAAAAGAAAAACAACCAAAAATTACAGGTACGGGTTACAGATACAGGTACAGGTACACATCCGACGGGCCAACCTGCCCAACGTGGCCCACCACATCCGACACCACGAACCGGCACCGACCGGAAAAGACCAAAAAAAGACCTGAAAAGCCCAAGTCCGAGTTTCAGCATCTCACCAATCACACTTCCTCAATGCCCCAACGGGACGAGAAAAATGGACCGCGCCACCCACCTCATAGGCTCACGATGCGTGGCTAATCAACTCGAGGTGATTTTCGGATGTGAACCGACTCAAGTGTCCAATAGAGTCGAAAGGCGAAAAGAAAGAAAAACACACACACACACACACCGGGACCTGACACAGTGGGGAATTCTTGTGTACACCGCATATATCCGTTTCCAACTTACCCAACTAGGCTAATTCGTGAGAATACTTCGCACTATAAATTGTTAGATAATTTTCTTCAGACATCCGCGGAAGTATCATCACCGTGCCGTGGACTCGGGATTCTCTGTTCGGGATTCTCTGCGCTGGGAAAGCAACTCCCCCCCCTCCTTGGCTTGGCCACGTAATTTGGCTTTCGCACCCCGCGATGGCAATGGCAATGGTCGAAAATTTAAAATTGTCTTTGCAATAGAAAAAACATGATCATGATACTAGAGTACGATACTTGATGTAATTTTTTTGGCTATTATTATTTCCCGGGTTCGACATCTCCCATGTGATTGCTCGTACCAAAGGATGCAGCCGCCGACCGCGGAACGCCGGTTGCAGTTGAGTAATACACTGTAAGCGAACATGGAATGCTGGCCCTGGCTCTCTTGGCTGCCTGAAATGTGCATGCAGACCACGGATGATTGGGTCGAGAAGTCCTGGAAGAGGTGAGCAGGTGCGAGACATTTTCCCAATTCAATTTTTTTTTTTTTCCAGACTACTGATCATAGTTCGTGGTGAGTTTGGAGGTTCCGGGTCATTGGAAGTTGGAAGTTGGAAGTTGGAATTTGGGGAGTGATGTGGCGGAAAGGCAAAATCAGGAGTCGTTTCGACTTTGACCATGAATACGGCCACACTGCACAATGCTTGAATGGGTGTGAGCTGATTTCATAGTTTTCAATTTTTTTATTTTTCATTCCCCCATTCGGGCGTATCGCTCGTAGAAAGATCCAGGAACGGCTCAAGTTCAGCCTGCATCCTCGGCAGAACCAGTCGTAGCCCCTGACAAGTGTCGATCGCGCGAGCCGTCTCGGAGCGCGTATCGGGCAGGAAAAATAGGCATCTCAGTTACGTCGGGACAGAGTAGCATTGTCCCTCCTGTTCTAAGCCTCTGACTTTTCCCTCTGGGAACCTGAGAACCCGAGAATCGATGTGTAGTTAGTCTATATGCTACATCTTGGTGGAGCCGCATCTCGTGTCGCGTTGCGAGGGTCAGGGGGTGTGAATGGGGGGTGGAGGGCCCCATCTGGAGTCAGATTAAGCATATCTGCGTGTCCCATAGCTATTTCTCCGTTGCATCCATGTCCGGTGCCCACTGGCGGTGGGGACTTGGTTTGGTGGATCTACAGGATTCGGGGGGGATCCCAGCGGCGGAATGGTACTGGGTACGAGAGAGGGTAGTCGGTCGACCGGGTTGATATGCGACGGCTGGAGTTTCTCTATGCGGACGACGCAGGTGATCTGTGTTGGCTCTGCTGGTATCTTAGTAGATTGGATGGTCTTCATATTCGATGCGCTGAGTGAGAATTGCGAGTTTCACGCTGTCGTCGAGGTACCCGATACATGAGCATTGGCGACAGGGGGCTGTGATCGGCCACGCTTGTGCCCTGCAACCGGCCGGTAGTCGATAATCTGATTAAAATGTATCTTTTCCTTTATGAATCGTTCCTCTGGAGATATCCAATCATCTTAGCTTGCAGTATTTCGCTGGGGTGCACGATATATATCGCGCAGGAAGCCCCAATGACCAACTCAACTGCACCGACTTTCCACCTTCGTCAGAGGTAAGCAGATTCCTGTCTCCAAAACAACATTAGGAGGTTTCCCATATCAAACACACATTCCAGAACTACTCACCTGCACTACACCTCTCCACATTACCCTTTGCCCACGTTTATATGTAGATTGACTACGATACGCATCTGGGGCCGGTGGAGCCCTGGAGACATGTGATGGAGTCCACTCCATCACGGGAACCACTGTAACCCAATTTTGAGCTACGATGGGGCACTGGGTCTCTGGTTCCAGAAATTATCTAATCAAGTGGTGCATCGATGGAAGATGTCAAGCTGTCCGCGGATGGTGGTCAACTCCATGTTGCGTACACATCGGTCGCAATCAAGATACTGAAGTGGACACGATAGTGGGAAATAAGATCCATCGCAAGTTTAGTGGATGGAAATAGGTGCGGCATCTACAGTATACCCGCGTATGCGGACCGGACGATCAATTATGGTGGCATATCTAGCTTCATGTACACGAAATTATTAGGGCCATGGCCTATAGTCCCCGCAAAGTGACGAAATTCCTCCCCCGAAACCCAGTCACTCCCCCCCTAATCCCACATACTGAACCTATGCTGTAGTACAGCTCACGACTATACATCTGCCGCTTTACTCGAAATGGTCTCCCGCTCCGTCTCCCTCTTTTCCTCGGGCTCGATTCCGTCAACAGGAATCGCATGAATGGCATGCATAACATTCACAACTGGACCAGTGAACCACTTTCGAGCATCAACAACCCACCAGATCGTCACAGCAAGCATGGGACCACCCCAAACAAGACAAGTCCAGTTCATCATATCCGGCGTCAAATCACCCTTGGTAACACTGGGCAGACACAAGATTGGCACCAGGAGAAGAACGAACAACACGCCGACTCCTCCGATCCAAGGACTGAATGCACCCAAGTGCCACGGACCCCTGTGGAAGCGGTCTCCGACGAAAAATACACGGATCGCGATGGGGATGGCAAAGGCCACGAATTGAGCGATGGCACCAATGGAGAATAAAGCGCCGATGGCGGTAGTTCCGGCGAGAATGAGCAAGCACATGAGAATACCCAGGACACCATTCAATATCACGGCGTTGACAGGGGTGGAGGTGGTCTTGTTGACTTTCTTCCAGATGTTCGAGTATGGGAAACAATCATCGCGTGCATATGCATACGTGACTCGTGACGCAGCAACCATACATCCTTGCCCCATGGAGAAACCACAGACGATGGTCAACCCGAGGATGCCCAGCGCGACTCTCTGAGAAAGGACTTGAAGGAGGTATGACGCCCAGGGCTGGCCGAGGTCAGAGTCAATCACGGCGCTGATATCTGTGACTGTGTAAGCGACGACGAGTTGGAGGAACCAGCCCATGACGCCGCCGACACCGGATGTCATGACAATTGCGCGGGGCGAGGCGATATTTGCGTTCGAGCACTCCTCTGATAGATGGAAGGGAGAGTCGTAGCCTGACATGGTCCAGATGACGCCGACAAAGGTCATGAGCACAGCGATTCCATTCGGGTAGTCTGTTTGGTTCGTGATTGTGTTCCAGACATCATGGGAGGAGTTGAACTTGGGGCTATTGGTTGTTGCGGCGGGGATGACGATCAGGGTTGCGACAAGAGCAAGTATATTGAATGTCGAGCCGTACGAGTTGACCTGAGCGACGCGTTTCGTTGGGAGGCTGCTAATTACCGAGTGTATGATGATGATGAGTGCTGTCAGGAGGAAGATATGCCAGTTTTCCGGGACATAGCTCGGGTTGGTGATCGAGACGGCGGCTAGGATCATTGCTGATAGAGAGTAATCCACCGACGGTGCACCAGTGATTTGTCCAATCCAGTTGGACCACCCCGTCAACCAAGCAGCTAACGGACCATATCCAGGAGGTGCGAGCACGGCGGCGGCGTAATAGAGACCTCCGCTGGAAAGATGCACTGGATTAGAACTCTGTGTGAAAGATTCTGATGATGAATTGAGGAGAGGCTGTACCTGGTAGGCATGGCCGAGCACAGCTCAGCCATTGCCATTGCGATACACTGGATGGGGATCATGGCAATGATCCAGCCCCAGACCATACCCGCGGTACCAGCATATCCCATGCCTTCCCAAAGGATTAGTGCTGTGCATCACAAGATGGAGTGGAAGGGTACTTTACCATAGTAAAGAGTACTCGCAAACGAAGGCAGTAGACCGAGTACCGCGAAACTAACACAGAAGGTTGTCCACAAGGAGAAGTCGCGTTTGAATTCCTGTTTGTAACCTAGGGCCATAATCACTCGCTCATCGGCATCTATCTCATGATCCGTATATGGCACGTCGCCATCTCGGAGAATGGATGTGACAGGCGCATGGTTATCATCGTAGATGCGGCTCTTAGAGCCTTTTGAGGTTCCCGAATCTGTTGTTTTGACCTTCATTCTTGTACGGTGACCATCCGAAGGGGTGGATAATGATATCAGGGAGAAGGGCGGAGACGGGTCTGCCAAAAAAAATAGCAAATATCGAGAGCCAGATTCCACTCTAGACTTGAGATCTGTCAGAACAAGGCAAGATCTTACCCCGGGCGAGATAGCTGATTTAAACAAGCCGTCGTTTCATCGAGGAAAGGAATTAGCGCACAGCTCGGTAAGAGTTATCTACGAGACACTTTGTTCCCTCTCCACAATGACGAGAGACCAGGGAGCTTCACCAGTGCGTGTCCACAGCCGAACCATGCAACGGCCTATCTGATGTCCGTGGGACTAGTGAATGGTACAAGAAGGAAGCCGGAAGGAAGCCCAAGGTACAGGGAGGGGACCTTCCACTTCATCTCCGTGTTTATGGACATGATAACGGGCCATTTCACGACAGTCATATTCATAATTCATAAAGATAACCTTTGTACCACACTTCGGTTGCACAGAATCACTCATTTGATTCGCGCATTCGATCAGCGCCGCATGACTGCTCCGCACAGCAGATCTTATGATTCGTAGAATGAGTGACTCGGATGCCGTAAAAGATCGATAGGTGGGATCCGTGCTACCATGGTGAGCTTGGCAAGGGAGCTTCCATACCCATCAGGGAAGTTTCAGGCGTTTGACAGTCTGAGAGGCGAAGGCGTCGCCTTATCAGTGGTGATGTAGATAGTAGAGATAAGCCCGAGCCTCCGTGCGCGATGATGTCTAGTTGCGAATCCCTAGGTGAGGACAGCCTTATCGGACAAGGGGCTGGACCTGCCCGGAATGGTGAAGCGCGGCCCTATGTGACCCGGTGCGTGGCGCTCGATACTTCACTACTCTGTGCATAGATTCTATAGATCTCTACCTTGTGGCTATATCCTAGTCTCTACCTCTACCTACAAGGTTTCATGCAGGATCCATTCACAAAGAAAATCATCTTGGAGTTGGTTGGAAACGGTTGCTTCTATGTGCTATTCAAAACATAAAAGACCTCTATTCTACACTTGGGAACCCCTTCACCTCCAATGTCGGGGCGTCCGACATGGCCATCCAGGTGGAAACCTGGATCATTTAGAAGGGCTGATGTGTTGTTAGCATGGGCTCCACAGCAGGCCATGTGAGATAACTTACGTTGTCCTCAGGGGCAACAGGGTTGTCGTAGTATGCGTCCAAGAAGGGGATCTGGCGGATGACATCGCGGTTGACACGGGGGATATCGCCGAAAAAGAACAAGGCAAAGGTGCCAGCGGCGACACCGAAGCTACCAGCGATGGTACCACTAGCATTAGAAGTCAGTTCGAGATTCCTGGACAAGACCGTGGAGAGGCCCATGATGCGGTTGAGGGAGGGCCGCTTACGCCTTGACAGCGGAAGGCAGAGTGAAGCCAGCGATCGAGCGCTGGACGGAGATCCTGTAGCGAGGAACATAGATTAGCTTGAAATTCCATTAACTCAGTCACGCCATGTCAAAGTTTCCCAGGAGAACTGATAGTTCGCACTCCCCAAGACCCCCGAATGTCACTAGCCGAGCCGGGCTCAACCGTGTCATAGGTAGGACTACAGGGTCGGGCAACTACACCAAGCCTTCGGGCCCGACACAACAAGACCCTTTCGGTCGACCGAGGTCTTGTCTCATGGGTGTCCATCTTGCATATTATGACGGAGTTGAAGAGTTGGTCCGGGGAAGGCTCACTTGGGGCCAAAGGCAGAGGGGGCCTGGGCCGCGGCGCGGCGGAGAGTAGGAGTGAAGACCTATCAACCTTGTTAGTCGGTCGTTCCTTCATCTGCTTTTACATGTTCCGCGGTCATCCCGTATGACCTGGTGGCCGGCTATCCGAGACGCGATGGCACAACCGGGGGAGTCCCAAACACAGCAAAGCGTGGGCGCTAGTTCTGAAAATATGGGCGGGGTCTTGGATTGCGACGGCAGCAGACTCAACGTACCATTTTTGTCAGCGAGGGCAGGTCGTGGGACAATTGCTCGAGAGAGGGAGTCGAGCTGGGACAGCGTGGTCGACGAAAACCGGGTGCGCCCGAACCCACAGCCAATCAGCGACGATATGTGTGACAATCACGTGACACGGAAACATGGAGCCAATCAGAGAGTAGCAATTACTCCGATTGAGAGACGCATACAGTTGGAGTATAGAAAAAGTGCAGTGGGCACTCTTATGAGATGAAGCGATCGAAAATAAAATTCTCTATGATGTTGATTTCAAACTAAAAACTAAGAGAATAGGACACGTGGAGGTATGTGCTTCAAAGCTCCGACTTTCAGAGTGCAGAGATCAATGAAACCGTGAAGACAGCCTGGAATCCATCAAATACAGTCGAATAAGGGGAAAATTATAACAATCGTGTAGCCAAACACCTGATCTGTACATGCGTCTCATTAGTCGACCTTCCCAGTCGAGCCACCGTTCAAAAGTCCCTCCTTGCCGTCTAGGTGGAAGAAGCCGCCGCCATTGGGCGAATTGCCTAGAATACCACCGCGGCCAATACCCCGACGCAGCAACCGACCGCGCCCAAAGATGGCGGCTACAGCCACTGCCAGACCCAGAAGAATGAAGAAGAGGACGGGGTGAGCGTTGAGGAAGGAACGGGTGAAGAAGAAGAATGTCTCGATGGTGCCCACAGTGGACTTGGGAGACAGCTTGGGAGGGGAAGAGACGACCAGAGGAATGGTCTCAAGAATAGAGGTACGCGAGGCCATGATCGTGGCGCCACTCGAGGCGGTATCCCAGTAGCGGCGGTTCTGTTCTAGGTGAGTTTGAATGCAAGCGTGGGGAGGATATTATAGAAACTTACATCTTCATCGTTGATGATCACACGATCACCTTTCTCAACATCGATACCATAGGTGGTGCGAACCCAGCGCTCCCAGAAGTCGCCATCCACCCAAGCAAAGCCCACGGCCTTCTTGTCATCCTCGCGAATGGTAATACGCATATTCTTGGCAGCCCGCAGAGCGCGTTGGTCATCACGGTCATCAGCTTCTTCAATACGCAGCTGCTTGGCATCACGGAGCTCGGATCGCTCTAGGCGGAAAAGTTGAATTTGCTTGTCCATCCACTCAAAGGCGGCCTCCTTTAGTTCACGCTTGGACTGCTTGAAATCATCGGAACGTCGGCGGCTTAAAATACCAAGAACAACAAATTTTCCATCCATGATCTCCCGAGCGTTCGAAGCGGTAAGCTCAGGAAGAATCGGGAGCCACACGGTCTGCATCCAGGACAAGACTTGTCGGAAGTCTCTCATGTCCTTAGGAGCAAGAGCATTGTAATAAGTGGGGCGTCCTTCGCGAACCACCAGAAGGCGCGGCCAGGTGGAGATTTTGAAGCGGTCGGCCAGTGCGGGACTGCTGGTCTTGACAATGCGAGCATGTCCCACCAAGCTAAGAGTGAGACGGTCCATCGCCTTGAAGTCCTCGGAGGTGGTTGCCTGGTCATAGAAGTACAAGAAGAGAACCTCCTCGGTCTCTTCTAGCTCCATGAAGGTATGCGCATCCACATCCTCAATGCTAGAGCCAACACCAATTGCCTTGTTCGTGTACGAAAGCAGATCTCCAAGACCACGCAGACCAGTGTACTCCACTCTCTGGCCGCCCCGGAAGAAGTAGATAGTAGGGAAAGCATCAACCCGCGCGTCCTGGCAAAGGCGACTTTCAACCTCACAGTTCACCTCTCCAATGTTCAGGGTGTCCTTCATTTCCTTGGCCATTTCCTTCCAGTTTGGAGCCATCGCCTGACAGTGGGCGCACCACGGTGCATAGAACTTAATGAACCATGAGTCCTGGGTGTTTGTCACAAGTTTCTGGAAGCTCTCGGCAGTCAAGGGAACAGAAATACCCTGAGGGTTGGCGGGGGCGGGCGGTGGCTTGACCTTAGTTTTGGTCGTGGTCTTGGAGTCCGTGCTGACCTTGGCTGCGGCTCCGTCGCTTGCCTTTTGGGCGACTAGCTCATTTTGCTTCTCGCCTGCCTTGATACCCGCCTCGGAGTCCTTGTCTTTGGCAGCAGGGGAATCAGGCTCCGCAGTGGAGTCGACGCCTGGTGCGCCAACTTCGGGAAGCTTGACGCCCTGCGGGGGTCGAGATCCAGGCTTCATCGACTCGAGCTTCTCTTCAATGAGTTTGCTCAGATCCGGAATCAACTGCACGCCGACACGAGGGTCCTTTTGAACACCGTTGTCGTAGAAGGCGAACGTGGGGTAATTGGAGATGCCGAGTTTCTGGCAAAGGTCACCATGGGCGAGACAGTTTATAGAGCCGAAATGGAAATTGTAGTAGGCAGTGAATCCGTTCGCAGACTTTGGATCTGGGGACTTTGCGGAAGAAGGTGCCAAGGGATTGGAGGTCTATTTCTCGCGAATCAGTATTGATTTCCACTGGGATGCAACATCTGGGGCCACGCACGTAGTAATATTCGTATACGGTCTGGAAGTAAGGCGCGGCCTTCTTGCAATGGTGACAGGTCGGCGAATAATGTTTAACAATCCTGGGCCTGTCAATATGTGTTATCCAGCGGGGGGGGACTTGGGACTAACCAAGTACTATCCTTGGTGGCCTCCTCGAAATTCTCCGGGGTCAGTTGGAACAATGCAGGCACGTCAAGGCCGTTGAACACCGAGGGAACATCAGGATCAACTGCATTGGTGCCCCATCTCTTCACCAGATTATTGCCCTCACTCAACTCCGAGTCCGAAGGCGCGGCCAATGTAGGCACGGCCAAGAATGAGAGGAGCGACCATCCCAACCAAGAAGCCTTCATGGTGGCGATTGGAGTAAACCGGAAAGTGTGAATATCGAAAGAAAGTGAAAAGGGGCCTATGAGGGCCAGAACGGGAAGGTAAACGAGGGACGCTGGTCGAAGGGGGTATGCGAAATATCACAGGTGGCACATTGGATCTGGGTGACGAAAACTGTCTTAGTGAAGTTGAACAGCCAGTTGCGAGGGATCAACGGGAAGGACCAATCCCGAAGCCTTCAGAGACAGCAGCAAACCACACTCTGTCTGAGAGAGTTGAGACTTTGCGCTCGCGTGTAGATGAGAAGATCAACGGATGTGGCTGCCCCTGCCTGTCTCTTAGGGTGGAACGGCGAGTTAATCCGGTCCGGTCCGACTTCAACCTCCCGCTCTCCCTGACCTTGGTGAGTGTTGCGCCCATACATATACAACCCTGCCAACCCTCAAAATGCGTCCTGCACTCCGGCTTCTGGCCAATTCCAAGCCCCGGTACCTGGAGCCTTTCGCTCCTACCGGATTGACCGGCCTCAACACTCACCCGAGCCCCCGTCCGACTTTGATCTACTTGTACACATCCACTCTTCAGAAGTTGCAGGCTTTCCCCGAGAACTCTGCCTACCGCAAGTCCGTCGAGGCTCTTAGCCGCCACCGACTTCAGATTGTTGAGGCGCACAAGCCCACCGGTTTCGATGCCTGGTTGGAGCGTGTGAAGAAGACCGTTGGTGCCGAGCCCGAGCGCTTTGCTCAACTCCAGCGTCCCGACGGCTCTTTCTCTTTTGTCGCCAAGCAGGAGGCCGATTTTACCGATGAACCCCGTGGCATGGAATGGGATGGCGAGAAGATCACCCTGGGAACTGAGGGTCCTGCCCGTACCGCTCAAGAATCCGCTGAGTGGCACAAAATCATGGAGGAGGCTACCACAACGGCCGACAAGTCCGAGGCTGATCACCATGAGCTTTCTATGAAGTGGGAGAACGAGCCTGCTCTGACCGCCGACCAGTAAGTAGACATTACCTCGTAGGCTGAAGCAAAATGACTAACAATCGACATAGAATTTCTGCCATTGAGAACGAGATCGGCGCCGGTCTTATTGAGGAGGTCATTCAGGTTGCTGAGCACGAGCACGAGCTCGTTAACGAGATGCACAAGAAGAAAGTGTAAGTCAAGCACGAGGCTTGTGGCTATAATCCAAATTGCTGACGCGATTACAGTTGGGAGGAGTTGGAAGAGAAGCCCGCTCCTGGCCAGTGGTCTTACTTTGAGCGTGGTAACTGAAGATAAATCGGAAAAGGCTAGATGCCGATTTCTGTAACTATTAGAAGACGGATTGTTCGAATAAATTTCTTTATGATTTCAATCTGTTTCTTGTCACGCTTTTCGTGTCCGACTACAAAAGACCTACGTCTACTGGGCACTTAATTAACTTCGTTAGCTCCTTGTACCGTCTCAATCGCGGAAATTACTTGAACGTCCATGGCGGGATCTAGATCTGGACGTTGAATCGGATGCTTTTCGGTCTGGTAGGGTTCCCAGAAAACGACATGTTCTTCATCAAGTCCAATTCTTCCTCTATAGTCATGGTATATAAAAAACAGGGTGTCTCCAGTTTCTTCATTGTCAGAACAAAATGTATTTCTGTTCCTGGTGGGCTCCTCGACTGCGTAATTGAGACGCGGGTGCCTCAAGGGAAGGCGGTGAGTGTCGGCGGGAATCCCTTGTGGACACATACATTGTCCCTGAACGGCCTTCAGCTCTCTTCCAGCAGGGAAATCTCTGTGGTTCTTGTTTTATTTCAAGCTGATCCCGAGGATCATTCGTCCCACAACTCTTGGGCTGTCTGAGCGGCTCGCGGAAACCCCCCCTCGCTCTCACAGGCCCGAAGCCGCATCTCACAAACACTCGTCTCATCCCCACACACCATGCGGCTCGACGTTAAGGTACGCAGACCTCCCCAAAGCAATGGATATTGCTTTCCGCAAGCTCGGCGACGTGAATACGGATGAATTGGAGTGGCATTGGAGTGATTGCTGACGGATATGGCGTGCATCAGAGGCAGCTCTTTGCCCGCTCGGAGCGGGTGAAGGGCATTGATTTCCACCCCACGGAGCCATGGGTAAGCTTTGATAACACTTCTCAGGTTGAAGTAACAATGCTAATTAAGCTCTAGATCTTGACAACCTTGTACAGTGGTATGTCCGCGCAGAGGTAGCCCCCGCAACACGCCCCAGCTGCTAACCTCTCACCGGCAACAGGTCACGTCTACATTTGGTCATATGAGACGCAGGTATGTCGGGGATGGCGTTTCTAGTCTTGAGTATCCAGGACTAATGCTTCGTGTCCACAGTCCATCATCAAGACTTTCGAACTCACCGATGTCCCCGTTCGCGCCGGTCGATTCATTGCGCGGAAGAACTGGATTGTTTGCGGTTCAGATGACTTCCAGCTCCGTGTCTACAACTACAATACCTCCGAAAAGATCACATCCTTCGAAGCACACCCCGACTACATTCGCTCAATTTGCGTCCACCCGACCCAACCATTCGTCCTCACCGCAAGTGATGACATGACAATTAAGCTGTGGGATTGGGAGAAGGGTTGGAAGTGTGTTCAGGTCTTCGAGGGCCACAGCCATTATGTGATGGGAATGTCCATCAACCCCAAAGATACCAATACTTTTGCTTCGGCGTGTCTGGACCGGACGGTGAAGATCTGGAACCTTGGCTCTCCTCACGCCAATTTCACCCTGGAGGCTCACGAGACCAAGGGTGTCAACCACGTCGATTATTATCCTCACGCTGATAAGCCCTACCTCCTCACAACCTCGGATGACAAGACAGTCAAGGTAAGTAATATTGCGTCCTGTAGCAAGTTCCTAGATATTAACATATAGCAGATTTGGGACTACACCACCAAGGCGCTCATTGCCACTCTCGAGGGCCACACCAGCAACGTCTCGGTAAGTGACTGATTTGCTGATGATTTCCAGCGAATAATATTTGCTGATTCAAACCCCTCAGTTTGCTTGTTACCACCCTGCGCTTCCTGTAATTATCAGTGGTTCAGAAGATGGCACAGTCAAAATTTGGCACGCCAATACCTACCGGTTGGAGCAGTCACTAAGCTATGGCCTGGAGCGGGCATGGTGTGTTTCTTACCAGCGTGGTGGACAAGGAATCGCAGTTGGTTTCGATGACGGTGCCGTTGTTGTGAAGATGGGTCGGGAAGAGCCTGCCGTTTCAATGGATGGATCTGGCAAGCTCATCTGGGCCAAGCACAGTGAAGTTGTTTCATCAGTCATCAAGGGCGGCGATGCTAGCTTGAAGGACGGCGAGCCTCTCTCTTTGCCCACTAAGGACTTGGGTACATGCGAGGTGTACCCGCAAACCCTTAGTCACTCGCCCAACGGACGCTTCGTCTCTGTCTGCGGCGATGGCGAGTATATTATCTATACCGCTTTGGCGTGGAGAAATAAGGCCTTCGGTCAGGCTTTGGATTTCGCTTGGGGCTCCAAGGATAACAGCAACGATTACGCTATCCGCGAGTCCGCGACGAGTGTCAAGATCTTTAAGAACTTCAAGGAACAGAGCGGTGGCCTTGATGTTGGATTCCAAGCAGAGGGTCTGACTGATGGTGTTCTCCTTGGTGTCAAGGGCCAGGGTGGTATTGGTCTCTTTGACTGGGAGAGCGGCTCGCTAGTCCGGAGAATTGAGGTTGATCCTAAGAACGTGAGTTACACTGATAACAGCCTTGGTCGGGATCAATGACTGACTGTTGCTCAATAGGTTTACTGGTCTGAGTCCGGCGAGTTGGTCGCACTTGCTTGTGAGGATGACTTTTACGTCCTCCGCTACTCTCGCGAGAACTACATTAATGGCCTGAACAATGGCGAGGCTGACGAGGATGGTGTCGAAGCTGCCATGGAGCATGTTGCTACCATTAATGAGTCTGTCCGGACTGGTGAATGGGTTGGCGATTGCTTTATCTACACCAACTCTACCAACCGCCTGAACTATCTTGTCGGCGACCAAACCTACACCATCTCCCATTTCGACCAGCCCATGTACTGCATTGGCTATATTCCCCGCGACGGTAGAATCTACGTGGCCGACAAGGACGTCAATGTCGTCTCTTTCGGCTTGTCTCTCAGTATGGTTGAGTACCAGACCGTTGTCCTGCGTGGCGACATGGATATGGCCGCTGAGCTGCTCCGTGATGTGCCCCAAGATCAAATGAACAAGATTGCACGATTCCTCGAGGGACAAGGCTACAAAGAACTGGCGCTTGAGGTTGCCACAGACCCTGAGCATCGCTTTGACCTAGCTTTGTCGCTGAACGACCTCGAGACTGCTCACCAGATTGCGCGCGAGGCCAATGCGGAGCACCGCTGGAAGCAGGTCGGTGACGCCGCCCTGGCTGGCTGGAACCTCGCCCTCGCCCAGGAGTGCTTCACCAACGCCAAAGACGTTGGCTCCCTGCTTCTCTTGCACACTGCCAGCGGCAACCGGGCAGGTCTCAAGGCGCTTGCCATCCAGGCCTCCGAGTCTGGCCTGCATAACGTCGCCTTTTCCACTCTCTGGTCACTGGGAGATGTCGATGGCTGCATCGACCTTCTCGTTGCGACTAACCGTATCGGGGAAGCCGTCCTCTTCGCCCAAACATACAAGCCCTCCCGTGCCCCCGAACTGGTCGTCCAGTGGAAGAGCTCCCTTGAGGGAACCGGCAAAACCAAGGTCTCCCGCCTGATTGGTGTTCCTCCTGGTGCCCCTGACATCGTCTCCACCGACGACGATCTCTTCCCAGAGTGGGATGAGTACCTCCGCATGGAGAAAGAGGGCGTTGTTCCCGAGCCCCCGTCTTCCGAGTCTCTGATCGACATCGACGGCGACAAAGAACCCGCATCCGCAACCAACGGCGGCCCCGAGACCGAGGTTGGGTCTGAAGCCGCGGCGGAAGAGGAAGAGGAAGAGGATGAGGATGCCGAGGTCAAGATTGACGCGGCTGCGTCAGCCGAGGCGGAGTAAAAGAGCAGACTGATCGGGTTGTATTGAGTACATGCTCGGAGATGCGTGGATAGAGCATCTGATTTCCGATCGACGAGTCGGCTGATTTGAATTGCGAGCGGCGTCTTAACGTGTGTCCGACTTTATTTTTTCTTTCTGTTTCTTAGTGCTGTAATTCCCTTGCGACATGCCTCGATCTTAGGGATGTCCGAGATTGGGTGATAGATTCAATGACAAGGAGCTGTTATACTTCAGTTGATACTGCGTAGTGAATGTAAAAACACATGAGGAGCCCTGGATAATTGTACATATTTATGGTCCAGGCTAGATGTTCCCATCTGAGGGCATTTCCTCATAGTTGGTACACGTAGGATCACTCGATCTTGTCACCACATGAGCTCCTGACGCATTGCCCTGGCTTTCCTAGGTGATCTCAAGTCTACTCATTATTAATTCTGAGATGACGGCCTGACCATGACAAGAAGCCGTCAAAGAAAATATAGTCGCATTGTCCATTTGAGTTTTCAATTGTCAAAGATACAGAGAGTGAACATCTCGCACCCGAAACCGAGCGGATACGACGAAAAGGATACCTAGGTGGGAGACAGGTAAAGACCGCTTGAGACATCAAACGAAAACAAGGGTGGAAAGGAACCTGCCTGTCGGGTGGGTGTGGGGATGACGCTGAGATAGATGACCAGAAACAAATCAGAGCGCTCTTTGGGAGAGGGTTGGAGAAAGATAAAGGGACAAGACGACACACAGCTGTAGTCTCAGGGGACTCCGACACCGAAATGCCACGGACTCCTTGGGATGGGAACAATGAGAAATTGAGAAAAAAACAAGGCAAGAAAGATGAAGATGGACAAGATTGTGATATATAGAAATCAGGACAAACAGTACAAAGGAAGATCGTTTCTATGAGCCTCTTCACGCACATCATTCTTAATCTAATTGGAAGTTGTTGCCCGGTGCAGGACCTGCACTTACTCCGGGATACTGCCAAACGACGGATCTTTGACACTACCACCTGCATCACCAAGTCCAGCAACCGGTCTGTTGTACGACCAGCCGGCAAACTGCTGCTGCATGGTCTGGGACAGAGCAGGACCATCGACGTACGAGTCCTGCGGGGCCTCGGAGGTGAACTCGCGGTCGAAGTTGTCTGTGTCACGAGCATCCAGCTGTGAAGCTGTGTTAGTTGCTGACTGAATAAACACAGGAGAAGTAAGACATACCACGTTGGGACGGAAGCTGGGCTCATACTTCCGCTGCAGAAGCTTGCGCCAGTCAATGTTGGCAAAGAAGTGGTGCGACTTGATCTCAGCGGCACCATTGGCACCAAGACGGCGCTGGGGATCACGGTCCAGCAGACGGGTGAGAAGATCCCGAGCGGCCGGTGGTACAATGTCGCTGCTCGGGAAGGTCAGAGGCTCCTGCAAGATCTTGCGGTACATCTCGTTGGTGTTCTCGTCATAGAATGGTGGTAAGCCAGTCAACATCTCATAGAGCAAGACGCCCAGCGTCCACCAATCCACAGACTTGGTGTATCCGTTGCCCAGCAGCAGCTCGGGTGCAAGGTACTCGGGAGTTCCACAGAAAGCTGTAATTTGTCAGATAAAAGAAACAATGGTCAAATTGGACAACACGAGATCTTACTGTTTGTTCGATCCTCATCCTTCATGTCCAACTTGCAAAGACCGAAATCGCACAGAGCAATGTGACCAGTATAATCAAGAAGAATGTTCTCGGGCTTGAGATCACGATAGATGACCTTGAAACCGTGAAGGCACTCAAGTGCGCACAATAATTCCGCAGTATAGAACCGAGCCCTATTGATGTCGAATCGCTGCTCTCTTTGCAGGTGGTGGAACAACTCTCCGCCGTTAACGAAAGCCAGGACCAGATATAACTTTTCAGGCGACTGGAAAGAGAATTTCAAAGGGACGATGAACGGGTTGTTGATCTGCGCCAGCACCGATCGCTCCGCAAGGGTATGTGTAACCTCGGACCGCGAGATAATGTGAGCCTTGCGGATGGTCTTGAGGGCGTAGATTCGGCCGGTATCCTTCTTCATGACCTGCATGACTTTGCCGAAACTGCCCTTGCCTACAACCTTCAGCAAGTCAAAGTCCTCCATCTTCAAGCTGCGCTGTCGGTTCTCGACAAAGGAAACACCAATCTTGATCGAGCCACCACCGAACTGGAGATCCAGCCATTCGGCACCCAGCTGACCCGCCTGGCGACCTTGATCCGCATGTGCGGCGGCAGCTTTTTGATTGTCTTTCTTGCTCAGCTTCGGGTCCTCAATGTACGGTTGAGCCTCCTCGAAACGCGGGTTCACCTTGGTCGCACCCAAAAAGATGTCCTCACTGCGGCCAGCGCCAGGCCGGGCCGCGGGGTTGCGGAGGTAAAGCTGAACATTCAGCTCGGTCTTTCGAGACACATCAAACTTGAAAGCTGTGCTGTCGCCCGCCCACAGGGGGTTTTCCGGAGAACCTGAGACGGCATCGACGAAGACCTGATTCTTTTCAAAATCGAGGAGTGCATAGGGAAGGTATTTGGTTGAATAGCGGCCGTGGGTGGTCGGGGCAGCATTGATCCCCCCCGCTAGTGGACTGGGGCCGACCGGACTGCACAAAGGAGCCCGCTTGATGGGTGGAGTGTGACGAGGAGGAAGTGCTAGGACGCATTGAAGAGGGAGCGTAGGAATTGTTCTGGAAGTGAGAGTTGAAAATCTGCTGGAAATGAGGAGACAGGGCGAAGCCTTTGCCCTCGTGAAGGGTAACAATGAGAATACCCGGCTGCACAGGGTTGACTGGGGGAGAGACCAAACACTCTGATGCGGCTGTTCAATGCGAAATTAGCACTGGGCTTCGATTAAAGAACCACAGGGGATCCATACCGATGCCATTTGAGGAGGCGGTCGGGGTAGAGGCGATACTGGGGGTTTGCGAGGCCGCGGGTGTCTCAGCACCGTCACCAGCGCCATTTGAATCGCCCTTGATGGTCGAAGTGGAAGACGATCGACCAAAAGAGCTCGTCAAGGGCGCCAGATGCGTCTCCTTGAGTTCTAGAGTAGCCGAGATCAGCCATTGCCGGAGGTCATCACCGCCTCATCTGCATAGGAGAGAGGGGCGGAGAGAAAGGAGGGGGAGGGACCAGGGAGACCAACTGAACATACTTTTGGTGAGCTTCCAGGACATGATGGCGGACTCAGGGCCAGTGAGGGTATCAAGGAGTTAAAGACAAGAAGTCAGAAAGTCCAGGATGCGATGCGTGTGGCAAAGACTGGACCACCAAGAAGTCAACATCGAAAGTTCCCAAAATAAGATCCGCGCCACGCAGTCCAGACCGTCGAAGCACCACCCTTACCTGAAATCGCACCGAAAGAAATAAAATGGAGTACACCAGGGTCGAGGAGAATGAGTGACCCGGTTGTTCTGGTTGACAGGAAACGGAGAGGAGGGGGGGGGGGCAAAGAAGAAGCCCGTGCCTGTGGAGATTACCCGATGGCCAGGGACGTAAGTGACGAATATTACACACTTAGATTCTCTGAAGTCCTAGCAAAGGGTATATGACATACGAGAATACCAGCTGAGTCAGCACTGTAGGACCGCGCCACGGTAGATCTCAATTGAGGCAGTGCCGACTGTGGCTACGTGAATGGTCGTCCAAAGAGGCATTTCATGTGCATTGTATCAAGTGTTCTGCTCGATTCCTTTGGACTGCAACTCTGGTATGCACCTTTGATTATTCTCGCACGCACCTCGGATTATCTCCCACCCGATCGACGATCGATACCCCGGAGTCTCACCTCACCTCACCTCATCTCTATCCTCCAAATCAGCATCGGTAATTGCCCTCTCAGAACTCTGGAGGGTGATCCAGGGCGTTCGCGACGGCTTTGGATATAGTGGAGGATGAACCGGACCAAAAATCGATGGGTGTAATACGCAAGAAGACCGCCTCGCGCGGCACCGAGGCTGGCACCAAGTTCCACTGCGACGTGTGTTCGGTTGATGTCACATCTACTGTGAGCTTTCATCACCTTTCTTCTATGGCCATCAACTAATTGAGGACTCGTGCAGGTTCGAATCTCCTGCGCCCATCCCTCCTGTCCTGAATACGACCTCTGCGTTCCTTGTTTCGCCAGTGGGGAAAGCTCCAAGAATCACGATCCGCAAACCCATCCCTTCCAAGTCATCGAACAAAACTCCGTCCCGATTTTTAAGAGCGACTGGGGTGCCGATGAGGAACTACTCTTGCTCGAGGGAGCCGAGATTTATGGTCTTGGCTCCTGGGCCGATATCGCCGACCACATTGGTGGTTACCGCTCCAAGGATGAAGTGCGCGACCATTACATCGATACATATATATACAGCTCCAATTTTCCCCTTCCCGATCACGCCGACCCAGATGATCATAGCCTTCAAGAAGAAATCTCGAAGGAAGAGTTCCAAATGCGCAAGAAGCGACGAATTGAAGAACGCAAGGAAGCTGCCAAGGCAGCTCCGCCCACAACACCCAAGCAGAAGCCTACTGCCAGTGTACCGGCATGTCACGAAGTGCAGGGCTACATGCCGGGTCGACTGGAATTCGAGACCGAGTTCCTCAACGATGCTGAAGAAGCCGTCCAGCATATGGCGTTCGAGCCCGGGGCGGGCATCGGTAGCAACGGCGAAATGGATGCAGAAGCAGAACTCAAGATGACTGTGGTGGATATTTACAACTCTCGACTCACAGCGCGTACTGAGCGCAAGAAGATTCTTTTCGAACACAATTTGTTAGATTATCGAAAGAACACTGCGCTCGAGAAAAAGCGCTCCAAAGAAGAGCGAGAACTCCTTAATAAAGCGAAACCTCTCGCACGAATGATGAGTCGCAATGACTTCGAAGAACTGAACAAGGGTCTCGAATACGAGCACAATCTTCGCCTAGCCATCTCACAACTCCAGGAGTGGCGACAAATGGGCATTGGCGACTTGAAAACAGGCGAAAAATACGAGCAAGACAAGCAGTCGCGTGTGCAGCGCATGTTGCCTCAAGGCTCGTTTGATCGGTTCGCCAGCGCTCGTCCCAACAAAGCCCAGATTCCCGAAACCTCTGCCGCAGCTGCCCAACTTACGACACCTGAGCTGCCCCTGCGGTTCCAGAAAGCTTCCACAAATCCCCACCAGAATGACTCAGAGCCATTGAACGATTTCGATCGTGCTTTCGCTACTGATGGCGACCCGGCACCCTCGCAATCTAGCAAGACGAAGTACGTCGTGCAGCCGCTGAGCGGAGTACCACCCTGGAAGCTGGACACCGAGGGTGCTGCTGATCTCCATCTCTTGACACAGGAGGAGGTGGAGGTGTGCAACGTGTTGCGCATAATGCCGAAGCCATATCTCGTGGTGAAGGAAACTTTGTTGAAAGAGGCAATGAAGCAGGGCGGCACTCTGAAAAAGAAGGATGCTCGAGCGATCTGCAAGGTAAGCTTCATATTGACCCCTTCCAATTGTGCATTACTCATTCCGTGACAGATCGAGGGCACCAAAACCAGCCGCATTTATGATTTTATGGTGCACAGTGGGTGGATCAGCAAAGGCTAGTGGCTGGGTTGGAGTGTTCTTTATTTTTATTTTGTCTACTAGTTGATATCCACATGTGTCGGTGATTATGCCCCAGCGTTTGAGTTCTTGGCGTTAATAATAGGGGAGAAGGCGGTGTTGATCTAATCGTGTTCATATACTGAGCGTACTAGGTGGTGTCCACCAACCTCGAATAGGAGAATGGTGAATCATGTGCGGACTTTCACATAAGTCAAGCTAAACTGTAGACCATGGCAAGGTGTGGAAATCAGTCAAATACTCCAAAAAGTCATCAAACGTATTTTGAGGAAAACCGATTACTGGACTAGGCCGAGCTCTCCGCATCGGCCCTCGGCATCTTCAGCTCTCCCCGCGTTTCTAGAATCCCAAGTCCACCTACCTCCAAGGCTCATCCAACGTCAATGAACTTGTATACAAACATAAATACCCAAGCGCAAGTCAACCAGTGTAGGATCAACTGGAATCTCAATGTCCAATTTCGCCACTCCACCCCCTCAACCCGAGGCCTCTCTCCTTTCCTTCCCAGCACCCCATGTTATCCTCGTCACGCTCAACCGGCCCCGCGAGATGAATTGCATCAACGCAAAAGGCCACGCAGACCTAGACGCAGTCTGGCAGTGGATGGACGAGGAGCCAAGTCTACGAGTCGGTATCTTGACAGGACAAGGGCGGGCGTTCTGCGCTGGCGCCGATTTGAAAGGTATTTACAAACTCACCAACAAATGATTTCCCCCCAGCTCATACAGCCCAGAATGGAACGCCAGTACCAGCGGCAATAAATCCAGTGCCCCAATGCCATCATCGGGCTTTGGTGGCCTAGCTAGACGAAAGGGCAAGAAGCCTGTGATCTGCGCTGTCAATGGGATGTGTTTTGGAGGAGGCGCTGAGATGATTATCAATAGTGACATTGTGATCGCTGCCTCGCGTGCTATGATCGGGTTGCCGGAGGTGAAGCGTGGCGTTGTTGCGCTTGCGGGTGCTTTGCCTCGTCTTGTTCGGACGGTGGGCAAGCAGCGTGCAATGGAGATGGTGTTGACGGGACGGTCGTTGAGTGCTGCCGAGGCGGAGAGGTGGGGCCTTGTGAATGCGGTTGTGGATGTTGATGAGAAGGCGAAGGACGAGGTGATTTCTGCTGCGGTCGTGTCGAGGGCTCTAGCTTTTGCCGAGGAGATTGCAGGGAACAGTCCTGATTCGGTCTTGGTTAGTCGGGAGGGGGTGAAGTTGGGTTGGGAGGGGATTGGCGCGGATGAGGCCACGGGTATGTTAAATGATACTTGGGTGAAGAGGTTGTATGAGGGGGAGAATATCAAGGAGGGGCTGAGGGCCTTTGTGGAAAAGAGGAAGCCTGTTTGGGTGGACAGTAAACTGTGAGTTACTGTGTCTGGCTTTTTTTTTATTTTTTTATATCATTTAGATGACTTCTTCGGGAGTTTGTATGAAATAGATGACGACAATGGGGTCTATCAAGTATCATTTACATAAGAGTCCTCGAGAAGTGCGCATTTACATTTTACGTTTGGATCATTGTCACAAACACAAGCTCCCAAGATACTTAGCTCAGATCCCACTCGCAAGATCAGGTACCTTTCAACAGTAAGCTTCATCGTGACCAGCGCCGAGTCAAGGCGTTTGAAGAGGCCTCGAAAAGCGGCTTGCATGAAATCGCTCAACTACGCCTGGATGCACTGCCAGCACATGCGCCACGTAGGTGGACGCACCAAACCCCCCTAGTATGTGTTCTCGACATTTTTTGACAAATACCTTTTCAAGTCCTCGAGCTTGCCATCGCATTTCCCTTCATTTTCGGTCCTCTTAGATTATCTCGCATTAAAGATGGAAATCCCATCACCTCAAGCGCTTGATAAAGTAGCCGAGGTTGTTTGGGCATCTCATATTCTCTTATATTGGAATCCTTACACCACTCCCATGTCAGATAAGCCTTTGCAGCCCAAACATACACTAAATGTTGATGAGACAACTGATGACGACGAGGGATATGATGATAGCCCTGACATTGACGAGACAAGTATAGATGCTGCAATCTTGTTCTCCAGGAGAAGTTTCTAAATAGTATCAGTGAGCTACTCGCCCACACGAAGGGCGGGAAACATGTTACTGCTGCCGCGTTGAGGGAGAAAGAAGATTCAATCGAGATTGACATCGCCCGAAACACCGGATTCAGGTGCGAAGACAAAAAAATTATCTTTCCTCGCTGGCCCGCTTCCTTAGTAGACGAGGCGAACGTAAGTAAAATTCCACTCAATGGAAGGATTTATTGCAGATCCTAATTGCCCGTCAAGGATTTTCGCATCAAAATGCCGTGGACGAACACGTATTTTTGCGTGAAACAATACTATACAACACTAGTCGCGTGGAAGACGGCGTGGAGATAGTGGAGCTTCTGAAAGGGTCACCATTGCGTCCTATCCCTCGCTCATCTAGTGGAACCCAGTCCAAGGATTTGACCTGTCTCCTTGGCTGCTGTTGCGAAGAGCACCCATTTGCTTCCAACGCAATCGAGAGTCTCATACCAGAGCTCCTTACTTTGGATTTCTTGAAGTCTAGATCATCGGCTCTACTGGAGAGGGATGATAAACTGTGTCAGTTTGTTGAACTTGCAGCCCTCGCCCTGCGCTGTTCACAGAAAACACATTTTAAGCTTAAAGAGATACTTCCTTGCGTGGATCCCTTGAGAGTCATGAAGAGATTGCGGGCTTTGGCAAGGCCAGTAACTGATCTTCATAACTCTCATCGAGTCGGGGAAATTTTCGAAAACAGTTGCTGTACAGCAATCGTCAGTGGTCTCTGAGTTAAAGTCTACGGACATCCTGATGCTCAGGCGGCAGCATGCACTTGGAGAAATAGTCGATGAGAGAAGCTAGAGATATCGGCAAAACATGCAAATCCTGTACCGACACATAACCTCCGCTTTGGACAAGAGATAACTAACAGTCTTGCAGGTTAAATCCCAGATCCGTCGGCCCCACGAAGGATAATTTATCGTGACTTGAAGAGCCTTTGCGTTATCTGCCAAATGCCCGGCCCCAAAGATGGTATGTGTCATCACTGCCAATCCACCTGGTACTGTTCCAAAAGAGATCAGCAATTAGATCAACCAGCGCACAAGCTTTTATGCTCACAGTACCTTGATTTTCGACAACACCGCCCATCGGACACGCACAAGATCGGCATTTGGTTTCCGAGAGATATGAAAGAGCCAGAGCTTATATGGGCACCCCATCGTTTCGAAAATGGACGAATATCATGCCGATTTCGATTCGTTTCTCGGCCCAAAGCATGCTGTGTTGTTCACTCTACCGGTTGACGAGAACAAGAGGCGGGGGGTAATATTGGATCACCAAATTACGATATACTATCAAGACTGGGATAAAAGACCAACCAAGACCAACCAACCCATTCAGCATGCTGTAGAAGCCTGCCATGGTATGCGAGTCCCCATACAACCTGTGTGGTGACTATGTTGCAATGAGTGGCAGGCGCGGGGACCCACCAACTCAATCGGTAAATTTTGATCGTGATTTCCCAAGCACTAAGATGGTTTCAGGCCTGTCCATGGCACTTGAAGATCCCATGTGAATATGCAAGCTCGATCGCGATGAACTGAACAATGGCACCATGCTACTGGATGAGCTGCCCGAGAATGCCTGGCAGAACCCCAATGCTGAAATTCTAGCATCTAACATAGATCCAGAGTCTGACGGCTAGGGCATGTCTAGTGGCTCTCCCTGGCGCTTCGATGGAAGTGTTATAGTCAGGCGGAGAAACGGGAGGGATCTGGATGTCGAATGGGTTCAGCACATATGTGCTTAGTATCTCGAGGTTCTTCCATCGCTCTATGCAAGCGCACTATCTGGAGAAATATCACGTGGTGATGTCCTGGCACAGATTACACTTGAGAAAATCATTGAATGGAATCGTTAGCGATGCCAAGAGACTTAATAAATCTCAGGGCACGACGTGGATTTGTTAAGAACATGTGATTTCGAAGATGATAAGTGACGAAGCTGCACTGTCATAGTTCTAATAGATTGAGAACTCGTTTCCTTCAAATGTTAGATTGACTATCAGAAGAGAATGGGAGTTGTATCGCAAGCAGAAGATCACACCTGAATCGGATTTGGCGTTTTTGGTTTACTCGTCAGGAACTACCGGTGTTCCAAAGGGTGTGATGCTGTCTCATAGAAATATTGTGGCCAACGTTCTGCAGCAGTATATCGGCGAGGGCGGGAACCTGAGCTGGGACGGGGGTCCTGACGGCAAGGGTGACCGGATTTTGGCATTCTTGCCTTTTTACCATATCTACGGTATGTCCGAGCGCTTTGTCCATACGTGTGCCATTATGCTAATTCGAGCTCTGCAGGCCTGACCTGCTTGATCACGCAGGCACTCTACAAGGGTTATCATCTTGTTGTCATGTCCAAGTTCGAGATTGAGAAGTGGTGTGCGCATGTGCAGAACTACCGCATTACATTTAGCTACATTGTGCCCCCGGTCGTGCTCCTACTGGGAAAGCACCCCGCAGTTGACAAGTATGATCTGTCCAGCCTGCGCATGATGAACTCCGGCGCAGCACCTCTCACACAAGAGCTGGTGGAGAACGTCTACTCCCGTATCAAGGTTGGAATCAAGCAAGGATACGGTCTCAGTGAGACTAGCCCTACCACGCACTCTCAGCGGTGGGAGGATTGGCGCGACTATATCGGCTCCGTTGGTCGTTTGATGCCAAATATGGAGGCTCGCTACATGACCATGCCCGAAGACGGCTCCGAGTCCAAAGAAGTGAAAGTTGGCGAGGTTGGCGAGCTTTACTTGCGCGGCCCGAACGTCTTCTTGGGCTACCACAAGAACCCGGAAGCTACAAGGGAGTGTCTATCGGAAGATGGCTGGTTCCGTACCGGCGACGTGGGTTACCAAGATGCTAAGGGCAATTTCTTCATCACGGATCGTGTCAAGGAACTCATCAAATACAAGGGATTTCAAGTTCCACCCGCTGAACTTGAAGGTATTCTGGTGGACAATGAGGCCATCGATGATGTGGCTGTAATTGGTGTCGAGAGTGAGGCTCACGGGTCTGAGGTGCCCATGGCGTGTGTCGTTCGCAGCGCCAAGAGCAAGTCTTCTGATTGCAACGAGGAACAAGAAGCTGCCAAGATCGTGCAGTGGTTGGATAGCAAGGTCGCCCCCCACAAGCGTCTACGCGGTGGTGTGCGCTTCGTCGATGAGATCCCGAAGAATCCTAGCGGAAAGATCCTGCGACGCATGCTGAAGCAGAAGTTCAAGAACGAGCTCCAAGGCCCGAAGGCGAAGCTGTAAATATCCTGGTTTCAGTATACAACATTGGAGTACATAGACGTCGTATTCATAACCGACACCCATTGCAAGATAATCAAAGAAATCAAGTTATTTTGGTCTGACAGAGATACACCTTGAATCTCGACCCGAAATGCGGTCGAGGCATCAGTCCTTAGGGGAAGAACCTCTTGATCATTCCCTCCACATCCTCCCCCTCAACAGCATCAATCTTCTCCTTCGCAACCTTCTCAACGGCCTCCTCCACCGGGACATCCCCATTAACGAGGTCAATCCACCCCTCTACATCATTCCTAGCAAGCAACTGATCGGCAACAATGGCAACATCCTCACGCGTTACAGTGCCACGCTCAGGCCCATTCGTTGTAATACCTAGCTCAACCTTCCTCGTAGCTGGTTCTGACGTCAAAGTTCCCGGACGCAGGTTGATCGCCTGGAACGGACCAGCCGCAGTATCCAGCTTACGGCGCGCGGCGAGCGCGGTCATATACTCGTCTGCTTCTTGCTTGGCTTTGGCGTAGGTGGGGAGGACTTCGGTTTTAGTGCGGACGATATCCGCCCATGTATCGTCGGGCATCCAGTGAGGTTGCTTCTTGCGGCTGCCGAGGTATGAGACCATTAGAAATTTAGTTACGCTAGATGAGGAGAAGGAGGCGGTCAAGAAGTGTTTGGCGGCTTCTTGGTCAATGGCGATTGTTCTGGCTGGGCCGCCTTTGCCGCCGGCACCTGTAATGGAGAGTATAAATTAGCCTCATAATTCGAAAGGTATTGGTAGATTGTGGTAGGTTGGTCAATGGATTCTAAGGCCCGGCACTGCGGAGATTGAGGTGGGGGGAAGGGTCGGGAGCTTACCGGCCGACCAAACCACATAGTCTGGAGTCACGGAGTCGAGGATCTTTCTGGCATCCGAGACACTCTTGACATCGTCCAGGCTGGCGACTAGCACGTCAATTTTGCCCTTACGGCCCTTGCCGAGTGCTAGGATCTCGCTCTCGTGGTCCGGGTTGCGCACCACGCTGGTGACATTCCAAGCTCTGTTGAGAAGGAGCGGCGTCATATGGAGGGCCACTTTGCCGTGGCCACCGAGTAGAAGGACTTGCATGTTGGATTATGGAGTTTGTAGAGGACCAAAGGAGTTGAAAGAAAGACAATTTGACAGATTCAGTGTCTACACTATTTCAGCTCACGCGGGGACCCAATGACGACACCACAAGACACCACAATGGTGCGTCCTTACCTAATCTCTACGTCCAAGTTGATGCCAAAGAATGCCTCGGTGCAAATTATCACTGAATTATATACAGGATAAGCCAAGGTCTATTGTACAAAGCATTTAGCAAGAAGCACCAGAAGGCACGTTCTCACACTTGCTGCTGGAGGAACCACCAGTGATCGAGACACCGGACCAAGTCCAGTCGGAGCAGGAACCATCACCGCAGAGGATGTAGACCTGCTCAGCATCACTATCAACGGAGCCAGTAATCGATTCCACGGTCAAATCGGTGATGGGAACACCGGTGGTAGGGGTACCGGTCGGGCTGCCGTTCTCGTAGTCCTGCTCAATGACAATGCCGTAGTCACTGATGCCGGAGAGGGTGATGTCGGAGAAGGTCACCTCAGAGACGGAGCCAGTCGCGTCGGAGATGGTCTTGATGCGGATACCGTTGGCCGAGTCGGTCACGGTCGAGTCCGAGATGGTCACGTTCTTGACGGTGTTGTCGTCGCGTCCGCCGACGGAGCCGATGGACAAACCGTGGCCACCGGAGCAGGAGCCACCAGTGAAGATGATGTTCTATATTACATATTAGTAGATGCTATATTGGTTGCCAATTGCCCATAGGCTCTACAGGAGAAACGCAAGAGATAAAGACACTCACAGAGCCAGAGTTGATAGCCAGGCAGTCATCCTGGTTCTTGACAACAGCGTTACTGATGGTCACACCAACGCTCTCACTGACATCGAAAGCATCAGTGTTATGGCCACCGGCGGAGTCACCATCCGAGTTATCAATGGTGATACTGTCCAGGACAATGTTGTCAGACTGGACGCTAAAGGCCTGCACCGGGGTGTTCTTGACGTTGAGGCCAGTGATGGTCGAGTCATCCAGGCTATGGGCGTAGAAGAACTTGGGCTTCGTCTTGCCACCGTTGGTGCCCTTGCCGTCCCACCAGCGAGCGCCGCCACCGTTGATGGTGTGGCCGGAAGTTCCGGTCACTTTGATGTTGGATCCCTCAATACGGATGAGAGGACCATCCCATTCTTCGTATCCGAAGGTGGTCTCACCGTCAAAGATGACCTATCTCCAAATTAGATGGTGGTTTCGAGATGAAACAATTTTGATTCATACCTTGGTGCCATCCTCGAGGTCGGAAAGGTCTAGAGTCTCCCCAGCAGGCACCTCGATGTTGTCCAGCACAATGGTGGAGCATGACTTCTGACTTTCGCTAGCCTCAGCGGCAGAGGTGAAAGTGCAGGAAGTGGCTCTCTTGACCTGGCTCGAGGCACGAGAAGCGGTAGGGAAAGCAGATGTCACGGCTGCGCCCAAGGCGAGCATCGAAACAACGGAAGAACGCATTGTGAAGTATTGTCCGATCAACAGACAAGAAAAGAGTGCAAGTAGAGACTAGCTCGAACAAATGGAATCGAAAGAATGAATGAGAAGGATGGATTGACTGGAAGAAAGCGATTGACAACATGGCACACCTTGCTATATAAGAATATACAAGATTAGCGGATGCAACATGAAACAGCTGCAGTGCTATCTCATCCCTCAATCAAAGCCCCTGTCAGGAAATCTGGATCCCAATAAATATATCACAACACCAATTGAAGCTTTGAGATGATCTCCACGATGCACATCATCGCCATGTTAAGAAGTCTTGTTTATTCTCGGCTTCGGCGATGGTCCGAAGGGACCCACCAATCATCCAGCAGCGTGTTCGGGCAATGCAAGGGCCGAGTATTCCTTTAATCTCGGAAGATGTTCGGATAAAAGAAAATATAACGGGGTTCGGGGCTTCCCGTTTCAGCTCGAGATGGATACATTTGTCCTCCAATGAGCAATCGATTGCTGGGTCTCTATAGAATGTCAGACACGCGTTCGTTGAGTGGGGCGGTGCTTGGTGTCTCATGTAGAGCCCTCGTGCCTGTGAACAGCGGTGCAAGTCGTGAGTTGCGGGCCATAGTGTGGCTCATCTATTTTGGCTACACGTTTTGAGATCACCACAATAGGGGCTTCATTGATAGGCTAGCTTGGCTGCGTTCAAGGTTAGCGAGACTCTTCTGCGGTACAAAGTACCCATGCCTTAAATATAAGGGGCAAATGTCACAGATCGAGGAAAAGAGACAAGATGAAATCATTTTGGAGGAGATTTTTCATCGACGCACTATACACAAGGTCGAGACCAAGCCCTTCCAAGACAAGTAGAGATCTACTATGTATGACCCGGGGCAATTTGGCAAGCCAAGCCTGATCAGCACTTAACTCATATGAGGTCTCTAATTCTAAGCCGCCTCGTGACGAGTCGATGGTCTTGACTTCGCAGATTATCAATAGTGAGGAAAAATCGATGAGAGTGCGACGAGCCGTCAGGCGAAGCCGAAGTTGATACTTCCGACCCTTGATATGACCCCTCCTCAACATGATAGGCTACCAACATGGAAGAGTGAGAATGCTGCGCCGCAATGGCTACCTCCTACACAAGAAAGCTTCTTCATCTGGTAAATATGCCGGTCGCGCTTGCTAAGATGCTATGACGGGGGCCGAGAAGATACGGGGGCCGAGAAGACTAAAAATTCCTCAACATGTCCACTATTGTCGACTGAGTAAAGCTGTTTGCGATGTTTTAGTGAGCCAGCACCTGAGAGTGTCGTACTAATGGGGGTCAAACCTTTGCAGTTGTCAATGAGCCAAAGGAACTGACATTCCACCGTCGGTAGACCTGCCTTAGGTCGCACTGTTCTTGTCGACCTGGTGCTGGATGGCGCTCATTTGAGAACATCACTTGAGTCAAAGAAAGAGAGTAATAGCTACTACGGCAACCTCGTGGACGTTTTCCCAGATTGACATTCCCAACATTGTAGGAGAGTTGGCGAACCGCGATATGCTGCAGGATTGGTGTGGTGTATTAAGCATCCAGGAAGTCCCCTGAACCTTTCAATGGCTCTCAGATATGAGGTCAAGCCTTGAGTACGGGGAAGGCCAGTAACTGCATTTGAGTCGTTACTTTAGCGTGATCATTGTAACGACTCTTCTCTATTGAAGTTTAAGCATTTGGAACTGTGACTTAGATTCAAATGGCCTGAACGTTGCTTTTCGATCCGTTCAATTCTCGAATCTCCCACTACTTTCAAAGCGTGACGCATGGCACTATGCAAGTACGGGAACGCGGATTGACGAGGGCTTCATCAGATCGGGACTGTAACTTGTTTGTGTAGATTCTCGACCCTCACGATTTTCTTCGTTCTGTTAAGTACAAGTCCCCGTGAGTTTGCGTGACTGTTTTTCTCTCTCTGGCTTGGTGGATTAACTATACCGACAAATAGACAAATAATTGCCTGAAAGAAGAGAGTGGGATTGTTGACACCACTTCCTAGCTTGGTTCTTCATTACAACCAGCAGATTTGCTGTGGTATATCTATGCCCTGCTTGAATTTTGTTTCATACTTCCATCCCTCGCAGACGGGCTTCGTTTCTCAAATATGAGCGCACAGCTGATGATATTTCCAGCACCAATTACGCTTCCTGCCGAAGTCGTGTGCACTCGAGCACTCGCCAGATTGTGCACTACCGGGCGCAATGGGTCTGCTTGCATCTACCGTCTTGACAACTACCTCATGGAAGATATGCAGCGTCGGCAGGAAAAAGAGTTTTACCACCAAACCACCTACAGCATATAAGTTTTCCGAGTACATGTCACCATCTGTGCATATATTTGAAAGAACACAGACATACTTGAAAGAGATCTATCTTTATACCCTTCACCTAGAACTCGTATAGAAGAACAGCATCCAAAGAACTTCGTGACCGGAGGGCTCTCAAAGGGAAGAGAACACGCCACACCACTTGTGACACGATCCTCGCGACTCGATGGAGCCTCCACAATTCCAATACGGTGGGCACATCATTCCATGTTGGCCTTGAGCAGTTTCAATACGGCTTCATTAGCTCTCGCGAGAGGACTTGACACGTCTGGTGGGATCTAGGTGAGAATTATATTGGCCGTAGCGACAATTGGGTGTTTCCAAATTCTCATGTGATCTTCCGAAGATTGCTTTGAACAATGATCATTGGTCAAAATATTTTTGAAAATTCTTGAAATTGCTCATGAATATGTGCATTTACAATGAGTTTGGAGTGTGATGCTTGAAGGATGAAGTACGTGAGTAGGAAGATTAGTCGTTGTGCTAGATACTTGGACCATGGGAGTCCGACAAAAAGCTAACGCGTTAGGAGCAAGTATCCATGCAAAAATGTTCCAAACTTGCAAGGTTGCTTACATCCACAGCAAATCTTGACGGCCGTTCCAAGCATTTCGAGTTTACCCGATCGGGCAGCACCGGTTAACCATTGATGAGCGCAGGTGGTCGTGATCCCATTGTTTACACTCACCGGTCTCTATATATTCAGGCGCGGCTAATGTCCGCACGACGTCATGCATCTCCTGCAGAGAGATCCATCAGTACCGAGATCCACACAAGGAACAACAAACCGATGATCTCCAGAAAAAATCAATTCATTGCTCTTCTAGAAAGACCGACCCTCTCGTGACTGTATATAGTTTAAGCGTATGTTACGGGGGCAAGTTATTTACGAAGCTCTTTCATATCCCCGCCCGAATCAGGACTAAAAGTCTACCCATAACTCAGCTCAGTCGAACAGCTCACGAAGTTCTAGATTGGCGTGCCCGGTCTGGGATAGATTACCGACACGGGAATGACGGTAGGGCACGGAAAAAGGGTCGTAAAGAAAATTCTATCACACGGCGGTTGGACAGTCGACTCCACTCCGCCTCCAAGGCTAGGGGCGCCGTTGTCGCTAAATCTCCAAGCGACTGCTTCATGGATCTTGCGATCAGCGCTTGGCAATGAAACGAACGAACCTCCGGGGACAAGACCCGAATTTCGTGGACAGGGAACGGTCGCGCAAACCCAAAATCAAGCCCTGGCAAGCCTCGATCGTGGTGAAACGATGGCTTGGAAGGGGAAAGCGGAGCTCGTGAGATTGAGGGTGCCCCGTTCAATATTGTTACCGGTGATATCGTCACGGTCGCTTTCTCTTGAAGTCACCGAGAGAGCCGCTCGATCTGAATTTGCGCCCGAGTGTATGGCAGGGACTTTCAGGGCATCGGTGGGTGGATTCCGAGTCGATCCCCGTGGACTTGTATTTAATCAGCATTACACGATGGTATTCTATATAGAGGCACTGGTAATCTATGTGGCTGTCTCTATGTGACTAGATATATATATCATAAGACGTAGAAAGGCTTGCAATTCAAAGTGGGCTTAGATCCAACGGGAAAGTAAGTCCTGTAGAGGGGAAACGGAGTCATGGTCCGGTGGACCTGGGAATACTGTATGTAAGTACCGGTCCGTGGATCCAATACCGGCTCCACTTAGGCACACTGCACACTGCCCAGGTGTTTGATTTGTTCACGTCAACTATCTATGCTTTGCTTTTGAAACTACCCGAGAAACTGAGGAGACCTGACATTTAATTATGATACCCGAAGAAATCTCATACATCAGGCCAGGCGCGCAGGGAATGCAGGAAATGCAGGGGTAAAGCGATATCCACATTTCGCTCCCACAGCAAATTGAGTTTACCAGGCGCACTAGTCAGGGGCACCGGTGCGCTAGCATCCAATCCCGGCTGACGGGGATGTTGTAGCGGTTTTAGCTGAAAAGGGGCATCCCACTTGAATTACCAGTGCGTGTTCTTAACAGACTCAGCTCACCCAGCACTGCACCCGAGGACAGCTCATCATGTGGAACCCAAAACCCACGCACTAGGTTCTGACCCATCCCCCCCCTCAGTCCCACTGCTCGTCCTTACTAGAGCTACACCCAAGGTAGCAGGTCCTCCGGGGCCCAGAATCTCCCAGAAAGCTTACTCCGGGTCCAACAACGGCTGTCAGGACCCCAAGACATGACCTAGAAATTGCGCTAGACAGTTTACTTCCCTTTGCCCGCTTTGAGCCCGTCCTTCATTATTCATCGCCCTGTGCTCATGATCTCATAGTTCCACAGAGATGATCTAGGTTCCTGGGTTCTCCCTGATGAAGTAGCCGCCCCAAGAAGGTCACTATTGAAATGTACGGTGGAGGCGTTGAGAGAGCCCTATCGCCTGCCTCGACTGTTTTGTTTTCTACTGTATGCCCGAAGAAGTGTGTGACCCACGAGAGCAAAAACAAAAACAGAACTATGAAATCATGTCCTGGACTGTGCAATGTGGTTGGGCACAACCCCGTAGGGGCATAGTATCACAGCGTCACAGCTCATAGCCTCATGAGAGTACAGCAGCTACACGGGTCCACCCGTACCTGCACGATGCAGGAGGTCTGCGCGCTCGGAGAAAAGAAGGTCAGACATTGGGCTCGGTGCGACGATTGGTGCTGCAGTGTGCAGTGTTCAGAGTGGCTGATGCGTCTCTTCTTGCCTCGCCACATTTACGGCAAATTGGGCTACCGTATCAATTGCATTGTCCCCAATGCAAGGAGCCGTGAACCCATTGATTTATATGTGATATTACGAGAACCGCAACCAAGGGTTTATTGCCTGCATAGGCAGGCGACGACTCTCCGAAAGCCCAGAGATCGTCAAGAAATCAGGTTCATCTAAGATCGGGGCATCGCGTTGACCCGCGTCCAGACCCCTGGAACACCTTGATCCACTAGTAATTTAGTGGTTCTTGTTCTGGTTGGCATTACCTGATTTTCAAGCACGGAGTCAACCTGGCACGCGAAACACGTAGGTGACATACCGTGAAGGTTGGAACATGTACATGGGAGACTGGGAAATGGGCGATGCTTGAAGTGGCGCATCAGCCCCAGGTCCACATGCCGCAGCGCACGCGAGAGAAATTCACGGGATGTGATAGATTACAGGTATCTATATACAGGCCTGGGTAATGCAAGGGACCCTGTACCATGGACTGTGAAAAAGACACGCATCCATGGATGCGAGCTCGGGAAGCCCCCTTCTCTAATTTCCCCTCATGGGCGTCGCTTTGTACTGACGGCCCAAACAAAATAAACATACGTCAATTCCGACCGAAGGAGGAACACTAAAGCACAGTTGATCGACTGAACGGTGGGACATTGCCGGGGACGATCCGGATCCTGATCGTAGGAATTTGTGGCAGTTTTAAAATTTTAATTGAAGGATTTTAATTTTTTTTTGAGGGGGGGTTCTGAGCCCCGTCCATACACATAATACACATACAAAGGGATCCAGGCTCAACTAGCGGTACTTTTCTTCCCCATTCCCAACTTGCATTCCTCGACGAGGTTCTGGCATTGTCTAATCATTCCCTTCAGTCACTCTTTTTCAATCTTGTTTTGCTTTACTATTAATCTATATTGAACACAATTACGTTGGGGGCTTCAGATACAGACCTGATCTTTCATCGTGTGGTCAATTGTCCCAATCCCGCTACCACCAATCTTCAACCTTGATTGGCGCAACACCCCTGGTGCGATTTCCCTGTATACGTTACGCGAGATTGGGTTGAGAGATTATACATAATCCCTACACGCGCCTGTTTTCTTTTCCCCGTCGCCAGCTTCCCCGCTTGACGGTCATGCCGCTCTCTTTCCCCTAAGTTTCGGTGAGTGATCTAAGACAGGAGATTTAAGTTGAGACTGGCAAGACTGACGGCTACTTGCTACAGCCACAGTCAATCTCGTATACCCCTCGTCCTTCGTTCAATTTCCCCTGCTTGACTGCAGCCGTTCCTTTCGATATCCACACCCCACAATGAATCGATTCCGCAAGAACAAGAAGGAGAAGGAGAAGGCCAAGGAAGCCTTGGAAGACTTGGGAAATGGACCAACAACTACTGCATCTCCCGTCTTCAGTCTGAAGTCCAAGAAGAAGGAGCCTGAGCCGCAACCAGAGCCCGAATTCTCCATCGAACTACCCTCCACAGACAACTTCCGAACCAGTTTACTCATGCCGAAGCTATCAGCTCGCTTCAGCATGTTGAGAGAACAGGACGATCCAGAATCAAAGATAGGGAAGGCGAGTGATGATAGTGTCCTGTTTCCTAAGCGCGCCTCCCGCTTGAACATATTCGGTCACAACCCTAGCATGCTCGCTGATATTGACGAGGTCTCCTCCAATGACGGTAGCCGACCTTCAATGGTCTTGGGACGGACAGGATCATTCGCTTCTGGCATTGACGGAGGATATGGTACCGATGACGATCGATCACAAAATGAGAGCATAATGAGCAGAGCGCGCCGAGCAGAGAGCAACAACTTATTTGGAGGTCGCCAAAAGGTCTACCGTATTCCAGTCCGGGCGCCAGGAGATAGCCCGGCCCCCGAGAGCCCATTGGGCTCGGGCAAGTTCGTGTACGACCATGACTTGAACATGTCTGCGTTCCAGCGTCTAAGGCTTAAGGAAAAGCAGGAGCGAGCTGCCGCCGAAGAGTCAGCTCGAGGGAGCCTTGTACAGGAGAACGAGGATGCCAATTCAACCATCTCTGCAGAGCGAACTACCTTCTCTTCGACAGCATCTGGGCCTGCAACGGATGCGCGCTCCTCGACCGCGGCTACTTCAATCGACGAATCCCAATTCATTGCATCGCAACCACAAGGTTCCACTCCTATAGAAGCCCATGTGGACCTCCGGTCAGCATCTGCCATGTCGACCCCAAAGACTGGTTCAATCCGATCCCGTCGACTATACGGTCAAGGTCTGACTCAGGCTGCTCAGAACCAGCAGTCCTCAACTTTCCATCGCTTGGAGAGCCTGAGCCGCCAGCGTTCGAGTACCCCCGAGCTTCAGCCTATGAATCGTGCCTTCTCCCGTAGTGCAACCAATCTGCGGGATCGGCTGCAGAAGCTCAACATTACCGAGCAAGCTCCTTCGTCCCGGCCTACTAGTCCACCCTCATCGGCTACCTCGCCCCAGCAGGCCACTATTCCGGAGCCTTCGTCTATGGAACGCATCTCACCCACGGCCGCCGCTTTCGGGTCTGCCCCTCCCCTTAGCCCGCCCTCGAGCGAAAACGAGGATGGCGCCTCCTTGTTGGCCGCAGCACTCAATCCCGAAGACCACGGAAAGGCCACCGCCATGGGTCTTTTCAATCGACCCGCTACTGGCTTTGACGAGCAGGCATTTGCTCGCCGTCAGCTTCAAATGCAACAGGGCCGCAGCACTTCCCCGTTGTGTCGTCCTTCTTCCCCCCTCGTCGCCCTCTGCCCGCGGAGCCTGTGGCCCGTCAGCGTGGATTCTCCAAGTCCAGTCACCGTTCTCGAGCCGAGTCTGCTTCGTCCCATTATAGCAGTGATGCCCACAACGGCATTGATTACTCCCGGGCATCTAGTGTGGAAGCTTCGCCCGGACGGCCCGGTGTGACAACTTTTTATGCCACTTCCACTGCTAGCGAATCCGGGGACGAAGGCGTTGATCGCGGATCCTATGAGCTGTCCTCTGCTACATCTTTGGCAACCGAGTATGGTCCCTCGCTCCATCAATCGTTCGCATCCAAGCCACCGACCCCCACCAGCGACTATCTTGAGACACTTCCCGAGGTGAGATATTCGGATCTCGGCGACCTTAAGCCAATCGAAGAAAACGTGGACGAGCCCCACCCGTCAGACATGACTGACGATCATACCCCCGAGCGTCCCGACTCACCAATACTTCATGGCGTTGGATTGAGTGGTATTCGCTCTCATCTGCGCAATCCAAGCGACAAGTCCTCAATTTACCCACCCCCATCGCCTGGCCTTCCAGCACAAGACCCCATTGCGAACAGGCTCGTCACGGATGGGCCTATCTTTGAGCAGTCGCACAGTGATTCCATTGCGTCGCATTCCCGCGAGGAAGATAGCCCCCGGTCAACTGAACATCCGGAAGCATCAAGCCGCGGCAGTGAGGATTCGACTGAGTCCGCTGCTTTCCCCGAAAAAGGCCCCGATTCGAATATCGCGTCATGGAAAGAGGAGCTTTACCAGCACCACCGCCGTGATGGGAGCACTGAGACTCAGAAAGAGCGCGAAGAGTTCGCCATTGAGCTGGCCGAGCGACGCAGAAAGGTTCAAGAGAAGCTGCGCAGTGTTGCAGAAAGTGAGAGCCGATCGAGCAGTCCTACCCCTGGACGATCGACTCCGGAGTTCAAGGCAGGCAACGCCTTCTCTATGCTGAAGTACAAATCGAGCAAGCAGGAGCTTCCAAAGAACGGCCAAATCTATGGCTACGGTAATTCATCTACACCTGCTTTGCCATCTGATGATCTTCGACGCGAGGAAGAACGCGCTGCATTCAATTTTGGCCGTCACGGTAACTCTAGTTCGCCTCAAGTAGTTGAGCGATCCTTCAGATCTCGGATGCCGACCCTGAGCCGAACTGGCCGTGACGTATCGCGCGAGTCAAGTAGCAGCCGCAATGGATCTCCCGCTCAGAGGGACCGTTCTGGTTCTGGCGGCTCTGGTCGTTCCAAGAGCCGAACCAGGTATCGCGACCGTGATGATCTTGAGACTGTGGAAGAAGGCGCAGTCATCGCACATGACAACTTCGTCATCCCTGATAACTTCGAGCCTCCAATTCCTGGTTCAGTTCCTGGTTCAGCCCGCCCTTCGATCGAAGGTAACGAGCCTGGTTACTTTGACCGCGCTGCCTCGGCTTCCTCTGGCAGATACCGCAGCACCAGTCGATCTGGCACCCCGAGTTTCCAATACGAACGTCCCTTCCAATATCAACAGTCCCAGCCGGCCTCCATGATCGGTGTCTCCCCGCGACCATCTCCTGCGACCCCGGCGTACTCTGCCAATGCCACTCCCCCACTCAACGAGGATCAATCACCCACAACTTCAGCGGGCAGCGGTAACAACCCACCTCAACGAGCTCCTGGGTACAACATGCTGCAGAAGCGCCCCATAAACAAGAAGCTCATTTCTGAGCCGACCTTCGTGTCATCCACATCGAATGTTCCTACAGTTGGTCTTCCTGGAGGGTCTGCTTCCACTGTCCCCCCAGTGCCCCCAATGAACCCTCGCCGCCGCCGAGGAACTCAAACTTTCATCAACGCTTTCAAACATGACTCTTCGCGTGTCTCATCCCCCGCTCCCAGCATCTCCGACGAACACAGTGTGTTCGCCGACGATGAAACTCGTCCGCGCTCAAGTTCCCGCTCCAGAAACCGCCTTCGCAAGACCTCAAGCGAAGGAGGCAGCATGAATGTGCGCGCCCGCCAGGAGGCAATGGCAGAACCTGTCCCAGCCATTCCATCTTACCCTCCCCTGCCATTCCCGCGGATGGAGGCATGTTCTAAGCAACCCACTCTTTGGTCCATTTTCTTTTTCTTGTCCTTGTTTGGCATCAAGCCACATACCTTTGCACATCTCACTACCTCTAGCCTTTTATTGCGTCACATTGCTCTTACACTTCTCACGACTATATACCACCTGGTGCATTACTTGAGCGTCACTTGTCTTGTCTAGATCTATTTCTTTTCTCTTCTCTCTTTTTTGTCACAATATGGGCTCACGCGCATTACGCTGGTGTGTATCTATGACTAGAATCTCTGAATAACGTATTGCCCTTTGGACTTTGCTACTTTCGTCAAGACCTCACTCGGATACGGAGGACATTGGATCACTGCACTGTAAGACACGATAAGTTGTCTAAAGTGCATCCTGAAGTCGCACTTCGCGCGCCATTAGATCGAAAATTTTGTCTTCTTTCGTACGAGGCCACATGATTGTTACAAATTGCTCTTGATTCATGTATCCTATAGGTGGTAATTGAGTGAGATATGGTGAATGATTACGGTCACGTGGTGATATCATGCCCTCGTTTATCAATTTTGAGGTCAACCCTTCCTCTGTCCGTCCAATGACACATAAGATTATAAGAAACCCATTCTGATCGAACCCCCCTTCGAAAGCCAAAAGAAATGAAGGAGAATGCATAAAATAGCACAAGCTTTCATCTATGCTCAATATGCAATGCAGTATACGAGGTACCCGCTCTAGGCTGTCTGGACTCCGACGGGTCTGCCAGGCCGAAGGATGACGTCTTTTACGAATGCTATAGGAAGGCAGTGACTTCCTGAGTAGGGACACCCGGTGAGAAGTTCAATGGGGGACAGATTGTGTATGTTGTGAGGAGGCCTGAGGTGCCGCGCACCTTTACTTTTCAAAGTCTCTATCACGCTCGTTCCTCCGTAACCTTCGCGAACCTCATTGAGACCCGTCTTTGATGCATTATTCTATAATAGCGACAATCATGACGAACGCTGTGAATGTATCTCGAAACGGTATGCACTGGGCCGAACAGGTCCTCGCATACACTCAAGCTCTTCCGATGCCCGGGACTCCCAAGGACGCTACCGTGCGTACGGACTCGGACTCTTCAGAGTACGAGTATGCGGCGGCTGCTGAATCTTTGACTGGGAGTCCTTTTGGACCCCTCGAGGATCTAACCCCAGAGGAGTATCTGGGAAGGTTTTGGAATCAGCACAAGTGGTATTCGACTCCTGCGGGGACTCGGTATGTCGCTCATGCGCCCCGAAACCCCGCGGATGTTTCTGTGCAATTTTTTGGCAATATAGGAGGGACAGCTGGGTATACGTCGGTCGTCGAGAACTCATCGGTTGACAACAACTTGTCATCCAAGAATCATTCGTTGGTCGACATCGCCACAGGACCCGTTTGTTCTGACGATCCCCCCCGAAACGCGAGGCTTGCTTACGCTTGATGGACCTTCACTTGAGCAAATTATTGACGCTGGTTTCAATCTTGCTTTTTCTCTGAATCTTGATCACTTCTCCGTACTTTTTACCCCATCTCCGGTGATTCCCGTCCACACTCCGTCTTCTCCATCCCCTCCGTCTCAGTGCGAGCAGCCTCAAGTTGAAGAATCCCAGCTTTCTCCTCAAAAGACCAAGACCGGCGCCTCCATATCCAGGAACAAGCCTTCTCCTCAGAGTGGTAAAGGGGTCAAACGAGCCTCCAAGAAAGGGATGATGAAGAAACCTGTTCCTAAACCTACCGCCACCAACACCAGTACTAAGCCTTCTTCAAAGATGCTCTCCCCTACCACCACTTTGTCCGGCTCTGCTCCCCTGTCTATCATCTCGTCCATATCTGCTCATCTGCCTTCATCTGGTTTCCCCGCTGAAGCTGTCTGGGATGATACTTCTTCCAGACCTTGGACCAAAGTGGTCAACAAGAAGAAGGAAGTCGCTTTGAAGAAAGCATCCGTCAGAGCATCTTCGAATTCCCAGACTTTCAAGAATGTGAAGGTGTCGCCAAACCCCAAGATCAAAACCGCTGGCTCTGGATATTCGCCTGCGCAGCGTGCACCGCCCACATCAAGCATAATTGCACAGCAGAAAGGCAAGAAAAAGGAGCCAGCTGCCCCTAGTTCCGTTCCCATGGACTTGCCTCCATGTCTCGCCGCCATATCTCCCCCCAAATCTGCTCCTGTCTGTTCTTCTCACTCACGACCTGCTCCCGCTTCGTCTACTTCGCGTGCAGTCTCTGTCTCTTCGTCTCCTTGTACGAGCTCTATCGTTCCGTCCCACCATCCGGCTCCCATCGCTCCTGAAAATCTGAATCTCGTCTCTTCGCCTTTGAGACTGGCTCTCGACTCTTGCTCTCCTCGTCTGACTCCTGTCTCACCATTTCGTCCGGATTCCGTTGCCCCGACATTTCTCGTAGAGCCTGGGAAAACGTCTTCCCACAGTAGCGACGGGTCGTCTTCGTCGATTGAAATCATAACGGAAAGGCCCTCGAGTGACGACACTTACCGAGGGACGAGTGAAGAGAACGTTGAGAAAGCCCCCCGTGGTAAGCCGAGCTGTGGCTATCAGGCCACCGCCATCTGCTTCCATTATCTCAGCTTCCGCCTCTACTGGTACCGTTCCAATGTCTATGACTGCTGTCTTGGTCACAGTACCCACGTGTGCTGCTATTATCTCAACATCTGCACCTGCTGCCCTCGCCACAGTGGAAAACACCAGGCCTTTTGTGATCGAAACAGAGACCTGGCTAAAGAAGATTGCTCAGACACAACCCAGAATCGACGAGGCGGTTACCGCAGCTAAGCAGGCTTGGGATACACACGAAGACGAGAAGAGACGTGTGCTAGCTGACGCCCATCTAAAGCTCGTGGAAATCGCCCGCCAGCATGCCCATCAAAATCCTCAGATCGCGTTTGGTAATCCAAATGCCCTTCCGTGGCCCTTGGGGATGCCACTCATGACTGACGATGAGTATCGCGAAGCTGGGCGATCTTACCCCGATGGTGAACCGGCGATGGAAAAAGCAGCAGGATACACTTACTGGCAGAGTGAGAGTTCTCACCCTCGCTCTGCCGTCATTTATCCGCACATGACCCAGCATACGGACCAGGGCATGCATGTCTTCACTTGGACTCGCATGAGTGAATTAGGGTATGATTACCTAGAGGCATTCCGGAGTGACCCAGCGAAGTGCTGGTTCAACCCTCCGTGCTGCCAGCACAGGCATCCATATGCCCCTCGAACCGACACTCCTTTGCATTGGGTAGATGGTTGCTGCTGTGCTCATGACCCGTCAAGATGCTGCAATTGCCTGACTCTCGAGATGCAGAACGCGGTGCCTGAGCCGGGATTGCCTTGGGGTAATATCCCTGACGAAAGAACAGGACATGACTTTCGTGATCAGCCTGTCGGGGTTTCTGAGAGACTCCAACCTTTTAATAGTGGGTACCCGACTCCTTCGAGAAGACTTGCCGCGCAATCAAGCCCGGAGAGACCTGGGGGCATTGGTAACTGGCCTTTTGGCTCTGCTATGTTGCCTCCTGCCAACCTGACTGGATACGGCTATCACAACCCGGGCGACTCTGGTGAATGGGGTCTAATAAACCAAACTGGACATGCTCTTTCTATCCCATTCCGAGGTTATGCTCATGGTGTTTCCGGTCAATACGGTCCCATTCACAACGGTTACATTGGTCAATACATTCGTAATGCTGGGCCATCGAGCTTCTTTGCGAGGTATCCAGGACACCAAGGTCTTATTTTCACAGGACCAGCTGCATTTCAAAGCAATTCTGTCCAGAATAGCATTTTTCATGACAACAGACAGCAATACCAGTCCTCTGTAACTCAGGATCGACCTCGACATGGAGGGAACCATAGAGACTCGCGTTCCTTTGGCAGCTATCAGCATGGCCGACCTGGGTCTGGACCTGGACCTACCATGGTGACGACTCCCACTCGGCCGCAGAATAATTTCAATAATACCATGCCTCCAATGCGTGATTCACGAGGACCAAGGGGGGGTAGTAGATCCACACGTTCAGGGTCCTCAAATTACGCGTCAGGCTCCTGTGCTGGCTCCAGCCTTTACTTTTCCCGAGGTAACAACTAAGTTGATTGTGACAGGGAAAGTTCCTGACAACCCTCAGGCCCTGTCAACTAAGACTTCTTCTCCCCCGCTTCCAACAGTCCTGCTCCGGCACCTCTTCCCGTTTCGAAGCCCACTTCTTTTCGATCGATCGAATCAGTCTTTGACAACAGAGCCTTTGCAGTCTCGGTTGTTTCAAATCTTCTACCAGCTCTTCCCACTCTTCTTGACTGGCGCCGCCGTACAGTGTCCTTCTCCTCACCTCTTGACTTCATTCGTGGAACGTCTCCAGATCCCCTTACTCGCCCAGGCTCTACTTCTATGAAATTGGAGGCAGACGAGGTCAATCGCCTCATTAAGCGGACCAGGTACTGGCTCAGACAAGCGAGGCTCGAGCAGGTCAAGTCGGAAGACTTGCTTATGCAGAGCCTTCGCACCGATTCGACTTTACTTACTCCGGACACCCCTCATGAGTTCTTTGATGCCAGACAGGAGCAGAACACCTCTCCAGTTCCGAGCGAGAAGTCATATCGACCCACTTCGCCAGGTCTCACCACCGAGCCAGTCACTGAACGAACCACCCCTCAAGAATCTCCCAAGAAGAGCTGCCTCCAGAGCTTCAAAACGAGAATGGAAATCCTTCCTTCCTATGTTCGCTTTGATGAAGGTCCTAGTGACTATCTTGGGGAGTACCCCTCGCCTGAAAAGATGCAGGTTATCAGGGACAGCTACCTCCACAAACCCAAGGATGTCATATTTCTTCTCACGCCCGTGACAAATCTCTCGGCCAGGCCCAGTGAATGCAAAGCTCACAAAGAGATTGTCATGGCCACCAGCCCCTTCCTAGCCGCGGCCCTGCAGGTCATTAAGGAGGATGAAGATGGAATAACTCGCATCCACCTTCACGGAGGTCCGCGGTTCAATTGCCCCACTGCTTTCGGGTTGGCTCTTCATGGCCTGTACGACCCTAAGCGGAAGCTTTCGCACGAGAATATTCGACTCCATGCTGTAAGTGGACTGGGCGCTGAACCGAGAAAAAAGGACAGCGAACTGGCCTTCTCAGTCCACCTGGCCAAGCTGGATTTTGCTCTTTGCTACGGCTCGGCTGGCGCTTTCTTCGGATATCAACCTGCTGTCAGATGCGCGATTGAGTTGATCCTGGATCTTATTGATTGGGAAAGCGCTGATTTCCTTCTTTCTTCGTGTCTTCTGATCGGCGAATACATGCTGACTGTTCCCGCGCTTCACTCTGGTGCCGTAAAACCCACTCCAGCCGTTGTGCACGCGGGGCAAATCGGTGATCATCACATGTCCAACTTCCATTTGAACGAGATAGGTGTTGTCAAAAAGGCATTGTTCAAGTTCATGGCGTCGAATGTCAAGCCCGATTTCAAACTCTATGAGCGTGCTCAAGCCACTTACTACGCGACTCGCATTCCGCATCAAATCTGGACCCTGCCAGGCTCATACACGGATAACATGAGCCTTGAGGCAGTCCGCTATGGAGGTCACCCCTCTTACGCAGACCTGAGAACCAAACGTCTCGATATCACCATCCTTTCCGCAATGCTCATCACTCTCCCATTCTGTTTCTTCATGAATCTCATCGACGAGATGAAGAAGGCTCGGACCCCGGCGCTCACCGTAGACCTGATGAAGGAAGTCGTGGACTTGCGTGAACAACGCCGCACGTGGGCCTTGCACATCCTTGCCCAAAAGAGGCTCTTACCTGGTGTCATTGACCAAGCCTATCTCGAAGAACTTGGCTATCGTGAATTTGTCCTCTTCGAACGAGCCGCAGACCAGTGCGTCAGCAATGCCATGGTTCATCGCATCTGGGTGGGACTCGACCCTCCTGTTGCTCCCCCCACCGCGTCCAATGACTCTGGCCGAACTTGAAGCTTCTTTTGAGCCAAACTTCAACGGCGAAGGCAGCGGCAACCGTGGCTCGCGTCACCAGAAAGATAAGAACAAGGGAAAGAAGTATCCAGGTCCTCCTGTTGCTGGCTCAGTTACATGGACCTCCACCGGAAGGAGAAGCACCTTCCAAACTCCCTCTGGCCCCGACTCGAAGCTCGAAACTTCATCAGTCTCTGATTCGAATAATTCAAGTCCATCTTTTCCCGGAAAGGTTGCTCAGACTCCGACAATCTTTGCTCCTGATGGCGAGCAACCCCAGACTCCAAGGAGGAAAAAGAACAAGAAGAATCGCAAGAAGAAGCCCAACGCCAAGCAGCAGTAAGTCCTTTTAACCCATCTTCAACGTTCACCAATTGCATAGCAATTGTACAGCCATCTCCCATGAACAACGACTTTACAATCACGATGTGATGGTGAGATCTGCGATTCGATAAAATGCATACATGCATAAAGCGTGACCGGCGCGTTCATACTGAATTTAGTTGTGATTTACCAGCCATGCGCATGGAAAGATCCTCCCCATTTCCTACGATCAAAGTCGACTTGCAAATTGAGATTTTCTCGTGACGAGCTCCACCCTCTCCCCCACCGTGTCCCTGTATCCTTAATGAAACCGAATAAGTTCAAAGATTCATTGAAATTCTTTTTCACGTAAAGTCCTCGTAATAACTCGAATATGTACAATGGCCCTCGACCCAAGGTATCGTCTATACAGAGTGCAATCTAACATCTACTCCTTGTCCGGGAAACCGAAGGTCACACCGAACGGAGGGAAAGACGAAGCGCTGGAATGACTTGGTCGCAGCCAAAGTCTCCGAGTACATCCGGATAGTCGCCATATCCTCAGCGTCCAGATGGATGAGATCAGTCCGGTTCGCCTCGATACGTTCGGGCGTCACGGACTTGGCGAGCACCGAGGACCCACGGGCAATGTGCCAGCTGAGCAAGACAGTGGCGGGGGTGACATTGCGCTTCTTTGCGACGGTAACGATGGGCTCGGCGGTGAAAAGGGGGCTGCCGGTGCTACCTAGGGGACTATAGGCGGTGATGTGGATGCCCTTAGCATTACAGTAGTCGACAATCTCCTGCTGCGGCAGGGACGGGTGGTTCTCAATTTGGTTGACGGCGGGGACAATGGTCGCCTGGGGGAGGAGTTCCTCGAGGTACTTGACGGAATAGTTGGAGACGCCGATGGCCTTGACTTTACCGGAGCCGACGAGCTTCTCCATGCTCTTCCAGGTGGTGACGTGAGAGTGGCTGTGGTCGATGTCCCGGGACCCATCAGGCAGCTTGGGGAAGACCGGGTGGTTACCTTTTGGTCTGTTAGAGTGGGAGAGGTTATGAGTGTTGCACGAAGACGTACCATTGGGATTCATGGCCAGGGGCCAGTGCATCAGGTAGAGGTCGACATAGTCGAGTCCAAGGTTCTTCAGGCTGGTCTCGAGACCCTCCTCGACGCGGGCGTGGTAGGAGCACCACAGCTTGGTGGTGACGAAAAGCTCCTCTCGCTTGACGATACCGGCGTCAATGGCCTCCTTGATACCTTGGCCGACTTCATTCTCGTTGCCGTAGCACAGCGCGGTGTCAATGTGGCGGTAGCCGACCTTGATGGCGTGGGCAACAGCGCGGGCGACTTCGCCTGGGCTCGATTGCCAGGTACCAAGACCCAGGGCAGGGATCTCAGCACCAGTGTTGAGCTTGAAACGGACGTCGCAGGCAGCCATTTTGTATGATTTTTTTCTCAAAAGAGAGATTGAATCAAAAGAAAAAGAAAAAGAGAAAGAGAAGACAAGAAGAAGACGGGGTTCAATGTAATGATAAACCGAGCGCCCCCACGCGCGGGGGAGTCTTTGCCCGCCTTTGACGCAACTGCGCGGGATTCTGGCTTTCTCTCATTTTCCTCTTTTCTTTTTTTTCGTCAATCACACTCTTGTCTTGAATACTTTTCCCCCTGGTACAGTTTTTGAGACAAATCTGGCTCGTTCCTGTCGCCACTGAGAGTACCTAATTCCAGTGACATGGTTCACTCGTAGCCAAATCGGGAAATCAGAACGTTCAAGCCCCTCCCGCGCACCAGGGCTGTGAATCAGTTCCAGCGGAACAGGGCCTCTGTCAATCACGGGAAGTGTGTTTTGATGTCCTTTTTTCCCATCTGTGGCTCTCGTCGTTCGATTGACGTCACTACCAGCATCGTCTTTGCGGGACGTTGCAAAGTGGGGGGACCGGTATACTCCACGCCGGTCTGGGGAAGCCGGAAATATGATTCCTGAGCACTCGTCGCCAAGGACCATGTATGCCAGCTTAATTTTAAAGCGGGGATTTGAGCTATGGCTCTGGGAATAATAGGAAGATCCAGAGGCAAATCCTAGTCATCTCAGCTCGTAATTTTTAAACTTGATCACCAAAAAGAAAATGGAAATACAATAAAAATCAACAAATCAAACTGTGGCATGAACAACCCTTCCTGGTTATATTGAGAATGCGGCACAAGTAAAATGACAGGTGAAGCCAGACTCTACCAGCTAAAGCTTCGACACCTCCACGCGGTTCCCATCTCCATCAAAGACAATCTTCTTGCCCCCAACCATACTCTCCTGCAACGCCGCCCCGATACGAACAGCCTGTACCTGTACAGCCGCATTCAAGTCCAAGGGCAGCTTCCGATCCTCAAGCACACAAGCCGTAAACTCATGCGCTTCAGTCACAAAGGCATACTCAAAGCGATCGTAAGAAGTCTCCGGAATCTCCCGCCTCACCCCCGAATCGTCAAAGATATTCACCAAATTCATCTGCGGCTGCACATTCACCGTGAGCTTCCCCTTCGTTCCAATGATTTCCGTCGTATCCTCCTACCCAGCCGCCATTATGCGCGATGCGTAAAAGTACGCAATCTTGCCATCGTGGAACTCGACGAGTCCCACTGCATTGTCGCGGTCGTTGTGTTTGTGGAGGTCCGGTTCCACAGCGGTGTTCCCCACCGCGGAGACGGATTTGACTTTGCTGTTGGCGCCGAAGAACCAGAGTGTAAGGTCGATGTCGTGAATTGAGCAGTCGACGAAAATTGAAAATTCCTCCGGAGAATTGGGCGTAGGCGACGAAGAAGCCCGAAGGATCGAGTTTGTTGCAGGTTTGACTGCGGAGGACGGAAGGAGTGCCGATCATGCCAGTGCTCATCTTTTGGAAGGCGTCGCGGTACGAGGCATCGAATCGGCGAGAGAACCCACACATCACCTTCAAGTGGGTTTTTTGTTGGCGGCATCGACGACAGATTGGGACTATCGAGTGGTCAGGTATTGGCCCTAGAATGATGATAGAGGTGTGGCAGGGGGATACTTACGACTTCAACGCTGGTCGACAGCTGCTTTTCGCAGAGAACGTGCTTATCGGCATTGATGGCCTTGATGGCCTGCTCGGCATGCACTGCAGTAGCCGAGGCCACGACAATGGCTTGGAGACTCTCCTGCTTCAGCATGTCGTCGTCATTCTGGAACTGGCGTACACCAAAGGGCTTCAGGTGCGTCTTGGCCCATTCGAGCTCCACGGGGTCCGGGGAGCTGGCAGCTCCCAGCTCGGCGCGAGGGCAACGCTCCAGAACGTTGAGGGCATGACGCATTGCCCATGCGACCAAGACCGGCACAGCCAATCTTCATTCTTTGAACGGACATTGCGTGCTCTGTACAGCGGCGAAAAGATCAATTGGACTTGAAAAGTAGTTCGCGTCCCCAGCTTTTTTCTTTAAAGAAAAGATGAATGCGGAGAAAGTGGGTCTGGATCAACCAGACATGGGGGAGAGTCGGAACTACAAAACAGACTGGAATTCAGCTTCCGAGGATGTTCAGCACTGCATTTTATTCCTGAGACTTTGGCATTCGTCTTGAAGTCAAAGCGACTAAATCAGTTCTCGGTCTTCGCCTCGTTCCCCCGTCGCAACTTGCGCTTCGCAATCTCTTCAGGGTCGACCCACCCGTCTCCCCGCATCCACGCTAAGGACTTGCGAATACCGGGGCCCTGCACCGCACCCGGGTGAGCCTCGAGAATCGATCCGATCACTGCCCAGGAGAGAACAAAGAGCCAGACTTCACCACCACGACCACCTTTCCATAGTCCACGCTTGACACCCGTCTTCCAGGCCGAGTCCACGCCGGCGCGGAAGAAATACATAAACACGCTGCGGCTATTACCCAGAAACATAAATGGAAGACCGCCAATAGCTCCGCTAAGGAAGAAACGCTTGGTGGGGAGTGTGGAGCGAGGAAGAACGCCATTCAGAAGGCAGATGCTGCCCCAAGCGGACCCGATGGCGGCTGACAGTACAGCAGTCATCATAAGAATCCGCTTGGAGAGATTGTTAATGGATGTGAATGGCTGAGCGAGAACGCTCTTGAATTTGGGGATGGTCAGTGCCAGCGTCACGGTGGCCAGGAAGCGGGCTAGCGGGGGCACCGAAAGAAGAATGTGGTGCAGGAACGCTGTGCTGCAGTTTGGAACACCTGGGTGAAGCAGAGCGCATGACAGGCTCGTAATTGAGGGGTGCGCAGGACCTGTAATCGGAGAAATTGACTTGACCACGGATGGGAGGGTATGAGGGTCGGTCGGGTGTAGAATGGGCGACACGAATTTCCTAAACGGGGTCAGGTTTGAAATAAAGCAGGGAAGAACATACGAAACTTACGGCCAGCGCAGATCCGCAATGGATGCGAGAGAATCCACGATTTGATCCTTCTCAGGCCAGGAGCTGCTGGCAGGGAGTGACTCCGGTCGGCCGGGGATGTAGCTCGGCGAGAGCTTGAGAATGGCATTGCCAAACCACTGGAACACATTTTAGCCGTCATCCTCCTCCCCAATCTTGTTTCACGGTATAAAAGGCATGTGACATACCTTAGGCGTAGTCTCACGATCAAACACAAAGGCATGGAAGAGCTGAGCGCAAGAGATCGGCATAAGCAGCCAGCTGCCGAACCACCATGGGCGCTGGGCCAACCATCCTTTCTCATCCATCATATTAAACAAGAATTCCAGACTCCGGGTCGACCAGTAGATAGCAGCCGTCAAACGCAGCTGCTCTTGTCGCGTGATCGCCAAAGCGAATCCAGCTAAACTGGCCCCGACGGCCGGCGCAAAGCGCGACGTGAGCGCGCGCGAGACCCGCGGGTTTCGCTCCTGAAGGGCTTCGCATCCTCGGTGCGGAGATTTGCACGGAGTCTGACGAAGAAGCGATATAGGAGTCGGTGAAAGAGGAGCAGGAGTGACATAGAGACCGAAAGGCGGAAGATGGGGCTTCGGTGCAGCGGGCTGCGAGTCTTCTCTCTGTAGTGATGTGGCGTTAGCAGGTATTCTGAATCATTTCACGTAACTGGAGAAAAGTGATGCGGGTTGTTCGTACTGTTTCGTATCGCCTCGAATCCGCTTCATCACCACCTCCACCAGCTTCATCGCGACACTCGAGCCCACGAGCACACGCAACGACGTGCGAAGAGCGGCCTCGGTGTGCCGATTCTTCGGGTTCGCCATGCTCTCATAATGCGATGGAGAGGGAAGCTTGTCTTTCAGAGATGGGGCGCGTTTGACGGCGACTTCGTGGAGCGTTTGGTACTCCTTCACGCTCAGACTGATGCGCAAAGCATTACGGACGATGGGGTGCACAGTTGCCGTTTGCCCGGGCGCGGAGGGCCCTGGAAGGGCATCTGGAGTCGACATGGTGCTTGTTAGGCCGATAAACAGATTCAGCCGCCCATGGTCTGGGGAGATGAGAGAAGACGGGGGGAAGTTCTCCACTTCCGCACCGACCTCGGCTGTGGCTCTTGACTACCTCTTGTGCCCGCGGACTGGTAGTTTCCACAAAACTGGTCCTTTACTTGCCATGACTAAATCAAGGATAAGGACGATGGAGGAAGAATGGTGAACATGAAGATGGATAAAAATTTCACGGTCTTGGAGCGTGAGCTTGGTGCTCTCCCCTGGTGTCTCCCGGATTTCATATGACCACCGAATATCTGTAATTGATCGGAATACGCCAGAAGCAACACCGGCAGATCGAGTTGCATAGATTTACAGTGACTGCACCTGTACTTGGATCGTAACCGGACATCTCAATGTTCCTAGTAACTAAACAAAGCTTCCCAAATGGATGCCGCAAGCAATGCAACGACACCTGCAGGACAAAGAAGAAATAGTAAAACAGCAAAGGCGGGGTAACTCTAGTTACAGAAGAAAATGCTCAAATAGAGGTAATGAAGTCGCCGCATGAAATGAATGAACACTCGTCATAACGCATCAAATCAACCCAGAAACTCCGGAAACACACGTCGTGACTTGGTTTACCAGAAACTGCACCAACCGATCCAGTGCTGGCAGATGTTCTCCACGTTCGTGGCCTGGGCAAGGAGCTTGTCGACTTGATCGCTCACGTTGAGCTCCTCGTAGTGTTTGAAGTCTCGTCCCGTCAGCTTCTCCTTAACTCGGGCGAGCACCTGGAGAGCACGAGCGTTCTGTGCTTCGCGGGCTTCGGCAGGGACGCCTTCTGGTGTGTCGAGGATGCCACCTTCGAGAATGGAAGGTCGGCGACGAGAGAAATTGCTTGGCTGTACACCGTGCTCGAAGTTAATGCCTTCAATGATGGACTGGCGACGCTCCGCTGTAAGTGATACTCGGTCTGGGGATTCCTGTGCTCCCAGACGCCAGTTGATCAGAGGGTCGTGAATGAACTACATCATTGTCAGTCGCGATCACAGTAAGTGCTAAGAGATTCATGGGACTTACGGCTTCCAACACCGCCATGAGGGAATCGTTGTTCTCTCGCAGGACACGCATCACAGCCTCGCAAGTAATCCGGTAGCTTCCTTCAATGTTGCTCACTTCCATTGCAAAGGTCAACATGCGTGTGAGACGGAATGGTACACGTTCGGGGTACTTCTCTCGGTGCATAGCCACCTCGAAACAGTCACCGAAATCAATGTGAACAACACGACCCGTGGTACGATCGAGCAACAAGTTGGAGGGGTGACGATCGCCCAGACCAAGAATGTAACCAACCATAGACATGACACCGAGGGATCGCGTATAGTTGGTGCGTCGCTCAAGCCAGGCCTCGGAGCTCTTACTCTTCAGCCATAGCACCCGGTACAGATCTTTGCCCGTGGTATTGTCCATGGCATATCCAAAGACCTCGACTTTCTGCATGAGAGTGAGGCTGTCGTAGTCGGGTGCCATCTGCAACATGATTCGGTGCTCAATGTTGAGCAGGATCCGGCGACTTTCACGGTACTCCTTGATCAGCGCATGAAGAGTATCGGAGTTGCAGACCCATCCGAGCAGACCGGAGCTTTGGGAGAGTGGGATTGCAGGGAACCGCTGGACAGAGAGGTGGCGCTTGAAGCTCTCGCTGTCGTTGTCAAGAAGCGTGTTGCATAGCCCGAAAAGTTGCATAACTCGCTCATCTTGACGGATATCTTCGTGGCCCTTGAGAGCGTACTGAGAGAGAAAGTGTCAGTTTAGCGGCAGATTGAGATATGAGAAAGCCCGACATACCTGGTAATTATGACCTGAATCACCCTTCAAGCACATACGTCGCGGTCTCTTTTTAGTTTGCAGGACATGCAAAATCGGATCAAAGCTGATAATGCGAATAACAGGACGACCGCTTTGATAAGTCCCCAGTACTGCCAAGTCAAGACCATTGCATTCTTTGAGGCGAGGCGACACATATTTTAGATCGAGAATGGACAATTGCGGAAGTTGACGGTTGATTTTACGGAACACCGTGTAATAGAGATCCCAGGCTTGATTGAGGTCGCCGATCTCCTCCGTCTGGCGATAAAGCATGCAGTAGTGCTTCGCTTCGGCGAGGTCGCGACCAAAAGCTTGTGCAAAAGATACTTCACGGAGTGTTTCGGCTCCTTTGTCAAGCATGTCGTGAAGAGGAGCAAGAGTGGCAAACATGCCCTCCACATTATGGTCACCGAAGTACAGGCGAGAGGCCTCCTCTAAGCCTTCATGCCAAAGCTCGTGCCACAGGACAGCAACACGAATCAGTTCGTGACTGACGAGATCCGCCTGTTCCACGAGCTTAGCACTGTGCTGCCGCATGCTTTCCATAATATTGGTAGCGGACTGAGACCGCCGAGCAACATTAGATTTCATGGCAACGGTCAATGGGTACACTCAGGGCTTGCGGGTGTGTCTTGCCAACCTCAGCGAGTAGCCTGTGAACGGAACCACGGACCCTGATGTTGGGCTGATTGATTCGAGCAATAAGCTGAGGAGTTACAGCAAGCCATGTGTCGACGTTGACTGTGGTGAATCCTTCGGTGACAACGTTGTTCACTTCATGATCGCCACCGTGGGCGAACCATAAGGTCAACAATCTCAAAGTGTCTTGCAATGAGGAGGTAGAGGACAAAGCAATCGACCGCAGGAAGCCCCGAATGGCAGGGATCACGTGCTCTGTCACGATATGGGGCGGTACTGGTGCGGGCTTGCCATCACGACTTGCCTGGTTGGAGATCGTTGTGACAACTTCGAAGTTCGCAAGAGCCCAAGCGTGCCAAGCTTTGTAGGAGTCACGGTTATACTGAGTGGCCGCGGAATATGCGCTGAGAACCTCACGGACATACTCAGGTCTCCAGTCACCTCTCTGGAGAGACGTCTGCCATTCAGCTTGTCGGAGGTAACTCTTGGACAGAAGCTTTCGGAATTTTGCAACATCTCCTATACGTTCACGCAGACTAATGGCCTCGGGATGGCTGGGATCAGAGACTCCGTTCACGCCATTCACCCCGTGATGTTCGTTGTGCGACACCATGAGGGTGTTGTATTTGGAGAGATCATCAGTCAAACCAGAGGTGAAATCCTTCAGCATTTCGAGAGCCTCAAGTTGGTGTCCGCTCGCCCAGCTGAACTTCAATCGGGCGTAGGTAACCTCAGGGTGAGAAATCGTGTGTGTACCATTGACATCGGTGATGATAGTCTCAAGTGACGCAAGAGACCGCTCGGCAAGACCCATACGATTGGATTTGCGGCAAAGGTTGGCGAATTTGATAGACATCTCAAGATTCTCACGGGGAGCAGTCACGAGTGCCCGGACCTTGAGCATACGCTGCCACACCTCTACATTCTGCTGACATCCGAGCAATCGTTGGTTCCAGGTTAATCGCATCGCTTCTTGCTTCTCAGCATCACCTACGTTCTGTTTGTAGGTGATGATTTCTTCCAGCTCTGCAAGCATCTGGACACGAACGACAACATTGTAGGCCCGGTTGTAAGATTCTCCAAGAAGAGCGGAGAGCTCGGTGTCGAGCCCATTGCGTGCCTTTTCAATGTACATGTTGGCCTCTTCGAATTGATTGCGGTGAATGGCGAGAATAGCGCCAAAGAAAGAACGGTCAGGAGACTGCTCTTTCATAACACCAAGATAAGAGTCCATGAGTTCCCACTGGCCGCGACCCCAGGCTGCAGCAGCAGCAAGAGGGGCAATAGCCCTACGGTGCTCCAGCGACGCTTGATTCCACTTTTCTTGTGCAAGGTCCGAAAGAACCTTCCACTCACCCAGGGCGTGCAAACAACGCATCTTACCCATTGTGATGCCAAAAGAATCTGGATCGGTCCTCTCACGTCTCTTGTAAGCGGCAAGAGCCTCGTCCCATCGCTGGAGCTTCTCAAACCAAGTCTCTTTCAGCTCCACGTCACGATAAGCCTGTGCTTTGCGCAGGATACCGATAGCGGCGTCGGATTGCTGGAGCTGATTATTGATGGTAATCAGGGCTTCTACCGCACCAGAGTTCTGATCCTGTTCAAACTCAAGCTCCTTGTAGTGAAGAGCCTTGGCAAAAGCATGACATTTGGCTGCATACTTGCCAAGTGTACGAATATCAATCGGCAGAGCTTTGTCATCATGCTCCATGAACTCGGCAAGATTGAGGAGTATTTGCAAGATCTCAGGGGAGATATTTGTTGAAGTGAGTGCTTTCTCGATCGAACGGACCAACTCCTCCTGATACTGATCATAGAGTTCTGTCCAGCACGACACAAAGGCAGCGTTAAAGAGATCACGGGCCAAAGGCTGGTAAATTCCCGCTAAACTGGCACAGGCCCGCAAGGCTGGTGACGGCGACTCTTTTAGAAGCTCAACGCTAAATCGACGAATCCACTCCTGCCAATCTTCCCGGGTGGACTTCTGCGAAGCATCCCACGCGTTCTTGAGATGTTGCTGGTTCACAACAATCTTCTTTTGACCGATTTCTGCAAAGCTTGTATCATCGGTAGGAAAGGCGTAATTTTCTTCCGGGTTCAGATCTTGCGGGAGCGGGTCTCCCTTTTGAAGCTTCGTCACCAAGATCTGGTAGTTGGTGTGAGTGATCTGATGCTGCTTGAGAACTTTGTTCAGAAGATGAATGTAATGAGTAAAGTCCTGGCCGAGCTGGAAAATCAGGGCGCAGATGCAATCAAGAGCAGCCTGACGCAATACGCGGTCACCGCTGACCACAACTCGTGAGAGAGCATGGACCATAAGCGATGCAAAGTCTGAAACATTGACCTGTCGCGACAGCTTCGTCAAACTGTCGATGGCTGACTTGCGGATGCTTTGCGGATGTTGCTGACGATCGAAAAGACGCACAATCGAAGGAATGATCAGATGCATGTATTCCTCGCCGCTCGATCCAAAGATCAAGAAAGCGTGGAGAACCTTCTCAGAAGGCTGACGACGCGGCGTGGTGTCCTTTTCGAGAGTGTCGAGCATCAGAGGTATCAGACGGGCAAGGTACTTCCTAAATTCTCCTTCCAATGACCTAGCAATGGCCTCAACGAGCGACAATATCGTGCCCTGAACTTGGTATGTAGCATCCCAAAACTCGCGAATTACGTCAATAATCTCTGGCAAGAACGCACGAATGTGCTGCCGCACAATGTTGACCAAAATAGCCATCTGGTTGAAATAAGACTCAAGACGGCTTGCAGGAGAGCTTCTGATCACCGAAATGAATGCCGGAACAATCTGCCCTAGGAATGGCACGCACTTCAAGCCCAAGGTTTTAAATATGGTCACGATGGCATCAATCACAGCGGAGTGGTACTGAACCAAGGAGTTCTCCTTCAAGATGTTTTGAAGCAGAGTGTGAATAACCACCGTAGGATAATACTCTTCATTTGACGGGGTCAAACCCTGCATAATTAGGGCAACATCCGAGACGTTCTGGATCTCATTGATGTGGTGCACGTCGGGCTCGGTATCACTGATCTGCTGGTATTTGTAGGGGTCCAGAGCACCAAGGACACCAACGAGTTTAATGGTCTCCTTTCGTAGAGAACCTGTTTGCTCCGTCTTGATAATGTTGATTAAGACATCAAGGAGATGGGGGTACTCGAGATATGGCTCAATGACATAGCCAGAGTTGCTAGCCAATTGTCCCAAGGTCTTCAAGGCAGCTTCACGTTTTGTGTGAGACGAAAGATCTTGTAGCGAATCAAGGATGATGGGCATGATTTGTGAGAGGTAACGCCTCATCTCCCCCCGCCAACATTAGCGAGCTCCCCCACCGCCTTCAAAGTAACAGCAGCAACACCTGGGTTCGTATCAGTCGCTTTTGGTAGCAGAGCTGTGACCATGGGATCCACATATGATCTGATGAGCTTTGTAGCATTCGAAACAAACAAGCTGATGAGCTGCGCGGTTTCTTCCTTTTGGCGGGCTGTATTGGCAAATCCGAGACCGGTCAAAAGGTTGACCAGCAGCTTCCGCAACGGCGGGAAGACATAAGCAGGGTTGACGCTAGAGAGACGGCCAATGATGCAGATGGCAGCCTCCTTGACCTCGAACACCTCATCGTTGACAGCGAGGAACAAGCACCGAATGTTCTCTGGTCGTGCCAGATGCCGGTCAAATTTGCGATCCAATGACCAAAGAACAGTGCGGCGGATCTCTGGGTCAGGATCACCAATACCAACAGTCAATAGCTTGTCAATAACTTCACTGACGACCTGTATCGAGTGTCCACTAGTTTGATTGATGATCGGATCGTGGACGAAGAGTTGACAACATGTAAGAGCCGAAGCCTTTCGGATCTCCGGGTTATCATTCTCCACGTAATTGATCGCCACATCGCGCACAAACTCATTTAGAATGTGCCCGGAGAAATCAAAGCTTCCCAGCGTGTGAAGAGCCAATGCGATTTCGGCATCGGAATGAAGCTCTTGAGGTGCAAAATCTTTGGCGAATGATGGCATAGGAGGGAGACGGTTTTCGGGGCAACCGAGAGGCCGGAATGGTGTTCCACAAAGAATGATGCTCAGCATATCGAGAAGCTTCTCTTGGATTGTCGATTTGATGGGAGGAATGTAATGAGCCATGTCCACCAATGCCTGGGTTAAAGATTTGCTAAGACCGCAGGCAAATATAGGGTCAAGAAGAGCCTCCATGTACTTGCTGAGGGCTTGCCCCACCGCCAGCGAAAGCATGCTGATACACTCAAACATAGGTGCCTCGTTGACACCCGCGCGGTTCCTGGCTTTCACTGCGAGCCCCTCACGGATGTAGACGATGATGCCGTCGAGGTATTGTGCGATGGCAGGCCCCACTGCATTTGCTATCTTTCCAATTGCGACGAAGGCAGAGTTCCTTTCTTCTTTTCTCTTGAGTTGTGCCTGGAGATAGATCATGAATCGGTGCAAGTAAGTTTCAATAAAGTCGGTAGGAGCGTAGGATGCGAGGATAGGGATGGTGAGGACGACTTGAGTGCGGATTTTGGGGTCACGATGGTCTTTGAGGCGTAGAACGATCTCGCACGCGCCGCGGTAGTGTTCATTCATGAACATGGTACCCTTCAAAATCAGTTCCTTGAGAATCAAGAGGGAACCATGAATCCAATCAATGTTATTGGACTTAAGTCCCATCTGTGCCTCCTCGTGAATACGTTGGAACCACGACTGACGGACTTGAGCGTCTCGAGCCACGATGATATCGAAACATTCGCCCACGGCTTCCGCAGCAGTCTCTCGGATGAGGACTTTTGGGTCTCGAAGTGCCACCCAAACGAGCTCGAAGATCTGTGGTACGAAGCCATAGAGTAGCGTGGGCGAGCCTTTTGCAAGCTCCCTGATAACAAGCACTGCCGCAAAACGCCTGCTTTCTTGACGTTCAGATTGTAGCCATTCCAGAGCTGACTGGATTTCACTTTCCACAAGTTCCGCAGTAAGTGCCCCGCCGGGCTTCGCAAGGCGGCCGAGTGATCGGGCAGCGTAAACCAGCACCGCATTGTCGTTGCTTCGAAGTGCGCTTCTTAGGTAGCTTGCGAACCGCGTGGTCTTCTGGGCGGCATCGACGCCATCGAAATCGATCAGATGATCAAGCGCTAATAGACCGCCAATTCTTTCATTTGCATCACTGCCAGTCACCACCAACTGGGCGATCCGCTGGCTAACGGCGTTGTAAAACTCGACGAATTTCTCAGCGGGGCAGTCTGTCGGAGAATGAGAGTGTCAGCTAAATCAAGCAAACTTGCAGTACGTGCAGAGGTCGGCCTTACCTCGTGAGACTGATAAGACATTGTCATAGAGCTCGTAGGCAGCTCTGGCACGGGTCTCGTCGTTCTTGGACTTCAACTCCACGAAAAGTCGTTGGGTCACATCGGTCATAGGGCCTGCTTGCGCCATGATTGCGACACGCACCCCCGGGTTGACATTGGAAGCCGACCGCGGAAGAGCAGAAGCGCAGGGCGCATAAGTTGAGTAGAAGATGGTGGAGGAGGGATGGTCATGTGTGAGCCTCCAGGTCGAAGACGGGGTGCACAGACCACGTTCCCTTCCCGCGTTGCCTCCAACCTCTCCACGCTCAATACGTCTCCCTAGCTCTGCACATGTCTTTTCTAATGTCTTTGTTCAGTGTCTCTCTGAAATTCGGAATCGTCCCTCGTCTTGAAAATACGCTTTAGCAGCCGCATTGTACCATCGACTCCGGTGTTAGACACCACTTCATGAAAGTACCTTTGACTAGCCACAGAACTGGAATCTTTCGTCTGTCTAGTGTCGTACACAGCACTCGTGCCCCGTAATACTAGAAAGATCAAAAGCATATTTCTTGAGGCTCAATCGCACATCGATAATACTCTCTGTACGAGGCTGCGACATCCTCCTGGAATCGGTCTAGAACCTGGCTTAAGGACATGCCTAGCGCAAAGCAAACAGGTACTCATTCATCTCCACGCTTGATACAGCAGAATGCCAATTGCCACTAATCCAATTGAGCTGATGGGTCATCGACGATCTGATGGCAGGTTGTACAGCAGGCATAGGACTAGTCATTATAGAAACATGCGGTCAAGAAATACCGGGCTTCGATTGTGCAAGTCTTGAGCAACAATTCATTTTTAGCGCTTATCAATGGATCGCCGCCACTTCGAATTTGATAAATTTCAATGAGTCTGCAGCCAGGTCAACATGAGCCTTCACGACAACAATGTCTCTGGGAACAGCTAGAGCACATGTCAAAACACTGCAATAATCTGACGAGTGACTCTACAACCAGCCATGGGATAAGTTGGGCAGAAATGAGATCAAATACCCGTTATCGCATTTACCTGCATGATTATGCCAGTGCTAGCGGATAGCTCCTTTGTCTCCGATGATAAACGGCAACGACGGGTGTTCCGTAAAGCCACGTGAAAGAACCCAAGCCCAAACGAAAGGCGGAGTTACTCGGATTTATTGTACTGTTAAGTCATAGTCTTGAACCCCAGAAGCCAGTGAGGTTGTTCAATGTTCATTTGTAATCGACTGTGAGCTGGTGGGCCTTTACGGGGAGCAATGACGGAATCGAGGGGTTCGAAGACCACAAAAGCCCGGGGTTCCCCATCCTTACATACAGTATCTCTCCCTCTCCACGGTACATACAATTTTTACTATCTTATCTCAATCGTCACAATGGTGAAAGTTCTCTTGACCGGTACGTAACTTCCAGTTTTCCAAATGCCTCTATGTCAGCATATCGGTCTAATCGTTCGCAATAGGTGGCAGCGGCTTCATCGCCGCCCACATCGTTGATATCCTTCTGCAGCATGGGTTCGGCTCGACGACCAAATCTTCATGGTTCAGTTGCTGATACTGATCTCTGTTATAGCTTTGAAACTGTGGTGACGGTCAGGTCCGAAGACAAGGGCAAAAAGATCCTCGAGGCCCATCCCGACACCACTAAGGATAAGCTCTCTTATGTGATTGTTAAGGACGTAGCCCAAGCTGGGGCTTTTGACGAGGTGAACACACCTCCCAGTCCCATTTTATGCCTTGATCGTTACTGATGCTTTAACAATAGGCCGTAAAGTCCAACCCGCCGTTTGATTATGTCCTTCACACAGCGTCGCCCTTCCACTTTAACGTTCAAGACCCTGTAAAGGACTTCCTGGATCCCGCGATCAAGGGAACCACAGGGATTCTCCACGCCGTGAAAGCTTACGCGCCCGAAGTCAAGCGCGTTGTCATTACTTCATCCTTTGCTGCTATCGTGAATAGCAAGCAGCATCCTAGGGTCTATAGTGAAGAAAACTGGAACCCAGTAACATGGGAAGAAGCTATGGACCCCGCTAACGTCTACCGGGCTAGTAAGGTAAGCAAAGACTTCTATGATATGATCACGGTATGCGCTGACTGATATCGCCTACAAGACTTTTGCCGAGAAGGCCGCTTGGGACTTTATTAAGAAAGAGAAGCCCCAATTTGATATCGCCACTATCAACCCTCCTTTGGTGTTTGGTCCAATTGTCCACTATTTGAACTCCCTTGAAGCCATCAATACCTCGAATCAGCGCATGCGAAACATCATCCAGGGCCAGATGAAGGAGAAGATTGCCCCGACCGGCATTTTCCTCTGGGTCGACGTCCGGGATGTGGCACTCGCGCACGTGAGAGCTATTGAGGTTCCTGAGGCAGGCGGTCAGAGATTCTTCATCACAGCAGGCTACTTCTCCAACAAGGAGATCGTTGATATTGTGCGTGACACCCACCCCGAATTGGAGCCGAAACTTCCTCCCAAGGATGCTCCCGGTGACTTCCCGGAAGAAATCTATGAGTTCGACAACAGCAAGTCATTGCAAATCCTTGGACTCAAGTATCACTCATTCAAGGACACCGTTTCCGATACAATTGATTCGTTGCTGGCCGTTGGTGCTTAGAATGCCGATCTTCTTTTAGGGAAAGACTGGTCCTAGAAGAGAGCATAGGCTAGGAAGAATCACGAGAGATAAGAGGTGACACGTGCTTACCTGATTCGTTCGTCGGAGTAACAAAGTAATGTTTCCCTTTCAATTGGCACAAGCTTATATTGCCCTGGAACGAAGTTACGAAGTACTTATAGTCACCTGTAGGGTAATTATCTTCCTACTGGGTAAAAAGATAACAAACTAAGTATCTCGAGTTGAGATAGGAAGGTGAAGATGACGTGATATTGCTAGTGCAAAATCGTATCGTAGAAACATTCGGACGTTTGCCTGACGACAGTGACGCGACTGTCTTGTACGTCTTATGAAGCTCGTTGGAAAGCGCAAACCCAGTTTCGTGATAGGCTACCGCGCCTTTGGCCGCTGTCGTGCGCCGTATCGGCTTAGCCCGTTTCTCCGGCCAACTTTTCTTGCGCGGACGCCGTCCAGCTTTCCATCGACCATTGAACAAGATGGCGACCGCCAGGCTGTCACCAACGGCGAATCTTCTGCGCAAGTCACGTTTATTCGCCCTCCCCCCAAGCTCTTCAGCCTCCGCAGGAGCCGCCGGCGTCCAAAGCCGTGTTCGAATCCAACACCTCCACCCTCCCTCACCCCATCCGCGCTTCGATCGTCACTCCGCAAAAGGCCCTAGCTAGAGGCGATTGGGGTCTGAAGCGGCCGTTGCCAGCTAAGTCGACATCGGAAAAGTCATCAAGACCCATCGTCCGGTTGCAGGCCCTGGACACTTACGAACATGTCACCGATTTCGAGTCCGCGGCCGATCACACCCTGACCCTGGAGAAGTTCCAGGAACTACATATGCCCATGTCGCTTCCCTCAAAAGTCAACTACGCGACAAGCATCGTTCCTAGACACCAGAGCCCGTTCGAAACGTTCGTCGACAACACGGAAAAAAGCCAGAGCCTGGCAGAGACCGGTGCCAAGCAGTATAGACAATCCGGTCCCTGGCTTGGTGGGTTGAGCGAGGCGGAGTTTGTGACCTATCTGGATCAAGTACGCTCAAAAAAGCCAGAGCTCCTTGTGCAGTTGAGAGAGCGGCTTGAAGCCAAACGTTTTGCCGAGGCCCGGAAACAGGCCCAGGACAACGGGGAGGACTTTGAATTGATCGAGCCCGTCAAGGTTACCGACGAGGAGTTCAACATATATATCAAAACCCTCAGAAATGATCCGTTTGCTCTCGGACCGGTTGTGTTCGAGTTGTTGGATCTTCCGTCGCCCCTGCGGTGCCCAGCGAGCGGATCGGACGCAAGTATTATCAATCCCCCGGAACCAAACTGTCAGCGTCCGAATACTCTGTGACCGGACCTCCCAAGACACACCCTTCCGCTGGTCTCTCCTACACACGATCCCACGCTTTGACGTACAACCACCCCGAGCATGGTCCGCAGGCATTCCAGCGCCCTGTTGAGGCCCGTATCTTGCGCCCCAAGGGCCGGTTCAAGGGACGTGTTTCAAGGGCGATTGCCGGTGTCGGTGGTATTGCCGTTGAAGATTTGAATGCTATGACCTTCATCGACCAAGGCACACCTCCTGGTCTGACTTTCTTCGATGCGACTATTCCTGGTGGTGCCAAGTACTGGGTTACCCCAATCCGCGCTGCTGTTGGTTCTGATGGCAGAATTGGGCTATCATCCTACCGTGCCAGTGCAACTGCCAAGGCACCGTACGGCATTCAGGATTTTAAGAAGCCTGGTATCACAAGTATCTCGGAAGCCGCTCGACGGGACGCCAACGTCGTGCCTCGTTTGGATCGACCCCGTTTCAACCAGGGTCGTTTCAGGCCTTCGCCTGACAATGTATCGAGGTCACCTGAGAAGTCGAAGGAGGACCTTGTCAACAGCCTCATGCAAGACTTGAATGCGTCGCGATAAGAAGCGACAAGGCGTCCTGCGCGATGGAATCTCGACGGAGGAATGTACGATTAGACCGGGGGCTTATGTAAAGCTACTCTCATTACCTTTCTGCACATGTGATATAAGCCAATGCATCAATTTCGTTTTATTTGACCCGAGAAGCCTCTTCAATCTGTAGTACTAGGAGTTCCATGGCACTTCGAACGTTCACAGAAGACATGCAGGCCTCAGGCTCGATCAGATTCGCCTTACGTAATCAGTATCACTCACGTGAGATTTAGGGTTGGAGTAGGGCAAGGACCCGCACACCGCTAAGCGAGAGCAACCGCCCGAGTCTTCCAAAACGGCAACACTTTGGATTCCTATCCTCGAACATCCTTCCAGCCAACAAAACGCCAACATGGGTCGCGTCCGTACTAAGACCGTCAAGCGGTCCGCCAAGGTCATCATCGAGCGCTACTACCCCAAGTTGACCCTCGACTTCGAGACCAACAAGCGCATCTGCGATGAGATCGCCATCATTGCCTCCAAGCGTCTTCGCAACAAGATCGCTGGTGTAAGTGCTGCATGAATACACCATTTTATTGAACAGCTGCTTACTGCTATATTCAGTACACCACCCATCTGATGAAGCGCATTCAGCGTGGTCCGGTTCGCGGTATCTCCTTCAAGCTTCAGGAGGAGGAGCGTGAGCGCAAGGATCAGTACGTCCCCGAGGTCTCCGCTCTGGATGTTTCCCAGACCGAGTCCGGCCAGCTCGATGTCGATGCCGACACCAAGGACCTCCTCAAGTCCATGGGCGTAAGTTTGCTCTACCTACAACCACGATGAAACATAATCTCAACCTTTTTTTTTCTAGTTCGACAACCTCAAGGTCAACGTCGTCACTGTCAGCCAGCAGCAGCAGTCCGAGCGCCCCCGCCGCTTCGGTCCCCGCTAAGCCCAGCACCCTGGATGGTTGCGCTGGGAGAATACAAAATTTCTTTGACGGTCTTAGGTCGGCTCCTGGCGTTTTCCTGACGATACTTCACCCGGACTGGCTTTCTTCCCGGCTATCACGGTTTTAGCTAAAGAATGGAGGCTATCCATGGATGAGGAATGAAAAAAATGATTCCCTTGACAAAGGTGTCGCTGAATCTCCTATGGGGATGACGCTTGATTGCCAAAACTTGTCCTCGTGCTTTTACTTGGGAGGCTTGTCCCCTAGGTTGAACTACGTAGGAGTCTTCGAACGTTGTTCGACTCGACTCGGGGCCATTGAGCTTGATCTGTGCTATATGTGGATGCTTAGCATTCTGCAGATTGAAGTCTCATGGCCACTCGTAGATTTTTAGTAAGTATCGTAGTCGCCGCACGCCTCCGGGGTATGAGTTGAAATAACTCCGAAACACCGCTCAACATGCAACAGCCTCCCCATCATCTCAGATCTGATCAAGCAGATCTCCTTCATATGGAGTGGACGCTTTATCTCGCCGGTCCAGCGGCACATATCCTTCTATGGATCCTCCTAAGGCATCCTCCGGCCGTGGCTGCGGGGCACTGGCAGCAGAATGCTTGCCAAGTTCATTTTCTTTCACATGGACACCAACGCGCCCATGACGATGTATATGACCTGTATCACCGCGTTCCAAGGCAAGCTCCTCCGAGCGCTCGCTGTCCTGGATATTCAAGTCCTTCATACCAGCCGTCAAGTGATCATTTCCATCTAGCTGAGAAGTGCGCAAAGCGGCGCTTGAGCTCCCAATCCTGGGTTTCTGTGATTTGGCACGACCTTCCTCGAGCAATTGGATGTTTTTGGCATGGGTGTCATTTGCCCGCCTCTCCCACACTGGCTTTTCGCCGAGTTGTACGCGAATGTAGAGAGCGCGCTCAGCACATTGGTCAGAGCACCATTTCTCAATGTTGTCGCTAGGCACAATATTCACACTGCGCCCTCGACCTCCAGGTCCACTTCCTTTAGCACCGTATTTAAATCGGAACGATTGGCCTCGGCCATAATTGTCTTTGCGATTCTTGCGAGGACAAAGGCCGTAGCCGCATAGATCCTCATTGTTTCGTTCTTCCACGAGGCTATCATAGTCGCTTGGTCGGAATGGATATAGTGCTGATTTAAACAGCTGGGCGTCTTGGGGAGAGGGTGTTGCTGGGTCGGCGGACGGAGAGGAGGGAAGCGCGAGAAGTTCGATAATACGGTCCAAGATCATTCCCTCTGCATCTTTCTGTGCCTGAATCTGATGTGCATGTTGAAGCGCAATTCCTAAGTGGTGAGTAGTCGCACGAGGGCGGCCTTCGAGGAATTTGTCTTGTTCTTCCCGAGTCGGAAGTGAAGATGGCTGTTCAGCGCTGGCGGCAGCGTATGCAGTTTGGAGGGATGTTTTAAGCACATTTCTAGGCGAGCCTGGCGCAGACATGCTGAATATGTTGGCACGTCGAGGTTTCGATTGGGCGTGTGGCAAGGAGTGGGAGAGCAGAAGCTCGAGATTTTGTGGTTCGCGATTTTCAGCGGAGGCGAAAGGCAAAGCCCGGGGTTCGCGGGCAGTGATGTCGCCAATAAGAGCCACGACACTTCCACCTCCGGGTTTTCCTGACGTAGGCAATTTATGGGCAGGAAACAATGCTATGTTTGACGTGTTTCGTAATTCATCAAAAGGAATATGCTAGCTCTGGTAATGATCGTGCCAGACTTGGTATACGTTTACTGGTTGCAACTCGGTCCAGCCATCGAAGCTAATCACCCCCATCTAGCTTACATCGGAAGCTGTTGACATGCAGGTCAGACCCGTAAAATCTTCCAAAAAAAAAGTGCATCTACTCGAACAAAACTGTATACATATATCCATTTGCTGCACCGTTTATGCAGTGCTGCGCCTACCCTGGTTCTTCGCAGCCGCCGATCGCCCAGTGGAGCCTCTGTCTCCCTCATCCCGCCAAGTGACGACCACCTCACTTGCCTTCCACACTCCCCTTCGCCCAACCTCTGATGTTCGCAATCAACGGCTGGTCCCCTACATACTTCGTTCCTCAATTCCAGACCTTCGCTAGGGTGCTCGGTTATCCAGTTCCAATGTGAGTTCCTTCCGGACCCCTCCACTCCCCCTCATCTCCCCTAGGCACCCACCAACACTGTCGTCATTCCGAGCTGACTTCGGTTACGACCAAAGCCTTACTCCTATCTACCAGTATACCACTGCATGCTGGAGGTATCAGATCTGGTGATCCACCCTGTAAATTGTTAGCCTGATTGCCGTCACACACCTGTGCTTTAGCGTCTCTACACCCGTCCCTCCGAACTCTGGGGCCCGACTTGCCAGATGTCCAACCCGCCTTTTACGGTCAAATCGGTCTTCGAGTATGCTTCGGGCCACGATGACGACCTCAGTTTCCCAATCGGACAAATTCTTACCGTCACCGCTGTGGAGGATGCCGAATGGTACTATGGTGAATACACGGACGGGTCCGGGGTCAAACAAGAGGGCATCTTTCCCAAGAACTTTGTCGAGCGCTATGAGCCTCCGGCTCCTCCGCGCCCGACGCGCCCTAACAGGCCCAAGAAGGAAGCTGAACCGGCACCGGTTGAATCCCCTCTTACTGTGAGCGAACGTCAACCCGAAGCGGAGCCCGATGTTGCGGAGCAGCCCGCAGAGGCCGACAAGGACGTGGTTGTCCAGCAGCCACCTCCGCCTCTGTCCCCGCGCGTCGCTTCAAGTCCTGCTATTGAATCTCCGACCTCGCCTTTGCAGCCGGCTCAAGCACCTATGCCTGTCGTCACCACCGCCGCTCCTCCCGTTAAGGCCTCCTCGAAGCCCCCGCCCCCGGCCGTAGCGGAGAAGCCTTCCGGCTCATCTTTCAAAGACCGTATCGCCGCCTTTAATAAGCCCGCCGCATCGCCAGTTGCGCCCTTGAAACCTGCCGGCTCGCAGTCAAGTTCGTTTATCAAGAAACAGTTTGTGGCTCCTCCTCCAAGCAAGGACTCGTTCGTGCCTCCGCCAAGGGACCCCGCTCCCAAGGTCTATAAAAGAGAGGAAGACCCGGAGTTGAAGGAACAGCTGACTCGCGAGCCACCGATTTCCGAAAGTCGGCCTCCGCCGCCTCCTGTTCAGCAAGAGTCGACAGAGAGCGCCGAGGATCAGCCAAAGCCCACCAGCCTTAAGGACAGAATTGCTCTTCTTCAGAAGCAGCAGCTAGAGCAGGCCCAGCGTCACGCTGAAGCTGTCCAAAAGAGAGAGAAGCCCAAGCCTTCGAAGAAGTCACTTGATCTGCCCTCGGAACCCGTCGCCGGAGAGCCCGAAGAGGCCGAGTCACCTGTTGAACCATCAACAACCGGTCGGGATCCAAGTGTCGATACCGTACGAGCAAAGGCTCCTCCAGCTCTTTCGGCCCCCTTCTCGCCGACGGCGGAGATTGCCAGCGATACTAACGATGCTGACTATTCCGCCGCGGCGGACTCCGAAGATGCAGGAGAAACATCTGCTAGCAAGGATGACGAGGAGGAGCCTGCCGAGCAACCGTCGACTCATGCGGTTGAGTCAAAGGGAGAAGAGGCTGATGAGGAGGACGAGGAGGAGGAAGAGATGGACCCTGAGACCCGACGCCGACTGGAGCTACGTAATCGCATGGCCAAGATGAGTGGTGGCATGGGCATGATGGGCCTCTTTGGTCCGCCAGGCGGTATGCCAGGCATGTCTGCTCCTGCGCCCCGGAAAATGAAGACTCCTAGCGAATCAGAAAAGAAGCTCGAAGAACCGACTTCACCTGGCATTGCTCCTCCTGTCCCTCTGCCGGGAATGAATATCAACACTAGGCCCGTTCCTCCTCCTGCCGATGTGGAGCAAGAGGAAGAGGAACCGCTAGTGACTCCCATTACTGAGCAGCATGCTTCTCGAGACGTGCCGGACGTCGAGGAGGTCATCCATGATGGCGCATCGCCGTCTGTTCCTCGTCGCTCTACCGACAGACCTCGCCCGCCACCTATTGCGTCGCGACCTGTTCCGGCTCCTCCTGTACCAGTCGATATGCCAGCTTCACCCCCGCCAGTCCCAGGAGGTAAGTTGTAGACTGATGATCTTTTCGGTACGTTATTGTTGATAATTTTACTAGGTCGACCGGCTCCTCCCCCGAGACCCTCAGCAGGCGATGAATCCGATGATGAGCTCTCCTTGCATGCCGGGAACTCGTCTTCAAACCACCCAGCAAGCGGACCACCTCCGGTGCCTGCACCCGCGCTTCCTGATCATATTGATGCCCGTCGTTCCTCGACCTATGACTCTCTCCCACCTGTTCCAACCCCGACTGCTGAAAAGAGGGCAAGCCGTCTACCCCCTCCGATACCATCAAATCTACCGGCACCGCCAGCGCAGAGCCGCGCCGCCGCCCCACCACCACCTCCTGGTCAAATCCGCCGACGATCTACTGCCGATAGTCGTATAAGTGCCACGTCTGCTCCCCGGCAGGCTGGTGAGGACGTCGAAGGAGAGGTCACCGAGTACGATGGGGACTACGACACTGATATTGCGTCGGGTGCCAAATTCAAGGATGCCTTGAGATCACATGAGCGTGATTCCAGCTTCGATGAGGGTACAATAAACGATGATCACTCACTTCAATCCCCACGGAGCCCAATGGAACACAGACAGCCCCCCACCGGTCCCTTCAGGTGCTCCTAGGGGAGCTCCTCCGCCGCCTCCAAGCCAGCCGCCTCGGAACGCTAGGGTTTCGATGGACACACCTCGAGGCCCTCCCCCGCCCCCACCCAACCAAGAGCCAATAGCTGGTGATGAAGATGAAGAAGAGTACGACCCGTTCAATTATGCCGCTCCTCAACATGGTCTGCCCACTCCCCCGCCTCATACTACCGGACTCCCAGATGCGCCGCCCCCTCCACCTCCGCATCAAGAGCCTGAAGAATATGATGATATGTATGATGCGTCTCCAGTCCAAACCCCAGCAAGCGAGAAGCCGCCTACATCACAACATGAAAAGAGGCTTTCTTTGGCACCACCACCTCCTATGGCTTCGGCTTCCGGTATGCCATCCCCATCGACAAGTCGAGGTCAGCGAGCTTCCATGGATATGTTGAGAGGTCCCAACATTCGACGCTCCATGGACGTTTCTCGTCCCTCTATTGACCAGGGTTACATCGCCACTGAAGTTGATCTTGGAGAGTCTACTCTTTGGTGGACGCAGCCCAATACCCCCCCTCCAGTCTTCCAAAATCGAAAAGACATTCTTTTCGAAGTTGAAGAGTCATCTTCGTCAAAACGGGGTAGGAAGACAACTGTGTCCAAGGACGTCTACATTTTGTTCATTGACTACTCTCAGACTGTTGTGACTGTGCAGTTCGATGGCAAGAACCCCGCGGATGCCATCCTGGAGCAGCGTCATGAAGCTCCACCACTTCAGCTCCGCCAGGACCAACTAGAACAGGCCCATAACCAGCTCGGAACTCGCATCTCTGACTCCGTAAATGCCATTCAAAACTCGACTGTCGGCGATGGCACCCCATTCGGGCTCGTCCAGCATCTGCTGAACCCGCTTTCTGATGCGCTGCTTCCTGTTGGAACCCGAGCCTATGGTGCTTTGGTATACTCCAACCTGGCTAATGCATCGGTCTCTCAAAATGATGAAATCCGCGCTGGTGATATCGTCAGCTTCCGCAATGCCCGTTTCCAAGGCCACCGAGGCACTATGCACCAGAAGTACAGTGCCGAAGTGGGCAAGCCTGACCACGTCGGCATTGTTGTCGACTGGGACGGTACGAAGAAGAAGATTCGCGCCTGGGAGCAGGGACGCGAGAGTAAAAAGGTGAAGATGGAAAGCTTCAAGCTGAACGACCTGCGCAGTGGAGAGTGCAAGGTCTGGCGAGTGATGCCTCGTAGCTGGGTTGGCTGGGAACCTTCCAAATGAGGAGATCCTGAGTCTTGTCAGCTGATGTGATTTGGATGATTCCTTTCTTTTGTCTAGATTCGATGGGAATGTGACTGAGATAGGGCTCACACTTTCCTCCCCTTATATTTTCCCTTTTACTTGCGCCATCCTGCTTATGTGGTAATGAGAGAGCCGGGTGGTCGATTTTGATGGAGAATTGAGCGAGCGTGCACCTCCTTTTGATTTCCTCCTGTCCGCGGTAAATCCTGCATGATCAATGCCCCTTTCCGTTCTGTTATGATTTTTTTAGTTACCATTGCCTGTATTTATTTGCAATGCATCCATTTGCAAGTCTTCCATGAAAATATTCTTCCCGTCTCGTATATTCTGCACGTGGTCGTAGGTTGATGGCTGCCTCAGGTGTCGAGTGGCCATCTCCTTATCGGGCAGCCACCTTCCCTCCAACTTCTTCCAACCTCCACAGCTCGTCTCGCGACCGCCAAAATGGGTGGCGATCTGAACTTGAAGAAGTGAGTTGATCTCAGTTTTTACACCGGCTTTCGAAATCTAAGAAGCCTTAATGAAAAACGGAAATGCTAACCAGATCCCAGATCATGGCACCCGGGGTTGATGCGCAACCAGGAGCGCGTCTGGTCGGAGGAGAAGCGCGCACTCGAGGAGCGCAAGCGCATCGACCAACTACGCCGAGAACGCGATGAAGAGCGCCAGATGCAAGAAATTCAGCGCCTCCACGAGGCCTCAGGCAAACCGAAACAACTTAATCGAGTCGATTGGATGTACCAAGCACCTTCTAGTGCAACCGGCCATTACTCGGAAGAGATGGAGGGGTACTTGCTTGGCAAGCGCCGTATTGACGGAATCCTCTTGAAAAACGATACCGACAACCAGAAGCTAGAAAAGGGTGCTGATCTTGCTGGCGCGAATGCGGTCGCTGCTGCAGCGGCCGGTCCGTCTGTCGGATCTCAACGTGATACCATGGCTAAGGTTATGGCTGATCCGCTGTTTGAAGTCAAGAAGCGAGAGCAGGCAGCGTATGAGGCTATGGTCAAAGAGGCTGTGCGACGGAAGGAGAGGAGGAGAAACGCAGTGCTCGCGATGGAGATAAGGACCGCGCTTCAAAGCGTCGGAGATACAGTGATGATGCTGACAATGACCGTCGATCCCACCACCATCGCTCTTCGCGCCGTCCCCGTTCTAGATCGCCTGTGCGTTCCAATCGCGAACATCGCAGCGAACGTGATGATCGCGATCGTCGGGATGACGGACACCGTCGAGAGAATCGTGATCGTCGGGATGATGGGCACCGCAGAGAGTATCGGGATCGTCGCGATGACGGACACCGCAGAGAGCACCGGGATCGTCGAGAAGACGGACGCCGGGGAGATGACCGTGATCGCCGCGACGAACGAGAGAGGAAAGATTCTTATACTTGCCGTAGAGTTCGAGATGACAGGCGTGAGCGTGATCAAGACAAAGACCGCACCCGATCTCCACGTCGTTCTCCACCCCGGGAACGCTCTCCATCTCCACGCCCAACAGAAGAGCGCGGTGCCCGCCGCGATTATCCTCGACGAGACTACAACAACGGCCTTCGCCCAACAGCTCGAGAGCGTGGCCCACCGCCTCCTCGCCCGGTTGCCAATCAATCCGATGTCAAGGAACAGGAAGAGGAACGCCGCCGCAAGCTAGCCGAGATGCAATCAAATGCCACCAATCTCGAATCAGATCGTCGCCAACGCATTGCGGAGATCACTACGAAGGAAGAGCAGCAGGCAGAAGCAGACGACAAGCAACGCTCAGAACGCGGCCAGTTCATGTCACAGATTCACAAGCGTGCGCAGGAAGATACCCTGGACGAGCGCATCAAGCGCAGTCGTGGTGGACTGTCCAGGATGGACGATGATTGAGGCTTAAGCTTATGGATTTTTCATGCGTCGCGACTACATCTTTTAGCGGTGATTCCCTAATGTTATTCGCAAATTCATTGAGACAAGCTTATCTACAAACACGCTCTTTCGACGTAGGTGGCGTCAGCTATATCAAGGAGACCTTTAGAACACTAGGAAGACAGTCATGGCCAGTCTCCTGTTTGCATCCCTAGTGATCTTTGTCATTGGTACCCTGGAAGGAGTAAGTATTGATCATGGGAGTCTAACATTGTTTAGCCTTTTTATCACCTCATACACGACTGAACAAGATATATAGGAGTGAAGCAAGGTTGGCTTGCTTGAACGGACTCCATTTCCTCTGTACTGATTGTACTGATATCGATTCTATCTACATTTACAAATTGGGATCAAGTGAACATCCTTAGAGCAACAACAGCTCACCCGTAGCTGCGCCACCAGCAAATTGAGGCTGGTACGCCTGCTGCTGGTTCTGCGTAACAACATACTGCGTCTGAAGCGCGCCTCCACCACCTGCTCCGCCATCACGCCCACCCAGATCCAATGAGGCCATCTGTTGTGAGCCGATATTGTTGAAGTACGAGTCTGCCGCCTTGAGTGCTTCGGCTGAGGTGTTAGTGCCAGAGGCAACGCCTCCAGCTGGGAGAGGGAAAGCGGGAGGAGCAGAATTGACAGGACTGATAGGGTTTCCTGTAGTCGTGATGGTTGCGAGACCGCTGTTGCTGGTTGATGCGGCTGGCATGCTAGCAGAGGGAGGGTTGTACTCGAGCATAGCGCCAGTGCCATCTTCGATACGAGGCCGTTGCAACGCCGGGCTGGGTTGCAATCGACGAGGGCGTGCGGCGCGGAAAACTTGGTGAATAGGCTTGAGGTAGACAGTGGCAAGAGTGCCGACGTTTAAGCACAACTCCTCGAGAGTCCGAGGATCGAGCTTCTCGCTTTCCGCGGTGATGGGTGGTTTCTGGCCCATAACAACTTGCTTGGCTGTTGCTGGGTCGGTCGACAACAGACGCCAATACATGTAGCCTCGGTCTCGAAGATCCGGGTCATCTGTCTCTTCCGTGCACCACTTAAGGACCTGGGGAACGAGCTGTTGGCCCTTTGTAGGCCGCTGAATGAAGAACTTCACGGTGGCAGTGAGAAGGGCCAACTGCACTTCGATGGTTTCGTCGTGGAAGGTAGCCAAATAATCCTGCAGTAGCCCATCCGAGTTCTCAATACGATCTGCATACTGGCCAATGATCCAGATGATGGCTGCTTTGGCCTCGGGCTCGTCGAGATCGTCGATCTTGCTAATCACGTGGCTGATGATGCTCTCGTACTGGTTGGGATACTTTCGGAAGATATTGCGAATCACAACCGTGGCTTCCTGGACGATGTACGGGATCTTGGCATCGACGAGCTCCAACAAGGTATCGATACATTGCTTTGCGGCGGACTCAATCTTGATTGCCAGTTTACCGATGGCACGCACTGCCTTACGTACGAAGTGCACATCAATCTCAGTGGCATATCTGTCGGAGGTAGTTAGGATGGCAAGCAATAGATGATAGTAGACAGGAACTCACTCTCGAAGCTCAGCCAGAACCACGGAGATGTTATCCTTTGTGGTCAGCATGAACATCAACTCCAATTTGGTCACTTTGACATAAATCGGGTCGTTGTAGTTGCAGAAGAAAACGCGAATATCATTACGAAGGACCTCTGGGCGTTTCTGCAAGATCAGGATAGCGTTACGCAGGACGAGGTACTGAACCTCCGGCGGCTTGGAGAGCAAGGTGACGAGGGGTGGTGATAATTTCCGGCATAAAGACGTGATGTGCTTCTCCTCGGCGATATAGTTCATGAGATATAGGATCACTCGGCAAGCAGTCAGTACGACTGCCGAGTTCGAGTGAGATAGCCGCGGGGCGATTCGTTCTGCCAGCAGAAGGGCCTCGGCATTATCTTGGGGCACGTAAGACATCAGAGCTTCGAGGATGTAAGATTGACCCCATCTAGCCCAGCGGTTAGATCACAGTTCTCTGAACCTATGGGGACCCAAAGAAAACATACTCAGAGCAATCGGGCAGAATAGAAACTAGTTTTGAAGCACTGACGTAGTCAATGGTCAGGGAGATGGACTCGCTGCGGCCCCAGATGTCGACTAGGGAAGCCAGGACACTAGAGACGACTGTGGGATTTTCGTCCTTCAACATCCTATTGAGGCGGTCGATCAAATCTGAGTTTTCAACTGTCTTCTTGTCGTGTTCGTAGAGTTTAGCCACACAGAAAGCGGCAGTCTTGCGGACATAAGGATCATTGTCTTGCATGAGGCGCTTGAGAGGTTGGAAAGTCGCTTCGACAAATTCGCGCACATGGACGTAGGAAATAGTTCGCAGCGCAAGTGCACGCACAAGCGGATTATCGTCTGCCATGTCCTATGAAAGGGTCAGAGGTGCATTCTTGAGTTCCTCCCACCACTCCACATCGAAGACATACATCAACCAGAATCGGAAGCGCCTTCATCGCTACCTCCGGCTTCATTCGCGAATAGTTGACCAGAAATAAGAAGCACCTAGGATCGAGGTGAGCAGGTGGACTCCAAAACCATTCGACACCCCCGCAGGCACAGCTGAGCGAGGTTCTCATACATCTTCTTGATTTCCAAGCTCGGCAGGTTCATGCAGTCAATAACATCCGGAAATAGCGCAACCATATCGTTATTGCTCATGGTCATGTTGGCAACAATCTTCTTCAAGGCGATCTTCTTGGCGGAGTAGTTCTTATCTTTCTTGCCGCCGCTATTTAGTTCCTGTCGCAACTCGGCAACCTTGCCCTGTGGAGATCGCGCAAAACGTAAGCTATTTGGCGAAGCATAGGGAGCGAAACCAATAAACATTGGGGAGGGTAGGGTATGTAAGGGTTCAACAGACGAAGTGCAAGGAAGGGTAGCTGCGAAAGTCACATTGGACAATAGTCGCATAAGGTATGGGCAGATGCGGGGAAGGGCGAAAGCCGCCACGGGCAAATCAAGCGATCAGGTATATCACTTACTCTAGCGAACAGCTTCGCATCGCCCCCAGAACTCATGGTTGCGGCGTTGAACGAATCGCAAGGTTTAATGAGCGGTGATTTTTCTTCGGAGGCTCTGGATCAAGCCGGGAGGCTCGCGATCGATCAATTGCGACGACTTAGTGTGGCTTAATCGAGGCTCAAAGGACAGGATGTAACCTGAGGTGAAGACGGTGCGAAAATTGAGGGCGAGAATGAACTGGACCGGGGATAGGGAGGGGGTTGGTCCGTTGTCAAAAGGGTGAGACTGTCGCTTCAGTGCACCACAATTGTAGCCCGTTCGGAAGAATCGGAGAGAATTAGATTCATAAACTGGACATAGTCAAGAAGAATTAACGGGGAGGATCAAAGAGTGGGAAGTCGCGGTGGAGTTAGAGGAAAGGAGAATCCTAAGGCGGAGTGGAGGAAAGCTGCGGAGGATCCTCCCTGGTGAACCCCCCCGTCATCCACTTTTTCAGCTCTCACACGCCACCCTTCACCATTCTCATCTACGAACGCTATGTCATCGGCTCTCCCACCTCCGCCTCCACCACAATGGGCTGTCGCGATCAACTCGCCGATGCCGCGCCCCTCCAAGGCGGCATCCAGCATCCCGAATCCACCTGGCTTCGCCAGCCGTGGAGGTAAACAGGTGAGCTCAGGCCCAGAGCTGACCTAGTGCTGTATTGACCATGTTTATCGTTGTCAGCGCGAGAAGCAGCAACTACAACCCACTACAGCCAGGCCTGAAGAGACCGATACCTTGAAGATGAAGAAGGCCTGGGAGATCGCCATCGCCCCGTCCAAGCAGCTTCCCATGAACGGTATCATGATGTACATGTCCGGCAATAGCCTCCAGATTTTCAGTATCATGATGGTTTTCATGCTGTTCAAGGGTCCAATTCAAGGCCTGATCAATACCAATGCGGTCTTTGCCAAATACGAGACCCCGACAACTCGTGGGCGCCTGCTCGCAGTGAAGGCAGTCTACGTGCTGATGCAGCTGTTGTTGCTGGCTTTGGGAATCTGGAAGGTTAATGGAATGGGCTTATTGCCGTATGATTTCCCATATGGATGGTTACATAACGTACCACTGACACCACTGGCAGGACTACGAGATCAGATTGGCTCGCATGGGAATCGGAACGACAGCCTCTGGAGCGGGCTTATTTTGCTTTCAGGTGATAATGAGAATGATTCAGCTGTAGTACTAATTGAAATTCATGGCAAATGTTTCCAAGATATTGGCTCACAGAAAGGTCTTCGGCATGCAATATTAGGCAATTCAGGTCAGGGCAAGAGGCCTTAAATGGTCGTTTTTATCTCCTTTAGGGCACTATCTTCTATAACACAGGCACCTGTCTAGAAACCAACCTAAACATGGATCCGGTCCTCCAAAATTGCCAAATCAATATGTAGAGGCCCGGGTAGCTGTCTGATGCTTCCCGGATTGATTAAATATAACGTGTGAAGGTTCCCATACCTCCGACCCAGGATAAGAGATAGACCTAGCCTCCAGTTTCATGCCTCCTCTGAGCCAGGATATGGGCCTATACAATCGGTTCACTAGCTCTTCAAATGTTGATGCTTGAAAAATTGCCATCATTGTGTTGGATGTGGTTACATTCAGTTCGGGGCCAATGGTCCCCACCCGTGAGCGGTAAATTATCAAGACTTCTTCTGAATAGATTTTCACGCAAGAACTTGGCACCGCGCCTCGATCAACAGCCTATTTAATATCTTTATTTTGGAGCTCGGAGGATCGAAGAAGATGCCGACGTGCAGTTGTAATTCTTCAGGTCGGAGTTAACCGCCGATAAGGGAGGAGACTCTTTGCTTAAAAGGTTCGGCTTCTCGGCACAGTCCAGTCGCTCCACAAACGATAGACCAGGATTCACTCTCAGGGTGGGTTAGTCATGGGTGAATGATATCCTGGTTTTATTCCGCCTTTCCAGATTCTTTACTTCAATCCTCCTTGGTCGGTGCGGACTTCATCCTCCGCGTCCAGTGCGACCCTGGAGATGGGTACTTCACCAGAGCCATCGGTGGTCGACGTGGAACAAGCACGCCCCGAAAATGCGGGGACTCGAAGTGGAGAAATGGCTGATGTCGACTATTCGGTCTTTTCCGTCAGTCAAAGGCGATATATTGTTTTTATGGCTTCATGGGCGGGATTCTTCTCTCCTGTCTCGTCGCAGATCTACTTCCCGGCCTTGAATACCCTCGCCAAAGACCTCCGCGTCTCAAATTCTCTAATTAATCTAACCTTGACCAGCTACATGGTGAGCCGAGACTAGCTATATCTGATGCACCGGGACTGACACCGGGATAGATTTTTCAAGGACTGTCGCCCATGTTCATTGGTGATTTCGCGGATAAAGCTGGAAGACGACCCGCATACGTCGTCTGCTTCACAATATATATTGCTGCCAACATCGGCTTGGCTCTACAAAATAACTATGCAGCGCTGTTCGTTCTTCGGTGCCTGCAAAGCGCAGGAAGCAGCACTACCATCGCACTCTCGTCGGGCGTGGTCTCAGACGTGGCGACTGCATCTCAGCGTGGCTCATACATGGGTCTTGTGACGGCGGGTTCTCTCCTAGGGCCCCTCCGTCGGTCCAGTGATCGGAGGTCTTCTGGCTCAGTACCTTGGCTGGAGGGCGATCTTTTGGTTCCTTGTCATCTTCGCAGGTGCATTTATGGTTCCATTCCTGATCTTCTTCCCCGAAACTGCCCGTGGAGTGGTTGGCGACGGATCATTGCCGCCTCAAAGATGGAACATGTCCTTGATCAGCTATTTGAAGTCCCGGAAAGCTCGTCAAGAAGGCGCCGAGGCACCAGCCAGCACAACGAAACAGAGACTCAGTTTCCCCAACCCATTGCAGACACTTGCCATTGTGTTCCAGAAAGATACCAGCATCGTCTTGTTCTGCAACGCGATTCTCTTCGCTGGCTTCTACGATGTCAGTGCAACCATTCCATCGATCTTCAACGAATTATACGGTCTGGACGACCTGCAGATCGGCCTGTGCTACATCCCTTTTGGACTTGGTGCGAGCATCGCATCTATTTTGAATGGCAGATTCCTCGATTACAATTATCGTCGAATTGCGAAAAAGATTAATTTCCCGATGATGAAGAACCGCCACACGGACCTACGAAATTTTCCAATCGAAAAAGCCCGTCTTCAAATCGCCTTTCCAATGCTTTCAATCGGAAGTCTGAGCATCCTCGCATTCGGTTGGTGTTTGAACTTCGGAGTTCATCTCGCTGCACCTACCACCATTCTATTTCTCATGGGTCTTACCCTCACCGGAGCTTTCAACACAGTCGGTACCCTCCTAGTAGACCTTTACCCCACACAGGCGGCCAAAGCTACAGCCGCCAACAATTTCGTGCGATGTTTGCTCGGAGCTGGCGCGACTGCCCTTATCGATCCTATGCTCGCGTCCATGGGTCGTGGATGGTGTTTCACCTTCATCTCTCTGGTCATGCTCTCTACGTCTCCGCTACTCTTGTTCGAGATCTACAAAGGACCCAAATGGCGTGAAGAGCGCCGGTTGAAAGAAGAAGCGAAGCAGCTGGGGACTATCACATCACCTGTATCCACGACCCCGAACGAAAAGTCTGTCACGGAGGCTTGATTTCTCACAATCATAACTACCGCATCTGCATTTACGCCGCAATGATAAGATACCAGCATACGCCATGGTTGATACCCTTCTGGAAGAAAGTTCGTTGAAACGAGATATTGATAGAACAATTTAATGTGAAGATTGAAGGAGACTTGATCCATATAATACAATTCCGACATGCTGATAACATGTTGAAGCTGGTTGAATGTAGGAAATTTTTCATCCACGTGCCTTGACTGCTTTACGGCAAGCCTCCAAGAATACTTGACAGAATTCCCATACCTCTGTATAGGTGTTGTAAAGTGGGGCAGGAGCCACACGAATAACGTCTGGCTTCCTCTCATCAATGACCACCGCATGCTCCTCCAAGTGATGCAAAACGTGGTCGAGAAGCCCCGGTTGAAGCCGCAGACTAAGCTGGGCACCACGCTCGGCTGGTAGAGAAGGCGTAATCAGGGTGAAGGGCTTGTCCTCTCGGGAGGCATCAAGAGGATACTTGAGCAACAAATGCTCAAGATAACCCGTGATATTGAGTGACTTCTTGCGAATTTCTTGCATGGTAGCACGGTTGAATATCTCCAGCGAGGCGACAACGGCGTTCATATCAAGGACGGAAGGGTTAGAAAGCTGAAACCCAGCAGCACCCGGTTGAGGTGTGAATTCTGGAGCCATTAGCTATGTCTTTAATGTATCGAACATCACCAACATACTGTTTACCATGTTGAAACGAGTCTTGATCTCACCACCCCACCAGCCCGAGAGGCGTGGACGAAACGTCTCGTCGCTGTCAGGCTGCTTCTCATCTACACGGCCATGTCGTTCGTGGACAAACAGTGCTGCTATACCTCCAGGACCACTGTTCAGATACTTATAGCTGCACCATGCTGCAAAATCGACGTTCCAGTCATGTAGGCGCAGGTCCACATTTCCGGCAGCATGAGCACAGTCCCATCCGACTAGGATACCTTTTGAGTGCGCATGTGCTGTGATGCGTTCGATGTCGAAGTACTGTCCCGTGTAGAATTGAATTCCAGAGAGCAGAATCAGTGCAGTATTGGAGGCGTTATCATCGATTGTTTTGATGATCTGTTCTGTGCTGAGGACTGGGTGATCCAGGTTCTCGGGCTCGATCAAGACCATGCCATCTTTGGGATCCAAGTTGTGGTGCCGGATTTGAGACTCGATTGCGTACTAATATTGATCAGTACCATTGCAAAACGCAATGAAGGAGCTACCCTGGGTATTGTGCATACATGGTCGCTGGGGAAGGCCTTGCCCTCAAGGATGATCTTGTACTTCTCCTTCGTGGGACGGTAGAAACTTGCCATCAGGAAATGCAAGTTCGCAGTCAAAGTCCCCATAACGGCCACTTCGCTCTCAAGCGCACCCACAATAGGCGCCATCAGCTTGGAGCCAGCGGTATCGACATCGACAAAAGGAGGCAACAACTGGTCGTCATGCGGGACAAAATGCCCGGTGACGCCTTTTGTGGCCCACGTTCGGAGGTAATGTTCAATGTAACGGCGCGTACTCTTTGGCTGGACACCCAGCGAGTTACCACAAAGATAGATACATCTCGCATCGGACCCTTCGTCGTGATCTGAATGTCTCGACTGTCAATATATCGGTGCTGTGAGACGCAGGACCGTTGAGGAATCTGACATACCATTGTCTTCCGTAAGCACCTTTCTCTTCAGGTCCTTCTTTGAAGGAAGTATGAATTCATCTCGAAATTGACGCAGCGGATCTTGGGCGTCGAGAGCCTCAGCATACTCTCTTGTGTAAGCTCTGATATCATCCTGATATGGAAGCGGGGGTCCGGTTTCAATATCCCGAAGGTGCTGGCGTGATCCCATAATTCTGTATGAATGACTCCTGCAGCTATTCAGAGCCGTCTACTTCCGATCAAGAATACCACTGAAGAGTATTAAGATGACCCTCCTTGAATCTGCACCCCGCCATGTCCGATCTTTACCATTTCTAGTCATATTATGCCATACCACACCGCCCTAGAGGACCAATTGCGCCACTGCCGAGCTGACTAACGCGACGCTATCAAGTCGAGTGATGCCATCGTCAACTTTCCCTTTGCCATATCTCCGGCCCTGAGACTTTGTATTCTTTACAAAAAATGTCTAGGCCATTTCCCATATCAACACCTGTCCGGTGGCTATCAAAACAGCCCTACCGACCCTTCTCGACCGTTCGACCGGCCTTGCGCCTCTCCGCATCCTCCGTCGGCGACTTTGCCTCTCGCCGGGCAACGGTTCCAGTAACAGCCGGCGATTGCAGACCTTCGGCACCGAAGTCATCGCTCGCTCGAACTCTGATCCGTCAGCCTTGTGCTTCTTTCTCCGCCTCCTCCATTCGCCCCGCCACTCAGGTCACGCAAAATCCGAGAACCGGAGATGATGGAGAGACACTTATGATTAGTATCTCGCCGCGAGCCGTGGAGGTAGGTTAACAACTCATTCTTTTCAGCCTGCATGTTTTGTCTTATGCCGAGGCATTGAGTGGCTTGTGCCGGATGGGAAGCTCCATCAAAACGGTCATGCGCCGCTGTTGGGAACTCCAGAAATCACCGGAGAATTCACATGGCCCCAGCATAAGCCTGTTCTGGCCTCGTTCTATCACATACGACCATAGGGTGTGGAGAACAGGGCTTCCCGTCCGCTCAGCCGTACTTAAGCCACACGCCGGCAGGTTAGTAGTTGGGTGGGTGACCACCAGCGAATCCCTGCTGTTGTATGTTTTTTTTTTCTTGGAGTTTTCTTGGAGTTTTCTTGGAGTTTTCTTGGAGTTTTCTTGGAGTTTTCTTGGAGTTTTCTTCTAGTTTTCTATCTTGGAAGATTCTATGGTTGTCTCTCAGGAGTTTTCGATCCAAAGCTAATTCTCGCAGCGTCTTCGCGAAATTACCGACCCTACTTCCTCTCCCTCCGCCACAAAAGATGAAAACCCTTACAATCACCTTCGCATCACAGTGACTAGTGGCGGCTGCCATGGTTTCCAATACATGATGTCTCTTGAATCAGCCGAAAAAATCGACGCCGAAGAAGATACCGTCTTTGAGGGTGATATGGATGGTGCTGAGCCGGCTGCGGGGGCCGGCGAAGAAGCTAAAGTTGTTATGGATGAGCCGTCGTTGGAGCTACTCTCTGGAAGCACAGTTGATTACACCACCGAGTTAATCGGCAGTCAATTCAAGATTGTGGACAACCCGCGTGCGACGAGTAATTGTGGTTGCGGTACAAGCTTTGATGTCATGGATTGATCTCGTTCTGGGGATCATGGAGGCATTGTCTTCTTGCGTGTACAGATACGACATACGGCACATCTCATAGAACAATTGCATGTTATACCCCTTCTTCTCTCCATACCGCGCGAAGTCAAGTCTGTCCCTACAAGCTGCCCTCGGAAGTATAGAGGTAATAAATGTTGTAGATCTATGCATTCATCAAGTCTCCTTTTTTCTTCTACCTCACACCAATACTCTCCACATGGAGTAAATCACCTGCTCGAAAGAAGCAGAACAACAGACCAGGGCAAATGTGAATCGTACGCCCTCCAGAGATATCGCGATAGCCTGACATGATTTTGAACCCGAACGGAAACCCATGCGGGAACAAAACACGGATAGGAAAAAATAAACAAAAAATAAGCAAATGAAAAGCGTTTAGAAACCAGCAATAGGGGGGACAAGACTGTAATGAAAAACACAAGGGGAAGGGGATAAAGAAATTGAAAGAAATATTCATCTCGAGTCATGTCCGTTTCTTTCTTGCATGCAAAGTCCATCCTTCACTTCTTTCCCTTTCTCCGAACACCCGCAGAAACATGCCATGGTTGATATTTTCATAAAATTCGGACCATTTCATGCGTCTGCACTTAGTAGACTCGAGCAAGGTTGCGGAGATACCAGTCCACCAGACGGCGGCCGGCCTTGGTCTCACTGACGTGAATCAGGTCGTTCTCCAGAGCGTAGTCGAGATCGTTGGCAATGGTAGGCTCGCCCTCGAGCAGGGCACCCTCTACCCAGCGAATCTGGCGGCTACGCTGCTTGTTAACGAGCAACCAGCTGCGGAGCTTCTCAGGCTCAACCTCGAGGAAGCCGGCAAGCTTCTTGAGGTCCATGGTGGTGTAGAGCTTGAGGTAGGAGCGGATAGTGGGGTTGAAAAGTGTGTTCTTGACCTCATCCATGAAAATGGCGGTGTGGTGATCGATGGGGTCGACGTTGGAGGCCGGGTTTTCAAAGTCGGGAGGAGTGGGGGAGATGAACTTGGGGCAGGAGGAGCGGAACAGCTCCTCGAAGACGGGAAGGGCCTCGGGGCCACCCTGCTGCATGCGCAGGAACTGCTCACCGTACTTCTCGCGGACGGCGGAGTGGATGGTGTCATCCAGACGGGTGGGGTGGAGAGCGACACAGATGGCAATGAGGGCGTACATCTGGTCGTTCTTCTTGGCAATAGTGTCGTAGCTGTTGCCGCCCTTCTGGAAGTTCTTTGTTCGGGAAACGTAGACCAGGATGTGGCTGAACATGCGGATGGCATCGCCGTAACGGCGCATCATCATGTAGGAGAAGCCCACGTAGTAGTAGGTGGTGAAGTGGGCGGCCATGACACGGGCGAACATGGCCTTCTTGTTCAGCTCAATATCGTCAAGGGTCTTCAGGGCCAAGCTGAAATCACCGAGCAGGCAGTGCACGCGTAGCAGACCGATGATGGAGAAGTATCCCAGCATCTTGTACAGAGGGCGAGAGCCGTACTCACCAGCGAAGGCGGCGCCGTCCTCGCCACGCTTGATGGCAGCGAGCTGCTCGTTGATCTGCGATCGCTGGATGAGCGAGTACAGAACGTTAAGCACGGAGTAGCAGCCCCAGGTGTTGGGGTTCTCGCGGAGAAGCGCGGTCTCCTCCTCATTAGACCCGGTGCGAGCCACACGGTTGCGGTAGCGGCAGAACGACTCGAATTGGTAGATGAACTCGTCAATGACATCCCAGGCCCAGTAGTACTAAAATATCCCATCGTTAGTCCTGTTATTCTCTCTCCCGCCACCGGGCTGGCCAATTTCACGGATGTGTCAAGCCCAGCTTATTCTTTCTTTGTCCAAAGGCAATCAATGGACTAATTGGATGACCTACCGAGGGAATTTCAAGGTCGACGGGGCCTTCCGAGTTCAGGATGTAGTGGAAAAGACTGCAGTAGTTGTCGTAGCTGGCGAACTTGGTCTCCAGGGTCGCCTGGTATTCCAGCGGGGTAGCAGCAGCGGTCAGTTGTGCCTGGAGGTCCTGGGCCTGCGAACCACCGAGGGATGTTGTCCGGTCGAGCTCGCTCATGCTGTCGTCGAAGTTGACTTGCTCACGGTAGTCATTGGCCATAGCCTCCTCCTCAACATCGGACTCATCGTTCAGGTTGGGGCGCGCGTTGGCGCGGTCGTCGTAGGACATTGTGGGCGAGTGTGAAAAGGAGGGAGATAGTATGGTTTGGAATTTATCTCGGTCGAGAAGCCAGGAAGACGGCAAAGGGCGGAGGGGAGGGGTTGGTGGGGGTGCACGTCCGTCGTCGCCGTGTGGGATTTAGCCAAAGAAGTCGAATTTTGAGGGTTTTCGCTTGGGTGTTGTGCTTATCTTATCTGAGCATAACGTGGATGATGACTCAGCACATCTGCACTATGCATTGTGAGTGCCTGAATGTGCTGGCAGCAATGGCATCTCGCCACTCAATTTTAACTCCGGCGATCACTGACCTACACAACGTTGGGGAACAACTTTAGATGCAGGTCCATACACGCAGTTCAAGGATAAACATGTGCTTCAGAAATATCTTTCCTCCATACCTCAAGGCTGCCTCATCACCGTGTCAGATCGTACGTATTTGAAGGGATGTTTCCAGCCCAGGCGACTCCCAGCACGGATGCTGGTCTCCCTACTGATTACAGCAGAGATGAGCGACCCTCTCCATGAAGATCTTATGAGTGAAGACAGGTCTAGATCAACTCAGTCTTGTGTAATGCTCTTCTTTACATGAGCAGGCCTGGAAAAAGGCCGGAGAATGATCTTTCTTCAAATACTTCATGATTTAACAGGCGTGAACAAAGAGTCCTGAATTGATATAAAAATTGGTCTCATAGACTCACACATTGTCAAGCAGGGACCTTTGAAAAATTTGTCTTGCCGAACAGATCTCGGCCCTATGTAAAGACCGCCGGTGGGTTGAATGAAGAGCACACATGGCTCGTTCACTGGGTCAGGGAAGCTCTATCTAGGTGGCAGCCCGTCTGAATTTCCCCAATCTAGCAACCAGTAGGTCTACCCGGAAATGAACACACACTGGATCATTTTTTTTTGAAGTTGGCGGAGAAAAGATCCGGCTGCCGCCTGAATGGGCCTGGACGATGCCAGTGGCGCACCCTGAGGCACTCGGCCCATTTCAACCTCTAAAATGCTTCCATCTCTGTTCATCTCGCCATCCACCTTGGTCTTTCTATTCCAGACCACCATGGCGCAGATTTTCAAAGGTATTTGGGACCAGCAATCTCATGACTATCTTCGAAGCTCTGCCACCAAGGCCTGGGGACTCACTTCGCTAGGAATGATGTCTACTAGACTTTCAAGAACCTCGCCAAAACCAGCCAAGAGAGCCTGGAATTGATACTTTGGATTGCCCCAACGCCCTGTACCCAAAAGCGATGCCATATCTATGATGTTCATCTTCATTCAAAAAGGTGGAGTTGAGGACACACAACTGCAATAAACATCGTTCTTCCACTTCCGACCGCCCTGTCTGTACGCAGAAACCATTCCGATCGCCGCCTTTCAGACTAATCATGGTCACTTAGGCTTCCTGGCCTCCGTGAAAGTCAAACCCATCGAGAATTGCCATAGCTTCTGGGGGTAGTGTCACCACCCCCCGCTGCGCCAGTGACTGGATCGCATGAATTGCGTTAGCGGTTGGTGTGAATGTGCGACTCATAGCTATTCCGAAACGACAGAATTCGATAAAAGCGTGTCTCGCTTCTTCAATCTCCAATTGGTGTACGAGAACGCGAAGAGAGGATTGGACAGCATCGACCACCTGGCTGGGAATGTACTTGAGACCGTATGCTTGGCGGTGAATCCGGAAGCATTGGGCCATTTCTGCTACCTGCTGACACCATTCTTGCTGCAGCTTTGTGGTCAAAGAGCCTTGAGAGCCCCGCTGGATCATCATCTCCAGAAGATTTATAATAGCCTGGTGGCACTTGATCCTTTACACCTGTCAGCACAAGATACCAATGAAGCACAATGAAGGCATATAATCAAGAGGCATTTTCTTACCGAAGGATGAGAATTTGAGGGATAGGTTCTTTTTCGATCTGGGGAGGCTTGGGCCAGTTCGCCAGCCACTGTCGCAGACGTTCATATGAAACCTCCGCCCTCTCAGACAAGTCTTGAATGCTTGAGACTAAAGTCTGATTATGCAGAAGCTCTTGAACATGAGCCAAGATATCTGTGAGCTCGGCCATTCCTTGTCTGAGTTGGGGCAAGCGCGCCAGCTTTGGTGCATAAGTGATCTTGTTCGACCGTGGGTACGGAGTCCACTCAAAGTCGGCGTCGCCTCCCATCGATACCTTGGATATTGGCGGCGGCAAGCTTGTAACCCTGCGCATTTTCACTGACATTTGTCTGAGCCAGATGTGAGTAGTGGCTTGTCACGAAGCGAGAGAGATGCTTACAAGTTCAGATTAAAGATACCCCAGGCCGTAATTGTTCGAATACGCTCCATCTGATGCAATATCGAATCCTCATCGTCGTCTTCACGCTTGACATGATCATCGGACAGCTCCGATATTGATGGCATCACAAACCGAATTTCTTCCTTGAACGGGTTTACAACCCTCGGCAGCATCAACAGCCCCATATCCTGTCCCATTTGGGCGGCTTGCCGAAGCAAAAACCAACCCTGCTGAACCTCACCTTGCGATAAAAGTCTACAAAATTGAATCAGCATAACATTCAACGCACCAGATACACACTGGACCACATACACACTGCACATCATAAGCAAAGCCTGAATATTTGACAAAGTTTGGCGGCCTCTCTGGGCATTCCACAATCGTTCTGCTTCCTGAAAAAAATGCTGTCCACGCGAAAAGGTATCGTCGAGATTGAAGAACGCATCTGGGCTGTCGGAGTAGATCTGTCTTGGTGTCAAAATGAATTGAGGACTGGGAAAGTATGAGTTGCGTACGCAAGCCATCGCCAAGAGACTGTTCACCAGTAACGGTGTGCAGAACTGAGAGCTGGTATCTCCCCGGGTCATATGATCGATGAATATCTTCTGATCAAGGTACTGTGCGCATGGGTGATCCCAGGTGAAATACAATGAGACAAGGTGCGACACGAAGTCGCTATCGTCAGTCACCTCTGTCCATGGCCTGGCCGGCACCCTGAATAGTGGAATGTCGCAGAGTGTTTCCAAAGCTACCCGTGCATAAGGATGAAAAGTTGCCCGAGGTGACCCCCGGGGGTGTTCTTCTTCTGGCGAGTTAGGTACTTGATCGGACTCTGATCGTCGGTGGGGTTTTGTATCTTCGAATTCGGACAGAGTTGCCAAACTCGCCTTTGACAGAGTTTCTGAATCCGTGAATTTCGTGACGGGATTCCCCACGGCACGGGCAATGTCCCTCAATGAACCGTTGTTTCGGATCAATTCGATAAGTTCGTGAAGTTTGTCGCGGGGATCCGATCGAATGCTGGCCAGCAATGTTTCCAGCAAGTCTTTGTAATCGTTGAGCTCTTTCATCGTTCGCTTGACAGCCACTTTGCGTCGCAAATCTCGAGTGGGATCGAAACGGCAATCGGCTTGTAAGCCGGCAGCCAGGCACGCTTTGCAAGGGCAGGTCCCAGAGCACTGGATGGAGCAAATAGCCACAGTCAGTCGATTTCTTTAGGGTGACGATTATGCCGTGTCGGGTGTCGAGTGACGTCCAGGTCGGAATGGTGGCAGGCAACGTACCTTCCTCTTCGCGACTTTGCATGCGAAACACGCGGTGGAATTCTTTTTTGGTCGAAGGACGGCTGCGGAGGTCTGCGGCGCAAACCTCCGACTTGGCCCGGGGGCCAGCACAGGCAACTGTTTGGAGTCGTCGTGGTGGTGGCTCATCTTCTCATCCGCCGACTGGTCAGTCTCGTGAAAGAGAGACTTGTGTCCCCCCGGGACCTTTCCGGTTTCCTGAGAGTCCTCCGCCATCAAGTCCCGTTTAAGTGGATGTGATCTGAGATAGATTCGAAGTCAGCTCAAGACCATTTCAAGGAGCGAGAGAAACAAGCTGACCGTTGACAGCATCACACCACACTCCGCCAATGATTCTATATCACACATACACCATCGAATGGAAGCATCCGCAAATCTCATAGAAAAAAGTCGTTAGTCGAAAGCAGAAAGGCACATGTCGTCAAAGTGCGAGTTGTCACGTTTTTGTTTGCTGCGCAATGTGTTCGGTGGTGGGACAACGACGGGGACTGTAGTCGCGAGATTGTGGTTGATTGCGGTGGTTACCGTTGACATACAGGTGCTGAAATTTTTACTGAACTGAGGGGTATCGTCTGTCACCAACTGCAGGGGTTGGGAGGGAGAAGGGGGCAAGATGATTGTGACACGGCCAGGGTAGCCAGGTGGTCGGATTGAAAGTTGCGGTTTATTGCATGGGGATGGTTCCAGCAGTTTGCCAGTCTAGGCACCGTTGACGGCATAGGATGGGGCAGGTAAGGGGAAAGACAATCATGGAGGCCAGGCTAGTCGAAACCCCGGTCAGTCAGTGCAAGATGGTGTGCATCGGACAGCAGCCACTGGGACGTGATTGCTATAGGTAGAAATACCCGAAATACCGGTTCAAAACAAGGGCTTGATGGACCTGGGGAGGGAATGAACGACGGTATCATGGTACTCATAGCCGAAGAGACCTGAGGAACGGGCATCGATGTCATCGCCGCTCGGAAAGCTGCGACCGACGATCCGCGATCCATCCAAAAAAAGCACGGGCAAAGCCTCTAGCCCATCAAGCATGGCCCAATAAAACAATGGAGAGCCATACCCGCAGGGCCCTTTCGTCGGATCAATCAGTCTTTTCCATGTTTGCCTCCGACAAGAGGCGAAACCGAGACGGTTTGCTACGAAGTTGTCGGCCGGATTCGCAGCCTTCACCCGAATCAGATAGTCATGCTCACTTAGCTTGCGCGCTCATGATACTACTGGTACCTGGAATTGGATGGACACTGGCTAATCATCGCCCTACAGTATAGAGATGTATGGCACGAAAGCTCATGGGTTTCATGGATCGGCCTATGACAGGCCTTGATTTCCCCTCTTACAATACTGTAGCCGTTTCCTGTCACTCAACTCTCCGGTTTGGGTATGTGTGTGTGGCAAGCCCGCGCTTGTTTTCTTTCCATTCAATCAAGGAGCTTTCCAGGCCGATCCAAGATCGGTTCCATCGCGCAGGCCGGGTGGCGGGACCAGAAAATGCCCAACCGAATTCCAGAACCCCGGTTGATGGAATCACGAGCCATGCTACGACAGTACAAATGCTAACTACACATATTGAAATTCTGGTATCGTCCAGCTTACCCGACGGTCTGGTCCCCTGCACGGGCTCGGTGGGTGGCCACCGTGCCGGGAAATAGAACCGCGATCTGCAGCGCTATCTAAGCAGCGCGTGATGGCCTGTATTTTTCGCCGTACTTGCCATCACTGACATCGCACGAAAAGGGCCTTGGAAATGGTAGAATTCGTCATTCCTCATTCATTGCCGTCCAAGTGGCCGGTCCACTTCCAACCAATCGGATGTGTCGTGCAATATGTTCAAGTCTTGGCATCGATGCCAGTTTGATACTTCGCAATGCGGCCCGGCGCAGGACTTGTGCCTGGGCGCATCCTGTGGCGGTTATTTATTGTGCTTCAAGACCAAGCATATGAGTTCAGGCTCCATCTTCGATACCAATATTTCCCGTTGCTTGATGCCCATCGCCATATGACTATTCGCTCATGCAGCCTCGGTCCTGGGTGTGCCTGTCAAGGTCTTTGCTTCGTGGAATTCAGGGATAACTTTGCTCCGCAAGGTCCTTGTTCCAGGTCTCCTGCCACTTTTAGACTAGCGAAGCTCCATTTCTGTAGACCGGTACGACTAAGGGCGCCAAATTGCGCCACGGCGGAGCGCCGCCCAGAGGATATCTAACAGCCGCAGCTTGGGACGGCCCAACCCGACATTATTTTCATTATGACCCTGGATGACCACCCAAGCTACAAGCTCCACGCATCCTCCGCTAAGGCAAATGGTCATGGCCACCTCGCCTAATGTTAACGTGAGCTGGTGTGCATGATGCACTACATCGCGCAGATGATGAACCACCCATATTCTCTGAGAAGCGAAAAGTCGGCCGAGGGGGGCCGAGAAAGTGTCAAACATCCCTGGACACAAATTTCTTAGACAAAGAAATATCGCAGATCGCTATCAACATCCATGTCGCACCTCGACTCAAAGCGACGCTGATGTCACCCCCGCCCCCTGACTGGCCAGGAAAAATCAGCCGGGCTGCGTCTACGTCACCTCATTAGCCAGCCGTATCGGCCGCATCGTTCTCCCCTGCTGGAGTCTGACGATCTACGCGGCGGAACTGTGTGAGCCCTATGTCGGTTCTTCTCCTCTGTATCTTTGTTAAATTTTTTCTTTTTTTTTTTTCCGTTTTCGATCAGTGCATTATGTCTACTGTGATTAATTGTTGATTGTCTATTGGCCAGTCCACCACCTCTGACTTGGTCTCAGTCGCCCATGCGATCAAAACGCTCTGACCACAAAGTAACGCGCCGTCGCTTAGTGGACTACTCAATCTCAACGACAGTAGATGGACCTCATGCCGCACTAGTCTCGTTCACTCGACTTTTTAGCTGTAAATGTCAGGTTCGCAAACGCGTGGTCGCATCGCTTTTGTGCCACCAAATTCTGGGGAGATCAAGTCTTAATGACATTCTATGCTTTTCTTCGGGTCTAGTGAAGAGCTATGTAGTGGGCATAGCCTAGTGCGGTTGCTCGATTCTATTATCTTCAATATGCAAATCCCTGACTTCTATCTTTTCTTTCTTTTGCCAAAGACATCTGCTGTAGCTCGAGCTACCCATGAGATTCATGAACTGCATCACCCTGTTCTATGTGTTTGGTTCTATGTGCTTGGTTCAATGGACTTTGCAAATCTGCTGCCAGCGCGTAATCACATACTGATACTGTCTTTTGCTCTTCCAAATCTTGTTCAGTGATGGCAAGCATCGATTGAAGACCCCATGCTGACATACTACTCTACGCAATCGGCTTGAATAGTCAATAGGTTCAATTAGATGACCGGCGTCAGGGAAGATCTAGCAGAGGTGTCCAAGACTGCCAAGGCCCAAGTTCCTCCGTCGACAACAAGTCCAACGACTGCGCCACTTTGCGTGTGAATTCCGGGCCAAGGAGAGCCGTTGACACCACACTGAGACGGCTTGCGAATCGATCAACTTCAAAGGCACGGCTGTGCCAGCTGCGTCAGGTTAGCGGGCGCGCCGATCGGGTGGGATTGAATCTCTCCCCGCGTCATTCCTTATGTTGCAAAGTAGGCAGAAGATGGAGACTTTCGTTTCCTTTTGATTCTCACAAGGCTCCTGATCTTCATAGTATGGGTATTCATAGCCACGCCAATGAAGTCACCTCCTCGTGTCTGCACCTTCCATCGGGATCAGGACGGGCAAGGGATGATATATCATATCTTACTGTGCAGCAATTCGGAATGGTCTTCACGAGACAGCCAATCCTGCGGGCATCTTACATCGGGACTTGACCGGTGCCTAGGCTTCCACTCAGCAGGCTTGGCGCAATAGGCTTGGCATGAAGTCTCCCACTCCATGGGATGACCTTGGCTTGAAGTTTTCCCATCAAACCCATTATAACGACCTTGTCGCCTCCTCGTCGATCATCCAGACCCGAACGGAGCTCCACTCTGTTGCCAAATAAGAGGCTTGCCTGAGCTCCGAGGAGGCGCTGCACTTGGCACATCCACGGATCTACACTTGGGGAGACACTGCCTTCGGTTCTCACCGCCAAGTCTAGAGCGATAAGACTATAGAATAGCTGCTGCCAGCCTCTCAGCTGCTGTCGATAAGTTCCGATGGCGGACACGCGCCAAGATCGCCAAGGGTCCAGAGACGTTGTACTTTCATGCTCAGTTCTGAGGCTAAATGAAGAAAGCTCCTTGATTTTGACTGTGCTGAGTGCAGGCCGACCTGACGGCCACATGGACCACGATCGTATCTGCGGTCTGATGAGAGGTCTAAATTGAAAAAGAAGACAGTAGTTCTGGGATTCCATTCCTAATCTTCTCTCGCAAGTATCATACCCTGCGTCTCTACTACAGGTGAGAAAGTAACAAAAGAAATACCAAGGAACACCGGTGGAGACCCAAGATACCAAGACGACGATAAGAGTTGTCCCAAGGATGATCCCTGTTGTCGTCATTTTGCGCAGTCCTCCTCTTGTCATTGCTACTCAAAGCCAGCTCCTTAAACCGAGCCGAGGACCATTCCTCATGATCCTATGCAGGCTCATCAATTTCATTGTCTGCCACAATCTTTCTAGAATGCACAATCTCAGGCGATCTTTGTCTTCTGCAACAACAGAAATCAGCACTGATGGTAGGATAAGGAGCCCTATAGACACAAACTATGAAGCAGCTCATCAAATCCGCCCCGGCCACGCAGTGCAAATGCCCGCCACGTTCTGCGCAACACCATACCGATTCTTCGTTTTCGTTAACTAGAACCGCCAATGTCCCTCAGGACAACCCATCCTTGCTGTCTCAAATCTCGCATCATTTACTTGCAGAGCTGGATCCCAGACGTGCCGATGTAATCCTTATTATTTGTGGATTCGTTAGCGGCCTTGTTGATGGTTTGTCTTTCAATGCATGGGGCAGCTTTTCGAGTATGCAGACAGGTCGGTTGACTATTTCTTTGTTCGTGATCATTCCATCCTAATTGAGAAACAGGAAATACTGTTTTCATTGCCTTGGGTGTATCTGGTCAGCCAGAATATCCGGCATTCCTTTGGGCAAAGTCACTTATCGCCTTGAGCGTCTTCTTGTTGAGCAATGTCTTCTTCATCCACCTATGCCGCGCACTGAATCCTCTTCGACGGTCGACTCTCATCCTTTCATTCGGACTACAGACTGCCGCCCTCATTGTCGCCGCTTTCGTGGTTCAAACGGGGATTGTCAGCCCTAGGCCAGAAGACCCGCGAGCGCCGATTCAGTGGAATCAGATAATACCCATTACACTTCTTGCATTTCAGGCTGCAGGCCAAATTGTTGCCTCTCGTCTTTTGGCCTTTGATGAAATTCCTACTGTCGTGCTCACTACTCTACTGTGTGATTTACTGGTAGATACCAACCTCTATACCCGGCCGTGGTCAGCCAATCCAAAGAGAAACAGGAGAATCGCCGCCTTTCTCGCCCTATTCATGGGCGCCATGACGGCAGGTGGTCTTTCAAAGACTACGGGTATGGCAAGTAGCTTGTGGTTGGCTGTCGCATTGAAAAGCTCCATCACGCTCTCGTGGTTTGTTTGGAAGGACAGCTCCGGTGCGAGAGAGAAACGAGGCACAAGAAGCCCAGTGTAGCATAACTCTTAATTATGCTTTTTCCCAACAGGCTCTGAACAAAATTGCCCTTGGCTTTTTCGTATAAGAACTTCGCAAAAAATCCGCATTTTGAAGGCTCCGACAAAAGAACAGAGTGATATAGCAGACAGCCTCGCGAAAAGTCGTAATGGGCACATCGCTCACGCCTCAAGAAGGACATATTAGGCAAGAAGAAATGCGCAGATAGCTCGCAGCCTTCACAGGTATTCTTTTCTGGAGAAACTCCCTCAAAACAGATGTTGCCATCCATCACTTTGGTTCTCATTTACTTCTCCCTGCTTACATCTTACGGGACATTGTGGGTCGGATTTTTCCTCCTTTGCCCACCCTACATTTCATCATTCTTCTTATACTTTTAGTTCAGATCTTGAGATGATATCTTATCGTTCGATCTTCAAAGCAGTCTAAAGTTGCTGTCCTAGAGATTGTGTGTATTTTATTTGGGGCCAGTATCAATTGACCCAACGCGCAGTTCGCCAAGTTCTCACCTTGAATCGGGTGGGCTAATTTGCGGACGACAATAAATTCTTTTGATGCGACGTGTATACTTGACATTAGCGCATGTGTAGCGAAAATTGTGTTCCTAGTTTCACTAAGTGTTGGTTGGTGGGCTGACATCCCCCACTGCACGGACGACCGGGGTCTGATAGACCCATTATGTAGTCCAAAAAATGACCTTTCAATAAAAGGACTTCATGTACTCAATCTTCTGGATAAAAGGGTTTGTTTCAATTGAACAGCTCAGTTGTTGCGGACCCTGACACTGACTTAAATAAGTAACTGAGCGAGCCGCTACATCGATCGTCGCCGGGATTAGCCCCTTCGCAAGGGTTGTGACAGTATCAATCTCCCAATCTTGACACGCTCCTACCCACACAGATTGATAAAGCCCATGTTTAGTGTGCGGAAACACAGTGCCGGCCTTTTTGTTGACGGTACGGCTACCATCGGCGATGTTCCAAGGAGGTGGATCCTCTGATAAGGCACTATCAGACTTTAACCCCTCGTTGTCAATGACAGGGCGCCAGGCGTAGGGCGCACAGCATTCGCAGCTGCAAATGGACTTGCGCAATCATAACATCACAAGTGCTATGAGTTTCGTGGAACATAAAAAGAATTCTGATTAGTATAGATTTGGGAGTCATTTCGATAGCAATCATTGGTTCGAGGGTCGATGGCAAAAAAAACCCTCCTGGAGGAGAATCCCGCTCGGCGAAAAACTTTTTTCGGGACCGGCGCTGATAAAGAACGGTGGTCCGGGGCAAACCGCAAAGAATCATATAATAACCTGGGCTCGGCCTCTGCTTCATTTTTCTCAATTCAATTTGGTATTCTCCCTACAAATAACGATCAATCTTCAACAGGTATGGATTAGGCATAATTCTATCAATTCCAATTCCGGAATGTTGGTTGACAGTGACTCAGAGCATTAGACCATCTGCAAACGTCCCTTTTGTCTATAAAGAGGGATTCACTCTGCAATCGATAAACATCCGGTTCTATTTATCTGATTAATCTTTGAACCTCAAAATCCCATCATGGGCTCCGTCTCTCCTAATGTGGCTGAGCTTGATGGCTCCAACTTCAACATCACCCGCTCCACCAACTTGCGTGATGTTCCGCTTCCTGGCTCTCCGGAGGAGATGAGCCACTCCTACTGCACTGACCACATGGTCACTGTGAGGTGGACTGCCACGAACGGCTGGGAGACTCCTGAGGTCAAGCCCTACCAGAACCTCAGCATCCCGCCTACTGCGTCCGTCCTTCACTACGCCACCGAGTGCTTCGAGGGCATGAAGGTGTACCGTGGCTACGACGGCAAGCTGCGCCTGTTCCGCCCGGACTGCAATGGCGAGCGCCTAAACACTAGTTCCCAGCGTTCTTCGCTGCCTGGATTCAAGTACGACGAGTTGAAGAAGCTGGTTGCTAAGCTGATGCAGATTGATGGACCCCGTATGTCTCCCCCGTGCCTGTGACTGATAAAAATTGTAAATGAGTATACTAATGCGATTATAGGTTGGCTCCCCAAGGACCGTCCCGGCTCTTTCCTTTACATTCGCCCTACTGTCATTGGCAACGGCCCTCACCTCGGTGTTCAGGTGCCCAAGGAGGCTCTGCTCTTCATTATTGCCGTTCCCTGGCCTGACTTCACGAATATGAAGAAGGAAGGCGAGACCGAGCCCAAGAAGGGCCTGAAGCTCTTCGCCTCGACTCCTGACACCGTCCGTGCCTGGCCCGGTGGCTTCGGCTCGGCCAAGCTCGGCGCCAATTATGGTCCGTCTCTGCAGGCGCACGGCAAGGCTCAGGCTCAGGGCTTCGACCAGATCCTTTGGCTATTCGGTGAGGACCGCCAGGTCACCGAGGCGGGTGCGAGCAATTTCTTCATCATCTGGCACAACGCCGACACTGGCCGTCTGGAACTTGTCACTGCTCCTCTGGAGAACCAACTCATTCTGCCTGGTGTGACTCGCCGTAGTGTTCTGGAGCTGGCTCGTGAGCGTCTGTCGAAGCAGACTGTGGGTAGCCTGGAGCCCCTGCAGGTTGTGGAGCGCACTTTGACCATCTCGGAGATCGAGAAGGCTTCCCAGGAGGGTCGCATTGTTGAGTCTTTCGTCTCTGGCACTGCTGTAAGTTCTGCTCCTTTTTTTGCTTCTCTGATTGTCGACATATCCTAACAACATCGATAGTACTTCATTACACCCGTTGCTATGATCCGTAACAACGATACCGATATTAGCACTTTGGGCAAGAACGGTGAGCCCGCTGGCTATGCTGCCCAGATCAAGTCCTGGTTGGAGGCCATCATGTTTGGCAAAGAGGAGCACGAGTGGGCTTATGTCGTTAAGGACGAGGAGAAATAGACGATTGTGACTGCATTTTTGATGATTTATGGGATCATGTATATAGAACTTTGCCTGCTCATAGAAACAGGCCTGCGCTTGATATTTACTTAGACATTGTACAGCCTCTGTTGGTTACACGTTTCTTACATGTAATGTAGTATGCCAGATATTAGTTTAATTTAGGCGGATGAAGAATCGTTCATTATATATATGTTAATCATAAAAGGCTTAGGCTCAGAAAGCCGGACCTCAATATCTCATGTCGTCGAGGTCAGGCGTGTTTTCTCTGTCATCTTCGGGCTCTCCTTCGAGCACGGCACTGCCTTCATCCAGATCAATCACAAGGGGAGCATATTCGCCCGTTTCCTCGTCTTCGTCATTGTCGTCCATCTCCATTTCAACTTCCTCGCCGTCCTCCAGCTGAAGCATTCCCCGTCTGACGATAGACTCGCGCTTCAACTCCCAATCGTACTCTTTCTTGACCCATGCCTCCAGTTTGTCAAGTTCAGTTTTGACCCTTGACTCTGTTCCTTTCTCAACAACCTCATCCACTGATCGTCGAAGCTTTGTGAGTAGGCTGCGCAAGAAAGCTCCACCATCGTCCCCATCTATCTCGAAGAGACCACCTTCAACATCATCGCATCTCTCTAGCTGCCGCAGGAGTAGGCGAACGACCTCACTCATAAACTCTTCCCGCTCCACAATCGCTCGGCGGCAGGTCAGGATAAGCTCCAGCAGTCGCTTCCACTGCTGGAGACATGAAAAGTTCATCATGGTCAAAACCATCAAGAAAGAGAACTGCAATTCTCCCAGAATTTGTGATTCGCCCGTTCGCTCATCGACCGTTATCTCGCCGGTGACCGAACTGGAGTGCATAAGGATCAATTCTCCCAGAGCCCAAGAGCGATCCTGAGCAGCTTCGGTCCTTTCACGTCCAATCGCTCCCTCTCTCCAGGTCCGCTTCAAATCAACTGGAAGGAAGTCGAACTCCCTTTCTTGTCCTCCGCTAGTCTCAGGAGCTCCTTCTTGGGCTTCCGTGGGTTGATCGAGACCAGGGATATGGTCCGCGTCACGATTGGCCGTGCCAGCAGATGTCACCATCCAACGTGGATGGCCATCGACATCCAGTTCGGGGTCCCCAATGACACGAGATAATAGACTGGGCGATATCCGGTCAGTAAGCTGATGCCAATCTCTGCGGCCACTTTCCTCGACCTCCGTATCATCCTCCAACCGGGGTGCCTCATTCTGCCTTGATCCAGATGGATTCGACAACGTGGCCGGCGACACGCGGCTTCGGTATCGAAACAAGCCACCGCTCTGCCAAACCGCACCTAGGTTGGCCTTGTAGCGCATGGCCGCTTGGCGATCTAGATCGCTGTCGGCTTTGAGCGACTCAAGAGATTCAGTATCTTTGTTCCATTTCCATATATGAATTTCCGGTCCGGGTTTCTGGTTTCGCGCGACGAGCGCGGTGTCATTGCCTCCCACACCAGCCTTGCTAATGTCCCCGACATAGAACCATGCACCACATCGGAGAGATAAGCTCTCTGTTGTACCGGTGTACAGAAAGTGCCATCCTTCTGGTAGATCTCTGATTCCGTGGAAATTGGCCGTCGAGGTAAAGGTGATCAGGTCGGTTCCGACCAGGGTCTTGGGTGGTAGACCGGGGAGGAGGATAGTCGGGGAAGGTTGGAGTGACGAAGCCATCGTTCCTTGTCAAATTGCTGAGTATGTGATTGTTTCAACTGATGTAAGATCGGAGGCTATGGATGAGTCGTTGTGATGCAAGCAATGCTCAAGCAGTCAACTTGAGAACCCGTGCGACAAGAACGCCGCGGAGCTGATGTGAGCTCCTGGTAAGTAGCAGCGGCAACTCAGGATTAAATAATGCTATTGCATACTTGATAGGAGGACTGGATTGATTTCCTCGGGTATTGTGAGTCGAAGTTGTAGGGTTGAATTGCGATCTGGGGCAGCTCGCTTTTTCCATTGAGCGCCGCGACAGCTCCCCGCACCGGCTTCCTATTCCGTGGGTGCGACTTTGCAGTTTCACCAAAGAATTCAATGATTTGTCTTTAACTTGCATTTTTCTTTGTATGAGTTATGTAGAAGTGCCAGCTGACGCATCATGTTCGAATTGGTAGAATAATTACGTTACGCCAGAGACTCGACAAATATTTACGAAAATAGACCAAAGTTAAACTCAGACAAGTAATTGATTGATCGTCCAAAGACTAACTAATACAACAACAAAACTGAGAAGGAGCTTTTGAGGGCATTGAAATATCTGAAGACCAGGCGATAAAGGCCGTTCCTCGCGTTTATTCCATCCACATTTGCAGGTAGTAGACCCTGCTGGTAGCCTCCAATCCATCCACGAAGCAGAGTCGCAGTAGGACATGAGAGACACCCGCACACGTCTACAGACGGCGACCACGGCGACCACCCTTGCGACGAGTAGAGTCGGAGGGGGTGGGGGTGACATCCTCAATGCGGCCAATGCGCATACCAGCACGGGCGAGGGCACGGAGGGCAGACTGGGCACCGGGACCGGGGGTCTTGGTGCCGTTACCACCGGTGGCACGGATCTTGATGTGCAGAGCGTTGATGCCAAGCTCCTTGCAGCGGGCAGCGACGTCCTGGGCAGCCAACATGGCGGCGTAGGGGAGGACTCGTCACGGTCAGCCTTGACCTTCATACCACCGGTAACACGGGTGATGGTTTCACGGCCGCTGTGAAGAAGGAATATTGTCAGCAAATGTGATTCAGACTCAATTGTTGAACACCCCGCTGCGGCTCTTGAAACCCAAAGAATCGCTTGAGCGCGTGGAGGTTCAGGAGCAATTGTAAGGAACGTACGAAAGATCGGTGACGTGAACGAAGGTATCGTTGAAGGAGGCGAAGATGCGGGCAACGCCGAAAACGAGCTTGCCTGTTCCATGAGATTCTGGTCAGCCTCATAATCACGAGGATTTTTTTCCACATTCAAGAACAATCAGTGCAACATACCATCACCGGCGAGGGGGCCGAGGGAGACGTTCTCCTTGGCGGCGGGAGCCTTCTTGGTAGGGGCCATTGCGACTGTGGTGTTTTGGGGGTTAGTGGATGGAATATGGAAGAGAAGAAATCAACTCGAGGCGATTGATCTTGGATCGAAAAAGTGGGTGTGTGCCCTAGCGAGATACCGGCTATGATTGGCTGAGCTGGGAGAATAGTAAGCGAGTTGCCTGAGGCTTGAAGAGTCCGGAATCGCGGTCGGCCCGCAGGCGGTGAGGGAAGCTCTTTTGCTCGCCTATTTAAATTTTCTTCCATCGCCCGTTACCTGCACGTTCTCAGTATTGCCATTGATCTTCCAGAAGTCAAAGTACCCAGTGGAAAGCTGGGGCTTGAAGTCCAAGAAGACACTGTCTCAGATACTAACCCGCCCTTAGCCATCATTTGCGAGAGCTAGGCACTATCTGCTCGAATCGTGCGCGTGAGTCACTGCCGGAATGGGACGCACCAAAGAGGATGCCTCGATTGGCATTATTGGCATGGGCGATATGGGCAAGATGTATGCCCAGCGCCTGAGTGATGCTGGCTGGAGGTAACTTGCGACCTTGTTCTCTGTTGTCGACCTGCATCAGTGATGTACGAGAAGGTAAGCTTCAAATCCTTTCTTTTCTTTACTGCTTTTAAACCCCCATTTCGAATGATGACTTGAGTGCATTTGGCTCGAGTATGGTCCGGGGTAAGATTGCCTAACCATTCTGGCGGCTGTTGATCTCCGGACTGTCGATGATGTGAAACCCTCGCTACCTTAAATTTCTTGTCTGAAAATCTTCAAACTCAACCATTCTGTCTTCGCTTTACCATTGCTCTTCGGAACATATGCTAATCAGTGAATCCAACAGGTCACAACGTAACTGATCTTCTCGAAGCATTTGGAATGAATATACTTTTACTAACAATATCTTGCTTCTTCAAGAATCAATGCGTGTGATAGACCTGAGAATTATGAATCTCTCCAACAAGAGTTCGCTTCTCAAGTACGTCTCCCGCCAGGGCCACATCGCCCAGAAACTCATTCGTATATATAGCAAGGAGTCACCATATTCCCGAATGGCCATCTCGTTTCCAGACTTAGCGATTTTATCATTTACAGTGTAGAGGCCGGCGTTATCGACCGTGTCGTGGCACAGTATGGGCCCTGTATGTCTAAAACCTATTTGAAGGCTGTGGCCATTCCCCGTGACCAGTATATCTGACTCGTCTCGCCGCAAATTCAAAGCTACCAAGGTCGGCGCGATCGTCGGTGGTCAAACGTCCTGCAAGGCCCCGGAACTTGCAGCATTTGAAAAGCACCTGCCGCAGGATGTAGAGATCGTATCATGCCATTCGCTGCACGGGCCCAAGGTCAACCCGAAAGGACAGCCACTGGTAGGACGCCACATTCGATTTCATGCAAGCCCGGCCCATCCCTGAATAATGTGCGTCGTCTAGGTCCTGATCCAACACCGTGCCTCCAATGAAAGCCTTCAATTCGTCGATCGGATCCTCTCCTCCTTTGGTTCGAAGCATGTCTATCTCACCGGTGAGATGCACGATCGTATCACCGCCGATACCCAGGCAGTTACCCATGCTGCTTTTCTGAGTATGGGAACTGCATGGCAGGCAAACGATCAGTTTCCCTGGGAGCACTCACGGTGGGTTGGTGGCATTGAGAATGTCAAGATCAACATCACCTTGCGCATTTACTCCAACAAATGGCACGTCTACGCCGGCCTTGCCATCCTCAACCCTGCCGCCAAGCAACAGATTCGCCAGTATGCCGAATCAGTTACCGAACTATACAAGCTCATGATCAGTGGTGACCGGGCAGAACTCAAGCGGAGGGTAAAGGCTGCCGGTGCCTCCGTTTTCAGGGAGGGCACGACCAGTCAGGATCTTCTATTGAAGGATGAGGTGCTCGATCAGTTCTCTCTATCCAACAAGTCCCGCGAGAAGGCTCCCCCGAACAGCCATCTGAGTCTGCTCGCCATTGTCGACTGCTGGTCCAAGCTTGGCATCGTTCCCTACGATCATATGATCTGTTCAACGCCGGTAAGTCGACCAGCCTCGTGGAGTCCTTAATTTCTTCGAAAAGGCTTAACTTCTTACACGAATAGCTGTTCCGCCTGTGGCTGGGTGTGACTGAATACTTATTCCGCAACCCTGAGCTTCTCGACGAAGCGTTGGACACTGCGATAGACGACCACAACTTCCGTTCAGACGATCTAGAGTTTACCTTTGCTGCGCGTGTACGTTCCACCCAATGTTTCATGGACAAGCCCCATCTTCCGAGTCCAGGGGCTGATATAATCTCGCTTATCTAGGCATGGTCTGATTGCGTCTCCTTCGGTGATTTTGAGTCCTACCGTGATCGCTTCGAGCGGATTGCATCGTACTTCGCCCCTCGCTTTGCTGAGGCCTCGAAGCTTGGAAACGAAATGATGAAGACGATCCTGGAGAAGACAACCAACAAACCTTGAGTCACCTAGGTAACAGAGCTGTATGATATATGATTTTTTCTTTCGTTCAAATTTTCCTCATTGGGGTTGTATCACTGTATGATAGGCTAGGGGCCAGAGACTCGAGATGACGGTTCTTCTTTCCGCTGTTGAATACCGATGAGGTGCGATCGGCATGTTTGAAGGATATCCTATCTTTACTTCAGCGGATTTTTCTACATTAATCCAAATATCCACGTTGCACCTAGGTACAGATACAATCTTCACTTTACGTCTATAGTTCATTTCGCGCATTATGAGTTGTCAAAGCATTTAATCTCCTTTCAATGTCTTGTCCTTCCCGTTACACATGAATGCCCAGTGCTTGTCCGCGACGTAGGCCGGGGCGAATCACATACAAAGCATCCTAAATTTCAGGAATAAGAGCCTTTCCTCGTAGCCCACTTATGCCTTTCAGGGTCTTTCAGGAAAGTCATATGCATGGATGCTGCAGCCGGTTGGTTGGTGTCGGGAAATTCGTGCAGTCTAGTCGGGATAGATCGAGAAGCAGCCGGGTTTCAGTTCGAATGAATCTTCCTAAAAGCCTCGCTTTGTACCCTCTCATCATTCTTGACCCATGCTCAGTCCCCTTTCCACCTACCATGGGACTCATGCTTTATCGATCTCCCTGTGGACATATCAAGTCTCATACAGAATTTACATTCCTTACCTCCCTTATGTGGGCATGCTTGAAACGTCGAACCCCGCAATATATTGTGGACGCATGAAGAATTAATTGTCGAATGAGTTGTTGCACAGCAAGTGCTCTCACTCAAAAGGAGACCTAAAGCTAGTCGTCTAGGACGAGGCTAGAGATCAGTCCAGCTCGCACTAGGGCCAGAGACTATTGGTTATAGCCAGGTATTATATGGCACAAATTCTAACGACCAGTCAGATATCTCTTCCAGGATGCACGTATATCGCCGACTCAGTAAAGGATTTCAGAAAGACCTAGTTGAACTTCTAGTTTGCACGTTTGAGCGTCTCAGTCTCAGTTTAAGCCAGATCCCGCCAACATGTGGACATGTCATGTGCTTTGGGGAATTGCAAGCAGATTCTCAAAATATGGCAAAGTCACTTTGCAAAATATGCTACCCCTAGCAATAGGTACAACAAGATTGACCGTGTCTCTGAGGAGATACCTCGCACGGGCCAGAATTGCGGTCAATCATTCGCATGAACATATTATCACTGGCTACGATAATATATTAGATCTTTGATCAAAGGCCTGGAAGCGTGAGGCAAACATCCAATGTCTGGAATTTTCTGTCTGGAGTTTTCAGGGTGGTGATGAGACTGAGGTATAGTCTTGGTTGTAAATGACACCGATATCTACGAATGGAGGCTGCCCCTCTTTTTATGAAGTTCTTCTCAGCAGTGTTTGCGAATGTCAAAAATACACGATTGACATTATATTGAAGTTGGCCCCGGGAAGTAAATAGGTACATTTACAAGGCAGGTACGTTGTATGAACGCTTCTTCCGGCCAGACGGTGATAAGGGCAACTTAGTCATCCACATGTTTCTCGCGATCAGGCTGAATCGAGCGAGGTGGGACTGCCGACAATCGCGCTGATCGTCTGCGCTGGTCAGTTAGTAGGGCCTTACTTCTGTTGAGTCCTGATCAGTTGTGATGGCACCTGTTGTTGCTCTATAATTACTGTGACTGCGACTCGTGACTGCGGAGGCCCCCCTCTCTTACGCCTTCACCATATTCGAGCCCTTGCTCCGCCGGCCACATCCCCCCTCCCCTACCCCAATGCAGACGCTCGACCTCCGGGACATTTGCCACAGGTGATAGAATAGCCCCGAGGCTAAATGGAGCTCTATGGCTTCCGGACACAACTCAGCGTTTTCCGCGTCCACCCAACACCGCGTTTTGGGTGATGGACGCTCTTCATTCAGCCAGGACGGTGGCTCGATAGACGGGAGCTGGAACGATACAGTCCCCAGATCAGGGCGTAATGGACGATCCGGATCTGGAGGGAGCGCAACCACGGGTGGACGAGGAGCGTCGCTGGCCCCGTCACTTGGCGGGCCAGGTAGCTTCAGTGCGGAGCTCAAGAGCATGAATTCACGGAACATCACACCCCGCCCCGACGGTACCTACATGAGACGAGCGAGCCGATCCATTGGTGAAGAAGACCTCAATACGACCGAAGAACGACAAGCGTTGATTCGAGACAAAATTGCGAAGGAGATGAAGATCAAGACTGGAACAGAAAACATGTTGGAGGCACTGCTGGCAAAGCCTCCAAAGCAGACGAAAGAACAACGTATTCGAGTGGAATTGGAATTGAGTACTTCCAATCGCAAGCTAGTTCAGCTGCAAAATGAGCTGGAAGAGGAGCTGCTTCGTGCGCAGGCGCCATCTACAACACCCCCTCGCAGTCGAATTTCAAGTCTGTTCCGAAGCAGTCCTATGCGTTCACCCTCGCGTAACAACAAATTTCCAGATCCCGTCGATGAGGAACAACAGGAACATCAGGAGGAGGGAGACGTGGAGTCGCCGACATATGTTCTCACCGAAACACTCCAGGCCTTGGAGATCGAGGGCATGTCCCCCGATTTCTACGTCGAGCACGCCAACAATTTAGTTGAACTTTTCAAACGGCATCCTACTCTAAAATATGATCTTGCATGGCCCGTGTTTGGTCTGCGCGTCCAAGTGATGCTTCTCAGCGATAGCAAAGAAGTGGTGGCTGCTGGTTATCGGCTCACACGTTACGCTATAGCCGATCGAAAATCCCTCCAAACAATTCGAGCATTACATACTGATGAGCTCGTCATCCTGTCTCTTGTCAAGGAGAGCAAAGCCAGCATTGAAAGGGAGCAAGCTCTCAAGTTCGTGAGAGCTTTCCTCGATGTCAAGGACGGCGTCAAGGAGATATCTCGTGCTATTGTGCGTACGATCGTCTCTATCGCCGAACATCATGAGGACCGTCTACGAAACATTTCTATTATGACCCTTGCGGAGATGCTCGTTAAAGATCCTGAGCTCGTTGCTTCAGCAGGCGGATTTTCTGCGTTGCATGACGCTCTATCCGAAGGCACGTTTGGCGCTTCGGAGAGTCTGATCTCGAGCTTCTTACATGTTCTGGACACGCCACGTAGTCGGAAGTACTTGCAAGGGTGTGAATTAGAAGCCGTTCTAGCTCCGTTTACCGACTCGTTGGCTGATTCTCTTCGCCATGGTCGGTTAAAGTCCGCAGCGCGGGCTGTCTCTGCAATGCTCAAAACGTGGCCTGGCCTGGTAATCCTGGCAAGAAACGGAGCGCAACCGCTCAAGTCGCTTCTTGAGTCACTCCACTACCCTGATCCCCAAGCTCGAGATCTCCTGATGGAGCTATTATTCGATGCTTTGCGGATAAAACCTCCTTCTTGGTCATCTTCATTTCTTGCGGGTAGAAGACTCACGACGTATGGGAGAGTCTCAAACCTGCGCGCCGACACAGAATCGAAACATGCCCGCGGGTTCTCCGAGGCCAGTAATAACAGGGTTGATCTCACAGCACACTTCTCGACTCTCATTCTGGCAGCTTTGATCACGGCTGGGCTCCCAAAGGTACGCAAGATTTCGAAGACTAGACGAACACAGGAACTAATCAGGCGTAGGCCCTGTCACATCTCATTGAAGATGAGACTGATCCTTCGCTTCGACGAAAAGCCACTCTTCTTTTGACCGAGGTACTCAAACTTGCCCATCACTCACTGCCATCAAGCGTCAGTGCCAAGCTTCAGGTCCTTCCGCATCTTCTCCCTCCCGCAATTCAATATGATTTTGAAAATCACGACGTCTCTACTTCGACCATCTTCCAAATTGAAAGCATCAACCGAACGCTGGCACGCTCTGGAGCCCTCTCGAATAGTCCAGGTCGCTATATGGATGCCGAAATTTCACTCTCTCTGCTGCCTGGTGAACAAGGCAAAGACAAGTTAAGCCCATCGATGGATGAGCAAACATTCCGCAACGCAATTTTGGAGACTCATGTGTTGAACACTGTCAACTTCCTCAAATGGAAGTGGGACCTTATTCATCGTCTCGTCGAGGGTCCTCTCACAAACCCCAAACGCATGGACGAGGCCATCAAAGGTTCCAAGTTCATGAAGCGTCTTATTGGATTCTACCGGCCCTTCAAGTATCGATTCTCGATGATCTCAGTTTCAAAGGCAAACCAGCGTTATGTGCGAACTGGTTGTGCGTTAATGCGGACCCTGGTTCAGACCCCCAAGGGTACCAAGTACCTGGCCGAGAACAAGTTCTTGCGTCAAGTAGCAGAGTGCCTGGCCCAACTTGACCGCATGAGCGGACTGACATCTACCTCACCGCTCTTCTCGCGTGAGCAAATGGCCAACACGTTGAGTGGAGGATATTTCGCGATGCTTGGAACACTGAGTGCTGATGCGAACGGGCTTCTCATGATGGAGAGATGGCATATGCTGAACATGTTCTACCATATTATTGAGCTTCAAGACCGGAACGATCTTATCCAAACGCTTCTTGGCAACATGGACTACAGTCGCGAAAGTCACCTGCGAGTCATGCTTTCCAAGGCGCTTACGATTGGCTCCAAGGAGATTCGAATATTTGCCACCAAGCTGCTACGAAAATACGCCGTGGGGGACGTTTCCAGCAGCCCACATGTTGCTCTTGCCAACGCGGAATGGGTCGTAAAGCTCCTCGTCACTCAACTTTATGACCCGGATGTCACAGTTTGTCAGATCGCCGTGAAGATCCTCGAAGAGGCATGTAACCAGCGTGATTACCTGGAGTTTGTGGTCAAATGTAGACCCTCCTTGGATCACCTCGGAGAGATCGGTGCACCGCTTCTCCTGCGTTTTCTGTCAACATCCGTCGGCTACCATTATTTGGATGGTCTTGACTATATTACACAGGAGATGGACGATTGGTTCCTCGGCCGGAATGATTCCTATGTCGCCCTTGTCGAAGCAGCTCTGTCTAGAGCCTACGTTGATCAGCCACGACGTAACAGCTTTGCACCCGAAGACTTAGTGGATATGCAGGACGTGGGAGTCGTTCCCCTCATTTCTACCGAGAGCTCGCTCGGACAGCCGAGGGCTGTAAACTACTGGAGCAGTCCGGGCATTTCAATGAATTTGCGTGGACCATTCGGGACTTCCGGCTGGAGGAGGAAGACACCGAGGTGCTTCTTAAAGTCAAGGGATGTCTCTGGGCTGTGGGCAATGTTGGATCCATGGAGCTCGGTGCGCCCTTCCTGGAAGCAGAAATTGTGCAGCGAATCGTGGAGATTGCGGAGAGTGCTGGTGTTCTCACCATGCGAGGCACTGCTTTCTTCGTCCTGGGTTTGATATCTCGTAGCATGCATGGGCTAGAGGCGATGCGGCAGCTGGGATGGGACTCTGCTATCGACTCCGATGGAGACTCACTGGGTCTTTGTCTTCCAACTGACTTCCGCACTCTGTTCCTTGTATGTATTTTTCTCCATTGCCGCAAACTCCAACGGTTATTAACCTATCCAGATCTTCTTCACTGGTTACAATTCAGAGGCCAAACGGACACCACAGGACAGACTCAAGGAGGCTACCACTGACTCGGATCAGACCAATCAGAAGATCTTGAAACTAATTGTGGACATGGGGAACACTGTACTATCCAAGCGATCAGCGGCAGACCTGCACAGGTATTATCTCTCGTATCATTGTTTTTCTGAAAGAAGACTGACATCTCCATTCGTAGCATCAAATCTAAGCAGCCAGAAAAATTCCTCCAAGTACATCTGTTCCGCAAGGCCCTCTGCATTCTCGAGAGCCATCATTTCCGGCTGCCAGCGCGGCGCTTTGCCCTTGACCTTTTCGACAAGAGCGTCATGCGGCGAATCGTTCTCGAGGATGACTCCGATAGCTCGGACTCCGACTCCTCTTCTTAAGTCACACTACAGCCCACACACGGGGCTCCCCCTTCTTCTCACCGTTCTCCTTTGCTGCACCTGGCAATGCATCACCGCAGGTGTGCGCCATGCTATGCACCAATTCATTTGCAAACGATTGACGGAACACTCGGACTTGTTGGTATCACAAGCAATTGGCAATGCAATCTGGCTTTCCCCTCTATTTACTCATGCATCTGTACCTGTTATGGCGGCGAATCTTGGAAATGAGACATGAATGATATCACATTACATGCTTTGCATGACCCTAGAGAATAAAGAGAGAATATGACACAGGGAGCGAAAGCGGCAGGGGAAACACTAAGTACTTTCCGCTTGTGCCCGGTGTTCGACATGGGCGACGATTAAAAGAGGCGCGTTTAGGTAGATGCGAACCTCGGTAATTCACCCAGAGACGGTCAAGTATTCACTTCTTTCCCTTGGGGCCGGTTTAGAGCCTTTGCGCTGCTCAAGCATCTCAGTTATGACAGCCAAAATGAATAAAAATTCTCTCCTGGTTGCTTATCCTGCCAAAAAATTTCTCCAAAGTCTACTTGCATCTTGCATGATGAAAAGTGTTGAAGTGATGAAGTTGCGCGATTATCTAAAGTTGGACCCACCTTAGATCTCCGACCCACTCCGAGACAGCTTGACCCAACTCCCCTCGATACTCCTCAGTCATGGAGGATGATGCTGACATTTCCGACATGTCCAACCTTGCTCCGCCTGAGATCTCGGACGTTGTGGGCTCTGAGGAACATGTTCCCGCAGTCCCGATGACCCCCACCTCGTCGTACGCTTGATCCAATGCCAGCACTGCTCGCATCCGTTACATACGCCTCTCCGTTTACCATGTGGCAACTCTGTGTGTCGCGCTTGTCTCCCACCAGTCAGGCCCCGGGTTGGCATCACATACCCAGTTGCAGAGGGCCGAGAAGAGGGGTTCACATGCTATTGGGAGGGAACGAACAGTTGTATCGGGGAGCATTGCGTCGGAGATTGCGGCGTTGATGTCGTGCTGTGCAATATCGTGGGGATCTTTCAGGAAGAACTGGCGTGGGAAACGCCATCAACCGAGTTGCAGAACCAGCAGGAGTCTCAAGATAAGCAAGGTGATGCACAAATTGCTGATGCACGAGTTGTTCGCTGGAAAGTCAAGCAGCCCGACACAAAGTCTCCAGAGCTGCACAGCGCCGAGATCACCAAGCCTGGGTGGCTACAGGCTCTATACCTATTGGCATGGGAGGGCCGGCTTCCACACAATGCATATGACGTTGTATACCAGGACCGAAATGCGTCTCACGACACTGTCGAGCAAGAAGGTTCCACAAAGCAAGACAATATCCGCTTCCAGAAACTCAGAGACAAGCTTCGCACCGAACTGGACTGCCAAGTCTGCTATTCACTTATATTAGATCCGCTGACCACTCCCTGTGGTCATACCTTTTGTCGTAAATGTGTCGCAAGGGTTCTGGATCATGCCGACCTATGCCCAATTTGCCGTCGCAAAGTTGGGATGCCCGCTGCTTTACAATCCGAGCCATTGAACATCACTCTCGTACGAATAATCGACCATTTCTTTGGGGATCAGGTCACAGCTCGCAGAGAGGCTCTCGCAGAGGAAGAAATGGGAGGAGACCATGAAATGAACCTTCCACTTTTCGTTTGCACGTTGGCTTTCCCAACAATGCCAACATTCCTACATATATTTGAGCCTCGGTATCGACTGATGATCCGTCGTGTCGTCGACAGCGGTGATGGCAAATTTGGTATGGTGATGTACAATCGTCGCGGCCGCGCACAAAGCGACGGTTTGGGTAGCGTGCCCTTCATGCAATATGGGACACTCTTAATGGTTGAGCGCTATGAGTTGCTTCCAGATGGGCGCAGTCTCGTGATAGCGACAGGTGTATCGCGATTCAAGGTGCTCGAGGCGGGCGAGCTGGATGGCTACCATATTGCCAGAACGGAGCGCGTTGATGATCTCTCACTAGCGGAGGAAGAAAGACTTGAGGCGACCGAAACGGCAGCCTCTGCTATCCCTGACCCGACACTAGGAGCAGATGCTGAAACTCCATTGGAGTCGATGTCAACTCAGGATCTCCTCATTCTAGCTAGAGATTTTATTCGCAGGCAGCGCCAAGCAGGAGCACCTTGGCTCCATCCACGCGTCATGCTGGCTTATGGACCTGTTCCCACAGATGCAGCCCGCTTCCCCTGGTGGTTCGCTAGCATTCTACCAATTGCCGAAGAGGAAAAGTACCCCATCTTATCTGCAATGAGTGTGCGGGAGCGACTCAAAATCTCTGCCAAATGGGCAAGGGAGCTGGAGGCTCGAGACTGGTACGTACTAATCTCAATTTATGACTCGAATATCTAACCTCCCCAATAGGTCCGCCCGCTCATCATTGAATTCTGTCTTGTGACTAGCCGTTCCTCTGCTTGTTCTCTGTTTAATTCCGTTGGCATTCAATCCGCTATCAGCACTCGTGTCATCAATGACACCCAATGTTTTTACATCACTAACACCATTTTCCCTTTCGATTTCTGTGTCTTTCGGTGGCTCGCCAACGCCCCGAGAAAACGGCCAGCAACCACAGGAAAAACCACGGCCCCGGTCAGACGAACCATCCGAAACATATATTCCACACACCCTCATCATTCTGATCTTCCTCGCTATTTTCTGCGTGCAGGTGGGAATCAACTTCTTGCACATTATGCGAACAGGGCGGAGGAGAAGACAAGCTATGGAGTTACAGTTTCCGCAGCCAGTGCCCCCACAACCCCTTGAACACAATGGGCGATCAGAGCTTGTGTCAAATGTGAACTTGTTGGGCGAAGAAGGAGTAGATGACCTCCGCTCTTCAGCCCCAAGATCCACGCATGATGTTGGTTAATGACCATCATTGTGTTCGCACACCAGAGGCGAAACAACTTTGACCATGATCTTGGACATACCATGAGACTTACACTCTTTACATACGTGATTCCCCCGAGCGTCTTTCACTGTGATTTTCAAAAAAATTCTCCCAAGTTCTTATAGTCTTGATATAGAAAAAAAAAATCCCACCCAACTCCTAGCTACTACAAGGGTTACTCTCCTTCACAATTCCTCTAGACAGGTGTCCAGAACCAAGCTTAATTATCAAGATGGGGATTAGAACATCAAAAATATTGTGGGAGATGTCCTGTGACCTGAACGTCACCTATGCTGAAGACTGAGCGGGGGAAGGGGGGAACAAACATATTGAATTATGGGCTGCTCTATTTCAGTAAAGAGCTGTCAACTTATTGTGTGTTAGGGCACATGAAAAAATCGGAGGGTATTAGAGGCCTATTTATAGAGAAAAATAGACTATAGATCAATAATCTGGGGTAGAGAAAGGAGGCAGAGTGGAAGAGTTGGAGAGTGGGAAAGTGAGTATGGCAATACCAAGGCCAAAAAAGCTTCAACGAGATATTCCATTTATTTTCTAAGTCCAAGAACATCGTGGGAGATATCTTGTTCCCATAGATTCATCTCATATATCTGTGTGTTCTGCTTCTTCTTCTTTCTTTCCAAAATTCTTGAATTTTCTTGAAGCTGATGCCGGACAACCCGAGCATCCAATTCGGGCAACATGTAGCTTAGGTAATCCGCGTTCGACCGCGTCCCAGCGTCGCGAATCTCGAACGCCGAGTCCATACTGAAGGGTTCAAAACAATGGAACCTTGTACCGAATGACCCACGTCCTCGGTCTCCATGCCATCTTTGAAATTATCTTTGGGCCCGCCAGCATTGGTGCGGCTGCACGACATTTTGATATGTCTGTCCAAGTTCAGCGACACCGTTGCCATTGAGGCCGAGCATGATCTGGTATGGCTTTGGGGATTTCGAGGATCAAGGGATCTTTGCTAAAAACACATTCCCAGCTCCGCTTAAGTGCGCTCAACTCGACCAAGACTGCGTTCGCCTCTTTTGTTTGTGAAAAGGAATTGTTCTTTGAGGCTTACTCGTTCGATGCCCGGAAGGCCATTCGGTCTCCAAGCAGTACTACTGCAGGAGATCGATTTTACTGTCAAATTCTACTTAAGGTAGGTTTCTTCAAAACTTTTGGAGCGAAATTTTGATCTGACTGATTACCCAGGCGCTCTTGTCTGTTTTCCGAGGAAGAGTGGACCGGAACAAGGACGCCGCCGTGGAGCGCTGTGATATGGAGCTTCACGAAGATCCGCAAGAGACAGAATGCAGATTGACTATCAAGATGATCTGTGGACTTGGTCAGTTCCTTGATCTCCGCTATCGTCCTTATATCTGACTTGTTCAGGCGTGATCAAATCTTATAAGCTCACCTACGAACCGGCGTCAATCCAGCATGCCGTGTTCGATAGAAGCAGGGCCACGAACCAATGGACGGCAGATCCACGATTCCTGAAGCAAATTATTGAACACTTCAGCTTATCTGCCGAGCAGCTGGATATCTATTCCGACTCGGGCAAGGCAGTGTTCACGAGTTTTACGACGAAGATTACGGATGGAAAAGGTATCGCAGAATTCTGAAATCTAGAATCCGGAAACTGATATCATTGCAGAGGTCCTTAAATGCCCCGTGCACACGTCCGTGGCTGCCGACAAGCGAGATTTCGAGGAGATCCAAATCGAAGACAACATGCACATTGCAATCAATTTGAAGGATTTCAAGGCCGTCGTTGCTCACGCTGAGACCACCAATGCAACCGTCACGGCACGATATACACAGCCCTGCAAACCACTGCAGCTGGCATACGACTTCGACGGTGTCAATGCCGAGTTCACGATCATGACACGGGGTGAGGTGGAAGGCGAGACGGCACCGGCTTCATCTCGAGCCGGAATGCCACAGCTTTCGCAGCGTCAGACACCCGCGCTCATCTCTTTGAACAGGGCCCAGACTCCTCGCGGTGTCACACAAAGTACACAGATGCCCCCGCCCCCGCCCCCAGCGCGGGGCCGGTCTGTTCGTCCCTTGAATGGATCGTCGACTTCGACACAGGATCGTCTTGCTCCCACTGCAGTATCAGATCGGCCTTCTGCATCGTCGCTCTCGACGGACTTTGATAGTCTATTTGTGCCGGCTGATGATGATCGTCAATGGGATGAGATGGATGAGCAGGAAGAGCCGCAGGATATTCTTGGGTGGGATGCATCGGGTAGACAGGTTTGTGGCCCTTCTTGTTCTGATCAAAATTTGGAAGCTGATGGAATCCAGGATAACTCTGAGCCGACCCTTCAAGAAGCGGAGCCTGATTTCCCTAAGTTGGCTGATACGCGTCGTCGGCCTCCAAATGATGATATGGGCGTTCCGCCGACACAGCGCATGTCCCAGGTATGGAAGACCTCTCGAGTGGGTTGAGTCCAGCTAACGCTGTACAGGTTCGAGGTCTTGGTCTCTTCGATTGATGAAACGTGTCACCCCAGTGATCTTGATCATTTTGAAGTATCAGAATGTGTGGCAAAACACTCTGATCTGCTCCTCATCTCACAATCAACCAGCTTGTCGCACATCCCGCTCCAACACCCACCACCTTCGCGCCATAAGCGCGCACAGAGTCCGGCAACGAGATCATACTGAACGTGCCGGCCACATTCCCCTTCTCATCCGTATCAGGCCCGCAATTCCCATGCTCACCCCAACCAAATGTCGCGACCTCGCCACCCTCCAAAAGTGCAAGAACATGCTCACTGCCAACGGCAACTTGGACGGGCTCAGGCAACCCGGGAGGCGGCAGTTGACCTCGATCATTGCGACCCCAAGCAATGACTGGCGCCTTGGATGTTCCCGGCTCCGGAGCAATATGTACATATATACCATGCCAGCTAGCCCCAATATTACTATACCCCATACCACCTAAAGAAGGAAGATCCGAGATCCCCCACCGATTCCCTCGATCTCCAAGAACCATAAACTCCCCAGCTTCACGCTGTCCAAGGATAACCGTAAACTCACGCCCGCACACAGCAGCCGTTGCACGAAATGGAATTCCCTCAACCTTCGCAGGTGTCCATACAATCTTCTGCCCCTTGAGAGAATCCCCCAGTTGGCCCTTCCGTGCCGCACCCCAACCGAATACATCGCCATTCGACGTCACAGCCACAGAATGACCCATCCCACTCGCCAACGCAGTAATACCAGATCCCGGCGGCAGCGAAAGGGACATACCGTCCACCGCAGAAGAAACACCCGATCCAAGACCAAGTTCGCCCTTGGGAGAAGAACCCAGAACAAAGATCTTATCTTCATTCGTCTTGTCCACAGCAATAAGAATAGACCCCTCCCAAGTTGCAGAAACACACTTGAAAAATTCAACAGGTGACCCTGTTTCATCTGTGAGAATAACGCGACGAAAGCGAACTAGATTGTCTTCATCGACGCTGTCGGTGCTCTGGTAAATTGAAGTGGAGGGCGTGGGCCCGCACCGCCCATCGGTGTTGTAACCCGCGGCATAGACGCATCCTCGTCTTGTGATTAAGAGAGTATGGTTCCCGCCAGCAGCGATGTGAATGATCTCGTCGTCTGGGATGACGGGGGAGGAGAAGAGGCATTGTGTTGGAGTTGAGACGTCTTCTTTGTGGCCAAGGGCTAATTGCCCGGAGCCGTTGGAGCCGAAGGCGAAGAGGCTCACCATTTAGTTTGCGCTTGGCTTTTTTTTTTCTGTCTTTTGCTCTTGATCTCGGTATGAAACTGTTGTGTGAAGCGGACCTCTTTGTATTTTCTTGGGTGATATGGTTTATTATCCCGGCAGTATTTTACCGCTTCAAGGTCCGCTTTCTTTTTTTCCTTTTTTTAAGAGTTTGGGTAGGTGGAGCGAGAGTCGAGGCCTTATCTGTGGACGGTAAATGGATCTAGTGGATTTAGGAGAAGTGAAAATCGAGTCTCGAAAGAGCAATGGTCAATTAGCCATGGATAGTTATGTAAGAATATTTAAATACAGCAGGCAATGTGCCCGCATTATGTATCGTGCGTTTTATGCAAATGTTCAAGCAAGGCCAATCGACCGTGGGGTTATCCGAACACCAAAACAAGCGAATCCCAAACCAAAAATGCAATGTATAATCTTTTGTGCAAGCCCGCATCTAGGGCGACTTTTCATTCAAGGAGGACCCTTGAGAACCACCCTCGGCAGGAGGGGGGCAATGTGAAGTTGTCCTGCTTTCCACCGAGCTTCTCCTGACCCTTGAACATAGGGCTGGTGCGGTGGAAGTAGGTGTGGACATGACCCTCGAGCAAGGAGTCATCAGTGTCGAAGGCATCCTCCTTGTCCTGTTCCTGGAGTTTCTGGGCCATAGCGGCTTCCCACTCCAGGCGGTATTCTTCGACCTTCTGCTGGTAATCCTTCTCGGCGTCGTAGTAACGGCTCTTGCGGAGGACGAAGCGCTCATACAAAGACAGGTGAGCGGGGTGCACAGCGGCGCCGTGGTATTCCGCCTCGCGGCCCTCGCGCAGGTATTGCCAGCGACGTTCCTGCTCCTTGAGATCAAGGCCAGTGGTGTCGGGCAGAAAAACCAAAGTCAGAACCATACCGGCCAGACCGAACCAGGGAACGACGTAGAACTTGGTTTGGGTGTCGATGTAGTTGTACAGGACCGAGGCCAGGAGAGCACCGGCCTTTCCGGCCGCAGCAGAGAGACCGTGAGCAGTAGCACGGATGGGGGTGGGGAAGACCTCAGCCGCAACCAGGAAAGTGACACAATTGGGACCAAACTGATTGAAGAAGGAACTCAGGAAGTACATGGCCTGGAATTCCTTGATGTGCTCGGGAGTGGTGTAGTACTCGTAATGGAACGCAGGGACGACGAAGAGAACGAAGCACATTAGGAAACCTAACATTTGCATCCACTTGCGGCCGTACAGCTTGTTATCGATGAGAAACGAAGCCAAGTAATAGCCGACCAGAGAGACGCCGACGTTGACCAAGTTCCACAGCCAGGTGGGCATCACCGAGGTGGTCGCAGGACTAATCACGGCGATGAACTCGCTTTGGAAGAGCTTGTTTCCGTAGAAGAAGACATCGTTGGCGAACCAGCTGCCAGCGGTGGCCAGAAGGCGAGAGCCGAAGTACTTGAAGGTGAGGCGCAGAGAGTCCACATCATAACCGGTCACGGAGGCCTTCTTCTTAGCCGCGGTAAGCTGCTTGCTAGCCGCCTTCATATGGTAGGCACGGTAGTAGACGAGCCACAGGGTTCCGACGGCGGGAATGGCGAAGGAAATACGGTAAGTCCACTGAGTGGCCACGGCGGAGTAGGGAGGGTTGCCGCTACCGTGGTGGAAGCAGAGCAGGAGGATGATCAGGATGACCTGGTTGGCAAACTGGCCCCAACCCTGCATCAAGAAGGCGGAGGTAACCTTGCGGCCACGGTGGAGGCGATCTTCCTTGGTCGAAATCTTGCCCGCGCCGACGGCGTTCTCCATACCGCTGGTCGCTGTCATAGGGTACTCGCCACCTGATTGCACGGTTAGTTGCCACTCGGGAGAGTATTCTGGAAAAAAAAAGAACGTACCAACACCAACACTGTAGAAGAACAGCGACCATGCGTAGCAAATCACCCAGCCATTCTGGGTAACACCCCAAGCAGCAGTCAACATGATCAAACCAATAAACATGATGGTCGCATCCTGAATCAGACCCCAACGACGACCGATCCTGCGCACCCATTAGCCTTTTGGCCGAAAATTAGGTTCGGTTCGGCGGGAAGAAACTTACCAGTCACCAATCACACCGACCAGAATCTGACCGCAGATGATACCAATGATCTCGAGATAATCCACCGCATTCGTCCACTGCTCATCGCAGATCTTGTGGGTCTTCCAGCACGAAGGGAAGGACTTCTGGAACAGAGGTTTGATGTTACCAATGGAGAAGAGCACGTAACCCTCAAGCCCGAGACCGGCACCGGGCAAAACCATGTTGCGGAAGTAGTATGAAACAGGCGAAAGAGGGTCCTCCTTCATCATGGACCAGATGGCACCAAGTTCACGCTTGGCCTCGCCCGCGTCGTAGGAGCTGACGAACTTGACCTTCTGGGCAATGGGAAGATCGGCCCAGTAGACGCCCTCGGGGTTATAGCTGTCGTCGGGGCGAATCAGCTGGTCGAATGCCCCCTTCTCGTGGATATCCATGTTCTCCAGCGGATTGTGAGTGCCGGTCATATCAGGCCCATGAGGGGCACGCGGTCCAAAGTCGGCCATGATGAAATATAGGCTCGGGAAGAGCTAGGACCGGAAGGTGAAGACTCAAGACGAGGCAACGCCGGATTGGGGAAGGAAACGGTCGTGGTGACCACGGGGGACGATGTGATGTGACAAGACACAAAGGATTCTGTGGGAATAGAATTTATATATGCCAGAGAGCGGAAAAAAAGAAGGATGAACCGGAGCGGCCGAGCTCGAGTTTGGCCATGCTCCATACTCCAGTGGCGGCTCCACTCTCGTAGCCTTCCACAGCGGACAGAAAAAAAGTCTGCGCCGTTCGGTGGTTCGGAAGACGAAAGCAGATTCGACCATGGATCATCGTTGCAAGGCCCGCAGCCAATCGACTGGCGCACGTGGTGGCAGAATGTGGACCGGCCCGCCCTAATCAGACTGACCGCCTGCTCTTCGCCTGCCGCGACTCGCGCGATCTGCCAAGAGTGGGGCTCGCCTTCGCCGTTCCGACTTACGAGACAACGCCCCAGAAACTATTACAGCAAGACTCTCGAGAGGACTCGTCTCGGTCATTCGTCCTGTTACACGTGGTGTTGGTGGTAGGAGCGTTTCCAAGCGAGATCATTGATAACGGGAACTCTGGCCCGGTACCTTTTGAAGTGGTCCCAGTGTCCCCAGACGCTGGGAGAATCTCAGAATCAGTTCACAAATGAGCGCACGTGTGGTCCTTCCTAATCCGACGGCTCACGTGCCTCAGAACTGAGAGTTACTCGACTCGAGTCGCCTAGGCGCTTTTAAACAACCAGGCTAATTCAAGCTAATGCACTCGCACAATTAGCTGGTTTGACGGTTGAGGTGCGGTTGGAATTGATAGACTTCGCGCTAACATCTGGGGGCGCACGCATTGGTTATCACCCCGCGGACCAGTCAGATTCCCCGCTGTGCCCATGTGCTCGCCCACCCTTGTTTACGCTGTCAATGGGATCCACCTCCGTCTTCCAGGCCTTCCTGTTGAGTCTTGCTGCCCGAGCTCGTGGCCCTTGCTTCTTCCAATATTGGCCTTGACACGAAGGACATGTACCGTTATCTGCCGCTATTTCCTGCATGTCCAGTCCGGTGAACTCCGGCGACCTTTTGCTATCCATCGAGTAGTTCTTGGCTCGGAGGCATGTCTGCTCTTGGTTCTGGTCACCCATGCTTGGTGGCACTTTTGCCTTTCGGATATCTGGGAGCCTTCAAGCATAAGCATATTCCAAGCAAGGTCGATCTGCATCTACCTTTCTTGGAATCGCTTGGAAATGCTTGACACCGACAGCACCTGGCCTGACAGAATGGAGCTGGGCCCTCAAACCTTTCAACTCTGAAATTGTTACAATCATTTCCTCCAAAAGTGTACCCGCCCGTGAAACTACTGCATGGCACCGAGGCACGGCACACGACTTGCATAGACTTTGATTCAGGGGTACGGCGTGGGTTCGTCGATCGACGGCCACATCTGCGCCATCCCGAGAGACCGTCGCCGGGAAGAGTATAACTCTTACCAACACGGCTAGCCCATGGAAGGCTGACAGTACCCAAGTCGCTGCCTCGGCGCCTCTGTCGAGTCAGGCGTGCGAGGCTGCGAGACTCGCCGTGCCTTACTGGAGGATTCCAGTGCATCTTCTGCGCAGGACGCAGATTAACTGTTCATTTCGTAGAGTCGCCACAGTCCTCACTCTTGCGAACATGCCGCACGTTCTCAGCGATGCCTTCAGCTCAGCCTCCGAATGTATCCGCCACGTAGTACAACCCACCATGCAAAGTGCATATACTCTTTTTAGCCTGACAGTCTTGTCCAACCTGAAGCTCCTGCGGCAATGCCGAAGCGCCCCATTTCCTTGCGTAGTGCGACCTGGACATGAGCCAGCCCGTCCGCAGCGGGGTCCTCCATCGATATCAAATTAAGGGGCATATCTTTGCTTTACTGACATTGTGCCGAGCTCGCCCGACTCGGTGGATCGAAATCATCCGTTTGATCCGAGTTGGAAGGCAAGGGTTGGCCATGGAATCACACCCGTTGACCATTAATCATGAACATCTATTCTAGATTTGCGATGGGTAGGGTAGTATGCTGCAAGCCACTCGCAAGCCACTCGCCATGAATCCATTCGGAGGGATATCTTATGACCTCAAATGGTGTGTTGAGCGGGTCGGTCAACGTCGCATTCCAGACACGACCGGGGATCCTACGTTGGACCAGTCTTCAACTGACGACATAAGGACTTCATCAAAAGACAAATTCACATCAGACCACATAATAGCTACTTGATTATGAACCAGGATCTATCCCGATCTGTAATCGTAAGGTGTTGCCTACGCCGTCGCAGCAGGCCTAACCTCAGCGCCCGCGTCGGCTCGGCAGCCGCAAACCAAGGCCCCGAAAGCTACCATGCGCGACGATGGCAAACGCAATGAGAACACTGCTGACTCAAGAGTAACCATTGTAGCTTCGAGCCCCTTCAATCCTGACTAGACCTGGTATCGCCAAGGCAAGCTATGAACTCCTCGATGTGCAAGATTTCTAGTGGCTGGCAGCATTCCAGAGACAGGCCGGGAAAGTCAACGTGTCGACTTTCCACTCAAATCCCCCAGCCAAGCAGCTGTGCTTGCCCTTCAGAAGCCAGACTCGCCTATCACTGCACTACGACGGGTAAGTCTCGGTGAAGGGACACATGCCACCCTCGATTCCCCCCGCGTGCCGATATCTTCAGCACGCTCTTCTGCAATACCAACCTGCGACCTTTCCTTCGCGCAGCCCATGCCGAGAATGATGGCTTGTCTGGGAGCTTTCGACTCAATTTTCGGGGTCGTATATAAGTGGTGGGTCTTGGAATCTGTAGGATCACTATGTGCTGTTCAAGAAAGACAGGTAAATATACTTCGACACAAGGGGTGAGTTAGCCCTCATTCATGACTGGCTCCCACCCATGCTCAGTATTTGTCCAGCAGGTCTCACGGCTCTGATCATTCAGGCTGTTGACTAGGTTTCAGAATTTAACACGGTCCCGCAATCGAAAGACTTGTCCATCAACGACATTGACCCGACAAGATGAAGGTTGACTTCAAGAGCATCTTCCCAGCGATAACTGCCTTCATCGCGTTCATCCTCACGCTGCTGTGTCTCTTCGCGGGATCTCAGAAGGCTCTCTTGGATAATGCGGATCTCCTCACGGTAAGTCGCGAGAGATGAATCACGCAGACAAGGCTGACCCGTGCCAGCTGTACACCCCCGAAGGCAACTCGGACACGACCCACAACTTCTATTCCGTCCATGTCATGTCATACTGCCAAGGCGTCCTGGGCACGGTGGACGCCGGTGAGACGAGCGTTGCACGCAACGTGACCGAGTGCTCGAGCCGCACGCTTCTGTTTGCTTTCAACCCGACCGATGCTTGGCCCGAGGAGATCACCCACGGACCGACGCTAGAGTGGCCGCGGGTGATCAGCGACGACTTCAACGCTTTCAGTTTCACCAGCCGATCCATGGCAGTTTTCTATATTATCGGAGTAGGTGCAATCGGATTTGCTTTGGTGTCTCGCTTGTCGTCGGTCATCACTCGCAAAGCACAGACGGGTCCATTTGAGTTTGGGTTCATGGTGGTAGGTCATTCGGTCTCGTGGCAAGGGGTTGTTTGGCTGTCTTTACATCCACTAATAGCCGGACTATGTAGCTCGGTGCGTTGAGTATCAGCATCGCGTCCATCATCGCGACGGTGATTGCCTTTGAGTTCGTCGCGCTGATCAACGCGCACGGCGATGGTTCGGACGTGTCAGCACAGTACGGCGAGAAGTTCCTCGGGATGACCTGGGCTTCGACGGCGTTGCTGCTAGTAGGAAGTATCAGCTGTTTCGTCAATGTCTTTGTCCGAGGCTATGAAGAGCAGGAGCCGGCAATGCCCGCCGGGAAAGATGAGGAGGAGGGCTGAAGAGGGGGTTCCCTATGGTGGGGGAGGAAAGAATGCTTGAGCGCGGTCCCGAAACGGACGCGCACACCGGACGCACTTACGTCGGGTGAAGTCGTGCGAGGGAATTTGTTTCAATAGTTCTATATAATATGACCAGCAATGCCACCTGAATGAATACCTTGGCCAATGAAATGGGTTGACGCCCGTGTACGTCGGGCATGGACGATAAAAGCGCCTAGTGACCACCCGGCGACTTTGAGAAGGACTACGAAGGCCGTGGGACCAATGACATAGGAGCCGTCGGACATGGTGTCAGTGGCAGGACCGATTAGGCAAACATGAGTCCGGGCGTGTAAGAAAAGGAATAGACGATGATTCGAGAGGATTCCAACCTCGGCATAGTCGACGACTAGCGGGTCGGAAAAACTGGGTCTGGCTTGTCCTCCCCCCATTCATCCGACGTCACTGCGGAGCACATCATCAACCGATCTAGTCCATCTCATAGACTGCGTAGAGTGCGACTATCGCGTATCAGATGGGCGCCATCAGCACCTGTCAGACCCCGGGATCTAGGAACACTGTACTCCGGAGCCTATGGTCAGCAGGGTTTGACTTCCCGACTAAGCCCCGGGTTGGGCCAAGGGAGAGGATGAGTTCCAGCACGGAATGCGGAGGCCATCCACGGGATATCCCGGTCTCACATCATGGGGTTTTCGGTGAGTCTTTTAAGAGAACGGAGATGAAGACATAGAATGGGGAATAGTCGGGTGGGAAGGAGACACCAGGTCCAAAATGGTTTAGCTGGGCCGTGATCTGGGCTCTACGACGTATGGACATCTCTATGAGGTTGCACGGCAAAGCGGGGGTTACACTACCGGGTCCATCAATGGGATTGTGTCGAACGGGCAGAGGGGTCAAGGGTGAAGCGAAATGGAGCAGAGATGGAAATTATCGTGGAGTCGATTCACGTTCTCGGCGTAAGGCCTCATCCTTGGGTTCGAAACAAGGCGGAGCCTGGTTCCGTGCGCCTCCAGTCAATGAAGTCATCACGAGCATTTCGTAACCATTCCACCTATGGGGGGAAGCCACGAAGTATATTGTGGAAATGCGCCTTCCTATCGTGAACTCGGAAACGAACCCCTCCATTCTCGGGTTTGTTTCTTTTACTTAAATACTGCCTTCTCCCACTTGCTTCTTTCCCCACGCTTTCTCTATTAAACATCAGCCACCCGCGCTTTAGTACATCACAAGACCTCATCTTGCTTCCTTTCTCCACTTCCGATCGACCATCCTTGTCACATCCTCCAATCATGGGTAAGAAGGCGATTCACTTTGGCGGCGGCAACATCGGCCGTGGCTTTGTGGCCGAGTTCCTCCACGCCGCCGACTATGAAGTCGTCTTCATCGATGTGATGGACAACATCATCCAGGCCCTTCAGAACACCAAGTCTTACCAGGTCACCGAGGTTAGCGAAGCCGGTGAGACCACCAAGACCATCACCAACTACCGTGCCATCAACTCCAAGACCCATGAGGCCGATGTCGTCGAGGAGATTGCGACGGCTGATGTCGTCACCTGCGCCGTCGGTCCCAACATCCTCAAGTTCATTGCCCCTGTCATTGCTAAGGGTATCGACATCCGTTCCACCCCCAAGCCTCTCGCCGTCATTGCCTGCGAGAACATGATCGGTGGTACTGATCAGCTGCGCAAGCACATCGAGGAGAGAACCGACTCCGAACGTCTCGCGTCCATGGGCGAGCGCGCCCAGTTCGCCAACTCTGCCATCGACCGCATTGTTCCTGCCCAGGCCCCCGATGCCGGCTTGAATGTCCGCATCGAGAAGTTCTATGAGTGGGTTGTCGAACAGACACCCTTCGGCAGTGTCGGTCACCCTGACATTCCTGCCGTCCACTGGGTTGACAACCTGGAGCCATACATTGAGCGCAAGCTGTTCACCGTCAACACCAGCCACGCCACTGCCGCCTACTACGGAAGATACGCGGGCAAGAAGACCATCGCGGAGGCCATGAAGGATTCTTATATCAAGGGCGTCGTCCACGCCGTGCTTGAAGAGACTGCCTCCCTCATTGTCGACAAGCACGAGATCTCCGCCCAGGAGCAGAAGGATTACATCGAGACTATTGTCAGCCGTATCTCTAACCCATACCTGGAGGACACCGTAGAGCGTGTTGGCCGTGCCCCCATCCGCAAGTTGGGTCGCAGTGAACGATTCATTGGACCTGCCGCCGCCCTCGCTGAGCGCGGGCTGAAGTACGAGTCTTTGCTGGGGTCTGTTGAGATGGCTTTGCGTTTCCAGAATGTTCCCGATGATGAGGAGAGCGCCCAACTGGCTACCATTCTCAAGGAGAACTCGCCCGCCGATGTTACCGTCCAACTTACCGGGCTGGAGCGCACTCACCCTCTGTTCTCGGCTGTGGTGAAGGTGGTCGACCAGGTACAAGCAGAGGCTAAGTATGTGTCCATCCCTCATTCGTCAGTTGAATACGTACTAACCGTTCTTCATAGGGAAACTGGCCAGCCGCGCATCTAGATGGGGTGTCGCCGTGCTTCAAAGTATTGTTTCCATAGCATGGAACGGCGAATACGGCGTGATTCGGAAGTGGGCGTTTTCTTTTTTGCATGACTTATGACTGTAGTATGAATAGCTATGACTAGCAAGTGTTTCAATATTCGATACGAATCAAACAACTGCCCATTACATGCTCTTACCCATCGTAATTCCCAGTCTAGCCAGTACATTGACCTCTAGAAGAAGCCTCAGCGCCCATCTAGTGCACAAGTTGCAAGAAGGGATCTCAAACCAGCTCCACAATCCGGGCCCTGCGGAGCATCGGGACAAAACGTGCCGATACTCTATCCCGGATTTCCCCTCCCCCGGGCTGTACCGTTCTAGCCCCAGTCCCTTATCTCCATTGAGCTATGATGACATGAATGACCCGAAACAAGTACAGTGCGTCCCGGAACTGGTGTAACACCTATTACTCTTCGATTGTATCTCGAACCCCAATTGCCAAAGGCACGCTTGTCTATATCAATGGGTTCTCCGTCGTCTCCTTATCAGTGTGGCCTGTATTGTTTCCTGCACGGAGTACGCAGAACACATGACGAAGTGTATTTATTTGTAAGTACGATACACCTGGTATATGAATATCCGCTTCGAAAACCCAGTAGCTATCTGGTTTATCGGTAGCTCCGTTATTTCCCGCAACTGGTGACATGGAAACGGTGATTGATGTGTTGTAGCATCTGGTACATCCATTCACCGCATATTAGCTCTGCAAGAAACTGTTATACAAGGCACCATTATGGAACTGACTATGTGAGTGGCTATCCTGAGACTTAATTGGGCTTTTCCTTGTGGCACCAGAGATATTGCGGACGGAAGTAAAATGCTTGAAGCGAGCGTTGGGATCCCGCTGATCGCCGAGCAGAATAATGTGGTCCTCTGGGATTCCGACCTTCTTCGCGGCCTTGACGGCAACATCCAGCACGGAGACTTGCGTGGCGAGGGCTTTGGCACCAGAGTTCTTCAGCTGGAAGGCCAGCTCGTCGACCGTGTAGGCTGGGTTGGCTGGGGAGACAATACCACCCGCCCAGAGGGTTCCCCACATCAGCACGGGGGTGTCGATACTGTTCGGGGTGAAGAGGCCGAGGACATCGCCCTTGCGCCAATCATAGAGGGCCTTGAGGCCCTTTCCAAAATCTAGCGAGGCATCCTTGAGGCCTTTGTAGGTATAGTGTCGCTTAGTGTCGGCATCTTGGTAGAGGACTGTCCAGCGTTAGTGTGACATATCCTGGGGTCAAATAAGTCTGATGAGACCACCAGAACTCAAAACACTCACTCTTATCATCCGGGAAAGGCCTGTCCTTGCGTTCGAACAGGAAGGTCCAAAGGTCAACATTGGGAATGTCGGCATTTGGATAATTGGAGGAGACAGGCATATTGCGGGGAAGAGCCAAGCGCCGATCCGGGGGGGAGGTCAAGAGGTATGAATCGGCAAGCCGTACGATGTGAATTGAATCACGAATGGGAGGGATGAGGACTATAAGAAAGGAAGCAGGAAGAGGAAGTGGTCTTTCTCCGCACTTCTCGGTTCTTGGGGCGGGAACCTCGGTCCCTTGCTGCCTCGAGAGCCCTTGGGGTAGTTCATACCCGAAGTCCACTATCGCGGACTCAAGACCGCTGCGCTGGATCTATATGATCTAGAATCAGCTGGTAAGGATGGATAGGGCAACAAGATTGGAACTAGACTATAGAATTTCTATTCGCCTTCTCGTGCTCTTTATGCAAGGCACTGCTGGCTGATCTGGCAATCGGATACCCGCTCGGTGTTGCTCGGCCTTTTTTTGAGTCGCAAGTGGACCCCTACATGCTGTCATTCCCCAACCTTGGTCACGTATTGTGAACGCAAGGCCAAATGCCTTATAGATGCATTTAGGATTAACGGTTCAGGATGGGGAAAATCATGGATCATTTGAGAAGACCAAAGACTGACTAGGAAAATTACAATTTAAACTGTCGTTGCTGACTAGCATCAGATCTGTAAGCACCCTGGCTAGAATGGTCGTGTGTTGTAGTGCAGGGGGATGAACCCTGAGAACAATTTCTTTTGCAAATACCTCAAGACCCTATGCTAGCGTGGAGCCACCCTATACTACGATGTCGAGATGAAAGTTGTCATATCGTAAATTGAAACTCCATTCCCTAGCAACGCGAACGCAACCAGAGGTAGGATACCTTTTTAACTCCGCCAGATCGACGAAGAACAGAAGGATACAAGATCCCGGTGATTTTAATGCCGACAAAATCTTTAAATTGAGACGGAAACAGCTGACCCGCTCTGGAAATACAAGCTGAATAAAGAAGTCCAGATTTGGACTGCGCTGACTTCCATTTTTCCTTTCCCAGAACCTTCTCCACCACACGCCACTCCAAGGGGAATCGTTTGTGAAGTCGTTTACTTGAGGGGAATGAAACGGGAAGAGTGGGTGGCACCGATACCGGGACGACCGTGCTTGACGGGCTTGCTGGAAGATTGTTAGTGATGTGGTAGAGCACATCGATTCCAGGATGGAACGTACTAAGAGATAGAGAACTCAGCCAGGTAGTGGCCAACCATCTCAGGCTTGATCTCAACCTGGTTGAACTCCTTGCCGGAGTAGATTCCGATGACGGAGCCGATCATCTCGGGGACAACGATCATGTCACGGAGGTGGGTCTTGACGAGATCGGGCTTCTCGTTGGGCTTGGCCTCCTGCTTGGCCTTGCGGAGCTTCTTGATGAGACCCATGGGCTTGCGCTTCAGACCACGGTTGAAGCGTCTGCGGGCACGAGCGTGGACAACATCGCGGAGCTGCTCGGAGGAGAGGTCGAGGAGCCTGGGATATTCAGTCAGATTATTGCTCGGAAAATTTCGATGCCCAAGTTCCATCCCGACACAACGTCTGGCACTGCTGCGACATAAGACCAGTGACAATAATCACGATAGAGTATTGAAGGTTGCCTTTGGATAGCAAGCGCACCAGACGTAGGCCGTGATTGGATACTTTTCGAGTGGCGAGGGGTTGGCGACTAAACATACTGGTCGAGGTCAATGCCGCGGTAGGAGAACTTGCGGAACTGTCTTCTCTTCTTGATCTCTGTTGGGCGAAGGCGTAGTCAGCGATCTAGATCCTCGTGCATCGTGTGTTTCCATCCCCCCTGCGTTCAAGTCGATTTCATCCCCGCGCCAAAATTTCAATACATCGTTTAATGTTCGTTTCATTCGGGGATTTCATTCGGTTCCATAGCTTGACAGGGTGATTCTCTTCGGGAAATGGGCTGGATGGATGTTGGATTCAAAAACGTACCGGCAGCCTCCTCGGCGTTCTAAAAGGTGAATGTTAGCATCAAAGTCGTGGACTGTACGGAGACGAGGAAAAGGACTCACGTATTCGTGGTCAGCCATGTTAGCGGTGGTTTCCTTGAAGCTCGCTTTCCGAACGGGATCTCGAAAAGCGAAGGAAGATAGGTTGTCGGGATTGTCGTGTCGCTAAACGGAGCGTCTGGGCGCACTAACGACCTAACGAGGTGGGCAGGGCTCGTCTAAGCGATTTGTGAGGGCTAGCCCTAGCACCCTAGTCTACTTTGGGTGTGTGGTATGTATTGTGTATTGACCTGTAATTTACTGGCCAAGGTTCGTGGAAAGTACTGCCAGACCCCACTTTGAACGTGCGAGCCTTCCCGTATCCATGGGTCATTACGAGTGCGTATTGGCATATGACTAGATGCTTGTCTCTGCCCTCCCTTTCAACCCGATACCAAGGATGATGACTCTGATATGTGCATCTCCGGCAAACTATCATTGTCTAGAAAAGAGTGACTGTACGAAGAATGGTACTGAGGACATTAGGACGGACTTCTAGAGCCCGACACAACGTACGATTACATCTTACACGAATACGGTGGAGGAGGACAGAGGAATCTGTATTGGCTATGAACTCTTTCAAGCTCACACATGGTAAAGTCGTAACTGCGTTAAAACAGCCGGAGCAATGCACATTTGCGACCCCAATTGGAGAAGACTCTTCCCAAACTGGACGCACCATCCAGACGTCTGTTCCCCCCAAGTCGTCATTTTTGAGGTTCCGGAGAATAGGGCATTTAGTCGAAAAGACCGAATCCCATGTCATCATCGGACTCCTCCTTCTCCTCCTCCTTCTCCTCAGCGGCGGGAGCGTCAGCGGCGGCAGCGGCACCACCGGCGGCGGGGGCAGCGGCACCAGCACCACCGGAGGGAACGGAGGCGAGCTTGGTGGAACCCTCAGCGATCAACTAGAATCATGAAAATTAGTACTTTACTCTTCATTAGGTCAATGTCGTAGATGAAAACTAACCTCCTGGAGGTTCTTGCCCTGGAGCTCAGCGACGACCTTGTCGAGGCGCTCAGAGTCGGCATCGATACCGACGGAGGAGAGGACAGCCTTGATGTCGGCGGCGGAGGGGGACTCGTTGCCGGCAAGGGCGAGGAGGAGGTAAGCGGCGAGGTACTTCATTTTGATAGACTGGTCGCAAAGAGTTCGATGTTAGCTTCGTTGTCGAATATTGAAAATTTGCATCCTTCAGTACGCTGGCACTGAAATTGATGCAGACAAGCAGCGATGTTCTTACCTTTGTCTGATATCTAGAACAGGAGAAACAATCGATTTAACCGCGAATTGGGCGGAGACTGCAACGTCGAGTTCGAAGGGTGGTTGAGAAACTGAACAAGCGGGCCGTGAAAATCGAGGGAAAAGTGCGATGCGGCTGGCTGTGGCTGTGTCACCGCCCGGCAGAAAAGGACTAAGCGAGTGTGGCGCGCAACCACGTGACGAGTGGCCATCTCCAAAGTTCAAGACTCCTTTGATCTCCCCTCCATCACTGCCTGCTTTGTCTTCGAGTAACGGAGAAGATTAACTGGAAGTTCTTCTCTCGCTCCAAACTTTTCTTTGTCATCCTCGCGAGTCAAAGGTCGAGACTTCGACCAAGACGCCCAGTATATGGTGTTGAGTTGGGAGTCATGAAGCTGCCTAGTCGAACTAATCGTCGACGATAACTGGTACTTCGGCTCTTCGTCGCATTCTAGGTCCTACCAACACAAAGACTCGTCGCTTTCAACTCTTCAAAATGAGTGTAAGCATATCCTTTCGACGCATTTGCCTCGCTCTCATCTAATATCTCGACTAGTTTCTCGACTCCGTTCTCACGTCTCTCCAGACGGGGAAGCCGTCGCCAGTTCCCCTTTCTCAACCAGCGGCGCCACCAGCTACGTCCTCGGCTGTTAAGAAAGTAGAGCGCAAACCTGCCACTCCCACGCCACGGCCAGCACCGAGTGTGAATAGCAGTGGAGGAACAAAGCGCAAGGCTGAGGATCAGCTTCCTCAACCGTCGCGACCTGAAGCTCCAAAAGCCGGATCTTCGTCCACCCACAAGGCTCCTGCTCCGCCTGGGGTACTCAGAACTTTGTCTAAACCGGCCCCCGCTACAACTTCCAAGCCTGCATCGCCCAAGCCTGCCCCAAGAAATGGCCCCAGTCCTGCCATCAAGACGGCAACTGCGAAACCTACACCCATGAAGTCTGCACCTGCGAAACCTGCTCCGAAGCCTTCTGCGGTTCCATCGAAGGCACCTCCCAAGGGCTCTTTCGCCGAGATCATGGCCCGAGCCAAGGCATTGCAGGATCAAGCCCCAGCACAAGTTGGCATGTTACGTCACCAAGCAGTGCCTAAGGAGAGACTGAGCAAAGTCGAGCGCAAGCGCCGCATGATGGAAGCTCAGGCGCAAGAGAAAGCTGCTCGTCGTCCAGGCCAGAAGCCCGCACCTGGTGCCCCGCCTGTGAAGGGCAAACCAGGCGTGAAAAAGGAACCTGAGGGTCCGACTTACAAGGGCACAGCTAAGCCACCACCTCAAGCACCCGAAGGACTCTCATACCGCGGCACAGCCGGCCTTCCAGGCCGTGGTGGGAATGACCGCCGGGCTCACGGCAAGCGTCGGAGGGATGAATACCTCGGGACGGACGAGGAAGACGAGGGCGAATACGGTGGCTACGACGATTATTACTCCGACGCATCCTCCGACATGGAAGCTGGTTTCGAGGATGTGGCAGGCGAAGAAGATGCTGCGCTTAGATCTGCGCGCCTGGAAGACGAAAAGGAGCTGGCCCTGGAGATGGCAGCAAAGTTGGAGAAGCAGGCGCGGCAGAAGAAGTTGGCTGCTCTTGCAAACCGGACCAAGCGTTGAGTCTTTTTGGGGCTTACAACTTGCATTACAGGCTTTCAATCATCATTTCTTTTGTACTGGGAGGGGCTTTTCTGCCGAGCATCATGAGCGTTTTAGTGTCCTTAGAACGATGAACACTCGATTTTTTGCGAACATTATCCATAGCGGGCGTCTGACCAATACCACATCTGCTTTATTTTCGGATATTTGACCTGGCTATTCAATTGTCTGACATGCTCATAGGCATGTAGATAAGTTATATTATATTATTCAGCAACCATGACAAGTTCATGATGACCGAAGTGATAATCAAGTAACGTCGAGTGTACAAACCTGTCGGCCCCACTCGACGGTGACATCACCCGTTGAGCCTACTTGGCTTCCGATCACCTCTACATCTACGAACGATCTTCCTTCCAAAGACTATTCTGTCTATCAATTCAATTTCACCATGGAGTCAGTTCACCACGTAACGACCTCATCAAAGGTGTTGTTCACCAAGGTGCGCAAGATCGTGCCGCCTATGCTTGAAAAGTTCCACAAAGGTTTGTTGTCAGACAGTGCCCTGCCTTTCGGGGTGTCATGGCTGGATCATTGGCAATGGTGAAAGTAGATTCTAACTGACATCTTTAGGTCAATTGGGACGTGTAGCTGTCATTGGAGGATGTGCTGAGTATGTCCCTTGATCTCCGGCTAGAGCGTTGACTGACCCCGCTAAAGTTATACCGGCGCTCCATACTTCTCGGCCATGGCATCTGCCAAATTAGGTATGTCTCACCCAAACCTCTGACAATTGAGCAACATTAACTGACCTGATGGGATTAAAGGATGTGACATGGTAAGTGGGCGGGTCCCTACAGGCGAATCTGCAGTGTTGACAGTCTCCAGAGTCACGTCCTCTGCGAACGTTCGGCAGCCCCAGTATGTTCAATCTCCAGCCAAGAAATCAAAATTTTTGACTAATATGCCCCCAGGTGGTCAAGAGTTATTCCCCGAACCTGATGGTCCATCCGTTGTTACCAAGCTCGGAGACTGTTCAAAACACCAAGTCAATTGATGCCCCCGCACTCGCCGGCCCTATTATCGGCATGCTTTCTCGCCTCCATGCACTGGTCATTGGACCGGGCCTTGGTCGTGATGGTGTCACGCTCAAGGTAGTGGCCGAAGTCATCAAAGAGGCACGGTCTCGATCTATCCCCTTTTGTACTAGATGCCGATGGGCTTCTCATTGTAACGGAAGACCCGAGTCTGATTAAAGGTTACAAGGAGTGCATTCTCACACCGAATGTCGTGGAATTCGGGCGTCTCGCCAAGGCCCTGGGAATCAAGGTAGCCAGTCAGGCAGAGATCTCCGAAGAAAGAAGCAGCGATGAATCTAGCAAGGAATCAGAAGCCTGTGAAGAGCTGTCCAAAGCCCTCGGCGGCGTGACAATTGTTCAGAAGGGACCGCACGATGTGATCTCCAACGGAGTTACCAGCATCATATCCGACGCCAGGGGAGGACTGAAGCGCAGCGGCGGTCAAGGAGACACCCTGACGGGCTCGCTAGGCACCCTTCTCGCCTGGAGAGCAGCTTACCACGATAAGTTATGGGACTCCGGTGAGCAAGACAACGCGAAGGACGCGCAGACCCGGGATGAAGTCCAAGCCGAGCTGGAGTCTGACAAGCGCATGTCCTCGACGACGACGCTCCTCCTTGCCGCATGGGCTGGAAGTAGTATTACGCGAGAGTGCTCGCGGAAGGCTTTCGAGGCCAAGGGACGGAGTATGCAAGCTAGTGATCTCACCGATGAAGTACACGGGGCTTTCTTGAGGCTGATTGGAGAGCCGGAAGGATCGCAGACGCACCTCTAGGCCGACATCTGTGGGTCAATGACTGATTTAGAAATATGTATAGAGAGCAAGGTCTGAGCCTTGGGCTCATGTCTCAGTATAGTGCGTTTTCTATTTTCCGATCTACAGCAGCGAGAAATTGAATGCTTGTTGGCACTCGTCTCATTTGACTTGGGCTTTGACTATAGAGGTCAAAGCTGACGGTACCTGAGTGTTTACGAGGCTCCCGACCTGGATCTGTCCTGTCTAGGGCCACATCATCCGTCTTACCCTTGAGGCGGGCGTAAACTAGGAGTCGTAAGTTCACCCAGGAAGGGCACAGCCCCTGAGTAGGTCTTGTTCCCAGAAGCAAAAGAATCTCCCAAGTGAAAATCACGCACGTACGCGATGGGCTCGTAAGCTACGTACATTTCAGTGCCCACAATATTTTCCATGTAAACAGTCATTGATTGATTTGGGTGTTGAGGCGTCCTATCTGCCGGAATGGCCGAGGCGTAAGCATGGCACCTGGCTCGAGCAAGGATGTAGTGGTTCGTGTCGATCACGATGTCATGCCATGGTTGCAGTCCTTTGGCACTGAGGTCTATGCCAACAGTGAGTGAGGTCCATTCATTTGAAACAGAACCAACCCTGTGTACGAGCGTGCCATGTGGGCAATGTGGACCGTGGAGATGGTCCAGAAGTGGAAATACAAACACGAAGTGCAGACTTCCTCTCTCCACTGAAAGCCAAAACTTCTGATCATTCTTTTTTCGCATTTCGTGATGGGTTCCGCTAATACTCTTCATGGGGGGTGTTTCAAGACATCTATTGAACATGAAGATCATCAAGATCTCGAACGCCAGCCTTATCAGGAACAGTACAATCCATCAGAATTGATGAACTTCAATCAAATTAGTATGACAACGCATGTTTAAGCGGTGTGAGACAGCTGAGGCGACAGATCAAGTCCTTCCCCGCATCCTGTGCAAAGAGTCGAGGGAAAGTCAAGATCTTTGATCCCAGTTGAGTTAGGGCTGTCAAAGCTGAGACATCCACCCCGCGTTTCTCTTTCCAGAACAACAATAGCAGCACTAGACCCTGGCCCTGAGCTGGCAAAGTATAGCCTTCCTTGTCGACAAAGTATTGGTGGTGTCTCGACCTGTTCCAGACCTCGTATTCACAGCTCGCCCAATCCGGGCCCTGTGGTTCTACATTACCCGTCCATCCGAGCGCGGGGAACAGCTCTACAGCCCCAAGCCATGGCTGAACTGAACAATGTCTACTACATCGCCACTCCGAGATTGCCAAGTTCTACTCCATGAAGACCGTGCTGATGGCCTCGTGATGAGCTGGTAGGTAGTGGTAAGGCCGGATGTCGCATTGGATTCCCCTGGATGGATACGGATCCACAGCAAGTATAAGAAGGAAGCTCTGTCGCCCCCCCCAAGCTAGACTATCACACCATATCAAGACCATATCCACCCCAGATTCATTCAAGATCTTCCGAACTTTGAACAAAATGCACGTCACCCTCATCGCAGTTGTCGCCGCGGCCACTCTGGCTCTTGCCAACCCAGCTCCGCCCAAGTGCGGCACCTGCAATCCTGTGTCGGGTCAGAACAGCTGTGACGTTACCACTTCGTGCATCAACACTGGGTCGACCTTCCACTGTGCCTGCCGTGCCGGGTACAAGGCTTCCCAGGCCGATAATAATGTTCACTCGCAATTCCGTCTGCCGATGCCCAACTATGAGTTCCTGGTCTTCGTGCCCGAGAACACGGTCTGCAATACTCTTTGTGACAACCCCTATGCTACGCCCTCGGAGCTTTGCAATGAGGTCCACTTGTATGAGAAGTGCGCTGTGTAGAGTGGTACAGTGGAGTTGGGCAGGGCGGTTCATGTCATGAGATAGTAGAACGGGAAGTGATGAGCGCTGAGACCATGTTGCGGCATGTCATTCGTTGAGCATCGAATTGAAATTACGGACAACTTTTGAAGGGGTCAAGTCGGGGGCAGAGTCAAGTAGAATGGGAATAAGATCTTTTGATTGACCAAACATTGTCACAAGAGCAGGCTTCCTGTCCCGCGAATACGCCTAAACACCTGTTGCCCAAAGACTTCCATGAATGCAATTTCTCTTACGCAAAGAGCACTGAACCGTCGATAAGATTTAAAAACGAAAACAAATATACTCATTAGCCTTGCATTTCATCATCACCCTCAATGAACATGAGGCGAGCGCCGTTGCCAGTGGTTTGCCAGACCTGTGGAAGAATGTTAGTAGTGTTTCCAAATGATAATGAGCAGGTTCGGAACTTACGCCCAACTCGGCATACTCGTAGAGGGCTGTGGTAAGCTGATCCTCAGTGAAGCCCTTGGCCAACACACGCTCGCGAATGCGGCGCACGCTAAGCTCGTTGTCATCCCCGTCGCCAACAGCAGCGGCTCCGCTCTCACGCAGGTTGCGGATCATGGTGTAGATCTTGCTGCTGGGAGTGTGGTCGGCAGACGCATCGCCGTCGTTGTACAGAGAGGCCTTGCTGACATCAATGATACGCAAAGCCTCATCAACATCCTCACGCACAACTTCCTCACTAAAGCGAAGACGGGCCAGAGCCTGCGACAGACGGACAATACCCAGCAGAGTACGGGGGTGACGTGGGAGAATTGCTGACGACGGGCCTCGTCCTTCTTTTGTCTCTTGCGCATAGCGACGTAAGCGCCAACCATGTAGTCGGAAACACTGGTGGGAACGACAGGACGGAAGGTACGGGCCTTGGCGATGTACTGGCGGACCTCGTGGGGAGTGAACATGATACCGGAATCTTCAGACTCGGGGTGCTTGTTGTGCATGTGGACGTAGGTGACGTGATTAGCTAGCTCCTCGTCGCCCTCGCGATTGGGAGTGTCGAGCAGCAGGAACATGACATCGAATCGAGAAAGGAGAGCGGCGGGAAGGTTAATGTTCTCCACTGGGGATAGGCGAGGGTTGTAGCGGCCATACAGGGGGTTGGCTGCGGCCAGGATCGAAGTGCGGGCGTTCAGGGTCGTATTGATACCGGCCTTGGAGATGGAGATAGTCTGTTGTTCCATGACTTCGTGAATGGCTGTACGATCGCCGTCTTCCATCTTGTCGAACTCATCAATACAGCAGATACCATTGTCAGCAAGGACAAGGGCGCCTCCCTCTAACATCATCTCATCGGTAACGGGATCTCTCATCACAGCAGCGGTCAGACCGACACCACTGGAACCACGACCGGTGGTATAAACACCACGGGGAGCAACCTTGGTAATATATCGAAGCAGTTGGGATTTGGCCACACCAGGGTCACCCATAAGGCAAATGTTGATATCACCACGAATGTGCATACCATCACCCATCTCCTTGGTCACACCACCAATCAGAAGGAGAAGCAGAGCCTTCTTCACATCAAGGTGTCCGTAAATCTCGGGGGCGATAGACCGCGAGAGGTACTCATACATATTGCCGGATCTCTGGTGCTGTTCGATCTTGCGCAAGGTACGGGCGTCCATGCCCATATCCTGGTAGGACTTCTTGTGCTGGGTGATGTGCTGGGCCTCGAGGTAGGTATCGGTCAGGAGACCGGCACGAATAGCACGGAAACCAGTGTAGGGAGTGGGAAGGAAGATACCAGCGATATCAACCACATCGCCGGGATTCAGCTGCCGGGTGAGAGCACCGTGGCAGTGGACAGTCAATGTGCGGGGAATGTGACCCACGGGCACCTGGTCTGCCATTTCTTGAATCTTGACCTCTTGGAAGGGCACAAACTTCGAGGCACGGGTAGAAAGGAAAAGCTGGCCCTTGGAGTTGTTCTTCTTGCACTCCTCAGACAAGCACTCGGAAAGGGGAAGGAACTGCTTGGTGACAATGGGCTGGAAGACTTCGCATCCGCATCGGTCGCAAGTGTATGCGTTGATTTGGACAGCCGGCTTGACGTCGGATACACGGGTGGTAATACCGCGGACAGTAATCAGGCTACCCAAGTGTTCTCCCCGCACATTGCGCACGGCGAAGGCCTTGCCCGCGCGGTCGCTGCTAGAGCCGGACGGGGTAAGCGGTTTGAAGTTCAGGGTGTATCGGCGGGTAAGCTCCGGGGGGAACATGCTCGCAGCAGCCGCAGCATCCATATCAGCTTCTGCGGCCATCTCCATGGTCTCGTTACGCTTCTCGCGCTGGGACATGATGACATCCAGCACATCATCCTTAAATCTGTGTCAAGTTAGCTTGGTGTATGCCAGTGCGCCAGACTCATTGACGTACGTGACATCCTTGGTCTCCTTGGGCATGACCGCGTCCACCGCCTGTGAAAAAACATCGATATAGCGCTTGGTATTTTTCTGAATTGATCCGACGAGGTTTAGGTTCTGCTGCTCCTCCGGGAGAGCTCTTTCAAACTATAGGCGACTTTTGTGAGCAATTGAGGTTCTCGAATCTCAAGTTTCGAAGAGTCTTACGATTTCCAAGTCGTCAAGCTCAATCACAATATTAGAGGCATCTCGGTTGGCAATGTCTTGCAGAATCTGCATGTACTTGAGCTTCGGCTCTTTGCGTCTCCTTGCTCCCCCATCCACATCATCCATGAAATCATATTCGTCACTGGTGCGATTGCCGTCAATATTCAAGTCCTCCAAAGCCTCGGTCGCAGCGGCTTCCGAAGTTGACTGCAGGGTTTTAAAGTGTTTCAAGAAATCCTTGAAGCCATCCAGTTGCGCGGCATAGTCAACCGGTGCTTGATATTGGTTCAGAGCCATAGTGGAATGAAGTGCACTCTGTCAAGCTTTCGATGACAAGCTTGTTGCAAGGAGAACGCAAAGTGGTGGAAAGTGGGTTCCCGAGAAAAGGGCCGACGCAGCCCCTTCGCGACAACGTGAGACGCGCAACACGAAAGAGACGCGCTAGGGATGTACACTAGCTTATTTTAGGACTAGATCAGGTACCTCGGATTAATAGTTCTTGCGTTTATCTGGAACAGGGTCACGTGGATCGTATCGGGCCGAGGCTATGAGCCAATCTCTCCGTGGGCGGTCTCGTGTGGAGGAGCTAGTCCGGGGGCTCTGCGATCAGACATCCCACTCCTACAACCTTCCTGTGTGAGCGACTGCACCTCTGCGCCTTGAACATGGCGCCTAAGAAGCCCTCTACCACCGCGGAAGTCGCTCTCGTGCCGTTGAAGAGCTGTCTCGTGAATTTGCCGCCGTCGCTGGTCGCCTTACTGGTCAATGCCAACACGGTCAGTGTACCAGAGCACTGAATGCCCCCTCTCCGGCTAATTCGAAGACTTACAGGCCGCCCAAAATGTGATCATTGAATTGCAGTATAAGGTCCTTTCTGGTCAAGTCAATGGGGCTCCTCCGCAGCGATCATGCTTTTTGGGTTGGACGGGCATGCCGAGCAAGCGCAAGCCCGCGCCCGTCGTCGGTCGAGACGGCATTAACGGGGGCTTCTCTAGGGAGCAAGAGGCCTCCAGCGTGGAACTAGATACTACGTTTGGAAGACTTCTCGGTCTCACAGAAGGGCAGAAGGTACCTTCTCCGCTGAAACATCGTCTCCCACGTGGGGTACTGACTTGGCTCCTTACAGGTCGGACTACTCGTGCACCTTGACCCGCCTATCGCGCACACAATTAACATTGAACCATTGACTCCCGAGGATTGGGAAGAGTACGTCTATGTCTCTTTCCGGCGCGTTTGAGCATCGGGCTAATTGTTGCCGTTATAGTTATCGAGCTCCACGCCACATTCCTGGAACTCAATCTCCTCTCACAGATACGCGCGCTTCCAAATCCTACATACAATGCGACGGAAGGGGACATATGCACCCGCTCGCATTGCACCTTTCTCCTACTTCTACTGCGAACATTGTCGTCACTTCGCTTACACCCGCTCCATCATCTACATCTGCGTTTGCGAAGATCTCCCCCGATGCCGAGGTCATCGTGGCACCGAAGACCCGAGCGAAGACAGCAAAGTCGCCCCGGAGTACCGCAGGAGCAGTAGAAAGAGTGCAGGGGGGCGAAGTTCCGGGAGTACGGTTCGTTCGAAGAAGCCTGACTCACGGGGCGCTCTTTACTTAAGAGGCGTCGATCGCCTGATGGCCGATCAATTGTTCGACCCGGAAATCGAAGAAGATGAAAATGATGGTCTACGTGTATGGGTTGACCCAGAATTGTTGGCGACTAACGAACTTCGCGGCGCGACTTGGGCGTGTGTTTCAATTGTGCAGCCCTCAGGCCTGAAGCCTCCTGTCGACCCCCAGCAACAACTTGCACAACAGGAGCAGAAATCCAACGAGGCTGGGACTCCGACAAGCAAAATGGTAGCTAAACTGCTGCCGTGGGAAGAAGCCCCGGACAGTCGGCATGCGGCGATGTCCACTCTATTGTGCACGGCCCTGGGCGCGGAACATATAGTGGGGGGAATCGTGCGGGTGGAGGCCGCACCACCCCAATTACATCGGTCGGCAGTCAAGACACTCAAAGTATACCCATTCACAAGCGATGCATCAAAGAAAAAAGAGGGCTTGAAATTTGGAGCTGATACGGCGGCCTCACGTGATGCGTTGATTGAGCGCCTCAAGGTCATATATGGCAGCACTGGTTCTGATGTTGGTCTTTTCGCCGGTCCATTGACCGATGGAATGATTTTGCCTAAGGTTGAGAGTCACCCGTCTGTCTCTGCCTTCGACGGCGCCATTATCAAATTTGATCCTCCCTTGAAGGGTGGTTCAGAAGAAACCAAATCAGTGTTTGGATGGCTTCTGGGATCTGAAGCTAAACTCAACTTTGAAGTGCAATCTGAAATCCCGCCACCCTCTGATTCGACTTCATCTGCTCTACCAAGTGATGAACCTCTACCTGATACCGTTCCCCAGTTGGTCGGAATTGATTCGATCATCTCGCAATCGCTTACTAACTTGACCAAGTCCTCTTCCGTCTTGTTGACTGGTGGTCTTGGGGCTGGAAAGACGGCACTCGCACAGCTTCTGGGTCATCGCCTGCGAAAAGAACAGCTCTTCAACGTGAAATACTTTTCCTGCCGCAAGCTTGTTACCGATGAGACACGAGTTTCCAACATTAAAGAGGTCTTGAACCGCCTCTTCATGTCTGCTTCTTGGTGTGCTCGTCTTGGTGGTCAAGCAGTAGTAATTCTTGACGATCTTGATAAGCTCTGCCTGCGGAAACAGAACTACAAGTTGGTGGCGATAATGGCCGTAGTCGTCAGAACAGTGAAGTTATTTGCTCCATGGTTCGAGAGTTTTGTTCTATGAACTCTTCCGTCGTGCTACTAGCCACTGCCCAAGCCAAGGAGTCTTTGAACAATGCCATAATTGGCGGTCATGTTGTTCGCGAGATCATCAGCATCCGAGCTCCTGACAAGGAAGGACGCCGCAAGGTGTTGGAGAAGCTCACTAGCCAGGACAGAGCCACTGAGCGTCTCAATGGCCATGTTCGTTCGCAAAGCTCTTCCACACAAAACACACAAGACTCATGGCTTGACCCCTCAAATCCTGGCAGCCGACCAAGCTCCTCTGGCGGTGATGGGTTTGTGTTGAGTCGCGACGTGGACTTCCTCGAGCTTGCTGGAAAGACTGATGGTTATATGCCCGGTGACCTTGTGCTGCTGGTTGCTCGCGCGCGTAACGAAGCACTTATCCGCTCCGTTCAAGATCTCACAGCCGAGTCTAAGATGATCACCCTTGGGCTCGAAGACTTTGAGAGTGCCCTCAAGGGGTTTACCCCGGCATCCCTCCGCAATGTCACTCTCACGTCGTCTACAACAACATTCTCGGCTATCGGTGGTCTCTTTGAGACTCGCCAGGTTCTCCTTGAGACCCTGCAGTACCCCACCAAGTATGCGCCGATTTTCGCACAGTGCCCGTTGCGACTGCGGTCTGGGCTACTCTTGTATGGCTTCCCTGGTTGTGGTAAAACGATGTTGGCCAGTGCTGTAGCAGGCGAGTGTGGTTTGAACTTCATCAGTGTCAAAGGTCCCGAGATTCTGAACAAGTACATCGGTGCTAGTGAAAAGAGCGTTCGCGATCTTTTCGAAAGAGCGCAGGCGGCCCGCCCTTGTATTCTCTTCTTCGACGAATTTGACAGCATTGCACCAAAGCGTGGTCACGACTCCACTGGTGTCACTGATCGTGTTGTCAATCAGCTTTTGACGCAGATGGATGGTGCCGAGGGTCTCTCGGGCGTCTATGTTCTTGCTGCGACATCCCGTCCCGATTTGATCGATCCCGCTCTGTTGCGTCCTGGCCGTCTTGATAAGTCCCTGCTTTGTGATATGCCTTCGCATGCAGACCGCGTTGAGATCATCAAGGCAGTCAGCGAGAAGCTGAAGATGAATGATGAGGTTGCTTCTCGTCTGAGTGAGGTTGCTGATCAGACTGAAGGCTTCTCTGGTGCTGACCTTCAAGCCGTCGTGTACAATGCCCATCTTGAGGCAGTGCACGACGCGCTGGGCGACCGCACCACCGGGAATGAAAAACCCGGTGCCAAATCCAACGTTTCAAAGTCTTCCGCAAGCGCCTCGGACAAATCCTTCATCCAGTTCCTCTATTCTTCCTCAGAGGAAGCATCCGGCTCAGTCTCGATGCCACCCCCAGCTGTGATCGCAGCCAAGCTCGAAGCAATCAAGACTTCCCGCCGCCGTCAACGCCAGCTCGAGAACGGCTCGGCCAATACCGGCTCCAGCGCTGCCGCGAATCCAGCCACCAATGGTACCGATCCATCTGCCGATGAGTTGCGGGACGAGATCATCGTGCGATGGGAACATATTGAGCGTTCACTCGCCAGCACGCGTGCTTCACTCAGTCCAGCCGAGCGCCGTCGCCTCACCGGAATCTATCGGGAATTCGTTGCAGGCCGGAATGGAGAAATGCCCAACGGTGAGGCCTCGAATGAGATTGGTGGCCGGTCGAGTCTGATGTGATCCGGCCATGGGGAATTCCCTCGCGTGGTAGATATTTTATCTTGTATATATATACTTTGCATTGTCCTTATGTCCCCTCATGTACCTCTTGTTACTATCATGAGTCATACCAGCTTATAGAGCGCTATTCAAACCATCCAGAGCTGAAGTTTTCCCAAGGTCTAAAAATCGTGCAAGTTTTGAGTTTTGAAGTAATTCAGATGGAGCAATTCAGACCACTGCAGAACATACGCTGCAGTAACCTAATGGGATGTAATTGAGTATCCATGGATTATTAGTCCGGGGTCCTCGTTCTCATTCTATTCTGTATCTAATGCACACTGAACAAGTCTCTCCAATTTCTTCCACTCGGCACTGACAACGGCCTTCTGAGTACTGGGATCAATCCCATGCGACTTGAATTCGTTATGCACCTGGGCAAAATTGGCCGCGACCAGTCTCTTGAAGCTCGGCACAGTACAGCTCTCCAGCTGTTTACTAGCCAGATCGGCCAGGATATACCACAGAATGTAGTGGAAATTTATCTCAAAGTCTTGTAGCTGGATCGGGTCCTTGGGGCTGGGCTCAAAGCCCTGTGAAATGTAGATTGCAAGCTTGGCCAGAACCCAGGCGTGGATGTGTCGGATTGGATGTGCTGGGCTGTACAGCTCTGGATCAACACGCAGATACCGAATCGCAGCTTGGATGAAGGCTTTGTTGAATTTGTTTCCGGCTAGTAGGGAGACAATGAGCTGGTCGCGGATGGACGCGTAGGGTTGCCGATGTAGTGGCCAGTTGGAGGTTCTGTGGAGGGCGTTCAGGGCGGATTCGAGGTATGCGGTTGCTTCGTCTGGCTTTGCATCATCGGCTGAGGCTGACTGCATGAGTTCCAAAGCCTGGCGTTCGGCTGCTTCGAGGGCCGAGGGATCTTCAACCGGGGTAGAGAAACGATCTTCGGGTGTATCTTTGCCCTTTCCACATTTTGGGCATTGGCAATCAAAGAAGTAGCGCTCAATGAGTTCTTTACGCCGGACCTCATTGGGTGTTGTGGTGTCAATATATGAGGTAAAGATTTGCTCGTTCTTCTTGATTGGTTTGACTGCTTTGACGAAAAGTTCCTCGCCGTCGAATCCAACTGTGGCATTATAATCACAGCTGTGGTTGATCAGGGAAGCGTAAGGATGCAAGTATAATCCAATTTTGTCATAGAGCGCCGTGGTAAGATTGAATGAGTTGAGATCCAACTGGTAGTCTCTTGTTAGCCATGGATAGTTGGGAGACAATGGCACACTTACTCTGGCGGCATAGGCAGCGATGTCTTCGTGGGACATTTCACTCAACGAGTATTCCTTGACGGCCTTTGCGGTCAAATTGATGCGGTCAAGATGGGCTTGGATCTCTTGAATCTGGCCCATGTGAGTCTCCAGATTATTGAAGATCTCCAGCTCCCGTGCGCTGTATTTACCGCGTCCAGTGCGCAGCACCATTCGTAGCAGAGCACGAGCATTGTTTGGGAGCACCATAGGTTTGAGCCTCCAAAAAATAGGACATTCCAAAGAGTGTGCAAACTTCCAATCTTTCGACTGACAGGCCTATTTCCTTTCAGATCAGTACTATTCAGACATAGCCTCCAATATCAAATCAAAGTCAATCCATCAACGGAACAAACTAGGAACTCACCCGATCACAGTATTTGACCACATGGCATCCGGTACAGGCTTTTAAATCGGTCTCTCCGCCCATCTGCTTCTTTCCAAAGCAGCCGGAACAGGTATCCTCCAAACGCGGTGAGTCGAGCACCGCAACGAATGGCACCTGGGCATGCACAACATCTTCACCAACTTTGATATCTGATGTTGCAAACAACCCGTTGCCCATGCCATCAGGGGCGGAACGGGGCTCTGTCTTCGTCGTCACTGAAGGCAAAGACGTCGACATCGTGGCGTAGTTGAACAATGTATATCCTCTGAAGCTTGCAAGCTGCGGTGCCGACTAGTGTTAGTCAGCTTAGTTTCACTCATCACCGCCTCGGTTGAAAAATGGGATATCAACTCGTAACAGGTACAGCTCCAGCTACAGCTACCGTCTGAATGACTCTGGCAACAATTCCTTGAACGAAGCGGAGATTGGCATAAAATACACCTGAAATTATATAAGAGACCTGAAAACGTTCTTTTGTCGCTGAAACACATAACCAACTACAATTCACAAAAACCCGGAAAGCAGGCACAACCAGACCCAATTCGTCAGATACAGAAACCATCCGGGCGCTGAGAGCAGCCTCTGCGCCAATCTCCGCCTTGGTTCGCCAAAGGGGTAAAAGTCGGAAATAGAAATTGACAATTGGGGGGAACCCAGACCACTCAACACTCAGAATGAAGAGGACAATGCACGCCGTCTATCAACAGGCTACCGCTACCCTACTTACACCACCATGCCGGGAAAGCTGGGTGTATTCTCGAACCAAGAGGCCGAGAAGTGCCGCTAAGCGCTGGGGCTTTTTTTTTTGTTCTTTCTGTGCAAGGGATCTCATCATTTACAGCAGCTTGCCGCCAACGAAGTTGGACCAACTGCGGACCTCAGTGGGGATGCCTTCAGCACGGGGAAGCTTAACGTTCATGCACTGAGCGAAGAGCTGGGCGGTCTATTGAGAAAGTGATTAGAACTTCATATATTGGTGGATATGGCATGAGAGTGTATAACATACCTTGGGCTCCATGAAGAGGGGAACGCCGAAGTCGACGGCATTACGGCGCATAACATAGTCCTCATCAAGCTGGGTCTTGCCACGGGTCTTGGCCAAGTTGAAGACACCACGGATGTCGTACTTCTGGAAGACCTCCCGGAGAGCACGCTTATCCTTCTTGGGGAACTCGATGACCTGGACGGAGACATTGTCCTTGCAGGTCTTCTCGATGTGGTTCTTGATCTCGGGGTTGGCAGCGAAGAACTTGTAGCCCAGGGGGTTCAAGTAGTCGACAACGGCAGCCAGAGCAGGCTGGTTGATGTCGCCGCCGAGAAGGATACCCTCACCAGGCTCAGGCATGCGGAAGTTCATGGTGGACTGGAGGGAGGCCCAATAGGCCTCGACCAGATCCTTACCGAAGCAGGCAATCTCACCGGTGGAGGACATCTCAACACCGAGGAAGGGGTCGGCACCAGCCAGACGGGTCCAGGAGAACTGGGGAACCTTGGTAGCGAGGTAGTCACGCTTCTCACTCATGAGATCAACGGGCTTAGGGACATCACGGCCGACAAGAGCCTTGGTGGCAACGTCGATGAAGTTGGTACCCAAGACCTTGCTGACGAAGGGGAAGGAACGCGAGGCACGCAGATTGCACTCGATGACCTTGAGCTGGGGCTCGGCACCCTCCTGGTCGGCCTTGATGATCTGCATGTTGAAGGGACCCGTGATGTTCCAGGCCTTGGCGACCTTCTCGGCGATCTCCTTGACACGGTCCATGATGGACTCGGGCAGGTTAACAGGAGGCAGGACAAGAGTGGCGTCACCAGAGTGGACACCAGCGGGCTCAATGTGCTCGGAGACGGCGTGGAGGAGCAGCTCGCCGTTGGAGGCGACAGCGTCAACATCGATCTCCTCGGCACCCTCAATGAACTTGGTGATGACAACGGGGTGGTCAGGGGAGACGGCGCTTGCGTTAAGGAGCTTCTCCTTGAGCTCATCGACACCATAGATGACGTTCATGGCAGCGCCAGACAGGACGTAACTGGGGCGGACCAAGACAGGATATCCAACGGTCTCAGCGAACTGCTCAGCCTCGGAGACGGAAGTCAGCTCCTTCCAGGCAGGCTGGTCAACGCCAATGCTGTCAAGGATCTGAGAGAACTTGTGACGGTCCTCAGCCTTGTCAATATCCTGGGGATCAGTACCAAGGACCTTGGCACCGCCAGTCTCCTGCAGACGGAGGGCAATGTTCTGGGGCAGCTGACCGCCGACAGAAACAACAACACCGGTGGCGCTCTCAAGCTCGTAGATATCCATAACACGCTCGTAGCTCAACTCCTCGAAGTACAGCTTATCAGCGGTATCGAAGTCCGTGGAGTAGGTCTCGGGGTTGTAGTTGATCATGACAGTCTTCTTGCCCATGTTGCGCAGGGACAAGGTAGCGTTCACAGCACACCAATCGAACTCCACAGAGCTACCAATACGGTAAACACCGCTACCCAGAATGAGGGTTCCGTGGTCATCGAAAGTAACATCGTGCGAGGAGGCGTTGTAGGTAGTGTACAAGTAGTTTGTGTCCGCAGGGAACTCAGCAGCCAGGGTATCAATCTTCTTGACCCAGGGGGTGATGCCGAAGGACTTACGGCGAGCGCGGACCTCGTCCTCGGAGCAACCGACGAGAAGAGAGATCTGCTTGTCAGAGAATCCGAGCTTCTTGGCCTTCAGCATGGTCTCCTGCTTAATGCCAAAGAGGCTGCCGATCTCCTTGAGCTCGTTGTTGCAGTCAACGATGTTCTGGATCTTGTACAAGAACCACTTGTCGATCTTGCTCAGCTCGTGAACCCTGTCAACAGTGTAACCCTCGTGGAGCATAGCTTGGCCAACAGCCAACCAGCGGCGGTCAGTGGGGTTCTTCAGGACATCGTCGAGGTCCTCGAAGTGATCACCCTGGAGACCAAGGTACTTGGGGTCAACCTGGCGGATAGCCTTCTGAAGGGACTCCTCGAAGGTACGACCAATAGCCATAACCTCACCAACAGACTTCATGGCACTGCCGATGTCGCGGTTGACGTGCTGGAACTTGCTCAAATCCCAGCGGGGAATCTTAGTGACAATGTAGTCAAGGGAAGGCTCGAAGTTGGCGGTGGTGGTCTTGGTGACAGCGTTGGGAAGCTCGGGCAGGGTGTGGCCGAGACCGATCTTGGCAGCAGTGTAGGCCAGAGGGTAACCGGTAGCCTTAGAGGCCAGGGCAGACGAACGAGAGAGACGAGCGTTCACCTCAATGACACGGTAGTCGAGACCATCGGGCTGCAGAGCGTACTGGACATTACACTCGCCGACAACGCCCAGGTGACGGACGATCTTAATGGCAGCAGTACGGAGCATGTGGTACTCCTCGTCAGACAAAGTCTGACTGGGAGCAACAACGATACTGTCACCGGTGTGGATACCGAGAGGGTCGAAGTTCTCCATGTTGCAGACGGTGATACAGTTGTTGGAGGCATCGCGAACGACCTCGTACTCAACCTCCTTCCAGCCCTTGAGGGACTTCTCAACCAGAATCTGGGGAGCGAGAGACAGAGAGCGGGAAGACAAGTTGCGCAGCTCCTCGGGGTTGGCAGCGAAACCGGAACCCAGACCACCAAGAGCGTAGGCGGAACGGACGATAATGGGGTAGCCAACCTCCTCAGCGGCCTTAAGGGCGTCATCAACGGTGCCAACGGCGATGGACTCGGCGATGGGGATGTTGATCTCGTTCAGGGCCTGGGAGAAGAGCTCACGATCCTCACTAGTCTCCAGGGTCTTAATGCTAGTACCGAGGACACGGACACCGTAGCGCTCGAAGATACCCATGCGGTTCATCTGCACACCCAAGTTCAGGGCAGTCTGACCACCGAAGGCTAGCATGATACCATCGGGCTGCTCGCGCTCGATGACGTGGGTGACATATTCGGGGGTGACGGGAAGGTAATAGACCTCATCGGCCAGCTTGTGGTCGGTCTGGATAGTGGCAATATTGGGGTTGATCAGAACCGAATGGATGTTGGCCTCCTTGAGGGCCTTCAGAGCCTGGGAGCCTGTAGTACCGCAGTCAAGAATTAGTCACAATGTTTCCGTTGGAGATTAGAAAATTCCGCAAGCTCTCTGCATGCTTCCTGCGGAGCCAGTCGTGTGCCTCGACCCACAAGGGACCTCAGCCTCCACGAACGCCTGGGGCTCCAGCTGATCTCTCTCTACTTACCGGAGTAATCGAATTCACCGGCCTGACCAATACTCAGACCACCACTACCAATGACCAGAACCTTCTTCACATCGACAAGGTTGCTGCTGGGCTTGAGAACACCGCTCGCAAGATAGGACTCGGCATCGGGCTTCTGCTCAGCGAGACGGCTCAGAGCACTGGAGAAAGCGCGCAGCTGCTGGGAGCGAGCCGGAGAAGGGAACTTCTGCAGGCGCAGAGTGGAGGCCGGAGTGCGGACCGTGTTGGAGAAAGCGCGGAGAGAGAGGGCCGGGCGAGCCTCAGCGAGGCATCGCTGGCGCAGCAGAGACGCCGCCTGCCCACAACGAGCAGCAAGAACCATTGCGCCGCTTGTAGCGGAAGAGATAGCAGTTCAATTGCTTAAAATGGGAATGGTTGGGGGAGCAGAGAAGATGAGTCCCCGTCTCGGAGGTTCTTTTTTTTTCCCCACTGGGTCGCTAATTGGCTCGTGCCCTTCACCGTAGGTCCACTTCTTTTTCTCCAACAAAAAAAAAAGAAACCGGACCTCGAGCAATCGAGTATAGCAGATGCAGGTAAGGGGAAAGAAGGTGAGATGCAATGAAGAAAAGAGTCACGGGAAAAAGTGGAGGCGGCGTTTTTTTATTTTTTTTTCCCCTTCTCAGTGCTTGAAGGATGAGTCAATTCGGCGCAGATTAGCCGGGTCGATAGACTCCCTCAAGAGTGGATAAACTGGGGCAAGCCGAAAGTCCATAGTTCAATTTTAAGGATTCCTATGAGTCAGAGGATCAATTGAGACTGAAGCTACAAATTCATACTGAGGCACAAAGTCTTCCCACATCGCACATGCAGTAGAGGGCTTCAATAGGCAATAATGAGATGATTGCTGACTGTGGGAGTCCGATGCCGGACGTCTGCCGGTCGCGCTGGAAACCGCCGCTCTTATCTGCAAAAGATCTACATTCGATATTCACCTTACGCGATAATTTTATGCCCGGGGGCTGAATTCTTTTCGTGTATGACGTAGTCTAGCGTTAACCTAGTGAACCCGCTAAGACCAGACAAGCATCACCAGGACCCTATCTCAATTGAGTTTGATGTTCTGCACTGGAATGGATCATCTGCGTACAGCACAAATCGGTTATCTTGGCTCATTTAGCACCCCAACCCGCCCGTTCAGTCCAGACCAAGGACCTCTTGGGCGCTTTTCTAGCCGGGCCGCACTGGCGTTTTGAATTCCTCCCGTGGAGCGAGCTTCGGAGGCACAAATATCTGGCGCTAGCTCGGGCTCCGCTGCGCCAATGAACTCATTGAAGTCTTGGTTCAGGGTGCTGTATACATCTTCTAGGGTTTTTCGTGCGTCTTGTGCCACCTCATTGCCTAATAAGATCTTTTGCTGTACGTAGTCTCGCTCGTGTCCTCCCGCCGCATTCGAGGCAAACGCCCATGATTCCGCAAGGCTCACCACTTCATCGGGTGGATTTTGATCGGTCTGTGGGGCATTGCGAGAATTGAGGGCAGCGACGGCGTGCTTGAATCGTGGCTGTCGGGCAAGAATCGGGTATTCGGGAAGGAGGTGGCTTTCATGGCTTAAACGGTGTAGGACTCGAAGAGTTGTAGATTTCTCCTTTGCGAGCAGTCCAGACAGATAGGATTTCTGCAGAGCTAGGGCCTTCTGGCTCTTGGAAAGTGGTACGAGGGTATCCGTCGCGTACGACACCACGTCCACTCCATTGGGTGGTTGTACTTCATCAGTAGGAACTTCAGTTCTGACCGTTCGAGTTGAGGGTCTCGCGGTCACTGTCACGGGTTGACAGGCTCTGGAGGCGGCCTCCAGAAGATCTCGTCGAGCCTGAAGATAGGCAGTGTATTGCTCAGCGATTTGCGTCTTTTGATGCTCCAGTAGACGCTGAGCCTCTTCAAGTTCTTCTGGGGGAAGGTCTTGCACTATACTCTCGTCTGGGTCTCCCTCGATGACGAGCCGCTCTTCAACCCATTGAACCAGTTCGTCCCGTGTGCGTTGTAACGCACGAGCTTTGGTAGCAGCGGAGATCTCGCCCGATGCCAAACTGCCCCTCGAAGCATACTGGGCTTTGACTTTCTCGAATAACTGCTTCTCTCGGTCCAATTGTGTCCGGGAGCGCAGCACTGCTCTTTCAAGCTTGTGCACCAATGCCTCTACATCTGTATTGGGGCCACTTCGAGCAGGCACATCCGCCTCCAAGCCCTCGGGCAACAGCTGTGGGCTCTGATCCTCTTCAGCCCCAATGCCTTCCAGCTCGACGCCTTCCTTCCCTTCCAGCTGTTCCAGATAATGCTGAAAGACTTGTAACTTGGCATGCCGCCGTCGATCGCGCAGAAGTAGGAGATAATCTCGTAAGTTCGCGCCGGGGTCCTGCAAGTCGTCGAATTCAGCAGGACGGGTTGCGGGCGTCCGCTGGCGTCTTAAAGAGGTAACATCTTCAGACACAGCCCGGAGCCCCTTTCGTGCGGCTACATTTTCCTGAAGAGCCTTCAGGTATTCCTTGCGAAGCCCTGTGAGATCGGCAGGGATAGGATGAACGTTTATGATGGTATCGGTAGGTGCACAGAGGGCAAGGTGGGACTGGGCGTGATTCGGGAAATTTGCATCGTCGAAGACGATGAGCGAGCGGAGGTACGACGTCAATGCCTGGCGGATGCGGAGAGCTTCTTGACGAGGTTTGACGTAAGGAGCGAGCGGTTTCAGAAAGGGTGGAATGTGGGTGTTGGTGTCGCAGGGCAGGGCCATGTTGTCATTGGCAGAGCGTAGAATGAGGATAGTCGAGGCTTCAATGCAGTGAAGTTACTCCCACAGACCTCTGGGTCTGTTCGATCGTAACATCGTAAATAACGACTCCGACGTTCCCCGTTGTTGTTTTGCCTTTTTGAGTGATTATGTAACCCAAAATGTAGATCATGGAGAGCTTAGAGAGCTTAATGAGCTTAATGAGCTTCATGAGCTTATTTAGTGGTTCTATCTTATCTTGACGAATGTTTATGGCTTTGCTGTGAGGAACTGATGTCCTAGCTCAACTGTACTCGTGAAGTTGATATATATCGAGGCTTGTGCTGTATCTACGATCCACAACCATCTTCCACAATTGAGACATCACTTACCCTGCCTGAGAGGCCCGAGCACTTGAGTGCCATGATGAGCTACACTCTGTAGATCAACCAGGATAGTTACAGACATCATGAACACGGTAAATCTTGAGGGTCCTGAGGGTTTCGACCATATTAATCGTATAGTGGGTGAGCTCTAAGGATGTACTTATGTTCAATGTTGACTCCGGAGAGATATATACGCTGCGTCTTAGGCCGCTAAGTACCTTCTATATGTATATTACCCGCACGGCCCAATTACACGGCAATCTTTGGTTATCAGGGGTCGAAATGATTATCCCCTCACTGAAGGACTCACTGCGCTCGTCTACGTCAAATGAGCTCATCCCACGATAGTCGTCGTGGAATGTTTCGTTGCATTCCGATCCAGGGGTTCCCACGGTTATTGTTTTGAGCCACACCTGCCCAACTCTGAAACGCTTATAGTTCGCTGCCCGCTGCTTCCTGGGGCCTCTCACATGCCTTCTGCAGGTTCAGAGGAGCTTGCCTTACCTTGATTTCCTGACTATGGCCCCCGATCTCACGTCCATCCCACATCGGCCTCGAGCTGTTACTTCTGTGTTGCCCACCATGGTGCCACATTCACCCAGACATAGTCGGGGCGCCATCATGGCCTCTACCAGCCCGGTCCTTGACTCGACCAGTCTACCGCTCGGGACCAGTGAAGCCGGAATTACCAGCACGGCGCAGGGTATGTGGTCAGATCAAGACTTGGCCCTGACCCTGAAACTAAGTAACGCAGGGCCTTTGCGACACCCGAAACCACTTACACCCTCGGATCTTCATTTGGTACTGGAGAAGGAGCAGGAGGCCATAGTGAGATGCTGTCTGCCATAAAATCTGAAAATATGATGAGACTCACGTTTCCGACTATAGGTCAACCGGTTGACCCGAGAGCTCTCCCTTCTTCGCCAGCAGACTGCATCCGTGAATTCCACAACATCCTCCGCCTCAAATCTCACTGAGCCTGACGGGCTACATGCATCCCCGTCCTTGAGCAGTTCCACCTCCTCCCACGTCTCTCGACGGCAGCGATCCTTGTCCAGCCTCAGCTCTCATACTCCGGCAGCCCAGAGCGCTCAAGCTGCTAGCGTAACGGGGATTGCCCCGTCTCGGGACAGCAGCCATCCATCGCGATCAACAGATCATGCCCTTCCTCACACAATCCGGAGCCGGGAGCCGTCTGTGACTTCTCGTCGCCCCTCCTTCGGATCTCAATCTTCCTTCCCACAATATCCTCATGGTGAACCGCTATCTCACTACGGCAGCCCATCGATCTACCCCCATCGAAACTCTGTCTCACTGACCCAGCTCGGATTCTCGAGCAGCTCTCACTCCATGGCACGGTACGAGGAGGCAACTGTCCATCGATCGGAGCTGGAAACCATGAAACGGGAGAACGAGCAGCTACGGAGACGCGTGCGAGAGCTGGAGAACACACTGAAAAAGCAGAAGGAATCCCCAGTCGAGTGAAAAGAGACCTTTTGTTTTTGTGATCTGCCAAGGGCAGTTTCCTTTCCACATGTTATTTTTAGGGTATGGTTTGCAGGCAGACATTTTTTTCAAAACCAATGTTTAGCACTATTTACCCGAGCAAGTTTAGTGTTTATAGTCATCCCGCGCGGTGCAGCCCCGCTCTACGTCACCTGTGGCGCAGTTGCTACAGATAAATAGGTGACTAGATCAAGTTTCTCTCTTTCACCTCTCTCCAAACACTCCCGACTTTTCTAATCATCCTTGTGCTTTTATCATTCATAATGTCTAACCACTCCACCGTTCACGTTTCAGGCATCGCCCCCGCAACCTCCGAGAAGGACGTCCGCGACTTCTTCAGCTTCTGGTATGAATGCACCCGCTCAGCTCCCAGCTCCCAGCTCCCAGCTCCCAGCTCTCAGCTGCAAGCCAAGACATCTCTAACAATCTGAACAGCGGAAAGATCGTCTCTCTGTCCATCACCCCTGTCTCGTCCGAGGCCGACGCCCCAAAGTCCGCCAGCGTCACTTTTGAGAAGGAAGCGTAAGCTACCCCGCACCCGCACTTCAAGATGCCGTTGCCCCTCACTCGCATTAACTTGATGCATTGATCACACCATATCTAATCTTGTACGAATAGTGCCGCGAAGACTGCTCTGCTCCTCGACCAAACCCAATTGGGCAGCTCCTCCGTCCACGTCGAGGCCGCCTCTAACATCGATGACCTTGCCGGCGAGAAGGCCACTGCCCACACTGAAAAGGATGATGAAGACGAGCTCTCCCAGGAGGACAAGCCTCGCTCCCGTATTATCGCCGAGTACCTCGCCCAAGGCTATGTGGTTAGCGACAACGCAATTCAGAAGGCCATCGCCTTGGACCAGAAGCACGGCTTCTCCAACCGTTTCACCTCCGCCTTGAGCAACTTCGACAAGAAGTTTAACGCTACCGACCGCGCCAAGGGTCTCGATGAGAGCTACCAGATCACCAGCAAGGCCCAGACCGGCTGGAGTAGCCTGCACTCTTACTTCGAGAAGGCCCTCGAGCACCCTTCCGGCCGTAAGCTGCGTGAGTTCTACTCACAGACCGATAAGCAGGTCCGCGATATCCACAACGAGGCTCGTCGTCTTGCCGATCTGAAGCAGGGCAAGAGTGAGTCTGGTGCTACGGGCGAGACTGCTGGTGTTGCCCCGGCTTCGGCTTCTGTGGCTGAAGCTGCTGGTGCTGCTCCTCCTGCTGAGCCTAAGGCATAAGTCACTTGCGCTGGCTCGTGTTTTTCGTGTCTAATCCTTTTTTTGACATGCTGTTTCTCTTCGTACTTGCGATTGTGATACCGTTGCGATTCTGAATATGACGCTTTGATTTTACTCTGACGAGGTTACGCTTGAAGTGATTCCAACGCTTGTATTTCCTGGTACTTTAGTGCGAGCGGCTTAGTTCAAGCGAGAAAACGGACATTAAGATTGCCATGAACCTAGTTCAACATTCTCGTAGAGTCTTGAAGCAATTGTAATGTGAAATAAATGTAAATTCATGATATCATTATCGGATGTTATCCCAAGACTTCCCGCTCAATACTCCTTCTTTCTCAGTTGTACAGATGTACCACATGCCAAGACAAAATACAATTTAATTCCCAGTGCCCTTCTTGTATTTGGCTTCCTCAAGCTTCTCTAGCGGGTGCGTGGGGTTGCTCTCGAGGCCATGGGCCTTGGACTCGTTCGACTCGTTCTGACCGAACTCGGCGTCAGGGCGAACAGAGTCGTCTGCGATCTTGCCGCTGGCGGGCGGATCGTTCTGCTGAGCACCGGACTGGCGCTCCGGGGGAGGGGATTGGCGACCGGGGTAAGGAGCAGACATGATGAGTGTAGTTTCCGAGGTACGGTGTTATGTGACTGAATTGGCGATGTTTAGTGGGTCAACTGAAGATGAGCGGCGAGACCTCAATACGTACCACGTAGATAGGTTGTCTTGAGAGATTGATATGGTAAGTTCACAAGATGGATTGGATACTCGGGTTTTATGATAAAGGTCGAAATTGGCTCGAAGCTCCTCATTTAAGGAAATTGTCTACTCATCTGACGTGACCAAGCTTCAAACCGGACACTCTGGATGTCTCATCATGATGACGTTCCAACCCACTTACCTTTGCAGCTGGTTTCCCAATCCAGCGCGACCTTGGATGGTGTGGAGTCGACCTCCACATCATTTCTTTTCTCTCATTTGACTTTGTCTGGTCTTTCCATGCGAACAGTGAATGGTCTGTCAGTCCAGTATGACATCATGCCATATAGGTCACGTGCGATGTTCAAAAGTAGACCGCGAGGTTTTCAAGAGTTTGGAGATAGTCGAGGGATAGCGATACTATTATTAGAAGGGCAGTCTACAAATCGAGAAAGCATGAAAATAGTATTGTTTGCGTGGCTGATGTACTATATCATTCGGTGGCTAGGTCTTGGGGAATCTGTGCAGTGAGGCGGATTAGAAGGGGAGGGGCATAGGGCGGGAGAGACTTTTGGAGCACATCAGGGGGACATGACAAGGGAAAGGGTTAAGAAGAAAAGAGACAACAAAAAGGAGCAGATATAAACGAGAAAGCGGGCATGATCTAAACAAGGTGGAAAGACATGAAATGGGCATATGTCTCGTGAGGATGAAAAGATGAGAATCCCAAATGACCGGACACGATGATTGTGACATCCTGTTCAATGCGCCGCGGCGTCAATTTGGTTTATTGGCCGTTAATTGGGATGCCCGCGGCAGCGGCGGCCTCGGCGTTGGCGGCGGCGAGCAATGCCTTCGCATCGGCTTCGTGGAAGACGGACTCGATGATCTGCTGCTCCTCGGGGCCAAGGACTTTGGTCAGGCTTTCGTAAAGCTGGGGCTGTTCTTGCTGCAGGCCTGTAAAAGGTGGTCAGATGAAATCCATAGGAAAAGGGTCTAACGGTGACTTACTGAGGAAGACATGCTTGAACATGCCGTACGGCTCAACTTTGTCCAGAGGGGTCTCAAGGAGGGACTCCTCGTCCATTTCATCATCGTCATCATCAGCGAAAGAGCCGAACTTTTGAGCCTCCTTGTTCAAGAACTCGAGGTAGGCAGCGCTCTCGTCAGCGACGTCGCCCTCGAGGGCCTCCTCAACCTCCTCCTCGTTCCACTCAACCTCGCCATCCCAGTCGTTCTCCTCGTCATCATCCTCAACATCGTCATCGAGCGTGAAGTCGGACTCCTTGGTAGCATCCTCGCGCACTATAGACTTGTCAGTGGAATACAAATGTGGGATGAAAGAAGAGGAACTCACTCTTGATGGCAGCGGGCAGGGTCTGGAAGAGTCTTGTCACCCCCTGCAACAATCTCGGCCATCCCTGCTGGACACTGTGGGGAACGGTCTCGGCCTTCATGGTGAGAAGCGAGCTGATAGCGGCGATGGACAGCTTCTTGTCGTGGACACGGCGGAAGCTGTCAATGCTGGAGAACCAGGTGCTGAAGAACTTGTTAGTCCAGCCCTTGGCCTCCAAGACCTGGAGACTGAGAAGAGGGTTGTAGTAGATGGCGTTGATGATCATCTCCATCAGGTGGATGCGGTAAGACTTGGTGCGGGCCTCGCCAGCATCAATGACCGCCATGGCCAACTCAATGAAGAGCGGGATGTACTGGTCAATGTGACCACGAAGGTTGAGCATGAGGGTCTCAGCGAGCTTGCAGCCGCAGATACGGTCCACACCGCCGACCTTCTCGTCACGGAAGATGTCCTCGACCATGCCGACAACGGCACCCAGGTAAGCCGGATTCTGGACCAGCATCTCAGAGCCGTAAGAGACATAGTTATCAAGAGCAGGCAGCATGTCCTCGAGGTACAGCTCGGCGCCGGCTTTGAAGGTCTTGTGGATCAACTCAAAGGCCTGCCACATGGTGGGCGAAATGGACTTGGATGCGAAAGTGCAGCTATCGATGATCTCGAAAACCTCGTTATAAAGGTCGTAGAGCTTGTTCTCCAAGGTGATGCTGATGACGGGCATCAGGATAGTCTCAAGATGCAGAAGCACATCGGGGGTGCTCTCCAGGGTGAGAATTAGGGTGCCGATAGTCTGCAAAACACCCAAAGCGGTGATACTCTTATCATCGAGGAAGTCGCCATAACCATCATCGTCGCCACCCTTGGCAGCATTGCGCTCCAAAAGCTCGCCCACAATGCGCATGTAAGTGTCGCGTAGCTGTTCACTCAGCGCAACAGCGAAGGGAGTGAGCTCAGCAGAGAAGACCTCAACGAAGTCCTCCATAACGTTGGCCAGAGCATCAACATCGACCTCATTAGCCAGCTTGAGAAGCTGCTGCATGATCTGCGGGATGTTTTGCTGCATAGAAGTGCGAATGACATCGTGGCGAATGAGCGGCTGAAGGGCGAGGGCAGCCTCAACACGGACGGGCAATTCAGGATCCGTCATCGACTCCAGAATGTTGCGGTAAATCACCATCAGGTTGTTGGGGTCCTGGAAGTCAAGCTGCTCGAACTTCTCTAGGGTGTCGCAAGCACGGGCACGGAGGAAACCGTGAGGGCTGCGGAACTCGGGGAAAACGTGACGAACGAAGAAGTACTCGACCTGGTCGGCGATGGGGCTCTTCTTGCCCAGAATGACAGAGGCGAGGGAACCAATCATGCGGAGAGCACCCTCCTTCTCACGGGGTTGCTTCTGGTCCTCAGGAGCGGACTCGTACTTACTGACAACCGAGTTGACGAAAGTGAGGATCGAAAAGGTCTGCTTCTTGCGGTTCTTGGTGAGAGAGACCAGGAAGTTCGTGGCAGCGACATCGGGAGCGGAAACTTCCTCGTAGAAGTTCAACTTGCGGTGAAGATATTCCGAAGGATCCTCCTCGAACAGCTCAATGTCCTCATCCGACTGGCAAAGAATAGGGAAAACGAAGTGCGCGATCAGGTTCTCCATGTGAGGCTTGAGGTGATCCCACATCGCCTTTGGCTTGACACACTCCTCCATGAAGACCAAAGTATAAGACAGAGAGGGGTTGCTGAGCCATTGCGTCTTGGAGACCCATTTGTCAATCTCCTGCAGATATCCCTTGAGAATTTCCGGGGCAAAAGTGCTGATAAAGGTCTTCGCGTACGGGGTATAATCGGGAGTAGAGGATTTCGTAATCGTAGTGGGGTTTCCGTATCTGGTGGGGGTTAGGCTATCGAGTCCAAACAGAAGATCTCAACACAACGCGGGGTGAAAGCGATGGCCTACCTGATGAAAAGACGGTTCAAGTTTGCATAGGACCACTTCTTGCACTTCCACCAATGATTCATCTCACGCTCCTCCTTAGACTCGCCCATAGCGTTGGCTGGAGCGGTCTTAGCGATGATTCGCAGGAACAATGTGCACCAGTCGACGGTAGCCTGGTGAGTCTGAAGAGCGGGCGAAAGCTCGAACTAGAGACCGGGTTAGAGCCAATCCTTCCAGAGGTCACCATCTACAAGTCAGAGACACTCACGTAGATAGCGTGCTTATAGGACTTGACGACAATACGGAGCATCTCCGCAGCCTCCAGGCTCTCCTCATCGACAAGCTTCTGACCAATGCTGAGCAGCTGAGGGAATGAGTGCTCCACAATCTTGTCAAACTCCTCTCGCTTCTCTCCAGCCTTGAAACGGTACACCCGGCAGATGGCCAGCAGACACTGGAGACCGGCGTAGACGTGGTTCGCATCGTTGGTGCCGAGCAGCTGAAGAGTGAGGTCCAAGAATCCAGGCCACTGTTCGGGGAAATCGTTCTGCAGGATCTTTTGGAGGAGGGGACCAGCTGGGCGCGGACATTGGGAGGGGCCGACGCCAGTGCGGGGATGAGTCGCTCGCGGAATCCAGGCTTCTCAGACTCGGGGATAGGGGCACGCGAAGGGCTATCGTCGATGGGGGCCCATCCGCGACTGATGCGGTTCTTCAGGTACACACCGGCTAGAGGGGGGCGGGGTTGATTAGCCACACAACACCATAGAGACCGCGAGGACACAATGTAGCACCTACCAGACAGCTGAACAGCGTTATTCTGCTCACCCTGCAGAATGTCCAGCAGCGCATTGATGAATCCGGGCTGAGTTTCGGCCTGAGACATGGGGGTAAGAACCCCCCGGAGTGTGAGTTTTCTAGATCTAGTCACCACCAGCCAGGCCCAGCACATACATATTTCAGATCCAACTCGGCTTGTTGGCGAGTACTTGTGTTCGCATCTAGCGTTGACTGGACACGGTCTCGGAGTACCGTGACGTCCATCTTGATCTAGGCACCCCGCCAGGAACTGAAGCCCAAAAAAAAGAAAAGAAAACCTCCAAGGACCCTCCGGAGAAGACAGACCGGGGCTAGATGTCAGGGAGAGAGTAAGGACAGAGTCCGTGGCAGTGGGTTTTAAAAAAAAAGTGTACGAGGGGAAGAATTGAAATTCTTTGGGATTTTCGCGGGCGGTCGCCCCGCAGCTAATCAGCGGCCGCACATTGATTTCCGCCGGATCTTTTGTTTATCATCAATGTTTTTGATGCTTGGATTTGATCGAATTACATTTCTACACGAAGATGACTCATATCATTCATTGGATTCATCTCGTTTGTTCTGCGATGTAATTATGAAATTTCCGTGGTGGGGGATGCCCAATGGTTATATGCCGGTAGCAACCCGATATGACCCATCTTCAGCCTTCGGTCCTCAGCCCTGGAGTCTTCTCACATGTATAGCGATGCCGCGAAAATCACATCACGTTTAATCAACTCCTGGGCCTGCTGCATCTTGGCATGGAGGGTCGGATCTCCGATAAGCTTAGCCGCATTCTTCACCTCGCGACACGTCTCATCCAGTCGAGAGATCGTGCGAACGA